CATGAGTTATTCATTCCATTATCATGTTTTATTTAAAATGTAGCTTTTAAACTAAAAATGCCAATAATATGCTTTAAAAATTTTCCAAGAAATTCATTTGACAACACATTTTTGTAAAAAAATACACGAAAGGTTTTTCACTTAAAATTTATCATTCAAACATTAATATGCGTTTGAAATGGAGTATTAAACAATTTGCTGACGACATTATTTAACGAATTAATAAATAATTATCCGACTTATGAGGTTGAAAGGCATTTATTATTTAATTTTGTGTTAACATCAACTTACTTTCGGGATGATCGAAGTAGAAAAGGAAGAACCTTTGCATGCCCCTTTCGAATATCAACTGCGCACCCCTCTCGTTTGCTTCTTATTTTCGCATCTAAGTTTCCTTCTGGCTCTATTTTGTTTTGTTTTATTCAAATCCAATTTGGTATATAAATAATCAGCGATTAAAATGAATTTCCCAAACGTGTGGGAATTTAAACAAAAATCATCGCCGACATGTCTACAAAAGTATTCTTCTGATAATAGCACTGCGGTAAAATTGTTGGCAAATGTTCCGATGGCAAAAATGGTTAGTAGATAAACCGGCAGCAGATTGATTTTCATACTGAATGTTTATTTAGGTTTCAATAACACTTCCGGAAGTAAACATCACTGAGATTGAAAGAATTATAAAAGATTCAGATTACTATAGTTCAAATGATTTTCACATATCTTTGATAATGAATAAAAACTTCATCGATGGTTTCCTCTTGAATGGCGATTTTTCATGTTTACCAGAACATCTTCCAGAATTTGATGATTACGCATACGTTTCTAACAACAAACTCTTCATACGACTTTTTAAAGATAATTTTTGCAGCTGTAATAATGTAGAAATTCAGAAGTATAAAATTCGATGTTCTGGAGATTTCAATTGTAAGTAACTTTAATATAATTAAATGTTTTTATCTAGTTAATTTATTCCATTTCTTTAGATTTTCAAATAGATCTACAAAACCCAAATCTCAATATTTCAAAACTACAAGATGAGGTAAAAAATACTTTAAAATCTTCCAAAATGGTTTTCATGTGGTCGCCTTTTGCTGAAAACATTTGTTCATCATCAATTGCGAAATATGTTTCTGAATGTGGTTATCATGTGAAGAAATGTATTAATAATTTACTTATTCAGCATGAATATGGATTGACGTTTCCCGAATTAATCGAAGATCAACATAGAATGATGGAAATTTCGGAATATGCTGGAATTTTATTACTTAAATGCAACATTGAAGACAACGACTTGAGTTCGTATTCTTTACCCGACGATTGCATTGATGTTGGTAAAGGCAAAACCATTTGTTGTAAAGGTAGCATCAGCAGATATTACATAGAAAAATTAATCAATGAAGTGAGGAAAATTCTTAAAGAAAATTCAAGTTTTCCTTACATCATTTTCTCAATAATTTCCTTCTCTGAAAATCTCACAAAAACTCTCGTAATCACCAAGAATAAAATTCACAATTATGAGTTAGGTATTATGAAAAACTAATTAAAATGTTTATTGATTGAAGTTTTCAATAAACTGTTAAAACTTTTTATTAATTTTGTATGAAAAATCTTTTACAAAGCCATTTTACGACCCTCAATAGAAATTTGTGAATAACCTTTCATATTTTTCATTCGTTTCGCATCTAAGAACTTCTTCATATGCTTTTCATAGCGATTAGGCTTCTTTTTGGAAATTCTAGTCATGTCAACATCGTTTGTTGAAGTAGGTCGGATGACGTAGTCCTTGGTGGAAGGCATCGGAACGCGAGCTCTTGCGACGTAGCCTTTATCACCAGGTCTAAGTGTCTTCTCTTCTTGCTGATTGAACGACATTTCTTTACGCTTTCCACTTCCAGCTTCTGGACTCTTTCGTCGCTTTTTAGGCATTTGCTCTAAATCTCGTTGTTGACGTTCTTCGCGTGTCAAAGCTAAATAAAACAGAATGAAATAAATTTTATCTTAATTAAAGTTAATTTTACCTTTGTAGTCAGTTTGAAGATTAAAGATTGGACGTGCCCATTCAGAAATTAATCTTCCAGCTCTTTCACGATTCTCTTTTGTTTCTTTCGGATGTTTATAAAGGTACATCACAGCTTTCCCGATCCCAGACTGCTTCAAATAAGATTTATCAATTGTTGGAAACTAATGGGAATAAAAATGAATGAAAAACTTTCAATGAGAATTTAATTAAAGTTTCACTTACATCTGAGAGAAGTTTTAAAATACTTTCACGTATTTGCAAGCACGGTAAGCTTCGATTTGGCAATGGAGCAAGCCAATCAGTTAACACATTCAAAACATTATGCTCAAGAAATGCTAATTGTAAATCACGTTTGATCAGCTGACTCATAACTGACTTCAACATTGAAATTTTCTTCGTAGCTGGACGGTTCTCTAAATTCAATTCGCGATCTTCTTCAGCTGCCAAACGCATGTTTTGCAAGAGTTGTGCTATCAAATCATCATTGTCATTAATTAAACTAATATCGCCACGTTTTCGTCGTCGAGTTTTCCCTTCACGGCATCGTGCAAGGATTTCGTCAAAGTCAGAAGCAAATGATCGACCACTTGAGAGAAATTAAAGAGTTGAAGAATCAAAAATGATTTTTAATTCTTTTATACTTACACGGCACCGCGGTCATTAACACCTTCATCGTCGCTTGAACCTCCTGCAGCTTTTGCAGCACCTTCTTCGGTCCCACCTTCGCCTGCTGGTTCTTCACCTTCATGATCAGAATCGGTGATCTTTAGACGTGACTTTTTAACGTCTGGTTCTCCATTTTCATCTTCAGAATCACTGAGTATTGCTCGTTTCTTTCGAGGGGATGGCGATCCTGATCGACTTCGTTTTGCACTTCCCGAACGTGATCGACTACTATAGAAATATTTTTGTTTCGTTTCTTAACAAAATTTCATCAACAAACCTTGAAGAACTTTTGCTGCGTGCATTTCGACTTCGTTTTGATGCTGCGGATCCACTGCGACTACGTTTAGATGCAGGCGAACCACTTCTAAAGAAAATTTACGAGTTATGTCAGTGACAACATGGAATTGATGACTTACTTTGAACGAGATCGTCTGGAAGATGTCGATCTGCTTCGACTGCGCTTTGAAGCAGCTGAACCACTACGGCTTCGACTTGATCTACTTCCACTTCTGCTTCTACGAGAGCCGCTTCGGCTTCGTCGAGATCCACTTCGGCTTCGTCTGGATCCACTTCGGCTTCGTCTGGATCCACTCCGGCTTCGTCGGGATCCACTTCTGCTGCGACGAGAACCACTTCGTGAACGACTTCCCGAACCTGATCTTGATCTTGATCTTGATGAACTTTTCGATTTCTTTGAGCCAACTGACTTGCTTCTAGATCTAAGAAATACTTCAAAGTATCACAAAAAATAATTTTTTCCTATAGTATTACCTGGAACGTGATTTTCTATCAACGCTTCCTGACTTAGATCGTGAACGTGAACGCGATTTATTTGATGTTGCTGAGTTACTTCTATGAAATATTTTAATGTGAAATCTTTTCATGTTATGAATCAAATCTTTACCTTGATCGGGACTTTCGAACATCAACAGGACTTTTTGGTGAATGACTTCTTGATTTTGATCCTTTATTCGTTGGTGATCTTGATTTTCTGTTGCTATCAGAGTGAATGGGGGAACGGCTGTTGCTTCTGGATCTGTTGTTGTCAGAATGTTTGCTTGAACTATGTGATTTCATTGAATCATTCGATTTTGAACGACTCCGGGATTCACGAACTGGGGATTGTTGAGGAGACGGAAGTGAAGCCTCAGCAATTGTTGTGGAAGCCTCGTTTTCTGAAAAGTAATGAAATTTTAAAAAAAATTAAAAATTGATTGAAATTGGAGTGAATATTTAGATTTCTAAGCATTGAAGAGTTTATTTTAATGTTTATTTACTCACCAATTTCATTTTCCATTCTTAAATCTTTTTGTTTAAAAAGTTTCAAAAAGATTTGAAATTACGACTATGAAATTGTTGCTGTTTGGTTTCCTCGTACTGTGGAAGTCATCAACATGTTGTTTCTTGTCCGACTGACAAAAGTCTACAACAAATGTAGCGCACATTTTTCTTATTTACGTTGTGAATTTCCCGCAAATTTTCAAGAGCTCTCAAGAAAGATTCAATGTGCAATTATTCATTCTACTTAAAATAATAAGGAATAAATTATCACATTTTCCTCTAATCCAATAGTTAATCCATAGAAATAAAATTAATAAAATAAGTAGCACAAGAAAGAAAAAAATGTTGATCGACATTAACGGAATTCAAGTAAATTTCCCATTCGAGCCTTACACTTTACAAAGAGATTATATGACCAAAGTAATTGAAGCCTTAGATAATCAACAAAATGCTGTGTTAGAATCACCAACAGGTATTATTACAATTCCTTCAATTTATCAAATAAAATTTATTTTTAGTAAAATTGTGTAATTCAACTTTTTAAGGAACTGGAAAAACTTTATGTTTATTGACAAGTACAATAGCATGGATGTTGAAGAAGCGTGACGATGTAAGGTTTATTTTTCTTATTCCAAGGCTTCTTAAAATAAAAAAGAATAAAAATATTTCAGATATCCGGAAACTACAAACAGGAATATCAGAAACAAGTCCAAGCAGTTACTAACAAACTTGACATCCCACAACAATTACCATCAAATTTCGGACTTCCCAGTGATGAAAGTGATATTTGGAATGCATTAAATTCTGATCAAAACAAATGCAACAATTGGATGAGTAAAACTAAAATTATTTACACATCTCGAACTCATTCACAATTAGCCCAGGCTATGAAAGAACTGAAAATGACAGAATACAATCATGTGAAAGGAGTAGCTTTAGGATCTCGTGATCAACTCTGTATAAATGAAGATGTTTTGAAAGAAGCATCAACAAGTGCTGAGAAAATTCATTTATGTAGAGCGAAAGTCAAAGCGAAGCAATGTGTGTACCACTCTAGAGTTGAAAAGACGCTTGAAAGTCACGAAGTAAAGAACGAGGCAATCATGGACATTGAAGATCTTGTTAAAGTCGGAAAAGGATGCAAAGCGTGTCCTTATTACCTATCCAAGCAACTTAGCAATGACGCTGACATTGTTTTCCTTCCTTATAATTACGTTTTAGATCCAAAATTCTTAAAAAATTCAAAACTTACTTTAGAAAAGTCGGTTGTGATCCTTGATGAAGCTCATAATGTTGAGAAAGTTTGTCAAGATGCTGCAAGTGCACAAATTGCTTCTTCAGACATTGCAACATGTGCTGAAGATCTCACTGCAATTATGAAGCAATTACAGAAGAATGAAGACGCTGGATTAAGTTTCATGGAAGACGATGAAGAGTCTCACGACTTTACAGTCGAAGATTGTGCTAAATTGAAGGAAATGGTGTTGGCATTAGAACAGCAAATCGATGAAATTCCACAAGTCACAACAAAAGGACGAACTTTTCCTGGCGGAAAGATTTTTGAAATCCTCATAAACGCACAAATCACTCAAGAAACTTTCAATTCAGTTCTCGCTCTTATTGGAAGTCTTCTTGAATTTCTTACAAAAGCAGGAGCAGGAAAAATATTCGCTCGAAAAGGGTACGGATTAGTGAAACTTGAAGAGTTGTTAAATACAGTTTACGGTTCAATGACACAAGATTTAAAGGGTTGGAAAGAAACGACAGAGAAAGGCTATCGACTTCATGTTGAACTTGAAGAACCAAAGAAGAAGAAAAACTTCGCCAACAGTTCGACAAGTGACGGTTGGTTGTCAACTAAAACAATTCAATCGACTTTGAATAACAACGCCAAAGTGTTGAATTATTGGTGCTTTAATCCTGGGTTTGGAATGTCAAATCTTCTCAATAGAAATGTTCACAGCATCATTTTAACAAGTGGAACGTTAGCGCCCTTAAAACCTCTCGTCAGTGAACTTGCATTGCCGGTTAAGTGCCAACTTGAGAATCCTCACATCATTAAACCAAATCAAATTCTCGCTCGGATCATTTCACAAGGACCTGACGGAAATATTCTCAATGCGAACTTCCAGAATCGTGACAATCCTAAATACATTCATTCGTTGGGTTTGACAATCAAGACAATTGCACAATTCACGCCGAATGGTCTTCTCGTCTTCTTTCCTTCATACACATTGATGAACAAAACTCAAGAAGTTTGGAATGAGACGAGAATGTGGCAAGCCATAAATGATGTCAAACCGATTTTCACTGAGCCAAGGAAAAAGGAAGAATTTGATGAGTGCATGGCTGAATATTACAACGCTGTGAAAGTATCGAAGGGCGCAATTTTCATGGCAGTATTGAGAGGGAAAGTGTCGGAAGGTTTGGATTTCAAAGATCAAAATGGACGAGCTGTGATAATTATTGGACTGCCTTTTGCACCTTACATGGACCCACGAGTTGTTCTTAAGAAGGAATATCTTCAAATCAATCGAAATCAAGTTAATCAACTGCAAGATCCACAAAGTTGGTACAATATGGACGCAACTCGTGCTGTTAATCAAGCAATTGGTCGAGTTATTCGACATAAAGATGATTATGGAGCGATTTTCTTATGTGATCAAAGATTTAATACTTACAAGAATGGATTATCACGATGGGTTCAAGAGCATCTTAAGCAACCACAACAAAAGTTTTCCTTCGGCCCGATAATCAAAGAAATTGTGAAATTCTTCCGTAATGCCGGCGATTCACTTCCAAAGCCAAACGAAACCTTCAAAACTGATCAATGGCAATTGAAAACGATAAAAATTGAAGATCAGAAGTCAAAAGAAAAATTAAACAACATTTTAAAACGACAAATAAAAATTGAAAATTCTAATGAAATGTATGGAAGCGGCAGCAACAATTCTAATCAAAGTTCAATTGATTATGAGGCAATGAAAAGTTTCATAAAAAAAGAAGAAAAACCGAAGAATTTCTTCAGTGGACTTAGTAAAGACGTTTCAACAATTGACTTTAACAACACTGGCGTTGTCGCAAGTTCTTCTCAAAACTTACTTAAAACATCACCACAATCAGTTGAAGAAAATGCGAGTAAGCGACGTAAATTTGTGATTGTTCCCAACAATAAAACTTCACTAGTTGGCTCTGTGATGATCAATGAACCAGTGACAGTTCGTAAGGAAATTTATGAGCAAGAAGTTCCCGTTGATCGAAGCGACTTCTTAAATTCTGTAAGAAAAGTTTTCCTTTTTTCATAGGTTCAATGGCCAGTCCGTTTTCCGGTTCGTACCAGTTTTCAGATCCGTTTTCCTGGTCTGTTTTCCTGGCCCGAAACAAGAAAAAAGGCACGGTCCGGAGTACTGGTCGACACCTTCAAATTAGTGAGTCTTCTAATTTATTTTAATTACAGATGAAAAGAGCATTTTTACCCGCACAATATAAACTTCTTCTGGAGAAAGTCTCAAACTACACCGACAAGAAGAACTTTGAAGAATTCTGGAACGACGTTATGCCAATATTTAAACAACATGTTGACCACATTTGCATCCTTCGTGGGCTTCGACGCTTCTTAATTCCAAATCATAAAATTTTATTTGATAGTCAAATGAGTAAACATTTCATTGTTGTTTAGTTTTCGTTTATTTCTTTCTTTCTTTTATCGTCAATTTCATGATCAGAATCACAATAAACATTTCTATTGTTTTCATTTGTTACATCATTAAAAATCACAAACTTTTTCTTCATTTCTTCTCGATTTCAGCTTCAGGAAAAAGATTAAAAATGAAGTCGAGTTTTCCACCACAATTGTTATGATAATGTCCACCATCCCAATAAATCTTTGTACACAATTCGCAGATGTAAAAGGTTTGAAATACTCTCAAAGTTCCATCAGCCATCATTGCTTTGATATTTGTTTTATTTTTCGTCATTGTTTGTCCAGCGTATCGTGTCCATTTTGATAAACGTTTAAATTCAGGAAATTCAATTCTATCAAACTGTTCAGGATCTTTAAAGAATTTTTGAAGTTCATCAGGAATATCAGAAACGACATCAAATTTAAGTTTAATCATTTGAAGTTTTGAAGCGACAAGAAATTCATCACAATTACAATTCATACATCGACTGAATACATTGAAACGTTTCACATTAATTTTAAAATGTTTAACAACTTCCTGAAGTCCTTCAAGTTCATTGTGATGTTTATTGATCAGGAACGTGTTGCCATGCTTTGCATGTTTGTTGTACTGAAATAAATATGAAAATTAATAAGAAAAGGAAGATTGATGACTCGACTTACGCGATTGATAAATAATTGTTGACTGGCAGTGAGAATAATTCTGTCGTCTCGTTGTGAATATTTAATGCATTCGTCATGATCAGCCGAATCTCCTTTCAGGATGATTGTATCGACTCCAATTTGTCTTAACAATCTTCCAATCGATCCAATCATAAAATCAGTCACAAAACGAATTTCATTAACACTTTAAGGAGATAAAATATTTGAATTTATTCTACAATAAAAAGTTTTTATTTTCTTACTTGACTGGTTTTCGAATAATTTGAATTTGTTCAACAATCTGCGAATGTTTTTGTTGACGAGATTCCTTCTTGGTCATCGATGCAATTTGCTTTTTATTCTCGATGAGAATGTTGTCAATAAGTTGATCGAAATTAATTCCCATGTTGCTTATCACATTTCCAATCACATCATAAATTTCAAATAAACAATAAGCATCAAGTGCTGCATATAAAATTTGTTCATCACGAAGTGGACGTTGCTGCCAATTACTGAATTGATTACTTTTATCCAATTTCTTGCCAAAGCACAACTTCACTAAATTACTTAAGCTGTGAGATGGAAGATCGTCATCATGAAAAGGAAATTTAAAATCAGGAAAGTTGGAAACTTTCTGCCACAATCCTTGCAAATCCAGGTACGAATGTGATGATTGTTGACTGCTTTGAATGCCTAAAGGTTGAAACTTCATCAACATTGAAATGTCAGTTGAATGTGCAAAGCCAAGCTTCAATATTTCATCGTTATTAAAGATCCATTTGCCAAGCAGTCCCCAATCTTCATCACACATTTTTTCTTGCGTCAAAGTAATCACATCAACAAGATAAATCAAATCACGATGTGCAAGTTGAATAAGACTGACGTTGTTGCATGAGAGAATTGTTGGCTTCCATTCAGTATCAAATGCAATCATTTTCGTCGAACTTAAATCATTTATCATAGTTCGATATAAAGGAATTGTGTTGACCACGACAATTCTTGAAGGATCAAGTGGCAAAGTGTGAATTTCTTCAACTTTTTCTTTAGATTTTTGTGGTGTTATTGAAACATTTTCATTATCTTTATCACTATTTTCATTATCGTCATTTTCGTCATCCCATCCCGAATCGATTTTAGGCTTCTCAGCAATTCCAAGAATTGTATCTCTAACAATTGGTGGAACTTTTTCCAAAGGAATTTCGTAATAATTCGTCCAATCAACAGCATCGTCTTTAGAGCCATAAGTCAAACATGTGTGAACCAATTCAACTTGTAAATCTTTATTCTCCTTTCCAATCGTATCTTTAACCATTTCTTCGAAAGAAGCTTTATTTAAACTCTTTTCAATGTAATTTTTTCGGAGAATGAAGTGAAGTGAACCAAATTCTTTATGTTTCTTCATATTTGGTGCGATTTCGTCTGGCAATTGATATTTCTTTGTAAGTCGACTTATGAGTTTGCTGATTGGCTTCTTATGAAGTTTCTCATATTTGACATCTTTAAGATCATATTTAGCAATGAATCTATCACACATTTGTCTAACTGTCGTATCACGATGAAGGAAACTGTCGAGAAGTTTGATTGTTGGCATTCGTAAATGTTCAGCTTTATCCAAATAATCTTCAAATATTCCTAACTTATCTTCGAGAATTAAAGGAATTAGAAAATCTTCCATTGTGAATTCATTGAACAGTTTCAGATCACAGGCAATTTGTCCAGCATCCTTGAATTGCTTGGCAGCGATTAATTCCTTAATTTTCGATACAAATAATTTCTTAGATTTCACCAACTCAAATATTTCAACAACTAATTTGAAAGTTGTCGTTTGTCCACTTTTGTAAACGAAATTGAATGCGACCATTTTAATGTTGTCATCTAATAATGATTTTGTATCTAAATTTGTAGATTTCTTGAAATTTAAAAGTTCCTCGAGTATTGTGAAAGCAAACGTGTTGCTTTTTGGAATCAAATGGTCATTTGTATTAGCGAAGAACATTAAAGCATGAACGAAAGGATTCGATGAGCCAGCATAAAACTTCTGGATGTCATTTGATAAAACTGGAGATTTTTTGACTACGAAAAGACGTAAAAAAATGTCAACAAAAATTTAACTTAAAATGATTTTACGTCTTACACTGTTTCCAATATTGATGGATGCGATCAAACCATTTCTGAGCGTTGGCATCTAACTGTATGTTGAAGTTAGATTTGTTTAGACCTGCTCCAACACCTGTCGGTACGTTCGGAATGATTTTCACACCATTTGTGTTCTGCAATTGGCTGGAAAGATTAACGGGCTGGTTTGAACTTGAGTTCGAACACTGTGTCATGTAATAATCAAAGTCCTCAACTTCGTCGTCATCTTCAAAACCAGCAGGTAACGTGTTGTTATATTTAGACATTTGTATATAGTTTTAAATAAAATTTATTTGATTTATTTCGTTGAAATTTCATTTTCACAATGAAACAAAATTGTAAACACAACTATGAAAGCGCTTTTCATCAAATTATATTTTTAAATCATTTATATGTGAATCAATAACGTTTTTATTTATTTCTTTAATATTTTAAGTATGAATTGATACTTAATTCAACTCATTAAATAATTAAATTGCTGATACGCCAAAATTCAATGACAAACCGACATTTATAATCACAATTTTCAAAATAACATTTAAAGTGTTCCACCGTAAATTGTGTGCATCAAAAGAAGCGAAACGTTCCATTTTATTAAAAGCTTTTCAACAACTTTTCATTAATTTTACTTATTTAAGGTCCTTAATTAAATTGTATTTGCTCTCGGTAAGTATTTAGGATTGTTTTATAACCTTCCGAACTGGCAGAAAAATTGAAAGAAGCAAAAAGAATGCAGAAAATTGATGCAAAAACTTTTTAAATGAGAGAGGTTCGTGAAAAATCAGCATTTTCGTTCTCAGTATGAAACCATCATCGAAGGAAATAAGAACTAGGGAAAAACCGTAACAATTTCATCAATAAAAAACTCATATTTCTGCTTTTTGATCATATTTTTTGAGTTCATCTATCATTTCTGCGTCTGTCTGAGCACCAAATTTGTGTAAAAACTCGTGGAGCAAATTAATAGTTCAATTAATAAACTAGGTAAGAACTGTGATATGAAAAGAAAATGAGCGAGAAAGAGTGGCCATTAGAAGCAAGGGATAGCAGATGCGACGGAACATTTTTTCTTCTCCTTTGCTCATGTTCGAGAGAGAGCAAAATTCGTTAAAACTTTTTTGAGTAATTTATTATTATTTTATATTTTATTTTTTTCCTTCTGCGATATTCATTACAACTTCTCGTTCTACAAACTATTAGATCATTTCACTTCCCATCTTTATTCGCCAAAGATAACATTATGAAATTAAATCTTTTAAATAGTTTTCATTGTCGTGCTCAACATATTTTTAATTGTAAATTTTTTAATGTAGAAAGTAAACAATCGTAAAATTATCACAAAGTGGAACAAATACTTACGAGGTGTGATTAAAAAACTTATGTCGAGTAGGGTGTTAAGTATCACGCGGCTCCCTGGGATAACAGTGGAAAAATGTAAACAAGGGAAATTTATCTATTGAAAAATTAGAGACTTCCAGCATAAAAATTCTGAAACAGGTTTTTCAATTTACCACTCAAACATCTCGATCTTTTACACATGTTATTTTCGTACGATTGTATGATTTTTTTTTCTTTCTTTTGGGGGGGAACTGCTAAATAATTAAGTATATTCATTTCTTTCTTAAGCTCTCTCAACATTTCAATAAAGCAAAAACAACAAAACAGAAGTTGAGCAGAAAAGTTTACTTTTTTTTACTTAGTTAATCATGGAAATGTGACGATTACATTCCACCATGTAATTCACAGATTCTTGTCGAAAGTAGCGCGTTTAACATAACAAATGAAACGAACACAGTTTCGAGTCGAACCTTCCAAAAGACTTTAATTATATTTACATTCCCATCAATGGGATTTCCCTTGTTGAAGATATAATTGACACACGAGCAACAAGCATTATGAACTCTTTACATGTAAATCAATGTCACAAGATATTGCAACCAAAAAAAAGAAATAAAACAATGAAAAAGATTTCGCCACGTTATCAGCAAACGATGAACCTTTTAAATGTGTTACAAGTCGTAACAGGGCAACAACAAAGCAATAAATAAACTTTCATTCAGAGTCAAACATTACACTTTACGCGCTACAAAGCATTTCAAGCGAGCCCTTCAACAATTTGTTTCTCTCTTTTCAAATGAAAGTTCATACAAATTGGGAATTCCCTCGAAGATTTTAAATTCTTTTTTTTTGTTTCGACAAAACTTTGTCCTCAAATTCTAACAATTTTTTCTTTTTCTTTGTAGGTAAAAAGTGCAGAAAAACGGAACTCGCATGTAAATAAACACGAAAGCAAGAATTAAGAAGCTTCATCCGGATGATGATCAGCCGTAAGAAGATGAACAATATTTGATTCGGATTAGTGAATCAAAAGTTGAAATTGCAAATTAAGGAATATAATTAAAGTGAATTAAATATTAAAACGAAGAAGAAAAAAAAATTAGAAAAAAAGGAAAAACAAAGAAAAAAAGTGAATAATGACGATTATCTTATTTCTAATCGATACGTCAGCGTCAATGAACCAGGAAGCGTTTGTGAACGGTGTACACAAAACATACTTGGACATAGCAAAAGGCGCTGTTGAAACATTTTTAAAATATCGACAGCGATCACAAGACTGCATGGGTGATCGATACATGTTATTAACATTTGAAGATACGCCATGCAATGTCAAAGCTGGTTGGAAGGAAAATCATGCAACATTTATGAATGAATTAAAGAATTTACAAGCGTGTGGATTAACAACAGTTGGTGAAGCACTTAAAAGCGCTTTTGACCTGCTTAATCTGAATAGAATGCAATCTGGAATTGATACGTATGGGCAAGGTCGTTGTCCATTTTACCTCGAACCATCAATCATCATTCTTGTGACTGATGGTGGCCGATATTCACATCGGAATGGGATTGAGAATCAATTGTCACTTCCACTCAACATCAACATTCCTGGGGTGAAATTAACGAAAGAACCATTTCGATGGGATCAAAGATTATTCTCATTGATATTAAGAATGCCAGGACATAAAGTGGATGAGAGAGGCGAAGGAAAAGTTCCACATGACGACTCGCCACTTGAGAAAATGTGCGAAGTTACTGGCGGACGATCATATCGTGTTAAAAGTCAATATGTGTTAAATCAATGCATTGAAAGTCTCGTACAGAAAGCTCAACCTGGTGTCGTTATAAACTTTGAACCGGTGTTTAAAGACCAAAAAGATCTCAAAGATGGCGAAGTGCCGGAAATGATTTTTCAAAGCGCTAAGAAAATGATTTACGTTCATAAAATTCCAGCATTAAAACAATTTCCCGTCGGTTATTGGCCAATTCCAGAATCTTATTGGCCTGACTCGAAAATGAGTTCACTGCCACCAAGAGACGCTCATCCACGTATTAGAATTTGCTTAACACCACACGATGAACCACAAATTGTGAGGAATTTCCCAATTGATAAATATGAACTCGAGCCGAGTCCTTTGACGCTTTGGATGTTGTCAAAGATGAAAGATCCGAATAAAGTTTATCCATTACTTGTTTTAAATGCGAATGGAGTTCACGATCCAATGTCACAATATCGAATGCATCAACCAATCAATGATCAACCATTTGGATATTTAAAAGCAAACAGCACATTGATGGTCGTTCATCTTTACGTCCTTCCTTACAATTATCAATTTGTGTTGGCACTCATTTACGATCTCGTGCACAAATTGACATTCAATCCAACCAGTGAATGGATAAATAAATTCACAACATACGTTAAGTCAATTCCACAATATTATTATCAGTTTTTAAGGAAAGCTTTGACAATGATCAGCATTCCTTACCAACTTCTTCAATATATCTTACCGGAAAGTCTTGACAGTTATTTAAACGCAACTGTCGCTAATCAATTGAAACAAATGAAGAATGTGGCGAAGCAAGAGCAGGAACAACTTTGTGTTCGCGTATTTAAACAACTTAAACTTCCAAAGATGCCGTATCATCAACACGAAACTGTTAAACTTAATTGTGGTCAAGCAATTAAAATTCCTGACTTAGTTAAACATCCAATGCTTCGTGATACATTTCAAAAGATGCACAGTGAGATTAACACGTTTGAGAATTACAGTATTGTCGTTCCAACTGTGATGAACATTCAATCGACGAAGAATTATCGAAATCCATTTGACATTCCGCGTCGTGATCTCATCGATGAAATTTCACGAATGCGTGACAATTTCTTTAAACTCCCAACGAGAAACATCAATTTAATGTCAAAGGATGCTGGACATAGTCTGCCGATAGCTGAGATGGGAAATTATCAAGATTATTTGAAGCGACGTGAGCCGCCATTGCGGGAACTTGAGCCGACAAATGTTCGTCAGCATATGTTTGGAAATCCTTACAAACGAGACAAGCACATGGTGATGGTTGATGAAGCTGACGACATCACGTCAGATCCATCGTCACCCAACAATAAGATTCCAAATGCGAACAAGAAAGACATCAGAATGAGTCGGAAACGCAAAGCGGGTCCAATAAGAAAAGATTTCGTTTACAAACGTGCAAGAACCGAATTTGGCTTTCCAATGTCGCCGGGACTTCCATGCCCACCATCACCAATGGGCAGTGAAATTGATGATTCTGATACAGCTTCAGAATTCTCTGTAAATGACGATGACAGTCGAAGATCAAACGATTCTGATTACAATGAAGTGACTGATGATGAATTCCGATTAAATGGTCACATGGCAGCTGAATACAATTTCGACAACGTTCTCAATGAGTCTCGAATGGAAATCATTCCATCTTCATTACAACAAAATTATCCACCACGTTCAATGCAAAGTAAGATAAAAAAAACTTTTTTTTGTTTAATTTTTATTCAATAATTTTCATTTTTTTAGGTGTCGGTTTGTCTCGTTTGAATCTTCAACAATTAGAACAACAACAACAGTCGATGTCGTCAAACTTTCAACAGAATTATCCAATTCATCATTTTCATCAGCCACCGATTGGTTCAGTGCCAATTGTGCCTCATCTAATGCCAAATAATGGCGATATAACAGGAAGTTCGATACAAAGTCCCGCAATTGGCAGTGCAATGGCTCAGCCAGTTCCATCGTCACCTACAGGGCCACCGCCACCTTTTCCTTCTATTTCAACACCACCAGTTATTCCAACACCGTCAGCAACACCAATCACAATTCGCTCTCAACCACATAACGACTTAAATGATGCACAAAACATTTCCAAAATTCTTCAATCTTCAATTCATAATGGAAGTGGATCGACAATCACCTCAACAAATCACAATAATAATCATTCGTCGTCTGAGAAAAGATTATTCGTTGACGAACAACCGCAACAACATCTTCAACAACCAAAAGGTGCTGCATCGAAGTCCAACAATCACAAGGATGAGAATGTGAAGGCAGGTGATGATCAACAACATCATCGTTCAAGAAGAAAACAAAAGACGACGTCAAATGTGACGTCAACAGCCGTAGTCAAGTCAAATCAACATACACATACAAATGGTCTTAATAGCAACAGCAACAGCAGCAGTACGACGGATAAAATATTAAATAATAACAGTGTCAGCAGCTTCATCAATGGTGACGATGGTTGTTGCTATGATGATGAAGATATTGTGAAATGGAAGCAGGAAAATTCCGAGACGAGAGCGCAAGCATTTAAAGAGATTCGTCGTTTTGGACGTAATTATAATGGACTTTATGAACAACTTGATAAGATCAAAGGAACATTTGAGATGCGCTTTAATTTCATTCAAATGTGTATCAGTGAAGCTTTGAGATTTCGTCGAAAGCATATGGTGAAATGTATTGAAGAGTGGTGGACGATGAAATGTGATGACAAGAACATTAAATCAACGGGTAAAGTGAAAACATAGTGCATGCATTAAAGTGGAGAGCTGTTCCTGTGATAACTGAATCTGCAGATGACCATTAAAGTCTTTTTTCCTTTCCTATTTTACTTTCATTCAATTCGATGACATTTCTGCTCACAAATTCTGAAAATTTCTTCAAATTTTATTTCTTCATTCATTTCTTTATCATTTAATGAAACCACACCAACAACAACATCAACAAATAAACTTAAAGTAAGCGAAAATATTAACTAATGTAAATAAGATTGATTAATTCTTAGATATGATTAAATAATAAATAAACATCTTGTGAAAAAGTTTCTTTTATAATTCTTCCACCCCCGCTTCAATTCCTGTGAATTTCCTTTGTTTATAAATAAATCTTATCTTAAACACGAAAAACATGACAAGAGTGAGTGAAATTTTTCAAGATATTTTAATGATTATCAATAATGACGGTGAAGAAGTTGATTGATAATTTAAATTACGCATTTGTTGTTCATATCATAAGCTACAAGCACGTTTTCAACACAAGTTAAGATTAAAGATTTGATAAGATAAGATTTTGGTCTGAAATTCTATTTTAGGGATGTCGATTGTTGATAGCACAAGCTGTAAAGTCGATGAAAGTTTTTTTTGCTATTATTGGCGTTTGCTTCAAGTCAAGTCACCCGAGCAAGTCAAGTAAAATCACGCAAGTCGGTTTGTCAAGTCAAATTATGCCAAGTCAAGTAAAAGCACTGTTGGCAATTGGCAATCTACATCCAATGTGATTGCACTTGAGCAATATCTAATCACAACATTTTGTGCAATGAACTTTTCAAATGATATCATTTTGATAAGGTTTAAACATTTTTACTCGGTCTTGACTTCGATTGTCTTCTAAAATTAATCAATAAACTTCATACAACTCCCACATATGATTCATTATTTTATTATTAATCCTTGAGAATTGATTTTGCTTTTTATTTTTGACATGTTTGTCCTGATGTCACAATGTCATCGATCTACAAAATAAAAATAATATTTAGAAATGTTTCATGTTCTCATTAGCATAACTTTAATCGACACAAATGTGTAAACTTCCTGACTTTTAACGCCCTAACACTAATTTATATAAAGTTTATGGGTATTGTCTTGAATATTTTATTATCGAGAAATCAATGAATGAAAACCATTCACGTCGTTTTATTAGCTAGTACAAGTTCATATTTGGTAGCAGTTGACAACTATTTAAGTGAAGTTACAAGATTTCCTGATCTGAATGCATGCACAGATTCGTTTTTACTACATAAAAGTACTTGAAATGATGTAAAATTGCTTTGCATAAACATAATGAAGAAGAAGACAATCATTGACTAAATAAACTTGACAGCACATCCGATTTCATTAAAAGCCAATGTTTCGAGCTTTGAAAGATATTTCTGAAGTTTAATCAGAAATGTTCTTCTTTTTTTTGGCTGCAGGGGAGAAAAATATTAAGTTAATAATAGCTTAATGATATCATCTTGATAGTATGGGAGTGAAAGAAAAGGAAAATTTAACACGCGACGAAAAACAGAGGGGAAGTCATTTTTCAAATCATTTCTTTTCGCTACCTTGAAGGCGGTGTCAGAGTTTAAGGAAAGGATGAGAAAAAAAAAGTTAATTCATGAATTTTTATCTCAACGTTGTCAGGTAATGAGATGAAAATAATTTGTGATGAAAGCAAAACAACAGAAAAATATTTTTCGAGCTCGCATTGCCATAAATAAATTAATTCATCGTCACATCCATAAATAATCAAATGAGGCGTTTTGTTTCGTCACATATCACAACTGAATCACTTTAATGATGTCACAGAATTATTGTTTGTTTCCTTTTACAACTTGTAATGTGTAGGCGAGAATATTTCTCGCACCTTTACAGGTATTCGCTTTTGAGTCAGCAGATCTTAAAGTGTTTGAATATGACATGTGGAAATGCGACAGCTTGACACTTAATTAAAGTGGTGCATGTTGAGTGCATATATAAATAAAGACAAGGTAGCTGCAAAATGGTAAAAGTCCATGAATCATGACATCACTGACAGTTCTCGCAGTTAAAAGATTGCTGAGAGATATGAGAAGTGAGCTGAGAAAGTATAGCCTCAATATTTCGTTACCTTAGACTTGCCTTAGACATTCGGCAAAGAATCATCTCTTCAACTTCTTTTTATTTTGTTGTTTTATTTTTACTACAAGTCTTTGAGAGAGAAAATCGGACGTGTGGGTAGGAAAACCGATAAATCGCGACTTCACCGACTATGCGCGCTCTCTTATTTCCATGTTAAATATAGCAACGCGGTATGAAAATCTTCTCAGTCTACATTCATCATTGGAATTAAACACTTCGCAAGCAATACATTAAAATACTCACTTTGTGGATATTACACACATAAAAGAAGAGAAAAATTATTTACAAAAAAGAATTGAACGAAAAAATAAATAAAGTTTAGATATTTTTAGTGATCTTTTACATACAAGAACGTTTACTTTTGTGCAATCTTCAACAAGAATATTTAAAAATTATAAAAAAGAAAATATTACACAATGGCTGATAGTGCAAACAAGAGAAATATTCCCATTCAATTCAATCGTGACTTTAGTGTAATCGACACGGAATTCTCGTCGATTCGTGAACGTTTCGACAATGAAATGCGTCGCATGGAAGATGGTTAGAGACAATTTTGACAATTATCTCGACTTGCTATTACTAAACTTTTCTTTCTTTTATTATTTTTTATTTTCCTCTCCCATAATAGAAATGAACAAATTTCGAAGTGAATTAATGAACCGAGAGTCAAACTTCTTTGAAACAACTTCGAGGTAAGCGCCAACTACAATTCCCTGTAACCTAAATTCCCACTTTTTTCTTCATTTAAAAATATATCTGTTTAAGTTATTGCTATGCCGGCATTTTCTCTATTCAAGGACATATGAAAGGGATAATGTTAATTCACATAACTCGAAATGAAACGTCACTGAAGCGAGAGTGGAAGAGAAGTTTCATTGAAATGTCAATTACAGTGGAAACTTTTTAAAAGAAGTTCAAACTATCCACTAATCCAACAATAACTTTTATGACATTTCGCTGTATTTTGTAAATATTCGTAACAAATTTTTTTTCGTCTCTCTTTCATTACCGTCCATGACATCTCCGTTTATAAAGTTTGAATCTCTTTTTATGTCTTGCATTACCATCAAGTCTTTGCGATCGAACAGAAAAATTCCAAATATGGTCAGGATTTTAAGCTACAATACCAAAATCAGCGATAAAAAATAATTTATAAACACACAGACTTAAATGTACAAAGAAAGTTGCGTTGGATTTTTTTATTATTTGTGCGCGTTGGTGCCGCCAACAGGTCTAAGTTTATGACAAAAATCTATTTCATTTTACTTGCAATTTGAGATTGAAGAATGTTTTATAGACGAATGCACAATGTGTGTGTTTGTGATGATTTCAAGAAACTTTCCCCCTTTATTTGTGCTACAAAATCAATAAAAAGTCATCTCAAGTAATCGTTAAACTTCCCCTTTTAAGAATTTTTCCAATGCACTGCACTGGAGATGAAAATGATAAGAAATTCTGTTAATTCCTTGTGGTTTCTTTCATCGTCTAAAGCAGAATTTCGAGAGAGAAGAAATCTGAAAACATGAAGCGGATTCCCTAAATTTATTCAGAGTTTAAAAATAATTCAAGTGAGAAGAGAGAAAAAATCTTCGTGATTTCGTTTAAACCAAATATTTAATGAAGTTTTTCAATTCACAACACCAAACGACTAAATTTACGCATTCGTCATAATTTTTGTTTTTGTTAGCTATTAGCTAAGCCAAAGAATCTCAAGAAGAAAAAGAAACGCGATGATGAGTCATTCATTAAACACTCCTTTAAGTTTAATGTTCTGTTTTTAATTCGAGATCTGAAATAAAAATTCATGATCGCAGATAAAAATTGTTTGATTTTGATGCTCTTGAAATTCTGCGAAATTTTTTTAATGCCTTTTTGTATTCATCTAAAGCACTCAAAAATTTAATTCCAAATCAAGGGCGGAATTTTAAAATTCTTTTTGCTAATCAAAGTCAAACACCGCTGATTTGCAAACCTTCGTTAAAGTAAAAATCGTGCATGGAAAATTGAATAAAATTGCTCAATGGAAAACTGTTTTTGGTTCGTGTGTCGTGATAAAATTCTGTTTTTTGGGTCATTCGGTAATTCAAGGCGATAAATTTCGATAACTTTAATGCCAAGATGTTCGATCGATGCTGAACTTTGTTCATGTATGAGTAACATAAACATTTCTAATCGCACTTTTCTCTCAATGTCGAAATGAAAAACATTTGGAAAATTCAAGTTGGAAATGTTTCTCTCTTGAGAGAGATTTTTAAGTGAAAGATTCACAATTTTTCGTGTTAATCTACATGACATGAAATATTTTTGTGTTTTAAGATTCATTACTGACATTATCTTTTCAAATGAAATTGTTTGGCAAAGGAAGAACAACAAGATGAATCTTGAAGTAAAAATATCACATGAGATGTTCAAATCTGAATCATAATTGCAATCAACATTGATCTTGATGATGAATTTATGTTGTAATAATGATGACAGAACACAATTCGCAATAACTTTACACGTGTGCGGTCCATTTAAATTTATTTTTACTATGCGCTTGACCTGGCGCCGGCTGATAAAACGAGATGAGATTTGACTTTGTCTTCTATTTTAAATGACTCTCGTTTCGAAGAAAACAAAACAGTAAAAAGAAAAAGTTTGCTGTTGAAATATTTATAGAAAGTAATTTGCAAGCAGTGCGAAAAATCGTAGCTAACTTGGAGATATGCTACAAATGACGAGATAACTAACGATCAGCCATTCAATTTCTCAACCTTTTGAAATTGCGACTTCCAGTCATAAGTGAAATGATTCAGAATTTATTTTAATTCTATTGAGACAATTGTTTAGCGCCGTTCCATGATGAATTCAGATTCATAATTTATTTAGTGCGAAGTCATTGAATCTCTGGAACCTGCTTTAATGGTTTCATGTGATTTCTACTTAAAAGGAAGTTCTTTGCAAACAGGAAACTAATGATTTGATTAACGACTGTTTTCTCGTTATTTTTATGGTGTGTGTTTGGTAAATATCTCATTCCATAAATGAACTGCCAATAGCTTCGAATTTCTATTCAATCTGTTACAAAAGAAGTTAATTTGACCAATATAGTACGAAAAAGTTACGAATGACTAACATAAAGATCAGCGAAAATCTTCAAAAATGCTAAAAATTTACCAGATGGTCTCATTCTTAACCAAATCAAGTGATTTACATCTCGATCATTATTTGACTTTAAATGGAATTTTGAAAGTTTTTTATTTAAGTCACTAACATGGAATGTGAATCGCGTGGGTGTTCACTTATTATTAATTATTCATGAATAATTATTACGGATTAAATCAATCTAGAAAGCTCTCGCTTAACTAATATCTTCGTTAACATTCCCAATTAGCGTCGATAATTGGGGATAAAAATTGATATTTTATGCTTTTATATGAATCCAATAAAATTAGAACCAGGCAAATAAAGTTCAATTATTAAACTAACTAACAAATTTTTTTCTTCTCTTTTTCTATTTTAAATCCAACAAATTTATTTATCGGACAATTAAAATTATAAAAATAAAAATAAATTAATTGTGCATGGTTGAACAAATAAAATAAAAAAAAATGTTTCGATTGATGCTGGCTTGCTTTAACATATTCCCTCGTCATGTAAAACTAAACAAAAACAAATTAAATTAAAGTACAACAACAAAGAAAACAACTACAAAAAGGTATTTACTTGAAATATTAACTTTTTAACTCTTGATGTAAAAATATTTAGATTTGTTTGTGTTCTTGTTGCTATTAACTCAATTTTTTCCTCTGCATGGCTGTCAATTGTTTAGCAAACTATCTCAAATTGATAAGTAGATAATAACAAAAAAGAAGAAGAAAACTTTTATGCATGCATAACTTAAATAGTTTATTTCACACCTACACAACTTTTTGTCATTAAATCTTTTTCACACGATAATCATGTCAGTGGCGAAACAGAATATTACTCAACTAATCAAGATGAATCTCATTGAAGCACAGGAAAATATTTGGCAAAGCAGCTTAATCTGAGATTTCCCTTTTGCATAATTATAAGCGAAAGTAAATTTAATGAAGACATTAAATTCATCAACAGTTTTCATCCGGATATTAATCTTTGTTCACTCCCACGCAAAGATTTAATTTACTTTGAAAATCAACAAATTTGTCATTGATTAAACGTTAATGAGTAGTGTGCAATTTTATTTTTAACTCAGATTATTTTGTAAAAATAACTTGATGAGCACGTGCTGTAAAAAAAATGCAAAAATTGCTGTTGAAATGAACTGTAAATAGAATAAAATTGACATCATGCACTCATAGCCATATTCAAACTTATCTCAATCTTCAATGATTGAATATATGTAATATGAAGCAACTGAAGTGAAGTAAATTATGTCATAGGGAGAACAATAAAAAGCAGTTTCTATTAATTTTGTTATTAACTCAACTGCGCAACCTATCGCAGCGATAAAATCATTAAAACGTGAAAAAACTTTTCGCATGAAAATTATTTCAACATTAATGAAGAAAACTTTCCTAATCACTTTGCATATGAGTCATCATTTTGTTTTCCAAGGAAATTTTGGATTAATCCATTTATGATGTCACATTTTCCTTGCATGAGTCATTCGTAAATAAAACCAAAAACAAAAAAGAATGAATTTGCCACCTTCTCGCACTCTGCATTATGTATTTACGAGCTCATCGGTTTGGCTATAAATAGCCAAAAAGAAAAAAAGTTTTGAAGTAAACATCGCAAGTTTTCACACATATGAAGGAATTTCATTTTCAAACAGGGCTTGAAATCATAATTATTCATCTTGTTACTAACTTGAGTCTTGAATAACTTTTAAAATTCATTTTAATTTATATTTATTCATTATTCAACAGTTCCACGGCCGCAAACAACAGCCTTTCACGTACACCACAGCAATCATCATCTGTCGCCGACATAAACTCGCCATTGATTCAAGAAGATGGCGACAACAAAGTCCTTAAGTTAAGATTCGATGTCAGTCAATATACACCTGAAGAGATTGTTGTAAAAACTGTTGATAATAAATTAATGGTAAATTTCAAATCACTCTTTAAGAGATTTTAAATTAAATTTATTTCATCTTTAGGTTCATGCTAAACACGAAGAGAAGACAGACACAAAAAGCGTTTACCGAGAATACAATCGTGAATTCTTGTTGCCCAAGAATGTCAATCCTGAATCGATTCGTTCATCACTTAGTAAAGACGGCGTCTTAACAGTCGATGCACCACTTCCAGCAATTGCCGGGCCAGGAGAGAAAATGATTCCAATTGCGCACAACTAAACATCGCTTCAATTTCGATTTTGCTACAGAATGCTTAGAAATCTGATTTTCAATATTTTTATTACAACATTACATATACACACACACTTTCTAATCCTTACAGAATAAATGTATAATTGACAAGACCTTTTAACTCTAAATTATCTTCCCTGAGCCTATCTAAATGCGAAATTGTTATCATCACTTAAAATGAAGTAAAATAAAAGAAGAAAAAAATGTTTTGTGGTTTGTTAAGAATAATTAACAAAATTGATTTTGATTTTTCTTTTAAAAATTCTCAGATTTAAAGATATCCCCACTTCAGATTAATTCTTTCTCATGTCCCAAACTTTCTGCCTTCAAAACTTGAGTATTTGAGATGTTTGAATTTAACAATCACTTCTTTGTCTTTCAACACTCCAGTGTAGTCCATGATAAGTTTCTCAAGCAAAGGTTGATGATGAAGAAGAATTTCTTGGAAATTCTCGTCTTCCATAACTAAGCTGCAACTCGCAGTGATGTTGAGTTCAAGAAGTTTAATGCAGTTCTCAAGAAACTTCAAGAATTGAATGAAACTGAGATTATAGCAATAACTGATGTCAAGAATTTCAACATGTTTCATGTCTTTGAAGAATGATCCATTCATTTCAGAATTCCCAGCAAGTTTCAAGGTTTTAATGTTCTTAAATTTCTCTCCATCTAAAACGATTCCAAGTGTTGCTTCACTTAATGCACATCGTGATAGATCGAGTGATGTTAAATTACTGAAGCAACTTTGCAGATGATTAAACGACAATGAAGTGAACTGCACGTAGTTGATTGAGAGCGCTTTAAGTCGAGGACAATCATTAATAATTCCGTAAATCATCGTATTCTTCACATTCTCGTCCATTATGTAACCTCCAGAGAACTCAAAAGCTATCATTGATCGTCCTACACGATCTAATATGTCCCTGAAGTGATTCGTTCTCAAGCTTCGAAGTTCGATTCTTACTTTACGAAACTTTGTGCTGTAAATACTTTCACAAACTTCCTTAAAACTCCCACAAACTTTTTCAGCCTTCAATAAATCATAAATTGAAAGAAACTGAAAAATGTAGTAAAGAGAATAGTTGTCAAGATCCAAAATTGACAACATTATTGCGTGGGCGGTAGTTTTGTTTTAAATGACTAATGAATTTCTGATGATCTCTTAAACTTCACTGATTGATTTGAAACAAATATTTGGTTTCGTTTGTTATTGAATGAATCATCGACTTAAAAATATTTGATTCGTTATTTTTGATAAAGAAAATTTTATTTGATTCAGACAAAAATCTTTTGTTCTATTTGTGGATATGCAACAATTATCATTGCTTTGGATAAATCTTTATTTGTTGTTGTCTTGAAGCTTGCGCATTATCATCAAAATATTTAACCGGAGAAAAGCTTTATTTGAATTGAGGTTCCGAAATTTTAAATGCTTAAAACTTGGTACGTTTGAGATTATCAACAAATTTTAATTTAGTCAGAATTTAAATGTCAAACTTAATCATTGACAATGCTTTGTACCGGTGAAATTTTTCATGCTCTGGAACAGATAAACGGAACAGATCGGGAACACAAATCTGTTCCGGAAAGTTGAAAGGGACATGTTCCTGGAACAGAAAACGAAACAAAAGAGGAACAATACGGTCAGCGGAACAAAAGCTCTGATTCATTGTCAAGGAAGTTTATTTTTCATTCAAATTTCACAAATATCTAATTTAATTAAAACAAAAACGTTTATGGGAAAGACTTGAAAGACAATCGACATAATTAAAATGCTTCTTCCGGCGCTGATTTCTTCTTCCGATATTTAAAAATCTTAACATAAGAATCGATCAAAACTTTTATTTTTTGTGGGTTGATTTCGCGACTGTGGCAAATCTGAAATTTCAAAGAAATTGTTTACTAAATGAAATTCATAAAAAGTATTTAATTTACTGACTTTAGGTACAGCTTTTCTTAGAATTTCTTTATATTGCTCTTTGCTGATTGTCCGTTTTGAATAGTAAGGTTTTATCACCAACTTCACTTCTTCAATAACGCGCTCTTGTCGCTTCAACTTCATCAAATATTTGTTCGAATGGTCATCACTTTTATCTCCTAAAATAATGTAAGAAGAATGTTTTCATCTTCTTTATCGGAAATCTCATGTTTAACTCACCTTTCGAAGTGCCACTTTTCGCTTTTTCTAAACCTGGCGGTGATGCCGTTCCAAATAATTCATCGAAAATATTTGGAACATTATTTGTTGCTTTCGTTTGAATTCCATCGTCATTATGATCAAACGAGTCATCATATTCATGTCCTGGCGAATAAGGTGAGTCAGCAATGTCCATTGAGACTGAATGACTTATTTTCTTTTCATTTAAATGACTGTGACCAGTCAAAGGCTGCTGTTGAGCTGATGAACTTGACGAAACTAAATTCTCTTCATTAAAGTGAAGATTGTTACTTGTGCTTGTTCCAACTAATGTTGTAACATTCCTGTTGCTTATCTCAAAAACGTCAGACAACTTCTCTAAAGGTTTTTGCATCACTAAAGTATTTGTCAATGTTTGAGAACTTGTGACATTCTCATTTGTTGGCGAATTCAAGGCATCAAAAGGATCATAAAGCTTTGATGATGAGTCAGGTGACTTTAATGAACGCTTTTCAGGACTTTTCTCTCCATCACTGTCACTTAATTCAATGACATTACTTTTATATTCTGGCGTTAGTTCCCTGAAAGGTGAACGTGCAAGATCAATAATTGCCACTGGTTTTGAGCTTACAGTGATTTTCTTCTTCGCTGTTATATCAACAACATCCTTCAATTGTTCATCTTTATCATAAGGTTTTGATTTCTTCGTTGACGATTGCTTGTCATCGTTGTTGAAATTCAAGCTGACGAGAATATTTGGACCGGATGTGAAAACTTCTTTTGTAAGTGTCGATTGTTGTTGACGTTCTTTGCTCAACTCGCGATGTTTCTTCTTCTTTGATTTGCTGCTTTTCGATGGAGTTGTTGATTGATGATGACTTACTTGGCTTAATGATCGTGAACGACTTCTTCTTGACTTTCTTCCTTTTTCTTTGTAACTTTTCGATGTTCGTTTTCTTCCATACTCGTTGCTTGGTGTTCGACGTCTTGAACGACTTCGACTGTAAGATCGTGATCGTCTGTAATTAGTTCGATCTCTTGAACGCGACTTACGGTAACGATCTCTTGATATGCTTCGACTTCTTCTGCGACTCGAACGTCGCTTTTTTGATGAACTTCTCGATCGTGAGCGATTTCTTCCGTATTTATCTCTTACTGATTTTGGTGGTCGATCTTTAAGTCTGTCACGAACATTGTAGCGTTCAAGTTCTCGTTTTCGATTACTTTTTGAATTCTTTTTTTCTTTTTCTCTCTCATCATCTTCTGAAGTTTTCGTGGCTGTAATTGGTGGCGTGTAGCTTCTTTCTGTTATCATTTCTTGAACTTTCTCAATTTCAGGTTCTAAATCGGGACTTGCTGGTTGACTGGCAACAATTGCTGGTGGATTTACTTCTTCAGATGATTCATTTTGTGGTTCACTGTCACTCATTTGAACCAAGTCAACGTTTTCTTCTGTATAAACAGTTGGACATGTTTGAGCACTTTCAGAAGTCTTTTGATTCATCATTTCATCGATTGATTGGAAGAGTTCAAAGTTTGGAAATTCATCAACAGTTTCTGATTCAGAATTCTCATCAAACATATCAATTGTAAGTTTCTTCACTTTTTTCTTTTTCTTGTCAACAACGACTTGGTCGATTATTCTATTTGAAGTATTTTCTCTTGAATGATCATCAAAACTGCCGGAATTTCTGTCACTTTCAAACACTTCTTCACTTTGAATAAATCCTTGTTGATGTTGTTGAACTTCATTTGAAGTGTTTTCAACTTTATTTTGTTTCTGATCACCAGAACTTCCTGAATTGTTGCCTTCAACACCTGAAGCACTTTGCTTTGCTTTCTCTCCTACAAATACCAACTTTCCACTCGACTTATCCACTGTAAATCTATCTCGAATACTTCCAGAACAAAAGATGTCTTGATCTTGAAGAATTGAATCGAGTAAATTACTACTGACGGATGTTGTTGCGCAATTGGAAAGAACGCGATTTTTGATACTTAAACTTCTTCGTTGTGGATTATTTAAGCTGATGATTCCTTGCGTCAAAATATTTCCAGATGAACTGTCAGCGAACTCATCAATTCCACTGTCATCGATGTTATCTTCATCAAGAACATAATCGAGTTGATTAGCTGGTTGGAAAATGTTAAAGTTACACAAACCAGCTTTTAAACGATCAACTTGAAGTTTATGAACATTTGGATTTGCATTCATTGCACTCGATGTACACGAAGCAGAGGCTTTTGATGAATTTCTTTTTGATGTTTTTACAGTCTTCTTTTTTCTCTTCCTTTTCGTCTTTCTTCGTTTGACTGCTCTCGTTCTCATTGCAAATTTATCACTTCCATCAACATCATATTCAGTGACGACTCTTCGTGTTGCTCTTCTTCGTCTTCTCCTTGAAGTTCTTTTCTTCACAACTCTTGCTGGTGGAGCTGTTGATGGTCCTTCACCGAATGCTTCTCGTGTTGATCGTAACGACATGCGAGCAAGAATCGCGTTTCTTATTCTTTCACTTTGTGATGTTCTTAAGATTTGCGGTTGATTCTGTCGCGTTCTTGTTTGGGATTCTTGAATTTCATTATCATCTTGTTCTTCTTCTTCGTCATCGTCATCACTGGACTCGTCGATTGTTTCAAAGCATTCATTGCAATACCAATTGCCCAGCGGAATCTCAAGAAGTGGTGGATCCAAACAATCCATGTGAAAACCTTGAAAACAAAGAGAAGAGTTTTCGTTAGATTATGAAATACTTTCATTGTTGGTTTATTAACCTTTATCGCATCCATCGCATAGCAACATGCAATCTTCTCTATTGGTAAGCAAGCAAAGTTCGCAAGCTGTAAATTCTTCAGCCGAAATAAAATCATTCAATATTAATTTCTCTTTAAGTTCCACAACTCTCAATAAATGATTGCAATCTAGATTTCCATAGACATTTATTTCTTGAAACTCTTTTCTATCAATTGGACATGTTTGTACAACTTTCGCCCATTCTTGGATACACGGAAAACAAAATGTGTGGTCGCATACTGAAGGTTTTCCAATTTCACGACCGATTTGGAAAGCAAGCAAACATATTGGACATTTTTCAGTTGTGGAACTATCTGCTGATGATTCTGAATCGCAGCTTTCATCACTTTCTTTCAAGCTTGATGGTAAAATAGAATTTCGAAAATTATCTTCTTCCATTTTTTATTTCTTCTGAAAAATCTCGAAGATTCCTGAGAAATTCTTCCTGAGATAGAAGACTTTTCTTCAGCTAAACACTTTACATCAAATAAATTTCAAGAATATTTATTAATATTGCTTGATATAAGGTTATTTTTCTCAAAATCTAAGAAAATGTTTAAAATTTTTTCTATAATTTGTTTTTCTATGTACACGTTGTAATCTGTTGTGCGACTTTATCTGATCCGTCCTCAAGTTACCCGAACATGAATTTGAAAATGTTGCCGTTATTATTCAATGCAACATTAACAAATTGATTTGAATTTTTTACAAAGATATCCAGGAAAAAAATAGAATTGAAATGTCATGCAGTCATCTAGCGAATCGTTTTCAGAAATTTCATAATCTTCAATAATTGTTGTCATTATTATATCAACGGAAAAAGTTAAATGGAGAAGATAAGTTAATGCATTTACAAGCGACGCTATGCTTTGATAACAATTGATGTTGAAATAAGGATGAGCAGTTTCAGCATCGTCTGACATGTACACCAAGTGTTGATCGTTCTCTACATTCACCATTGATACAATTGAAGTTACGATAAACAAAATAAATCCAAATGATGCAATTATAACTTCTGCTTGAAAATTTAGACGTTGGAGTTGCAATTTTGAAATTCCATAAATGGAGATAGCAAGAAAGCTAAAGAAGGTTACTAAAAACAATGGTTCACGCATTGTAGGCTCATTGGGATCAGCAAAACCAACGATATGAATAATTCCACATATTAAACTTATCACTCCTTCAATAATATAAATTAAAGTAAAAACTTTCTTATTTGATCTCAAACCCATAATTTTTTACTAACTTTGTCATTGAGAGCAATGCTTACGCAGATGATGATAAATGTTAGGAAATAAATTTTTATTTCGATTGATTCTTCCTTCTGCATGTGAAAATTTAAAATGATTTTAAAAATGTTTTTACTTCAAACTTGTAAAAATTCGATCGTGACCAACTTTGATAACTGCAATAAAAGCTTTAAACGAATGTCTACCTAGTTATGTGGCGTAAAATCAAATCTGACTAAAGTTCCTTTTAAGTTTGTAATAAGAATTTGAGTTAAACGCTTCGCTTTAAGAATTTATATCAAAATGAGGAGAGTTTTGATAGTTTTTCTCATTATTTATGTTATAAATACAGCAGTTGGTAATTCTCGTTTCGCTGCTTACTTGCCTGCATTCGAAGATTTTATAGTAATAATTTGGCTACTCGATTAGTATGTCTGATTAAAATATTTAACATTTGTAGAGGGATTTTGGCAGAGTATACGAAAGCCGATTAGATGAAGCTCGAGCTTTTAAAAACTTTGCAAGAAATAAGAAATTTATCGACGATTGGAATGAAGAGAATAATTATGGAGAAGATGGTGCCGTTGTTTTGGAGATTAATATGTTAGATTGAAATAATTTGCATAAATAACTGTGGTGACGTATGATCAATTTAATAATTTATTGATAGGTTCGCTGATTGGTCGATTGCGGAGTTGGAAAGATTTACTGGAAGGCCAAGAAGTGGAAACCTCGGTGTTGGTAATGCACCACCATCAAGCTCCAATGGAGATTTCAACGATATTCATGAAGTGTTCATGAAAATTCCTTAATCTATACAATTAAATATCGTTGATTGATTAAATAAAATATTCAATTGTTGTCTGCTACGATTTGTTCTGAAAGCAACATTAATCTCAACATATATCTATGTTTTAGGATCTCAACATTAAGAACTTGTGTTGATTCAGCTTTTGATGTTTCAGCAATTGAATATTTTCTAACTGTAAGTCGATGACTAACGGAGATTAATTTATGGTAACTGAACTCTTTAAATTAAATATTTTGTCTCGTCCCACGTTCGTTTCATTGTTCCGTTTATAGTGTTTGCTGCCAAATTATTTCTAATCCCAAAGATCGATGCCCAAAAATTAAATTAAAATTTCCTTTCATGCCTTTATTTTTCACAACAAGGAAAATTTTTGTCACAAATAAAAAAGCGAAGATTTCGCAAGCAGTCTAGCATTTAACTATTACTCGATTTCTTCTTCTTCAACTTCAACACGTTTTTGAGGTCGTGCTGGACGTCTTCTCTTTTGCACTACACCACCCTTGGCTTTGACTGGTCTTGGAGTTGTTTTAGGATTTTCAAGTTCTTCAAGTTGTTCGTCGGTCAATCGATCTTTGTAAAAGTCAGCACTAAAAACCAAAATTAAATAAAACAATCTTATTAAATTTAATTAGGTTTGACTCACCACTCGGGAACTTTTCTTGGCCAATCACAAGATTTTGTTTTGTCATTAAAAACTTGTCCAAATTTGCATCCATTTCTTCGTGGAATGTCGCCATTGATGCAAACATAAAAATATTGACAATCGGCGGGATCAGAATAACGAGGGTGAGTTACAGCAATCGATTCATTTACTTTCGGACATGTGAATTGGAAAACATCTGAGAATTGAAAATGAATTTCAGTAAATAAATTAAATTAAAAATATTCATTGAAACCTTCAGACGAGCATCCAGCTTTTTGAGCTTCATCAGGCCATGTGCAAATGCCGGTTTTTGGATTGAAAACTAATCCATCTGGACATGTGATTGCGTTGAACATTCCTTTAATTAAATAAAATAAAAACATCTAAATTAATTTCTTAATTAAACATTGATTGATTTACCATCGACACAGTAATAAAATTTATCGCAAATATTTTTATCAGAATGTCCGAAGTATCCATTTTGTCGTGGGCAATTTGCAGATGGAATTGGCGTTTCTGTAACAATAAAAATTAATTAAATGTTCATGATTAAGGAAAGTAAAACTTACGCAATCTTGATCTTTTACTGCAATCGATGTTGTATGGCAAATCACATTTTTCTACTCTGATATCGTAGTCGTTGAAGACTAATCCATCTTTGCACAGACGTTCTTAAAGAAAATCAAAGATGTAAATGATTTATTCACTTAAGTTCATTCATGTTACCTTGAAGCTGTCCATCGGAACATGCATAATACTTATCACATTGATCAGCATCAGCAAAGAAACCGTCATCTTCAGGGCATTGATCTGAAGTTCCTTCGTCTTCTTCTGATACAGCTGGTGCTTCAGTTGTTGTTCTCTTTGAAGTTTTTCGTGGACGTTCTCGACGTGCTATTTGTGACACCACAAGACCTGAAAATGAAAGAAAAATTAAATTCTCTTCCTAAACAAAAGTCAACAACATTCAAGCGTACAGAAGTCAATGTTATCGATCGACCTTCACTTATGAAAGATTTCAACAACTACTATCGACGTTAAGATTAAATAATTTACCGGTTTATGAACTATGATGTTGTTGCTATAATTTATTTTGTGGTGTTTGTGAGTCACTTGAATTAATTAAAATCGTAGTCGATGTCTTCATCAATTTTTTCAAAGAAATGATTAAATTAAGTTGAAAATGTGCTTCTCGTAAGTTAGAAAAAAATTCTTTGTTAAATCTTGTTTCTTGCTTTGAAAGAGTTAAATGTAGGAAAGATTTATGGTTGATTGCAACTTGTTGACCTTTAACAGTGCAAATGAACAAATAAATACATAAAGAAACATGTTTTAGATCAGGATAAGTAAATATGAAACCGGAAAGCTCTAAAATATATTCAAAACAGGATATAAAGTTGTAATTAATGTTCTGGTCATTAATCGACTTTACATCGTTGAATGTTCGTCCCATATTTCAATATTGAGATGAGCTTTTCGTTATCAGTCACTGATGTAACTTATCATTATGACATTTTATAACTTTCACTTTTTTTTAAAACTTTATAAAAGTCATTTTAAAAATTTGTTGTCATGATCATGAAGAGAAATCTTTGAAAGTATCAAAGAAAAGTAAAACGAGATGAAATTCTTACCGAAGAAAAGACTGAAAATGAGTAACTTGACGAGAAATGTTGGATTCATTCTGTTTAACAGTTCAACGCAAACTGATTGAGTGGCAAAAGTGTAAGAAAAAACTTTACCAAATATTGTGGTTTATGTACTAAATACAGCACACAATCGCAATAAATATATGTAGAAGAAAAGAAACGACTTGAGTTCTTCTATGAAACCTGTTTGTAATCTGTTGTTGGCAGTTACCAAATGATGACTTCATGTCAGTGGGGATAACGAAAGCGAAAGTATAAACACGCGATAGGGTAAATAAGAAGTTAGCATAACATTTTCCAGTGCTTAAGTGTAGCCTGTAAAAATATTTCGTCTTTCTCGTAAAGTTTGGTTTTTACAGTTAAATATACAAATACAAATAGATTCGTGGTTTTGATTTTTATTTATTCATTAAATATTTATTCCATCTTTCCTAGAAAATCAAATGAAGCAAATGTTTTAGTTTTAAAAGTTCATGATGAATAAATTTACTTATTTTATCTGATTAGATGCAGTTTGATGAGGTTTACAATGTTGAAGATGTCCGACGATTAATCTTAGAGCAGATCAGTAAAAAAAATTTTTTAATCGTCATCAAAGCTTTTAAAAATGTTTCCATAAAAAAGGCGAAGAAGCTTCAAAGCTTTTGACGAGAAGTGAATGAACTGTAAATTGAAATTGACGAAGATTTGAAAGCATTAATAAATAATTTAATGAACCTTGCCGCAAAATATTCATGAAACAAAACTGCATAAAATAAATTTTGCAGCTGAATCACCGTTCAACTTAAAGCTGCGATAATTTCCAATTAAATTTAATTTCATTATTCAGCATGATGAAAACTCCCACAATCTTTCCCAATCAACAGGTTGCAAGTCTTGTCCTTGAAGTTTCTCCACTTCTCCCAAGTCAATGAAGAAATTTTGTTGAGAAATTGAATTGGATTTGAATGGTCAGCGATTCAGGAAGTTCACAACTCACCACCAACACTTCAAAAATCGTAAAAGAAATTCTGTAACAAATTTTACTAAACTTCAAATAAAAAAATTCATTTTGTTGCGAAAATTGTTTAAATAATTATATTTTATTCAACTTTTCACATCTCTTTATGGTTTTCTTCCCATTTTCCTTTAATCTTAGCTTTTCGGTCATGAATGAACAATAGATCTTCCCTAAGTATTTCCACGGGTTATTTTTTTAAATAAATCTTCATTATTATCGCTAGTTGAGCTTCAATTCTCAACACCATCGAATCAAAAGCGAAATGAATCTGATTTTTAATGATTTCATTTGTATCTTGAAAGAATATCTTTGTTTGTTTTAAAAAATAACTTCTAAGATATTTTGAAAGTCGCTTACGAAAAGAATATCAAAATGAAAGAATTAAAATAATAAATTGAACGGTTTAAAAAAAGAAAATTTAATAATTAAAAATGTATTATTAAATTAAAAAAAAAGAAGAATTTGAAAAGAAAAAAAAAGTTTTGATGCAGTCGAAAGTTTGTTTACATCTTGTCGTAATATTGAGCCAAGTCAGGCAAGCCTTCCTTAAGACCCTTACGTTTACGTGTCTCCTGCACAATGGTGTATGGTTTTGTTGATGGTTCGTTGGGATCACCAGGGAAGATCTGCCAATGATCAAAGACGCATTGTGGGAAAGCTTGTCCTCCTGTATTTGATCGTAAATCAGCTGTGAAACCGAACGATTCGTTGACAGGCAAGTAAGCTTTTACGACGAACATTGGTGTTCCAGCTACTTGTGCTTCTTCAAAGACATGACCACGACGACGATTGAGGACACCGTAGATACCACCAACAGCAACTTCTGGGCATTGAATCTCACACAAGTACACTGGCTCCATAAGACGTGGTGCAGCTGTGATGTAAGAAGCATACAAGACACGACGAGTGGTTGGAATGATTTGACCACCACCGCGATGAATGGCATCAGCGTGTAATGTCACGTCATGAATGTTGAAACGAACGCCTAGAAGTTAATTTAATTAAACAGAAAGAAGCAATTAATGGAAAATAATTATTGAAACATGTCGAGAAAGGTTTGAAAGCATCTTCAGACCTGTTGAGCTAAATTGTTGTAAACCATCATATTGTGAATATGGTCAACAAAAGTAAATCATCATGATAAAGTTGAAATAGATGTTTGAGAATGAAAGCAAAATTCTTACCTCGCATGTTCTCTTCAGCTAAAACACCTTCTTTAGTAGCCCATTGGAAACCAGCAACAACGGAATCCTTAATTTCATTGAGATATTGTACTCCCTTTGTGCAATCCATGATAACATTTGGTCCTGTACCGTCGGGACCGAAGCACCAAATCTTACGAGCTTCAGTGACATCCCAATCGTATTTCTCTGATAAATAACGAGCACGAATCTTGAAGTCGTCACGAGCATTCACCTCGCCTTTGTCGATGTCTTCAGGGAGTCCATCGGGCATTGGAACGGCCTTCATGAACAAACGATTGTGCTTGTTTGGTGATTTCGACAAGCATAAAATGTTTGACTCTTCAGAGACAGTTTCACGATAAGAGACGACGGGGTCGGACTTCTTCAATGGGATACAAGCGTGATCTTCTTCTAAATCCTTCAAGCAAATTTCCAAATGCAATTCACCAGCACCAGCAATAATATGCTCGCCAGACTCTTCAATGATACATTGCACCATAGGATCTGATTTCGCCAAACGTTTAAGACCTTCAACAAGTTTTGGCAAATCTGCAGCATTCTTCGGCTCGACAGCAACACGCACAACGGGTGAGACGGAAAATTTCATGACCTGATAAATGTTAAAATGTTTTTAATTTCATCTCTTTTAAATTCTTTTAAATAATTAATTCAAGAATATTTTCAGTTAAACGATATTTCTGCATTTTTTTTGTCAGTACAGGTCCGTTGAAATCATCACGAAATAACAATCAATAAATAAAATAATCAACAATTCTTACCTTCATGTTGTGAGCGTCTTTGAATGTTGTGATTGTTCCAGTCTTGACCAAGAATTGATCAACACCAACCAAACCGCAAATGTTACCGCATGGAACATCTTCAATAGCTTCAACATAACGTCCCATCATCAAGATTGTACGTTGGATCGATTTTTCATACAAATCTTCGCGCTTTCCGGGAAGGTAATTTGGTCCCATGATGCGGCATTTCTGGCCAGTTTGAACTTTGCCAGAGAAGACACGACCGAAAGCATAGAAACGTCCCTTGTCACTGGTTGGTACCATCTTTGACACGTACATCATCAAAGGACCGTCAGGGTTGCAAGTCTTCACAGCGACAGCTGCTTCATCGTCCAATGGACCTTCGTACAACATCTCCATACGATATTTCTGGGCCACAACGGGTGATGGCAAATGAATCGCAATCATCTGAAGTAAAGCTTCTCCAGCTGGCAACCAAGTACGCATAACGGTCTTCAACAATTTTTTTCCATCTTGATCTTTGTCTTCATGCTTCAATGTTACTCCGATTTTCTCCAATAATGGTCCGATTTCTTCCTTCTTGTAGTTCATGATAACGTCGAAGACCTTGTAAATTGGATCTAAGATATACATAACGAAAGAACGTTTGTTGTCGTCTTCCTTGCTCTTTGACCATTTCTTTGTCTTAGGATTGAAGAAATTTTCACCCCACAAACGATTCATAAGTTTCACGACATCAATCTTGAACTTAGCGGCGTACATCTCTGAAAATTGCTTGAGCGTGAAGGCCCATCCGTGAAGACCCGATCCGAAACCGACAGATCCTTTCGATGGATCAATACGAACTTCTCCCATGGGACCATCGTCATCAGAATAAGTAGCGATGATAACATTAACGTTTTCAACAATGCGCTGGAATGTTTGGTACAAATCTTCTGCTTCCAATTGTAATTCCAACAAAGCGCGGTCCATCTTGTTCATGAATAAAACAGGCTTGATACGTTCAGCGATAGCTTGACGCAATACAGTTTCAGTTTGGACGCACACACCTTACAAGAAAAAGGAAAATATTTTTTTATTGATCTTATCAATAAACTTCTATAAGAAATTTTTTGTTTTTGCAAGCGTCATCATGACGATGACGAAACAATTAATCTCTCTTAATTTTTTCTTTTCTTCTCACCTGATACACAATCTACAACGACCAATGCACCATCAGTTACACGAAGGGCAGCTGTGACTTCAGATGAGAAATCGACGTGGCCGGGTGAATCAATTAAATTGATTAAAAATCCTTTTTCTTCCTTGTCACGTTGATCAGGATTTGTAATGAAAACCAAATCCTTATCTTCCAATTCGAAGTACATGGAGATAGCGCTGTTAGTAATGATGATTTTGTAATTTTTTGGTTATTTTAAATGAAATATTTAATTAAACTTACGTTGATTTGATGGTGATGCATCTCTCTTGTTCATCCTTACGCGTATCTGTGAAACGAGTTTCACCAGCCTTTGCGCCAGCAATGATACCAGCTTTCGACACTAAAGAGTCGGTAAGGGTAGATTTTCCGTGATCCACATGAGCAATGACGGACATGTTACGGATGTTTTTCTTTTTGTCCATCATGGCACGGATTTCATCGACTGTAAAGTTGACCTAGAAAATATTTTAAGTAAGAAGAGAATTAAAATTAAAAGAATTTCTCTTTTCATTCTTCCTTAAATCCTCAGGTTGAAATGTTTTTTCTTACAAAAATTTATTCTAAGATTTTTAATTTCTCATCATGGCGAAATTTTCAGGCAAAAAATTAATTTAATCATTATTTCTTTGAAATCCTATTTTTCAATATTATGAAATTCAACCCATAACGATATTAAAGTGAATCTGTTATCAAATTTACATCAATAACTTCAATTGTTGACGATAAGAAAAAAAATGTGGAATTTCTAAAGTTTCTAATTTTCGTAAATTAATTTTTTCAAATAACACCATGAAGAAATAGTTTTAACTTGAATAAACCATTATTAAAATGATGAGCTTCACTTGCACATCATTTTTTAGATGTTTAAGTTAATTAAATTGCACTTTTAACGTACCATTTTGAGTTATTTTATTCCCACGTTTTCAAAAAATCAACTTGATATTTCGCTCGTCGCAGTAAAAGGAAGAGAAATGAGAGGTTATGCGACAGTATCCGTCAAAAACTTACATCCTACTGAATACCTCAATTTCTGCTGAATAAGTTTGAATTTGAATTTTTAAAAACGGGTAAAAATTTTAACATCAACTGATTTTTTTATGTATGCTAAAAATAAAATCTGCCTCATTCAATTATTTTTATGTTTTCTACAATATGAAGAAATTTATAAATTATGGAAAAATTGGTTTAAGGTTGAACAGAAAAATATTTTTTTTGTGTCAGTTTAAATCCTTCTATTAATCAATCTATTTCTATTCATGTATCTACGATTATTAAACTGGAAAAAACCACCGGAATCTGGCAATTATTAATTAAAAGACATGTGCATCATTCAATATTTATGGAAATTATTAGAAATAATTGTGCACCCGTTAATTAAACTCTTAAAATATGTACATTAATGCAATTTACAGATGCTTCTATTATGAAGCGAATTTTTTTCTTATAAATTGAGCAATGTTATCACAAAACCTAAAAATAACCGATTTTTTTATTTATTTGTAACATCAGTCAATTGAAGAGATAATTTATGGCGAGTGAATTTATTTCAGTTTTTTATTCTCGCGTCTCGTTTATGTACATACTGCTTGTAAAGAAAGCAAAAACAAACTTTTCGCAACAATGATATTGATATTTATGTATGCAAAGCTCATTAAAGTAAAAAGACTGACTATGATATCAAACCTTGATGTTTTATAAAAGCTTTTGTTTGTAATTTGAGACTGACTTTTTCTAAGCATGATTTGTTTTCACTTTGTATAACAATGCTCTTCGCATTTCCCGATAAATTTATATACCAAACATCGCAGTTCATATTAATGCAGAATATCTCGAATAAAAGTTCAGACGAATAATTATTATTGATGAAACAACCCTTTTCACAATGGAAAGCTGTAATATGCATTTATTTTATAGAGGTATTAATATAGGCAAAAAATATGTCTATCGGTGATAAACAAACAGCAAAAATTGTACGATGTTGTGTTGTCGGATTCATGCTTTGAAATTGGATCATTACATGGTCGAATCATTAAAGTATCCACTTTATCGCTTTGAATTCCCCCAGATAGCTTGAAAAAAAAAACGCAAATGTTCTTGATTCAATTTATCGTTACAATACCGGATCACATCAATTTTGATATGATACAAAAGAACCATTGTGTGAAACAAAATCTCTACCTAGAACTCATTTGCTACTGCGTGAATTTTATGTGTGAGTTTGCTTGAATTATTTATATTGAAATTCCTTCGTTCAATTTTGTTTAATATTTAATATAAATTATTTCACTCGGTTTATATGAAAACGAAGCATAAATTTTCCAACAAGTGGAATTTCTATCAAACATAAATTTCAATTGTTGCTTCATATTGAAAGCTCAACGTTTATCTATGTTTCAATAGTTGAGCAGAAGCAACATGAAAACATACTTAATCTTGTACATAAATCAGAAATTTAGCTATTTGTCAAAATAAATCCGTCAGCTTTAGACTAATCAAAGAAAACATCTAAAAAGCATCTAAAATATTGGTCGTGCATACAAACGAAAATCTCAAATTGAGAGATAAAAACTCAACATTCAACAAGTTTTTAAACAAAGAAAACTTTTATGTTTCCAAAGCTTAAAACTTTTAGTGAATTTAAGTTACTTGATTTTAATCTCTAAAAGCTTTAAGCTTTTTCAAAAGTCTTAGTTGTCGCATCTTAAACTGAAAATATAAATCTTCGAGCTGGCTGAATATTAAAACAGAAGCAAACTTGAAGATAAAAGTTATAAATATTTACATTGTTGTGTTTAGTACACATATTCGTTTATTTATAGGAAAGTAAATAAATTTTATTTTTTCCACAAGGTAAAATTATTAAAGTACATTAAAACAACAAGTAGATAGCTGGTTTCTTTCAGAAGATTCTTACACGTTACTTACATCTTAAATATTGAAATTTCGTTACTCTTTATGCTCGCTCTTACACACAGTTAACTCATCCATTCATAGCTGAGCATTCATTTAATGAATTGCGTTGAAAATATTTTACTCAAGAGAAAGAGAGAATATCAGTCAGCTTGTATTCTAAATTTCACATCACGTTAAATTTTTGCGGTAAAGTAATTTGATCAGTGGTGTATGAAAAGAATCTTCATAAAAGCATAGAAACATTGAGTAATTAATGAAAGAATGTTTATCAAAAATGTTCCGCTTATTCGCATGATGTTTAATTGAAAACTTTACAGAGTAAAGAGATGACAGTCGAAGAGCTTTGGGATTGGGAAATGAAGAATTTCGTGTATCAATACAAAATACTTATATATCTGAGAAATGCACGAAAACCGAAACTTATCAGTCATGCGCACCACCACTGGCAATCACGAACACATAAGCAAATTCATTTAGTTACACATGGAGAATCATATCAATTGAGAAAAGCAACCGAGTCGTATTTTCCGTCGAAAAATAATTCTCGAGTATTTCAGTATTGTTAATTCCGTCGGGCGAATAAGAAAGGCTCGTTTGAGCGAGAGAACAAAAGCACACGACTGTTGAATCTTTTGGGTGAATTTGTTTTTTAAGAAAAGATCTCTTCTGCAGCTGACTTTGAAAGCAAACAACAGTGAATAAATAAAAAATATAAATAAAAAAAGAAGTTCATCTGTGTTCTCATCATCTCAATTTTTGATTTGCCATTGGATCATTCAGTACGCGATTTGTCTCGTGAAAACAAGTCGCACTGAAGTGATTCGGAATTAAGGAGAATTCAATATCAGAAGTTTATAAAATGATAGCTTTTCAAAAGAAAAAATTAATTTAAAAGTCATTCAAGTACATGTGGCGTTATCATGCTTCGTCTTATTTCGAAATCAAATCAAAAGCATAAATTAAATGAAAGAAAATAAATTATTTTTGAAATCAAAAAGCAAAAAAAAGTGAAGAACAATTAAGGAAAGTGAAGATTAATTCAAATTTATAAAGCAGAGAAATTCAAAATCGATTCAATAAAAGTTTGAAGAGCAAATCTTCAGAATAAAACCAAGTTCGATTTTTTTACCATAAATAATCAAAAAAATAAATAAGGAATTTATTGAATAGCTTGGAGAAAATTGTCGGAGAAGTAAGTGGAAGTTAAGAGCTTTTATTTTTCATTTTATGGGGATTAATTCAAGATTAATATTCATTTGTCTTCTTTTCTGTCAAAGATCAAGTGTCTCAAGAAAAGAGAATGAAACGAAGTTGAAAGAGTTTACGAGAAGCTTTTCTTCTTATTCGTACAAATATTAAGTATTTTAAGATTCAACACGTTGTAGGCATATTTTTCACGCCTGATCTCTCGAAACAACTGAAAATGTTTGTGAAACAAAATTGAAAACATTTCTTCGAGAATTTGCAAAGTTTCTTGAATTATTTTTTATTGCCATAATTGTAATTTAATGCTTATCATTATCAACTATTATTAGTTCAATAAATCATAATTTTCTACCCGATAAAAAAGAGTCATAAGAAAATCTCACGGATTATGACGAAGATTATTATCGATATCAACCGGTGATTCTTCACTTTTTCCTTCTCATCGCGCAATATTAATTCCATAATATTTCATTTCGTCCCCGCACATCTTAAGCGAAAGTTTTTTTTTCCATCACACTTTTCTCGTTCATCTTTTTTATTCCATTATCTCGGAATTGAATTGAATGACAGCCGAGGGGATGGAGTTGTTCACAAATTTGAAATTATAAGACTAGAAAAAAAATAGAAGTTGAAAAATATCGGAGAGAAGACGAAAATAAATAAGGAAAAAATCAAACATAAAAGCTTTTCTTTAAATAAAAAAAAATTGAAAAGAAAAGCAAAGATAAATAAATATAAATGTGGAGGAAAATATACTGGTTGAAAGATGAATAAGACGAGAGATTTTCTGCGATCCCAACTTACATATCCACTGAAGATAATCTCACATCCCTGACAATTTTCAGCATGCCAAACACCCACAATAATAAAATTAATGTCTATCAAGTTTTTGAAGAACTTGTAAAAGTGAAAAGTGAAAGATAGTCAGAAGATTTTACGAAATTATCAAGTATTTATCTTCAATTAGTAGTTAGTTTTAAACACATTCAAACGACTGTAAAACTGAACTTGTGAAACAACGTTAAGTAAATTCAAAATTTTAACAAGTACCAACAGAATCTATCTACATTTACGATGTGGAAAAGCAAACAGTGACAAATTGATGTTGAAGTACATCGAAGAATCACAAAATTGAATTATAAAAAATTATGTGCACTAACAACTCGACGATGCGAAAAAAGGTTGTAAAAATGTGAAAGCTTAAAATTTTAAAAGCTTTGCTAACTCAATTTTCCTTTTCATTCTTCTGTATCACTTTTGGAAGCGTGAACTCGACGTTGAAGTTAGGATAGGCAGAGGTTTTAAAATCATCTTCAGTAAATATTTCGTATTTTAATTGGAAGTGACTATCTCAACAAAATAAATAAAAAATAAAATAAAATCCGGATTTTGGCAGACTCGATTGTTTTGTCATTATGTGAAAAAGAAATTTTTATTTAACAAGAACAATTCAGAAATACGAAACGACTTTGATTTAAAGTTTACATTGACTTCGATATTATGTATTGCAGTTTATATACCGATTTATATACCATGACTTCATAAACGTGCCGAAACATCATTAAGATAGATTTAGTTACAAACCTTCGTTTTATTTTATTAACGGATGAAAGTCACGATGTTTTATTTAATAGACATGTCGAAGAAAAATACTGATAAGAAGACTTCTTTGAATAAGTTTCGTACAGAAAATGTTGCCAATGGCAAATAATCCAAGTAAATCTTGTGATTGGAATTTTATTTGAGGGATAGAAATGCCAGCTTTTCTATCCAGAACATATTTCTGTTTTTATTTCCCTCTCGTTATCAACACTGTTTATTGAAATTGGTGCTATGGTGACAGAAACTGCTAGCAAAACATCTTTGCGAAGTAATTTTTATATTCGTTTTTATCTAAAGCGTAGCGATGGGTGAGAAGAAATTTCAAGAATCTGAAATCTTGAATTTCTAGTATCTAACATAATTTAATATTTATGTAAATGTTATATAATATTTTTTGCCAAAAGAAGATTTACGAGTCCCCATCAGAATTTTGTCTAAAATTTCATTGCAAAAAAACGAAATCTTTCAATAACTTCATGAATATTCTTTTAAAAGTCGAGAATCAAGAAATTTTTCTATTTTCTTGTCAGACTTCTTTCGAATCTAAATAAGTTCAATGTATTGAATTATGCTTTGAAACCTTTTTCATTTCTGCGAAGATTCAATGCTTGGAATATGAAATGATTTTGCTCATTTGAATAATTTTGAATAAGAATCAAGAAGTGTCTGTTTGGATCTTGTTAAAACTCAACTCAAATTAGCGAATTTCAGTCAATGTCAAAATGTTATTGAGAAAATAAATCTAATTTTCTACTAATCCTCAACTATTTTTAACATTCGACTCTGTTGTTTTAGAAAATATATTTTGCAAATAAAACAAAACAAAGTTGGTAAAGAGAAGATATTTTAAGTGTTCACATGTTGTCATATAAATTAAATGTGTAAATAATAAACAATTTGAACCTGTTTAAAGCATTTAATAATATCAAAAGGAATCTCTCCTTCAGGTGTTTATATGAATTGATTGATATTTAAATTGAATTCTCTTTCATAAATTTACAATTTCAAATTAACATAGCAAATATGAACGGATAAACAACAAAGAGGTTCTGAGATTCCTTGCCACCTTGAAGGGTTTCTTCGAAATTTATTCTTATTAATATTGCTACGAATGTTTAAACACATAAATAATCTCATGAAATTAATAAGTTAGTTATATTTGAATGTCATTTACATCTCGATTAATTAATAAGCTTCGTTGATTGCCAAGGCTAAACTTCAAGAGAAGTTTATTTACCTCAAGAGACAAAATATTTAGAACACACGAATTGAATTAATTTTGTAAAGTTTTCTTCCCAAAACGAACACGCTGATTCATTAATTATTCATATCACAACAAGCTTGATCTCAATCGTATTGTTTATTCAAAGTTTTTATTGCTGTCTCAACTTTGAAATGATCAAAGATAAAGTTTTTCAAATGCAAACTCAATATTTATATTTACTCAATTTCGTAGCTGGTTGAAACGAAGCTTCTTCAAGTTAGTGTCGCTAAATCTGTGTTGAAATTCCATTAGCACTTGCTGATGAGCTTGTAGATATCATCCTCATCTAAGTAAAATGAAATATATGAAGAATACATTAACAACGTTTGTTGTTAATTAAAAGACTACAAATTGTCTCTCCCTGACACAGGGCAAACTTTAAATTTTTGAAGGTCTTGCAAATACTTATTTGCGTGTGTAGTTAATTAAACAGAATTTTAGTAAAAATTTCAAGCAAAATTAGATTCAATGACATTAAATAAATTATTATTAGGATAATTATTTGTAATTCTATTAATTTTATTATCGTAATGCGTCAAAGCATAAATTTATTTAGTCACGTTTTTCCCCTCAACATAAATTTCTTTCAGGACATCTCAATAAATTAATTCTCACATCAAAATCGGCTTAAATATCGACAGTAATATCCAATAAATAAATTTCATTAGTATTTTCGCAAACAAATCAAAGAACTCATCAATTTCGCATCAGTTTGCTAAATAGAAGGTGTGAGCGTTTAAGCTTCAATGCTTCTTATCATCATATTACAGCTTAAAGAAATATAATTAAGTATTTGGTTAGTTTGAATTGACTGTCCAAAATCATCAAAGAAATTTATTACTTTCATTCGTACACTCGATATAAATAGACTTAGAAATGAACGCGAAAAAACTGAAATCTGCCTAATTTAAAGCAACGAATATATAAAAGAAATCGTCGTTAAGACATTCGGGATTGAGAAAGCCAAGTTTTTATTTAAAATATTTTTGAGATGTCTCACAATGAAGCATGATGATCTGTAGACAAATGAAAAAAGTCAGTAATGTGTCTCAATAGAATAACGAACATGCCATGCCGTGTTTGCCGCGTGAACGTCAAGATCAGTTGCTTTATTTCACAGCCTCGTATTTATATCAATGTTTAGGATTTAAGGTAGCGAATTATTTTTCGTATATAAAATTTTATTGTCGAAATACATTGAACATAAATTTTAAGTAACCCGCGAAAGTTGTGGACGGATGAAAAAATTTCTTCGTTACTAAGTTGAAAATGTTGGCAATGAAAAACTCTCAAAAGTATTTCATCTTCATTATATTTAAAAACATAAAACGAAATAACAATAAAACTTTAACGTTTCACGTTTACATATTTGAATGAGAACTTCAAACAATAATGGAAAATAAGGTTCGAAATAGAAATTTTAATAAGCGTTTGAATTTCAAAATCAAAATAAACTACGTGACGTGTTTGAGGTTTCAATATACGAAATTAATTTCCGTTTTAATGAAATGCGAAACCGTTTAACTTGTTGAATATCTTTTTAGAAGATAAAAGTGCTGATGGGGCAATAAGATGAGCTTCGCATTTCTTAACACAATGAAACGATTCCATCGCGATGGAATAAAATTCAGTTTAATTCTTACTTGATCGAATCTTTGTCAACAAACCAACTTTTCCGTTTTCTTTTTTAGAAGTGAATGTTGACCTTATTTCAATAAAGAGAAAAAAGGGAAATTGTTGTGGTGGAATATGAATTTTATTTCCTTAGTGAAACATTTGATGAAAAAAAAGGTTTAAAAGGATGAAAATGGTACTTGGAATTTGAATAATTTGAAGGGAAAAGAATCAATTTAGAAGATTTAATGTTGTAGATATTTAAAAGGGAATCTTTTTCCATTTTCTTTTATATTTTAAATCCATCACAATCACATTCATCTCCCCACATTATAGATATGAATTGGTCAATGATTATTCATAATAAATCTCATGAGATGTAAGATGAGAAGAAAAGAAAGCAATAAAACAGATGATTTTGGTAGCAACATAAACAAGCAATAATATTTTACCATCGCAGCATAAATTTCATAAAATATCAATAATAACACAAGCTAAATGAACAATCTGCGTAGTATCATATTTTTCGCCACAATCATAGCAATTTACCCGAGCGAAAGTGATTCAACTTAAGACGTGACAAACGACTGAAGGGAAATTATTTGATGAAACCTCCCTCTTGACAATCCTCACAATAAAAAGATCCCAAAACATAAGCATTCATTGATAGAAATTATATTTCAGCGGAAGTCGAGAAAAAGAATGTATTATTGTGCGAAGTTAAGTGACAATCTTCCATTGTTAATGGAAATGAAGCCGAACCGTAACCGCCCATAAGTTAGAACTTCTAACAATTCATTTTCTTTATGAAATTGAACGTTTCTGTGTAAGGTGTTCGACTACGTTTTCCTTTTATTCTCTGTATGTAATGAAATGTCATGATTTAAACATTACAATCACAAGATCTAAACAAGTAAATAGCAAAGCATCTTAGGAAAGTAAAATAAACTATGTGAAAATCAGAACATGTTGTACATGATTGAAGTGAAATGTATACAAAGAATTGTGTACTTCTACACAGTTCCATCGTTTGTAAAAGATAAAAATTTATAAAAGAGAAAAGGATACACCATATAGGCGGTTAAATTGAATACTCGCTTGTGGGTGGAAGGAGTTCGTAGAAATGGAAGCAGTGAAATGTCTGATTGATGTTATCGACTGTTTGTCAAAATAGAATTTTTTCGCGTGGAAGAATCCCTTTTATGAATAAAAAACTCAGGTTTCATCCCTATCAAAGTCATTTTGTCATTTGTTGTAAATCTGTTTTCCCCTCTGTTCAATGCTTCCTAGAGCATAAATGAAAAAAAGAATGAACAAAGAAAATCAAGTGCTCGTCAAACACCACCGAGTCAATGATGCAAGCCAACAGCAAAACAAACACATGAAGTTCCTAGAGGCTCAAATTCGAGCTTTTTGGATAGAATGAAATCTACTTTAAGAGCTTTACTAATACTGAACATTGATAGAAAGAATCAGAGCTGAAATCTTTTTTATAATCTTCTGATATTGAAATCACGAAAATTGATGAACAAAAGGAAACGGAAACATTAACTACTCATTGTTTTTTGACTTTTCTCATGACTAGCGTCTGGGAAATCTTAAAATAATTTTTAGTTATTGAGAAGCTTCAACAAGTTAATTTAGTTTTCTAAAAGTTTTAATACTGAATGTAGTTCTAGTTCCGAGCCCTGGAAAAACAGCAATAAAGACACAAACTTTTGTTAGACTAAGAGACAATAACAATTTTATTTAGAATAACGATCTAGTGAAGTAAAATGACGACAAATCATCATCATTCGTCACCTCCACCACCACCACCACCACCTGTCAGTACAGAACGTCGGAGCGTTCTTGGCGAAAATCTTCTCACTATTGTCACAATCATTGGAGTTATTGGTAAAATTTTCATTCAATTCCTGAAATCTCTTCATAAATTAGTAAAATCATTTTTTATGATGAAAAGGTGGCACAGTGTTCGGTCTTATCTTAAAAAATTCGAACAGAGAATGGACTCAACGTGAAATTATGTATATTCAATATCCTGGAGATTTGTTTTTAAGGATGCTGAAATGTCTTATTGTACCATTGATAGTTTCATCAATTACAAGTGCTATTGGCGCTTTAGACTTAAGTCTATCAAAAAGAATCGCTATTAGGTACGTTGATAAATTTGTTTATTTAATAAATTAATAAAAAATTTCATTTTCATTCCACACAGATCAATAGTTTATTATTTCACAACAACAGTTTGTGCAGTTATTTTGGGCATCATTTTAGTTAACATCATTCGACCAGGCGATGGAAATGATGCATTGAAAAATAAAAGTGGCCCAAAAGTTACTCGTGACGTTCTAACAGCAGATACTTTATTGGATTTAGTGAGGTAAGTGCTTTATCTACGTTATTTATTTTCGATTATACAAAATTGATATCACACGCAAAACTACATAAATCATTATTGATAAGTTATTAGACAAATCACGCTTCGATATTTTATGTTTTGCATCGACTCTTCTTTTTATTTTCTTCTTTTGACGATTATAGGAATCTTTTCCCACCAAACATCGTTCAGGCTACAATGTTCCAATATAGAACACATTTGGAACCACCAGAAAATGCAGAAGCTGTGATCAAGAATGGTACGAAAATATATCTTTCTGGGTTATCTGCCTTCCAACGTAACGAATACACCATAAAGAACTACCAAAACTTGAATGATGCAGAATTCCAACTTCTTTTAAAGTCTGCAGGTTAGGCGATTTTGTTTTGGCTTCCAAAGAACATTAGAAAGAAAGCTTTCTTCTAAAAATCAAAAATTTATCTAATTGGCTTAAGTTATTTATCTAATTGATATGTAGGTGTGAGGGCTTATATTGGCATGCCCAGCTACCTGACAAAATTAACATACAAAACAAAGCGCTTGCCAAATCTTTTCTTTCAGAATAATTAAAAATATTTTTAATATAAAAAGAACGAACAGAAATCTGAAATCTTAAGACCGAAACCGCTTTCCGTTTCACTGATTAACATTGTCAAATGTCAGTTGAAACATGTAGCCGACAAAGATTCAGAATGACTTTGATGATAAGGAAATCTACTTAATCCTTAACAATATCTGATGATCATATGGTGTTATTGGTTGCAAAATATATTTACATCAATTAATTATTAATAATTTTCACCATTATCGTGCACCTGTTTAAGACAAAATGTGCTTGATTCTCAAAAATTTCATTATCATCAATTTATGGGTCACATGCTGATGTGGTGTGCGTATGTAAAATGAGTGTTTGCTTTTTTTCTGTGCTACTACCGTTGATTACTTTGCTTGTGGTGTGCTCACTTTAATTCTCAAAGAAACAATCACCAAATATTCGGTGATATTGTATCGCATGTGTTATCAAATGAAATATTATTGTATGCGATTGTAGAACGAACACACAATAATTGAGGAAATCCTCAATGTTTTCCCATATCAATTACACAACGATCAGCAGTAACGAAAATGGTGTTGAGAACGAATCAGATCGTTCAGATTAAACAACATTAGGGTGCTTGGTGTTCAAAATTTTGTCACAAATTTCATCTACTTATGAAATGACATCATGAAAATGATATGGGAAAATTTAAGGAAAAGCAAAGTAAATCGACTGACAATGATGCCTTTTTGACAATGTCACAGTTGGATGTAAAAGTTCAAAATTGATTTATTGTAAGGGAAAAGGTATCATCAGGGTGATCTAACATTATGTTGCTAGCATGTGAAGGTGTTGGTTGAAGTTCATCAATCTACTTTGTTATGAAAAAATGTTAATATGAACTTTAATTTCTCTTCCTACATCCATGAAAACAGTTCCATTGGAAAGATTCAAAATTAATGGTCAATGGCGTGAGGGAATGAATGTGTTGGGATTGGTCATGTTCAGTGTTGTTTTGGGCGCAACTATTGGAAAGATGCGTGAAAAGGGCAAACCAATTCAAGACTTCTTGGTAGCTTTGAGTGAAGCGATGATGATCATCACACGTTGGGTTATTTGGTGAGAGTTGATTTAACAGACTAAAATAATTTCATTCCATTAAAAAAAATATTTTAGGTTGTCACCTATTGGTGTATTCTTCTTGATCACCGCAAAAATCCTCGAGATGGAATCATTGATTCAAGTTATCGGAAATTTGGGACTTTACTTCCTCACAGTTGTTTTGGGATTAACTCTTCATGGTTTTGGAACAATTGCCGTCATTTTCACACTTATAGTGCGAAAGCTTCCTTTCCCTTACGTCATGAAAATGTCACAAGTCTTAGCAACTGCTTTCGGTACTGGATCAAGCTCTGCCACAATGCCAATCACAATCAATTGTCTTGATCACATGGGCATTGATCCAAGAGTTACACGTTTTGTCATTCCAGTTGGTGCAACAATAAACATGGACGGTGAGATGAATTTTTGATATTTTTTTATATTATTTAAATTTAATATAATTTGATTAGGAACTGCACTTTATGAGGCTGTTGCTGCTATATTCATTGCACAATTACACGGCATGTCTCTTACATTTGGCAAAATTGTTGGTGTTAGGTTTGTTTGAATTGCCTCAAAACTCGCATTCGATTAATAATTTTTTTTAATCATATGAAAAGTGTGACTGCAACTGCTGCATCTATCGGTGCTGCTGGCATTCCACAAGCTGGTTTGATTACTATGGTCATGGTTCTTGATACTGTTGGCTTACCTGCTGAAGACGTTACACTTATCATTGCTGTTGATTGGCTTCTGTAAGTTTTCATCGTGTCAATTCAATTTCTTACTTATTGATTGATTTTTAATTTATTCTTTGAAGTGATCGATTCCGTACAACCATCAACGTCATGTGTGATGCACTTGGGACAATAATTGTGGACCATCTTTCCAAAGGAGAGTTATACAGACCTTCATTAAATTATGTAATATTTGAATAATATTCCCAATTAAACTTAAATTTATTGAAAATAATCCAAATTTGTGTTCACAGGAAGATGGAGAACCTCATGAACTTTTAGAATTGCGTCAGGAAAAGGAATAAATTGATTAACGATAAAAGAAATACGAGAACAATAACTCAACATCGCCATCAAAGTTCATCGTTCAGTTGAAAATTGTCTTTCAAAATTTACATTTGGTTGAGTGGTGAAAGCTTTTAATTCGATTGCGTTAAATTTAATAAGATAAGAAATAGAAACAAATTTTTTTGTTGGAAATCCCTACATACTTACAAGAATCGAAAAAAAATGTGTAAAACAGCTGCGAAATTATTTACCTACTTCCATTAATTTTTGTCGCACACGTTTATTGATCACGACAAGAAAAAAGAATTTTGGGATGGAAAAACATTTTTCTGTGCCAAAAACTGAAATAAATCAGACACATCATCTATTAATATTTTTCTTCTTTTTTTATAATAAAATGTACGTAAAGAATTTATGTAATTTAACTAAGTTAATGTTATACATTGAAAATTAGTTGAGAATTTGAAGTTTTTAAAATTTTTGTTATCGTTTCATTGGAATTGTCTTTGGTATGAAAAAAAACATAAAATCTCAAACATATTTCACGTAGGATTTAGAGCGAGATAAAAATATATTTAAATGGATATTAAATTAACTACTCAAAATGAAACTGAAAGTAAAATTGATAATAAGAAACATTTAAAAATGGAAAAAAAGTAACAATGCATCAATGGATAATAATTTTGATATCTTTTTGTCTTCTCAACTGATCAAAAATGATGGAAATGAATTTTCATTCCTTCATTCTGTTTGGTGATGAAGCTCAAAGGAACATATATTTTATTGCCCGCTTAAAGAGCGATTAAAACAATTAACATTTATTGATAAAAAATGGAAGGATATTTTTTGTGTAATAAATAAATGTGTTCACAATGAATGAGAAAAAAAGAAGAGTTTTGAATGGAGGGAAATGCAAATTTAAATATTCGAGTTTAATGTTTTATTTACATCAGAAAATTCACAATTCATGATTTCAGCTAATCAGCTCAAAATACTTTCGTTAATGAAAAAAGAACAAAAAAAAAATCATTTATTAGGATTATGAGATAATTGACAATAATTTTATTTATCAATCATTTGAAGAAGTGGATGGAGGTCCAAACAATGGCGTAGTTTCTGACGTTGACATCATTCCAGGAGGTGCTGGCATTGGAATTGGTTTCATAATTTCATCAATATTAAACTTTGGAATAACTTTTCTCTCATGACTGTGACCGTGATGACTAAAACCAGCTTGATGTTGCTGCTGCTGTTGATGTTGTTGTTGCATTGATGATGTTTGAGGAAATGACTTCGGTAATTGAGATTTCTGAGGGTCAGAATTCAAAGCCTTCCATCTTTCATTTAAAGCTTTTAAAGCTATGGCTCTTCTTCGTTCATTATCTTGTTGATCAGATGGTGAAATCGACATTGTCATGGAACGAATATCACTTGAACTAGGATGATTTAAAGGAAAAATTGGCTGATGTTTGACAAGGCCAATATTCAAGCTCATTTTGTAAATAGGATTAACAATGAAATTAATAACTGGTTGAGTTGCTGTTGGAAAGAAACTTGAGTGAAGAAAGAAAAGGAATCAGTATGGAATTAAGTCATTAAATTCATTTACATACTTTGCAAATGTGAAATTCTCAGCATTTGTTCCTCGAACTCCGTTTGCATGCCTTTGATAAAATCTTAAATATATAAATGATGAAACTAATCCACTGCAAAACATGACAGAGTACTGTCCACTAATAAGATTCAAAGCCCAAAGAAGTATTGAACACGCCATAAATGTAATAGGAATATTTCTGAAATGAAAAATTGTTATAAAAATATAAATTCAGAGATGAATTTTTATTCCTAAATACCTGTTTGTAAAATTTCCAAAAGGTGTTCTCGCAATGAGAAGATTTGGCATGATTGCCATTATTGCTACACATAATCCAGCTAGAAAGCCAATAAGTCCGTGGATTTTAACTTCAAACAAAATCTCAGTGTTTTTTGTTATTGAATAAAGACAAAGATAGTAGAAGGAGGACAGAACAGCAACACTCAAGTTGACCACAGCAAAGAACGTCATTACTTGAATTTGATCCCATAGTGGTTCAATTAACTTTAGACATAAAGTTACGACAACAATGTCAACAATAACTTCCCAAATGTGAAATTCTAAAAAGCAAAATGTGAATGCTGTCCATATTGCGAATGTTGATGGAAGTAAATTTCCAGGTATTACAGATAAAGCCTGCAATGACATCAAATTGATTGCAAACAACTCTTAAGCATTATATTATAAAAAATCATTACCTGAACTGCAGTTTCTGAATATGAGAGTAAGTAGCCAACAATTGTAATAGAACTTATAACTCTGATTGATGGTGATAAAGAATTAATAAAATTTAAATAATTATTTGGTATTGGTCTATTCATCCCTTCACACACAAATTTGTCGGCTACAAGAAAGTATTTGGAAGGTCTTAAAAAAATTAATTTCTAAAAACACATAAAGTAGTTAAATATTTAACTATTTTGCTTGTGCGAGCTTGAAATGTAATAAATTTTTCTTTCTCAAATCTTTTCAATGTTTTTAAATAAAACGGGCTATACAAGGTTGTCACTTGGTTACCCTTCGTGTTTTATGTTTCTTAAAGCCGTTAAAAATTGTGCAATTGTTAGGTGTGCTGCTATGTTGGAAAATAAACAAAAATTCTTAAATATTTTTTTAAGCTGAAATTTTATTAAGATATTCAAAATTTGATTATATGTATACTTAATTGGTGGAAATTCTTTGCTTTAAAAACCATTATTAATCCTATGAAACTCACCTCAGAGTTTATGTGTTTATATTGTATATAAGAACTGCGAAACGAAACGAGAATGTTAAATATCAAAACTAAAATATGAAAAGCTATTTAACTACATGAAATGAAATGAATCTAAGATTATAAATGTAAACAACTCTAAGAAAAACTTCTCTTCAATTTTAGATTTTAGATTTAACAAACTCATTCATGAAATGTTGTCATTTCCAGCGGCTTCGATTATATTGGCAATTGTTGCTGTTTTCTTTGCATCAGATTTAAAATTTATCATATAATTTAAATAATGATTTAACTTAATTTCTTTTAAATTGTACCAAATTAGGTAATAAAATATAAAAAGGTGTTACAACATAATTAACTTTCTTGAGCTTTAAAATATTTAGGGGCGACTTCGATTAATCTCATAACCGTATATCAGGTAAGGAGAACAGTTTAATAAATATGACTTTAAATACACGAATTGATAATAACTATAATCTAGTTTTTAAATTAATATTTGCTGCTTTTTTATGTAGATACCTGTGTTATATTTTTAAAAAACCGGTACTCTAATAAAAGTTGGATTGATTCATTCATTATCAATCAATCAGAAAAGCTGTTTAAATATTCGTTGCAAGTTGCAATTACTTTTTAATTTTGGCCATTTTTTTCTCCATTTTCCATTTTCTTTGATTGACGATAAGTGAAAAGCTTACACAATGGTACGTGTAAAAGTTCAACGACGTCAGTAAAATGGGATTCATTTTCGGGTGTAATGAAGCCATGACGAATGAGAAAATCGACTATAACTGGACACGATGTAGTCTTAAATTCTGGCGAGAAAACGCGTTCCAAGCATTCAGCTACTGGCAATAATTCAAAACCTTGAACCTAAAAGTAATTCTAAGTGAATAGAAATGAATTGAAAGCCTTTGAATGACTTACTTCGCCATCAGCATTGAAAGGTATAAAATCAGTTGGGAGTTCGAGATCATAAACATATTCTGTGTTTGGAAAAAGTCCACGTTCACTTTCAAAGAAAAAAGAAACACAACCAGCTGACACAATTTTCTCAGCAAGGCAAGATGGTATCGAAGCTTCTTCAGCTGCTTCTTTAATTGCCGTTTCTCTAATGCCATATCCTACGCTTAAACCACCTGACACCATGTTATCCCATTTATTCGGCCAGGTTTGCTTTGTTGAACTTCTTTGCTGCAACCAAATACATAAACCACGATCTGGACATTGAATGTAACCATTGATTTCAACACCTTTAAGGAAAAACATAAATTTATCCTTCTGAATCGTTTGAAACTTAAACACGCACCGAAATTTCTAATACCAAAGAGACAAGTTGCAGATCTATCCATTTTTAAAAGTGATACATTATGAATATTAAGCACTTCATAGCATTCATCACGCCAGCCTTTCAGAGCTGCATCGAACAATCCTTTGGTTCTCATGTCACGTAAAATTGTATCTACTTGTTTTGTACGTTCCGCATAATCTCTGTAAGCTGGATTTAGTTCTACAATTGTCTGATAAAAATAAGAAAAAAAGAAATCAATGATTGTATCAAAAGTTGTGCAGACTTAAGCACAAACCTCAAACGATTTATCATCCTTCAGAACATCTCGGATAAAGAAAACTTCTGGATATTTTATTAGTTCTTTCATCACATCAGGTCTTATAAGACCTACTTGTTGACCACATACAATGAATGGTCGACAAGAATTTTTCTCGAAACCTTAGAGGCGAAATGAGAAAAAAAATCACATTAATGAATCACAGCACAAGAAAAAAAAATCACTTGATCAACTTTATCTGATTTTCTGAATAATTGAAAAAGAACATCAAATGTTAGTTGAATCTTTGCGGTTTCAGTAAATATTGCAATTTCATAGTATTTTCAAGGCTCACAAACAACTTTATGAAAATATAATGCGAGAAAAATTTTCCGAATTGCACAAGAGAAAAAAAAATGTCAAAACAAAAAATTCAACTTCATTTTACCATTTAAATAAAACACATTAAACTTCTTTGCAATTTCTAAAAGTCGTGACGACATATTAGGCTTTTTCTAAACTGATTTTAAGAACCTTAAAGGCGATGTTACTATTGAATTTTACACGAATACTAATCGTGGAAGAGATATCATTATTAGACGCGAATTGAAATGTTAAAAAGAAGCGAAATGAAGCAAATTGAAGCGAAAATTCAAAGCAATCTTCGGTTGAATAATGTTTGAAAACATTGAAGTTTGAAATGTTGCGCAATTTTATTGATGGTGAAAACATCAGCTGATTTCCAAAAAACTGTAAATGTAGTAGAATGTGATTGGGTTGTTGCTTGTTTTGTCTCTACTTCGAGTATTGGAGGCAAAATTCAACAATTTATTTTCCAGTTTCTCAGTGTTCATTGTAGAATCATTGCTAAATCATTGTGTGCTGTGTTTATCAACAAAACAGACGAGAAACAAAAATTTTGTTTAAAAATTCATTGTTAATATTTGAAAATCAAATGAGTGATATGAAAAATCAATGCAAAAACAAGAAGTCTACCAGTGCCAGTGGAAAATTTAAGATTAATTTCAATCAGGATTACACGTAAATTATTTTTAACTTTTTTTATGTTTTATCGATTTTCTCGGGGAGGGAAAAAAGTGCATGTAGATATATAAAAGAAGAAAACAAAAATGGCTGAATTAAAACAAAGGAGAAAAAGCTCAAAATATCTAACTACGAAACAACTTTAATACAATTAATAATACAAAAATATTAGTGATCATGTTTTAATTATGTTGAAATACTTTCAAATTTTAATTGCGTTGTTTTCATCATAAGAGTTGTTTTTATTATTTTTAAATATTTTCTGAAAATAAACAATTCTCAGAAATTAAAGATAAATTTGCGTATTTATGTAAAATAATGCGAAGAAAAAAGAAAAAAAAGTTTGAGGATTATTGCAGAATAAATTTTTACATTTTTAACTCAAGGACGTTGCTACGCAAAGTTGTGAGAAAAAAAAGTGAATACAAGCATAGCTCATTTAAATCTTTCCATGTTTTCCCCTACAATAAATATCTCTGCTAGGATTTCATTTTTGATTAAATGCAAACAAAACGAAAATAGATTTCGAGTCATAATAAATTCAATTATGACGTCATCCTTTGATATTCTCTTTGTGAAAATTTTTGTTGGGATTTTCAAGAAGAATAAAAGCAAAACAAGTATAAACTTGAAACAGATGTTTACACAGCGTAGTGTAGGTGAGACTTACACTATCAAATTGTAGAAGAAAATAATCAGTGGCGTTCTCCATTTATGATGAAGGTTGAGGGTCGTTTATGATCATCACCTTTGAATTTAATTTTCATTCCGACTTTCAACTGTAATCATAACGAAATAAAATGTATTTCAAATCGTCACTAATTCACGTCAATTAAATCATTACCAACAGGTCTCTTTCCGTCGTAAGCGATAGTGGCTACAAGTTATTTGCCATTCAAGGCGTCAGTAAAGTTGACGAGATCTTTTCAAGTGATCATGTCGATACGAGAATTGCGGAAAGGCTCTTCTCAAGCTCATTGGTGGCCACCGTTTGGACGAGTGAACAAAATAAGCTGAAGGTAATTAGAATTAGTTATATTTATACAAAAACTTGACTCTTATCAAAGTAAATGCAAACATTTCTTTATTGTAAAAATAATTATCGACAGTTGTTAGAAAGTCAGTCTCATTTATAATTCCTGTTAGATTTGTATTTAAAATTCTTTCCATTAAAGTATTAAAAGGCTTAATAAGAACACAAGATTATTAAGGGACAATCACCTCTTATCTGCTGCAGCCATCACGTGTAAAGATCATGTTTAATTTGAACTTATCATCGCGTGATGCGATGCTCTATAAATTACTTGTTTTCATTCCTTTTCTTTCTCTTTTTTTATTTATTTGATAGATATGTCATTTTAAGAAGAAGGCTGACATCTGTGAATTTAAATACCCGAAGCATATATTGAGTGTAACAATGAATCGTTCGCGTCTTGTTGTATGTCTCAAGGATAGCATTTATATTCACAATATACGAGATATGCGATTGCTTCATTCCATAAAAGGGTTACCTGAGAATCCAACCGGTTTATGTTCGCTCTCTCTTAATTCTCATCTTGGATATCCCATTTCGAATGAGATAGGAAATATTCAGATATTCGATGCTGGTTCAATGAAGCCACGATTGATGATCCCAGCTCATTGCTCTAGAGTTGCAGCTATGAGTTTTTCATTGACTGGCGTCTTATTGGCGACTGCATCAGAAAAGGGGACCGTCATTCGTGTTTTCTGTGCTAAAAACGCCCAACGTTTGATGGAATTTCGTCGTGGCATGAAACGATTTGCACAGATTGTTTCGCTCAATTTTAGCATATGTAATAATTATGTGAGCGCCAGCAGTAACACGGAGACTATTCACATATTCAAGATCGACCAGAAAGCGAAAGAATTGAGTGAACGACGTCAAGATAAAAGCATTAAAAACAGCAGTGATGATGAGAATGAAAAACCAGTCGAAGACGAGCGACCAGGATTCATGAAAGTTTTCTCTAAAGCGATTGAAACGATAAATCCATTGAGTAATGTGATGAGTCAAGACAGAGCTTTTGCGTATGTTCAATTGGCTGAGCCAGGACTTCGCTATCAATGTGTTGTGACAAAACTTGAAAAGGAAACAAGATTGTTGGTTGCTTGTGATGATGGATTTCTGTACATTTACAATGTCGATCCTAATGGTGGAGAATGTGAATTGGTGCGAGCTCATGACTTACGTGGTTCACTTTACGACATCACTGAATTGAGTGGATCATGTGACTCGTCATTTACAACATCAGAAACGGAGAATGTCGAGACAAAGGAAAATATTTTGCAATCAAATCCAATTGTAAAGTCGAGTTATGCTGAGGTCATGAAAGGGAAAGCATGTGCTGATGATAAGGCTGATATCAAACCGTTGAGTGACATTAATGATGTTGTTGAATACTCTGCTAAAAATAATATTCAAATTTTCGATGATGTGCAATTTCCACCAGTTTGTCAAGCATGAAAACCACAAAAACGCCATAGAAAGAGTCGAAGGAAAAGTTAAAGTCGCAGTTTTTATTTTTTTGAATTACCTAACACATAAAAGTTTCGATGCACAAAACTTAGAAATTTATAAATTGCAATAATTCGATTCAGAAATTTTTTTAAAAGTTTTCAATTTTCAATCGTTTTTTGATGATCTGTAAAATAATAAATTATTCGTAGAAACAACTTCAACATTCTTTGTCTCGTTGATTCCCTTTCGTATCTTTGAAATATTAAATAGTAATTAATAAATGTTAAAATATCCTCGGCATTTAAATGCATCAGTAGAGTGAAAGAGATAAAGGGAAGAAGGAAAATGTTAGTTAAAAACATGTACATTTAATTTAATCAGAGTTAAGCTATAAACATAAATAAAGTGATGTACCTTACTCGTATAGAGAGTTCCAGAAAAATAATATCAAATAATGATTTCAATGACCTTTCATGCAATATATTTCTTTCATTTAATAATTACACTGTAGATATATTGTTGTATAATTAAGTAATATTATTGAGGCGAACAAAGCTGGTAGATCTGAAAGTTCTTTAATTTCCCGATCCACATTCCAGCTCTGGTCGAGAGTAGGTTACTTGTACAATTTCATTATTTTATTGTAGAACATTAAGTCAAAAGGCATTTCACTTATCATTCTAAGATTTGACAATTTCAATCTGACCCAAAATCGAGATGATAATTCTGAAAAAAATTCAGAAATTCCAATTCATATTTCGCAATAAATTTTTGTTCTCAATTCAAAAGCGTTGATTGAATTCACTTCATTCCTTCTTTTCAGTATCTTTTCAATTTATATTCTTTAAGTATTCATTTAAAACATAGATATCAACATATATTTATGAAATATAATTTATTTATAATCATGTTTGCATTGATTTGACTACGGCAAATAAAAAATCACCAAAAAAATATGAAAAATTCGAAAATAAATAAAAAATGCTTTGAGGAAAGCATAAAGACAAAATTTTTTAGTTTTATTATTTTTCACTTTGAAGTTTTTAATTTATTTTGCTTACAGGAAATTGTTGACATCAAAAGCGATCTCAATCAATAATGTGTTAATTACTCAAAGAAAAATTTTCTTACTTCATATTTGTAAAACATTCTCAAAAAAATATTTAAATTTTATTCAGATATATTTATAAACTTACAGACTGTGTGGTGTCGTTTGAATTATTTCACGTGCTACAAAAGTAATAAAAATAAACAGAAATGACATGACGAAACGATAATTTTAATTTACTACACGTTTCTTTCTACCTGACAATGAAAAGAAATAATTTTCGACTTTCAATACGTTTAAATAATAAAAATGTGAACGAATTAAATTTTTTAAATGTTTTTTTATTGAATTTCATGTTCATAATCTTCACAATATCTCTTGTTGTTTCAGTTGCTAAAACTAAATTTACATTGACAATAATATAAGTATTAAATGGATCTTCGGCCAATTATGTTTACTTCTCCCACGATTAACCATAATTATGTTAAAAATTATTATTTTCTTCATTTTTTAAGAATACTTCTTTAATTTCTTTATGTTTATGTGTAATGAATAAAACTACTTTCATCAAATACTTGCATATTAGTTGATTTTACTCTGAAAGCCTCAACATTGATGATAAACAAAAGTTAGACATAAACTAAAATAATTAAAAACAAAAGAAAAGCAGAAAAACATTTTTACATCTAATTTTTCTTAAATTAGAATACGGATTAAGATTTCAAATGAAAAACAAAATTTTCTGTTGATTTGTTAAATGAAAACATAAAAACAAAAACCAAAAAATTGGCATCAATCAACTTGAAACAGAATAAAAGTTATCGCACTTAGTTTCCCATCTTATTTTCTTGCTTTTATCAAAGAAAGCCAACAACAGCCATTAACAAGTTGAAAGCTTAATAACGGCATCATTTTCATTAACTATCCACAAAGATCTCTACACAAATAACGCGCCATCAAGTAATTTCCTTCTACTTTCTTTTAAAAACTTTTTTCGTTTACAAAGAATTTCTGAAATTTTTTCCATAGACAGCGATAAAAAGTGATGCAAGTGAATGAAAGTGATAAGAAATAGAATTAAAAAAAGCTTTCTTAAATATTTGTCGTCACTTGAATTTTTCAATGACACGAAACTTTTGCTTACATTAAATTTATTCATTTCACAAATCTATTCATCTCCAATAAACTTCTTAAATCTTTCCATGATAGTTTTATCTGTTAAAATTATCCCAAAAATAGAGAATCTTCTTCATCTTTCATTTTTCATTCATTTCCATTGAACAAGATATATTATCACGTTAATTCAAAGGTCTTGCCTTGCTTTATCATTTCACAAACGAATTGAATTGAATATTTTCCTGAATTATTTATTTATTTAGATTTTTGTTTATTGATCAACTTGACATCATTTTTATTTTGAAATTCTACTGACTTTTGTGTGTGTTTTATTTTGTTTCTTTATTTCTTTCTTTTGGTTAGATATCTATAAAAAAAATTAATTAAAAATAATAAATTTGCTTTATCACTGAAAGCATGTGGATTCGTCCAGGACAGTGACTAGTTTGCATCGAGCCAACAACAATTCGAATGAGACACAAAATCTGACTCGTGTCACCGAAAATCCATTTTTCAGCTCGTTCAGATCAAACGAATCAAAGACCTGGTTTTATCAACAAGAACATGACAAAGATATCAATGAGAAACATTTTTGTTTGAAATGATATCTTAACTGACATTCATGTTAACAAAACTCCCTGACTGAAAGAAGGAGATTTTTTCTGATTTTTCTTTCTCTTCTGATATTAAATGTAATTTATCATTAATAAGTGTTTTCAACTACCTAAGAATATGCAACGAAGCTTAATTCTTATCAATACGCGAGCTAAATTTCGGATGTTCGGGTGTAATGGAAACGATCTTCAAGTCATTTGGTGACTCAAGGGAATTCTTAGCATGAGCTTGAGCTGTATCAAATTCTGTTCGACGAGATATTAGTAACTTAATATCCGTGTGAAGACAAAGACGTCCAGATCGTCCCGTTTGAAATCTAAAACAAAAAGTTGATAAATGTCAACTGGAAAAGAAATTTTTTCTTACCTCAAATGTACAACATAACGCAAATGCTTCATTTGTTCAACTGTGCTCATTTGTTCAGCCTCTTTTTGACTGACATGCTCATCAATTGCCAACACGCGTTGTCGAATAAATGTTTGCGACATTGCTGGCATATCACGAAAGTCATAAGGAACGAAGAACATGCGAACGACAGTTCCTTGGGGATTCAAAAGTGTTGCTTGCACAGTTCCCGAACGGGGGATTGAATAACCTTTTCTTGATAGACGAAGTTCACACTGGAAAGCAAATTAATAGAAACAAGAAGAAAGAAAACAAAATGTAAACTTACAACATAAGGTGTTGACATGTGCTTCAATCCTTTGAACTCATAGAAGAAAGTTTGAGCTGGAATGGTAAGTTGCGTTGGACAAAAGCTTCCTGATGCGCCCAACAATAACTTGAAACCACTCACAATGGCTTTGGGTTGAATTCGATCACGTAATAATGATTCTTCAATCGAACCCAACAATGGTAACTTGTTAAATGCTGCATGAGTTTTAGTCACAAACTTTCTATACAGCGATGAGATCTTTAATGTTGATGATGGTGTGACAATGAGTGGTGGTATTTGCTGTTTGCCGCCTTTACTTGCAATCTTTAAAACTTCATCATCATCATCGGAAATGTTTGAATATTCCGAAATTGACGAACGATCTGAGATGTGACGTGAACGTCTCTTGAGAAGCGCATTAGCGTCACCACATGAAATTCTTGGCGATGTTTCTCGACGCATCGAAGTTGGTGGATAACTACTTGCTGGTGACGTATTGAAGGCAAAGACACTGTCCGATGTTGGTGACGGCTCCATCGCATCATGAACAATTCCAGAATCATCACGATAATCAATGCTATTAAACACTTCACTGAGATTGATTTTTGGTATCTTTTGTTGCTGTTGTTGATGTCTTCCATGAATGACAAGCTTTTGATTTGGTGAAGACATTGTAGTGGGTGCATGTTGCAATGTAACATTGGGCGTTAATTTAACAGCAGCATCTTTCAATTCAACGATTAACGGCGATTTTTTCTCACTCTTATAATGATTACATTTAATTGTAAGACAATCATCATTATCATCATCATCATCATCATTGTCATCATCATCATTTCCAGGATCAAAACAAGAAGATTCTGATGGCAGTTGATTTATGACATCTTCAGAGAATGCTCGACGATAAGCTTTCATAAAAAGTGCATCTTCAGCTGAGAAATTGAATTCTGCATCATCACAGTTATGCTGCATTGGTAGTCGTGGTGAACAAAACATAGCTCCATCAGTTTCATCAGCATCGTCATCAGAATTCATTCCAACTAAACATTCTGACATTGTACGTCTGTAACTTCCACCAACACTCACAACATTACTAGGATTCATTGATGATGTTGTGTAGATATGACGAGTTTTTTGACGTTTACATAATCGACAATCATTTTCCATCTCAAACTGCCCAACAATCTTCTTATCACCATCATCATCATCAATTAAATTGTTATTATTATTAACATTATTATTATTATTGTTTAAATAATTATTATTATCATTCATTATATCACAATTACTTCTCACATCTTTAGCAACGATTGATGGAGAAGCAGCCGAAGATGAATCACCGTGATGGGAGGAGTTAGAACTAGAAAATATATTATCATTCGTTTTATCACGATTACTGACGTTAAATTTATCATCATCGTCATCATAATCATCATCAGAATCATAATCATTATTGACATTCGCCTCAGCCGTACGTTGGATCGCTTGTAGTAACAAATCGGCTTTATTCTCATTCATTGGAACACCCAAAACGTTATTGGGATCAACATTGATTGACAATGATGACGTCATTGGACTTTTAAAATTAAATTGATTTTTATCACAGTTCCAACATTGCAGATTCTTGCCACAATTGTTGCATTTGGACGAAACTGACATCGATGATGAAGCTTTTGCTGTTTCATCATGAACTGCTTCAGTTTGTGTGGCGATTGAGAGTTTTGTTTTAAGGGTAGATTGAGTGATATCTATCGATTTGATGGACTTATTAGCTGTTTCTGCTTCATAAAGTGGTGCAAATGTATCATTTATTGCTGTGTCTTGAAAGTTCTCTAAATCATCACTTCCACTTGCATTTGATGAACTTACACTTGTTTGATCCCCGCCATCAAGAATTTTCTTCTTTTGCTTTTCACGTTTCATCAAACGTTTCTTATATTTTAATAATTGTCGTTCACGATGACTCAATGATGTCGCAGTGGCAGAAGACGAAGAAGCAGATGACGATGATGAAGTTTGTGACGTTGTTGTGAAAATTGGAGTAACAGGCGTGGCAACTTTCGATAATGAAATGTTCTTAGCAGTTGAATTTTCTTCTTTACACACATCAACATCATAATCATCTTCATCTTTACAACGATGCTTTCCTTTCTCATGACATGATGGATAAGCCATTCGATCAGTCAATAAATGACAACTTGTGCTGGCAACTGGCGATACCAATGGCGCTACAACTCCATGTGTTGTTTTAATTCGATTATCACATGTAAAGCCGTTAAGATTTGCTTTTTCAGTATTCAATGTCGGTATCTTATCGAGTCGAGGTAAACTTTTCAAGCATACACGCAAAGCCATTCGATCTGAAACCATAGTGTCGGGAAAGTTGTGAACATTTGGCTTATCATTGAAACAAGATGCGCCGTCAAATGGTTTGATACGAAACAAAATATCCAAGTCAACTTGCATTGTTTGTAAATTCTTTTTCAATCTTGGATTTTGCATGATTTCATCACTAAACATTGTTGGTAATTGATCTTTGACATTCACATCACCATCATCATTAAAAGCTTTCTTCAATAATTCCACCCACGATGAAACTTGAGAGAAGTACAATTGAGAACGAATCGCACTACAAAGCGATTGAATTGTCATCATTGATGGTGTTGGACTGTAATAAAAAAAACAGCAATAAATTAAATTAAATTAAAATCAAAAATAAACAAAATTTTGCTTACTTTTCTGTTAACTTGATGGTCCATTGTTCCAATAAGATTGCATTATTCTCCGGCCCAAGATAGACTTCGATGCATGAGTCTTCGCCTTTTGAAAGAAGTTGCAACAATTTTCTCAAATTAAATTGCCAACGTCGACACTGAAATATAAATGTTGTGATTAAACGAAAATGAAATATTAATTGAGTTGTAAAAAGCTTACAAAGCTGCTGACATGATTGCACATGTGCTCGTTTTCTGTTTCGCTCGAATCGATTTTTATGATTCCAATTTTTTTCAGAAATTTCTCACAATGAGGTCCTTGCTTCGGTTTTAATGTGATGCCTTTGTTCGCATTTGTAGCTTTTTCTTTGTTCTTGAAAATCTTTAACGACGGTTCTTGATGAAGTTGATGACCCAAAGATGAATGAAATGAGTGACGATTGGTTGATAATTTCATTGGCGATCCTGGATGATTGAAAAGCGAATCAATTCCGTTGAAGACGATCGAAATATCATTCCAATCAACATCAATATCATGAAGAACTGAAGCAGCTGATGATGAATTCGATGCTGAAGCTGTTGGAATTGTCGTCAATCGAGAATTTCGTGTGAATTCACGCGCTGAAGCGACATGATGCAATCTTGGTTGTCTTTCATACTCGAAATCATCACGCGATTGGGTTGGAACTGTCAGTGATGTTTCAGCAACTTCCTGTGACCCAGGAAATTGACGTATACTCATTAACTTCTCACTTATTCGATGAATGACACCGTGTCGTGATGACGACGGATTACTTGATGAACTCTCGGAAATTCCTTCATCTTTAACTGGAACAGTTGACTCAAATTTTATCGGAAATGCGTCGTCGTCATCTTCTTCCCCTCCTATAACTCGACCCTCTAATATTAGCGACGCTATTCCCACATAAACAGACACTGCCGAATTTTGCTTTAGTGCCATATTTACATTTCCGCTATGCATCTAAAGAATTAAAATTAAAAATTCTATAAATAAATTGTTCGATTGTGTCTTCTTTTAAATCTAATCACGATTGACATCATTTCTATTGAGAACTGTGGAATTTGGGCAGTTTAATTGACAATTATTTATGTTTCATGAAAATCAGTGCGCATAACTTCCGCAATCAAACTCATGTAGAAGATGAAAGTTTTCCTAAAGTCATATAATCTTTCCGTTGATGCTTACATAACTTTGTAAAACAAAAACTCGCTATGGGACCAACCTTGATGATGTTGCTTTATAAGCGAGTTACAACGCTTTGTGTGCTCATATGCTATCTGCTTGTAATTCTAACAATTCATTTTGTGAACCTTAGATTGAGATATCTAAGCACATGTCTGCTTTTCATATTAAGTTAGACTTTAAACTCTAAATAATGCGTTATTTGAATGCATATAAGCAAGTAGAAGCGATTATTGTGACAAAAGTTACCTTGTAATAATTATAAAGCAGCTAGCAACACAATGTGGTTGTGTTTGACTCTCAGCTGTCCCCTCAAGGTGATTTTATAAGCTTCAGAGCACAGCGGAGTAAAAGTTACTGAATATTTATAAAACTTGCTATAATTAAAGTTGCAAATAAAGTTTGCATCAATTCCAACATCTACAAATTGTCTTGACACACGTAATCGGACCTTTTGTAAACTTTAAAAAGCATAATCGTTTATTTTCTATCTCAACAACGACTTATACATTGGAAAACGAGGTTATTTGATTTAAATGATAGTTGAATAATCATCTTGTGCACTTTGCTTGTCGATTTAAGTGCTTACTTCATATGATGAGATTATGTTGTCTTCTTCTTATCGATTCTCGTTAATTAAAGCTTTCACTTAATATGATCATAATAATAAAATTGACTTTTAACTATCTTGGTAGTTATTCATAGTTTATTAAAATAATGAAAATGAATATCTAAAGCGATTAACTGTTGTTCAACATTTTAAATTGTAGAATTTCTTGCCTTGCCCTCAAATTCTATGACCACGTGGAAATGAAAACGAAAGTAAAGGAAATTTAGTTTTTGACGAAAGCGGAAGTAAAAAGAAATTTACCAAAAATATTTTATTATTCTGGTGCCATTCTCAGAAGTTAAAAATACTTAGGGGGAAAGTTTAGAGCGAATTTTTTGGTTTCTCGCTTTTCTGTTTAAAAAATCAACTTTGAAACATAAATTTTTGAAAAACTGTTATTTGGTTGTGTAGTTTTGATTAAAAAGCAACGTGTAACCTAAATAGATGTTTCGCCGTTATGTATTTGTTCGTAAGTATCTATTTATGTTGTTACATTTGATATCTTTTGTTTATGTAACGATGCAGCCAAAATGGCATGACATGAGTTTTAGAGTGTTTGAGCATAAATCTATGCTTCCTTCTTAAACATAGTTCATCTATCATGTTGCTATAAATAGCACATGAAAAGTGAGAAAAAAATGAGGTCACGTAAACTCTCAAAAAAAATATATTACGATTTGAATACGATCATGATTTGGAGTCAAGTTATACGAAATGAATAGGTAGCTCAGTAGTTTGAAAGCATTATTGTGATGATGAAAGATATGAAACAGAAATCAAGAGTTGGATGAAAAAACGTAAAAGATATTAAAGTTTATATGGCAACAACGCTTTAAATTTTAAGATAGAAAATTTTGGATAACGACGAATTTAAAATTAAATCACCAGCCAATTGAAAGTGAAATTTGAAACAACGAGTTTTGCTGCTTCTTTTGCAGGTAACTGATAAAGTTTTATCTACATCACCTCAATTTATTTTATCATCATTTGAAGAGTGGTGAAACATCGACCGAGTTTAGCTTATTGCGAGCTATGCAATGAAAAATCTTTCCTTTAACATTCTCAATACGAAAATTTGTTGCATCAGGTCAGGGTCGGAGAGAAATTAAAATATTCACCTGCATATGATTCGGAGATAAGAGAAAATTGCGGAGAAAACTGTTTTCACTAATGAAAAGTTTTAGATTTGATTTGAAAAGTCTTAAAAATTTTCTATGTTAAGTTTTGTGTTTGTTTAAATGGAAAAATGTTTTAAACTAACTATAAATATTCATTACTTGAAAAATTGTTTTCAGCACTTGTTTGACTAGGTTGTAATTAACATTATTTTCGTTTTACTTCATTTTTATGTTTATCCTTTCAACTCTCCCAGTTTTCATTTTGTGTGTACGTCTTTGTCTTGTGAGATATTTTGCTTGACGTAAATGAAACCGTTACAAATCCTACTTAAGCCAAATGTATCTGTTCTTCTTCTATTGATTGTGGGATTTGAACTTAATGTGACAAAAATAATAAGTAAACTCTTTTCGTTTAATGATCTACAATTAGCAGGTTGTGAATCATCGAGGTGAATGATATCGATAAGTTCCTGATTTCACTTTTCAAAAGACAATGAAAGGGCACAAGTAAAAATAAGTTACCATAGGTTGTTCGGTTCACTTTAAAGAAACAGCAGCAATGATTTTAATCGTTATAGGTATGCTTGCCAACAACGGAGAAACGTCTTTGCGTAATTTTTACTTCGCTCCAAACACTGTTCATTTATTGTGGAAACTTTTATTTTCTCTACCGCAGGCGTTCACTTTTGAGTACAGTGTACTCTTGACAAAAGAAGAAAACGATGACGATGACGACGAAAGAAGTTCCAATGAACTTTCCTCTACTTTTTCGTACACATTCGATTAGGAGTTCTCTTGAACAAAGGATTTTAAGTTAACATAACTCTTGAAAAGTCAAAATTGATTTTAATCGAGATTGCACTGTAGTAAATAAGAAATAAAATAGCATGGAAAATTGCCTTGTACAATTGTAATAGTATTTTATTCATTCTTTATTGAAAGCTAAAACAAATAAGTAATTGAGACAAGGATAAAACGCAATTCATTCAGAAAACGAAGATGGAATTATGCACGTGGCAATTGGTTATCTTCAATGCTATTCTTATAATTTTCTGTTACCTCTCAAGAAAGAAAAGATTATATTGGATCGAATTTCATTTTCATTTCAAAACAAATTCACCTTTCATTAATCTCTTTCTTGTCTTCATTATCATATGTTTAATGATTAATTAATTTGAATTGTAAGTTTATGAAGGAAGTCTTTGCTTACATATGTATACATACGTAATAATCAGCTTTAATTCATCTAAAATTACAATAATCTACCTGGCAACATTGCAAATCTTTGCTTTCGTTATCCTCTTAAAATATATTTCTGCTATTATTGAAGGGATGAAATCGAATCTCATAGATCAACACTCGTTCATGTTAAAAAATGACAACATAGGTATTTATTTTTTTCTGCCTTTGTTACGGAGCAAAAAGAAATTGCACAATCTTTTATTAAGTTAAAATAAAAAACATATAAAAGAGGTTTTAAAAAGAGAAACTAGTTAAAATCGAGGGTTATTGAACGAAAGAGCGATAAATGAAGGAAGAAAGGTGAAAAGGTCGATTTTGAAAACAATTTTGAAATGACTAGAACGAAGTTTGACGAGTGTGCTTATGTAAAATTAATTTCGCCCACATGGAAAACGATTCTCAATGATTTTAGACAGAAGAATTCTTTATTCGCTAGCCAGTCGATCTGAAAATGAATTTTGAACGTATTTCAAGAAAGCACATTTTTTTATTTAGCTACTCGGAAGAATAAAGAAACAAAGAATGATCGTAGCTCGTACTAATGACTTTGAAAATTTTTTTAAAAGAATGATGATAACCATTTTTGGCTAAGAGAAATTCATGATGATGAAATCTTGTCACAATTTAAGAGAAATGAACTTTGAGTTAACTAAGTAGATAAGTTTTAGTTTGTTAATAAATTTGACGCGTGTTGTGAAACATTTCTCACTTTTTAGGTTGATCACCCGAATTTGACGTGTCTTTTGTCCTTTGATTGAAGGGCTTGAAAGCAAAATGACGATGAAATTGCCAAAATAATATTCAATCAGGTAACGTTATCAACGACGCTTAATTAGGAAAAATTCATTTTGTCGACACGCATAAGGAAGTTTGGCAACAGCGACAGGAAATTTCATTATGAGCCAAAAAAAGATTCACATGTGAAAACTAACGTTATCTAAAATGTTTTAAGTTTACGTTTCTCTACCATTTATCGTGTGATATTCATATGCTGAATTTATGTTTCCATGAAGTTTGCCATTGCCAAACTTTTTAAGATTCAAACATTATCCGTTCGTTTCTTTTTCAGCTTAACTAAAGATTCGAAATCGAGTTTTCCAACTTCTGGTTATTAAATGAAATCAAAGGAAAATAAAAGTCAATTTGAGAAAAGATTTAAATACGAAACGACCATGAAAAAGAACTTAAGGCGCATATCGATGTGGAACATGAAAACGATAACTTTTTTACTATTTGAACTTCGGCTTTACACAATTTTTGTATTGATCAAGGCAAAGGTTGGATTTGAAACGATGAAACAAATTACAAATATTAGTTGCATATTAAAATGTGCTTTTAATAAAGCAACTGACGATTATCAACTTAAAAGCAATTCATTTCAATTAGATTCTCGACGCAAAACCAACCAGTCAATGGGTAAAATGTAAATTAATAAAACAAAAAAAAAACTCTGCGCAATTCCTCTTTGTCTCTTCGTTTTCCATTACTTTAGAACGCAACTTGTTCGTCTGTTTCTCGCTTGTTCATGAGTGAATATATTCGTTCGATATGAAGTATTTATTCGCATAGGTATTTCCAAAAAACGAAAAAAAACAAAGAAATATTTTATGCGACTTTCGAATGTCCCTTTCTCGCTGTTGTTATTTTGCTTAAAGTGTGAAAAAGACGCAAATACAATGTTTGGGGCTTCAGATACTTTATGTTAAATGATTTTCATCTTTATTCGTGTGTTCTTGCAATGAGATTTATCGTATATACACAGCAGAAAGCAATACATATGTAGATATGATCTAAAATCGTTGTTAAGTCTTCGACGCCAACAGCTGACTTACACACGGAACAAATGTAGAAGCGAAGCAGACCCATATGAAATTTATTGAAATTGAATTTAAGATAAAAAAATTTCAAAAGTTTTTAATTAAAAATTTCATTACAAAGATTTTGAATAGATGTGGAGAATTTAAGCCTTGATTAAATTAAATTTTAAGGCAGATTTAGTGCTGTTAGAGAACTATTTTTAGAGAAAGAGATGAACTGTGCTACTAAAGAAGAAAAATCAGAGATCCAGTATAATTTATATATAGAGTCTCTTCTTATTCGATATACCTACATACATGTGTCTCTACCTAGTCTCTAAAGCTTTTCTCTGCACTCACTTGAAATTAATTTAATTACATATTAAAATGATGAATTTATGGTTTTAAAATTTTCTAATTTTTTCAAAACAAACACTGAATAATTTCAGCATAATTAAAAATTTAACATTTTTAATCTAACAAGTAATTAAAAATTTATTAAAATCGCTTTTTGCATAATCAATCAGAAGTTAATGATTTTTTACGTAAAATGTAAAATAAAAATAAATTATAGTCTTTTTCATGAGGACACAAACTCATATGCTTTCAGTACACAGCTGATGACTAAACCAACACTATCAAACATCAAATGCAATTTTATTGTGTTCGAACGGTAGGCAAGTTTCAACAGTGTGTACATATACTTTAATGTAAACATCTTCCAAATTGAGTAACGATTCGTTGGTGTTTTGTATGATAAAGAAAAGATTCACAAGTTTCAAAAAAAAAACTTTTTTTGTGTCGATTTTAGAGGATTCTGTACATGATTGTTATGTTTGAGAATGTTACCTTGCTAATAACCTTAGCTGAGGTCTGATTCGATTAGATTTTGGCAAATTGCTAATTAAATGAAGTTTGCTAAGCTTAAATTTGTCGTTTTCTATCATAAAAGAAATTATTCTTCTTTTGTTTGAGATTTTAATTAGCACACTAAAACGGGTTCACATTCAGAGAAGGTTCATTTCACAATCATCCTTCCTTTTTGCATAAATGAGGTCAATATGATTAACACAAATTTCTTTTTTTACTTTTATAGCAAGTTCCGTTTTTTCATCAAATTTGTTTTAAGTTTTCTTCAGGAATATTAAATTTAGTGGCCGGCGAAACTATGGATGTCATAATTAAATAAAACTAATAAAGTTTTGATCTTGAATCAAAAAAAAAATTGCTTCTGGCTTGTGTGAGAAATATGTTCAACACTTGAAGTAATTTTCATTGAATGCCAATGTGTTGGTTAAAAAATTTTCCCCTTATTGATTTTCTTGATGTCGTATATAATTTTATATAAATTAGAATTTCTATCGACGTAAAACTTTCAAAAATTTATACATCTGATTAATCACAAGATGTGTACTCACCATTGAAACAACTCTTTCCTCAACACTATCCTTTAAATCAACAAATTTTCCCTTCTTTTACTTCTTTTGTGTAGAAAAAAATAATAAAAATTTTGCGATGGACTTCTTCCCTACTTATATCATATGTTATTTTGATTTTTGTACATTATGAATAGATTTTTCACTATCTGCTTTTGATAAAAACATAATTTCGCACGTTTCGAAAGGTTCTTAGTCTGGTTATTCCAAATTAATTTGTTTAAACTTCCAATTTGATACACAAATAGACTTTAACTCGACGAAAGATACACGACGAATGAGAAATTTCCTCGACTCGCTATGACATTAGTGTTTTATTAACGAGTTATATAGAACGTCACAAACACATTCACAGCCACCAATTCCATGTATGGAAGAAATCTTCAAATTCAAACTTTGTTATTGGAAATTTTGCTTCTTTATCCTTAATTATTTCTCATTAAAATTGCAAAACCGAATAAACAATTATCATAATTTCGTTATAAGTGAACAATGATTCGTAATACTAAAGTCATTGAGTCATGAGAAAACATTTGAAAGATTTTCTAGAAAATTTTAGCTTTCAAGGGAATTCCAAAGTATCACTAAACGATTACGCAAATAAATGTTTCGCTTATTCTGACTTAAATATAGTCGATCCTATGAAATTTTCTAGACACATGATTGATAGAATAACTTATGATTGAACAATTAATCTAATGGTAAGTGAACATAAGAAAATCATGAGAAATCAATTTCACAATTTACCTTGCTGATCGAAATTGTTTGGTTTCGCAAATGCACAAATTTATTGTACTGAATCATTTTATTTAAAAAATACGTTACACTATAACTTAAAATTTCCTGCAATACCTTCTCGAAAAAATGAATAAATTAGGGAAAATGATGGAAAATTACTATAAATTTTTGTTATTGATATTTTTCTTTATTTATGTTTTCTTGATACAAAATGCTTTCGACTTCAGTTAGATATAGATAATAGATTAAAATGTAAGTAATTATTCCTATTTCCAATATTTCCTTCCACTATGAAGTTATCAATGATCATCATGCATGTGGAAATTAATCCCAAATCACAAAGTATAAATAAAATATGATGTCCTGCCATTTAAAGCGATTGGACTTTTTTAATTTATATTTTGAAAGAAGTCATTCTTATGCTATCTTTTATTATTCATCATATCTAGATTATCAATGTTAAAAAGTGAATTTAGGTGTCAATAAAGAATCGATGAATGTATTATGTTGATTTCTTTCTTCTTACATTTCAAGTGACTTAAAAAAACAAAAATGATGCAACATGAATGCTACAATTATTCTTTAACCAGGAACTTCTACATAAAGTAGTTAAGATCTTGCATTTTTAACGTTCACGAAATGGGATTTTTTTTCTTGAGACTTTCAACATCATCTTCATATAAACCAAATATTGACACGACAAAAATAAAATTTGTTAGTATGCAGCACATTTCTTTTTAATCTTAAGATGTTAAAAAAAGAAAATGCTCTTTCTACCTAGCTTTACTTATTTACATCATTATTTCTCTTTTATTCACTTATTCCAAACTTTTAATTTATTTTATAATATTTTGTTTTGTAAACCAGCACCTTTCGAATTTCAAGTTTTTTTTATAACTTTTCTTGACAACATTTAAGAGACGAAAGCAGAGAAATTATTAAGTATGTTGAAAGATTCTGACACATCTCTTCAAATTGTTTCCACAGGAACTGAAACTAATTGAATTCTTTCATTCTTTAAGAAAATTGTGAATCTCGCTTGTAGTTCATCAAAAAATAGAAGTTTTGAAAAGTTTCTTTAAGAATCTGAAAAATTATGTTTGCCTTTCTTATTTCATGTTCTCACAACTTCTAGGTAGTTCTAGTTTTGAGTTATAGTTTCAGTTCCTGCATTTCAACATATTTTATTCATTCATCAAGAATAATATTTGAAACTTTAATGTACATCATCGATCAGATTAAAATTTGGAAGTGAAACATTCTGGTATCAAGCTTGATTTCTTACCTTTAGTGCACTTCATCGAAATTCCTTAACTTTTAAATTCCTTTTTACATTCACCATTCACATAATTGAAGACTTGAACTAAATAATTTTTCTTATAAAACATAAAGGAGAAGTTTGGCGTTCTCTAGCATTTGGTGTGTTGTTTTTAACTAACTTTCTTAAACAAGGAAAACTAAGAAAAACTTTCTGTCTAAAAGATTTCCATTACCTCAAACAAAGAGTTCATTTAACTTTTGATACATTTCATTGTTTTGTCGAAATTTTATGAAGGATTCGTTGATGATTAAGAGAAATTTTTTTTTAATAATTCAACTGAACAAATCAACAGATGAGAAATCATCAAAATGTCTTCAAAGCTTTTTTAAAGTTTTCAGCAAATAAATAATGAAATTCAAAGAAAAAGCATTGATGATGCGTGATTTCTTTCAAATTTTTAATGATTTTTGGATTGAGATGCTCATAATTTTAATTTCACAAATGGTTATAAAAATTTATGATTTATGCTTACACATATATTTATGTATTATGTTTTTAGAATAATATTTCGTTTACTAGTTCGTTTATTTCTATTTTAATGTGTTTAAGGATTATCGACGTGAAAAATGTTTTACTTATTCGGAATATTTGGTTATTCCTTTAGATATTTTATGTATCTAAACGTCTCTAAGAGAGTATGAGAGTAGTTTATACACATTTATACCGATGCTTCATTATTATGCTGCTTTTGCGAAGTTAAAATGCATATTCAAGAGCTTCTCATCTATCTGAGAACTCATTTTGCCTTAATTAGAGTAGTATTTATGTATGTATGTATGTACAAAAGTCTTTATCACAATTAATTTTATATGGCTATGGTCTAGACAACTAATGAAGGTTTACACACAACTTGAATTCTTTTTGTAACCGGGTTTTCGACTAAGATTATATAAGATAAAAGGTTAAACATCGGTTTCAGTTTTATTTTTGCATTGCGTGTTTGCTTTAAAGAAATGTAATTACAGTTGGATAATCCAGGATAATTTTGTTATGTAATGATCAACGATCAAATTGTTCAACGATCGCTTCTCTGAAATTCAGTTTTGGTTGTTTAAACAACTTGTTTAAAGTACTCATTACAACGTGGATGTAAAATGTTTACATTTCAAACCGATATTTCACCTTACAACGACTAATCAATGTTCTTGACACTCCAATAGATAAAACTAAAATTCACTTCCTATCCAATGAAACTTTAAAATTTACCTTGATGTACTTTTTAAGGATGTCACTTTAAAATTTTACTTTTAAGATTTAAATAAATATTCACTTATGCTATTTAGCAACAATTATGAATATTAAATAATTTCCAAATTAATTTTCTCACATTGATTCACTTCAACTCATTTGAATCTTTCGTTGAAATACGATAATATTTGCTATCTAATAATTTTAACTTTTTTCCTTTTATTATAATTCGTTAATAACAAATCTACAAAAGACAAGTTCAGTTTAATTTCGATTTATAATCTACTTCAATGACAAACTTTGTTTCATAGGATTGTAAATGAAAAGTAAAAGGGATTGAAATGATTTCAGTAACTCATTCTAGATCGCAAAGAGAAGTCGTTGAAAACAATAAAAATATTTTTAATTTAAATCGTCGCAATTTCCCTGATGTTGCATTCAAACATCTCCAGAAAAAGGTGAGAGAAATTGTTACAAATTTAATCGAAACAACAGCAACTTTTTGTTTTGTTTTGATTTATCATATTTCATAAAATAATTTAGAAGAAATTACAAACATTTTCTTCTTTATCTTTCGCAAATTTGAAAAGACAAAAGAAAAGAGAGAGAAAAAAAAGAAAAAATTGTTTAATGTTCATACGTAAGTAGATGAAATTTGATCTGACAAAGATGAGTGAAATAAAGAAAATGCTTTAATCATATGACAAATAAATAATCGTATTAAATTAATGTACGATCGTTAAGATAAATTTCGACGCGACACTTGATCGAATTTTCATGTAATTGTCGGGTTTTGTTTCACAAATGGTTTTAGAAATTCTTCCATATGTGTTCACAATGTGTTTGCTTGTGTAAAAAGTTTAAAAAATTGAATAAGATAGATATTATTTATGTATTTTCTTCTGAGTTTCTCCTGGCTGATGATGATGATGATGTTAGGAAATTCGAATGAGTGTCGTGTCGACAACGTTGCGTGTCAATTCTCGATTATTCGTTTATTTAGCAAGTGCAGAAAATCCGTTTTTAATATGACGACGTTGATTATCAATCGATTGTACCATTCTGTTAAATGTTTAAAAATATCTAATGTTATATTTAAAAAATCAAATTCTCTTGTTCAATTTTATGTTTTATCTAAGAAAATCTTTCCAAACGCTGTCAAATCTTAACAGTGAAAATTTTTCATAATTTTTCTGAATTTATTTCCTGATATAAAATTTTCCTTTGCTTTTTTTCTTCATAACTGTTTCATGTACGCTTAGGCTGGTTCAAAAACATATTAAGAAACTCAAAACAGAATGTTTTAGGAAAGAAAACTAGAGAAAATTAATTGGAAAATCAAAGATGATAAAAGGAAATGGAAACGAAAAGTTAAAGAAATCAAACGATTTTTGGATGTCGATGGAGTTGATAGCATAACAGTTGAAACTATAAATTAAAATATCAGTCATCTCTACTCTGCTTACATAGTAGAATTCGTCGCGCAAAGCCTACAGCCTAAATCAAATCAAAAGAGAAAAACAAAACGAAACGAATTTATTATTTAATAATAAATTTCAATTTTCATCAATTCAGGAAAGAAATCATTTTGATCGAAAAGTCATTTTCTGTTTGTTTCATTCTATTTTAATAGTTAAGAACATTTTGTACCTGATCTCAGAGAATTTCACAACATCGACAGTATCTCGGTCGTCCTGGACCTGTAAAAGAAAATTTCATTCAACTCTTTCAAGATTATTTTTTACGTCTGATGCAACTCACCAGCGATTGCTCCAGCAGGAGGTGTAACAGGTGCAAAATATGCGTGGACTTTGATGTTGGGTAAAACAGCCTTAAAGAAAGATTCGAAACATTGCCAACAATTCCGACTTTAGACAATTTCTTACTCACTCTAAGTTTTCTTATGGCATTTCTCGAAATCAATTGGCAATCATACAACTCAATTCTTTGCAAATTGTGGCATGAAGTCAAATGTTCTAAAGTAGCATCAGTGATTAAAGGACAATTGTCAAGTTCGAGAACTGAAAGACTTTCAGCTGCACAACTTCCGGCAGCCAATTGTCGGATTCCATCGTCAGTTATCAGTTCGCAATGTGAGAGTGTCTGGAAATTTAAGAATAAGAAAAAGAAATTGAAAAGATTCAAAGAAAATATTGAACTAAGTACTAGTTTTTCTAAGCTCGGACATCCGGTTGCTAGATGAGCTAAAGTCAAATCTGTAATTTGACTGCATTCTTCCAAATCCATTCGTTCCAAGTATTTGCAATTCTAAAAGAAGAAATTTGATTAAATTTGAATTTCAAACTTTAAAGAATTTTTCACCTTTCCCAGTTGTTGAAAGCCAATGTCAGTGAACTGATGACAACCAGCAACTTCCAATGTACTTATGTGAGGATTGTTGTTTGCTAAAGCAATCAGAGATGCATCACTCAGTTCACTACATTTGCTAACACAAATTTGACGAAGATTCGGGCATCTCATAGCAACATTTCGAATCGAAGTGTCGGTAATTGTCTGGAAAGATTTAATGAAATTATGTAAAACATTTTCATCTTGTTGTCTCATTAGCATTTTTCTCACATCACAACTATGTAAATTTAAAACTTCAATCCCTGGACAGAAGTTTGCCAAAGCATTTAAAGCGGCGTCATTAACTTTTTTACATCCTGTGAATGGAAATTTATTAAGCTTACTTTATTGAATGTCATTTAATTATTTAAATTAATTAAACTAACCTTTACTGCTAAATTTCTTAATTTTATTGCATCCACGGGCCAGCGCTTCAATGCCATTTTCCGTAATCAGATGACACCATGAAACATTGATTTCCAACAAATTCTAAGAAGCAATAAAAAAGTTTAAAATCAGATTTAATTAGAAATTAAGTTTCGACTTACTGGACATCCATCAGACAATGATTTTAATGATAAATCAGATATTTGTGAACATGATTCAAGCGAAACACTTGACAATTTGTTGCAGTGTTTACTGAGAGGTTCAGTTGCAGCATCGCTAATCTTTTTACATTCAGTTAAGTCTAAGTGTTCAATGTTACGACAGTGTTGAGCAAGTGTACGAATTGATTGATCGCCAACACTCTGGCATCCTTTCAAAGACAAATATTTCAAAAAGCCACCACAGCGTTGTGAAATGTTTTCTATTACGGGACCCTGTGAGATTCCAATCAACAAATAATTAATAAATTTAATAATTTTATTTAAAATAATGTTAAGTCATACTTCAATGTCCATTTGAAAGTAGAATAAATCAATTTTCTGCCAATTTGAACCATCGAGAGCAAGAATGTTCCAATATTTCGATACCTAAAGCAAAATATGAATAAGAAACATTTTTACAAGTCATATTTCAATGTTATTGTAAGATTATTAAAAGAAACAAATACGATAGAAACATAAAAAACCTCAACAGCACATATTTAAGTTCATTAATCCAAACCTATTCCTAAATAAATTACTGACTCGAGTAATTATTTCATTCTTAGCAAGATTTTTTACATTTAAATCGTAATATGAAACAAAGAAGTCAAGAACACACAGCGCTGTGTGCAAATCCCACGATTACTGAAAAATATGTCTTTCTATATATTTATAATCTTAATGAAATGTTCCAAATAATTTTTGTGCTTCTAGAAACTTTTCTATTTCGTATTCTTATATAAATGATACCTACTTGGGCACATCGGCACAATGAAACAACATCCAAATATGATAAAATGCGTAGTAAAATTTCTTTTGGCAATTTCTTCGATATCTCATCCTCGGATCCGGTAAAGTTGCTACTGCTAGCAGATGAGTTAGTGTTGTTGAAAGCTACTGTTGTGGTCAATGCAGCAGTTGGCACGGAGCCATTCAATGTTGTTATCAGCTGATGAGATTGGGGAAAATTCTATGAATAAAAATTAATGTTTTTGTTTAAAATTTTAACCAATATTTGTTGGTTTTCTTATCACTTTAAATTTCTTTTAAATAATTCATTTTTAATGACTTGTCAAAAATGTTTTATTCAGGAAAGAAAATTTTAAGTTTTAGAAGTTGAAGTTTTATTTGTTTTCATTTCATTATTCTCGCTGATTAATTTATTAAAGTGTTTTGATTCAATTGATAATCAACTTGAAGTGATTTGATCGGATTTCGGATAAGATTAAAGCACAATCTTGAAAAAAATAATCGACAAGAATCTTTGTCAGTTGTTGAAGAAAATTGTCTAATGGAAATGGTGGAGACGATAAACATAAATGAAACCAAGCTAATGACTTCATTCTGCTACATAACAACGTCAAAATTCATTAAAGCCCTTTGTAAGGAGACGACACAATGACTTTAATTGTGTTGAAAATTGGTGGGGAAAGTCATCAGCCGTAAGCACACATTGGCAAACCTTACGAAAATGCATGCACAATCATAAAAAACCGCATTAATTCTTATTACTCTCAAATGTATATTATTACTCATAAAAATCTTTTTATTTTAGTTTTTCAAAGCCACGGCCAAAATCATTTCAGGCAAGACAAGCCCATAAGCAACAAAGTCAAATGTTTTTCATTCCCATTCACATCTTATGCCCTTATAAATAAATTAGTTACGAATCTACGCAAGAAATAAAGGAAAATCGATACAATTGATGAATTTAATTTATTTTTACATTTACATATTGAGACTTTACACGTTGTTGTTGAAAACTAAAGTTCAATAACATGTTTTGTTTGTCTTTAAAGCTATCAAAGTTCTGGAACCCGGAAAGAGAATCACACTTGAGAATTCTGAGCGAAGAACAAAAAAAAAACACGAAAAATCGAAAGAATAAGATACGAATTATTTAACACACACCACTTCAGTAACTAAAAATGGGATACCTACACCCTCTTGCGATAATACGTCATGAAAATAAAGTTTAATTAAAGAATTCTCGAAGTTTTCAAATTAGTTCTTCTTGCAGTTTTTTCAAGTGGAAAACTTGAAAACTCTAAATAATTGTAACGACTTGGTAATGTCGTATTTTTCTATAACAGAAAGCATAAATGCAGTTTCATTATATGCTGAACCTGCCTCAACCCTTAACAGACTAGTCCCTATTGACACAATCTCTTTGTTGTCTGTCGTTTCATACTTTCAAATGCCATCATCCTTTAAACTGGGATGAGAAAAAGCATAAAGTATACTTTAATGTAAAATCATTTCTCCAGACGCTCGACTTCAAATTTCTACATTCTACCACACATCCAAAAAACTTGTGCAATCTTTGCCAGACGAAGAAGCAATTGTACAGTCATTCACCAACAACAAAAAGAAGTTGCAACAAGAAAAAAAATCTCTTTATTAAAACGAATGAAAGAGAAAGAATAGCAATGTATTCAGAGATAGTTTTATAAGATACATAGTTTGAATTCTGTCGTCAGAGAGTCAACGACATCATATACTTTTTTAGGAAAATATCTTTAGAGGTGTATATGAAATTTTCCATGAATGTGGGGATTTTTTAATAGCAATTTTCATGTTATTATTGTCTAGCACAAGCATTAAAAATATCGATCGATGACAAAAAGGATTTTTCACATTTCGACACTTTAATTGTTTGATTTTAGTTGTCTATGGAATTTCTAGATTTATCTTGTTATGTTTTGCTTGATGTTTTGCAACGTAAATTTTTATACTTTAAGAAAAAGATTGCTAAAGTATCAAATGAGCATGTTTGCTTCAATTATTTTATGTCTCATTAACGCACTTTAAGATTTAAAATATCTAAAGCAAGTTAAGTATTTCAAGACAAACGCTTGGGGAAAGAAAACCCTCTAAATTAAACGCTTTAAAAACTTGTTTTTTTTTAATGAAAATGGATGCGAAGAATGGAATAAATATTTGAATAATTGTAGTTTCGCCGTTAATAATATCAAAGGCTTAAAGAGAAATTTCGGTCACGTCATCGATTCTACGACCATTTTCTACATTTCTTCTTTTTCTTCTACATATTTGTTACTTCCACTCAGTTTCCTCTAAATGCATATTTAATTTTCTAAAATGTTAAGTAAATAAAAAACGCTCATGTAATGCAATGAAAATTATGAAAATTAAGTAATCCCGAATGAAATAGCATTCGATGAACTTGCTGAGTGAAAACGATGTCAGATTAAGGCCAAACAAAAATATTGCGTTTCATTTTCTTTTATCAGTCTCAACCAGCTGATAACTACCCACACACATACAACGACAATATTTTCAGTCCTATGTATGCTCAAATTGTTTTTGCATTTTCTTCATGATTTATAACGATGTCAAAATATGTTGCAAAATACAAAGCAATATAAGCGTTATTGAGACAGAATTAGATGTCAAAAAAATTCTGAATACATTTCTAAAGGCATTCAGAGGAATTTCTTTTTATTATTTGTCATTTTGATGTTTTTTTTTGTTTTCAAGTAGCACGACTTTTTAAATTGTATCTATTTGTTGATTTCCCTTTTCGGTCTTTAAAAATAATTCATAAATAAAATAAAATAAAATGTTATATTTATAATGATTATACGTCATTAATAGGACTCAATTGATAGCTATGAATCTAAAATACTACTCCGCCTTTCTTATAAGATTCCTTTCAGAATTTTTTTTCTTTCTTTACTTGAAATGTCTTTGTCTAGAGAATTCAATAAAATTGAACAAGAGAAAAACAACAAATTCTAATAGATGAATTTTGGTCACACAATCTTAACATTGCAACTAGAGATAATTACCTCATATTTGCTACTTCTTCCAATCTGTTGTTGCTGTATATTTGTATTATAATTCATCATTTTTCTTCTCTTATCCGTTTGTTCTTCCAATTTATTTTTATTTTTTTTTTCCTTTTTTATCTGTATTTGGATTCCACTGAATTTTTTGTTTTATAGTTCTTACGATGGATTAAAAACGTCAGTTCACTAATTTATTTATAAAACAAACACATTATCAATCAAATGAAATTTTCCGATAACATTAAGTTCTTCTACATTTTTCAATCGAACAATAATAACAAATGGCTCAAATTTTCTGAACTTTGCTAAAGTTAGCAGTTGTTGTATGTTCAGCAAAATTAAATATGTTCAAGTTTATCTCAAAATATATGAATAAAATAGCCGTTAAAAATACATACAGTGCATTAATTGATACTGCGATTAGCTGAAACTTTCATGTTGTATTTTCCTCAAATCATTACAGATTTAAAGTTAGTTGGATAGAATTGATTTATTGACTATAAAAGATAAAATTTGATTTAAATTTTATTGACTTTGCTTTTTGGTGGAATTTTTCTTTTCGTTGTTTTTTTACTTCTCCTGTAGAAATCCCGAACCAAATTTCGAAACGTACTCCTGACAGCTATTGCATGTACGTTCAATAAAAAAGTATAAGCCTTCAAATTTTTAATTAAAATATCATAAATATGGTAACGAAAGACATAAATTTGTTAAATCTAAGATGTTTAACAAATAAACAATTTTCCATTACAGACAAACTACTCAGAGGATCAGTTGGCTGGTGAGTAAATTCGAAAACAAGAATGTTGAATACAGATGATTCATCAACAAAAATTTACTGGAAGAAAATATGATTGCATATCTGGTTTTTCTGATAGATATCTGATAGGAAAAACACATTTGAATGAGGATAATTATTGCTGACATAGAAAAAAGCAAAAGTTTGTCATGAAATCAAAAAAATGAGTGAAAATATGTACAAGTCAATTTCAATTCAACTTAAGAATGTTTATCAAAGAAGCAGCATTTATCTTTATCAAATAGTCTTTAGCAAATAGATAACATTTCGGAAATAGATACCGCCTATTGGATATTATGAAACAGGTTTTTTGCCGTGAATTTTAAATTTGCTTCAGTTTTTACAATATTTTGATTTAATCCTGGTTCACTGAACTTGTTGATGAACAGAAATGCAATCTTCGAAGTATTTCTTAAACAGTCGGCACATTTTCTATCAACAAAACACATTTTTAGTTACTTGCGAAATATTTTTCCAATGAGTCAATTTTTCTATTGTGATGCGATTTTCTTTCTTTGTATTTATACACTGTGTTGAGTAAGTAGAACGATTGGAAATTTTCTCATTATCTTCTTTTTTTTTTGCTTTCTTTAGAATTTCAAGAAGCTTTCAACTTGTTCGACAATCGTGGCGATGGAAAAATTCAGCAACAACAAATCGGTGAATGTCTTCGCGCGTTAGGTCAAAATCCGACTGAATCTGATGTGAAAAAGTTCACACATCAACTGAAACCTGATGAGAGAATATCTTTCGAAGTGTTCTTGCCTATTTATCAGGTAACATGAAATATTAAAAATTTGGTATCTAAGGAATTCCATTGATGTTGATTATAATTGAAATAGGCAATTTCAAAGCAACGTTCAGGTGACACCGCAGATGATTTCATCGAAGGGTTGCGTCACTTTGATAAGGATGCGTCAGGTTTCATTTCATCAGCGGAACTTAGACACTTATTGACCACTCTTGGTGAGAAGTTAAGCGACGAAGAGGTGGAACAGTTGCTGAACAATCAAGAAGATTCACAAGGCAACGTAAATTATGAAGAATTTGTTAAATTGGTCATGAATGGTTAATTATCGTCTTGAATAATTTTGTAACATAAGTTATTTCAACTTTCTTTTTTACAAGTAAATTTCAATTATTTTCCGATAACTTGAGATAAATAATTTCTAGATTTCATCGTATTTAACCGAAGACCACATTTATATATTTTTTTATTTTCATTCTTCGCCATTTCAATAAATCATAATTTTAATTTCAATATTCATTAATTTTTTTATTATTTCGAAATATAAAAACTTAATCGATATGACGCGAAATAAGAGATTAAAAATAATATTTGGAGATACTCCCACGTTTTTACCAATTTTGTAATAATTATACGAACATTTGCAATCATCAGATTAAGTGGAAATAAAGGAAATATTAAAATTGACTTTAAATAGAAATTCATTTCAATCATCGAGAGTCTTCAAACCGATAAAATGTTTATGAAAATTATTCGACCTTAATCTGAATAAGAAACGGTTCAACATAAGATGAATTGTTGTTTAGAGAAGACAAAGCATGTTGACAAAACTTCTTTACAATTCAAATTCTTTTACCACTACAGCAGCAATTAATGTTCATCAATTTAAACACATGAATTATTAATTAATACAAAACTCGAGGGTGTGACGAATTTTAAAACCAAAATATTTATATCTAATTAATTGAAATTTATTTTTCTCTTGCATCAGCTCATGCTGATTAAGTTACATAAGAAAACTACGACCAAAAGCAAAAACAACTTCAACTTTTTACAAAATTTAAAATTGAATGAAAATCCATAAAATTCTTTACGTTCTAATTTATTCAGAAATTAAAATGAGAAATACTTTTCATATTTTGTTATTTATATTAAGAATACTTAAGAACTTTTGATGAACATGTGTCGGTGAACAATAAATTTCTACTTTTAAGCACTGTCCATACATGAATACTTTCTGAGCTTAAGCAATGCTTTCTCCATCCAAATCCAAAGATAAAAAAATTAACTTAACGTCTAATGACCAGACATTGAAACCAAACATTTTCCAATTGAATATTTTAAGAATGTAAAGAATTTTTAAAGTTTTGATTTCACATTCGATTGCTTAACTAAATCACGAAGTTCTCGTCTCAGAATTTTTCCGGATGGATTTTTGGGAATTTCATTAATAAATTTAACTCCACCGTGAAGACGTTTCGCTGGCGAAACTGTTTTCGCAACAAATTGCATGACTTCTTCTTCAGTTAAGCTTTCATCAGCTTTGACAACGAATGCTAATGGAAGTTCACCAACATTGCTGTCAGGAATCCCAATGACAGCTGCATCTTTGATTTTCCTGTTCGTCAACAAAACAGCTTCAATCTCAGCTGGTGGAACTTGATATCCCTTCCATTTAATCAACTCTTTAATTCTATCAACAATAAAGAACTGTTTGTCTTCGTCATAGTATCCAATGTCACCCGTGTGCAACCAACCATTGGCGTCAATTGTTGACTTTGTTGCTTTATCATCTCCAATGTAACCCATCATAATTTGGTTTCCTCTGAAGCATAACTCGCCACGTTCATTTGGCCCTAACGACTTTCCACTCTCATCAATGATTTTAACTTCAGAGCCCTCAATGATTTCTCCAACACTTCCGGGCTTACAAATTGTCTTTTGTAAGAGAACAGCAAGCGACATTTCACTCATTCCATATCCTTGACGAATATGCAATTTTTTGTTCTGTAAACGGTCGTAAACTGCTTGCTCCAACTCTTTCGATAATGGAGCTGCACCACAAACCATGATTCTAATACTGCTCAAATCATATCCATCAACCATCGGATGTTTAGCTAAGAAAACCATTAATGGTGGAACCATGAACACAACATTGCATTGATAGGTTTCCAAACAACTCAAAAATAATCCTTCTTCAAACTTTGGTAAGAGAACAATTCGTCCGGAACGAGATGCGACAATTCCCGCTAAAGTTGTTAAGCCGAAAGCATGAAACCATGGAATTAATCCCAAGATGACTCTTTCGCCTTCAATATCGCCTAAACGCATTACAGTGTTCTTACAGAATCTCGCGACGACAATGAGATTCTGTTGAGAAATTTGAACGCCTTTTGGTAGTCCCGTCGTACCGGAGCTGCATAAGATCAATGCGACAGTTTTTGATTTGTCAACAGCCATTGGAGTAAAATGAGATCGTTCAGTTTGTTTAATAAAATCCTTGAACAAAACAACATCATCTGTAAAATCATTTTCTTCGTCAATTAACACTTTTTTCTTCACGAAACTCAAAGATTTCGCAACGTTTATGACTTTTTCACTAGCGTATGGTGATAGAAAAATAACCTTCGGCTTTGATAGATTGAAAGCGTGCGTCATTTCTCGTTCCGAGTATGTCAAATTGATTGGTGCGAATTTACAGTTGAGTAGAAGAGTTCCGAATAAAATGTAAGCAAATTCGAAACGATTCTCTGACACAATCGAAATGACATCGCCTGGCTTGACACCTGCAGCAATCAATGCCTTGCTAACCAAAATGCTTCTTTCCAGCAAATTTTTTGCGGTGAGTTCTTCCGAAGTTATTCCAGACACCAAAATAACATTGTTTTCTGCTTTCGATAGATTTTCCATCAGCAAATGACCAAATGAAGGCATGTCATTGTATTCGTTTGATTTTTCAAGGTAGCTTATCACCAACGGATCCATTTTTCTGTAATTTTCACAAAGATTACTGAAGAGAATATGAAATAAAAAATGTTTCTTCATTTTTTGCTAATCTACCTTATTTAAGTTTACTTATGATTAAGTTTTTAACAACGGTAATTAAACTGACATCAACTACAAATTTCAGACGATAAGAGAAGCTTTTAATGTCACTGATAAGAACTTGAAGCTTTCAAAAATACTGAGAGTTGTGATTTTTTTCTCCCGCTATCGGATGTTTCTATCGAATGTTGAACCATGTTGTTTATTTTTATTGTTTCGCACCATTTTCCCAGAGTTGCAAACAAGATTTCCATTGTGAAAGCGCTTCTCATTCTTCGTTTCTAATTCCCTCTCAACTTGAATTGTATTGTTGTGTGAAAAACATTTTATCAGAAACTATTTTAAAATCTCATATCCAATGTTAAAAGTAATATTAATTCTTTAATTTATAAATTAATTATGAAGTTACTTAAGCCAGCATTCGTTCACAATTCAGATAAACCAATTTTTTCCATTGATATTCATCCAAAAGAGTCAAAATTCGCTACGGTAAAACATAAGAAAAAACAAATTACCCGGCAAATTGTAATTTTTGTATTTATTTAAAGGGTGGTCAAGGAAATGACTCAGGACGAGTTACAATATGGAACCTCGAACCAGTTATATCAGAAAAAGCTGAAATGGATCCAAAAGTTCCTAAAATACTTTGTCAAATGTAAGTTTTTATTTTTCTATTCTGGATGTTGTTTTGAAACAATTCTTCTGGATCTATTAAAGGGATAATCATCTGAGTTGTGTAAATGCTGTTCGATGGTCTTGCAATGGATTAATGCTTGCAAGTGGAGCTGATGATAAGCTTTTAATGATATGGAAGAAAGCTCCCGGTCCAAGTGGAAGTTTTGGATCGTCAGGAATGACAAAAAATGTTGAAAACTGGCGATGCTTCGCTACACTTCGAGGACATGCTGGGGATGTTCTTGATTTGGCATGGTCACCACAAGATCGTTGGCTTGCTAGCTGTTCCATTGATAACTCAATCATTGTTTGGGATGCGCAATCATTTCCAACAATCATAGCAATGCTTAAAGGACATTCTGGACTTGTCAAAGGAGTAACTTGGGATCCTGTTGGTAAATTTCTTGCATCACAAAGCGACGACAAATCAGTAAAAATCTGGAAAACATCAGATTGGACAATTCAAACAACAATCACAGAACCTTTTGAAGAATGCAGTGGAACGACACACATTCTTAGACTGAGTTGGTCACCAGACGGTCAGTATTTAGTGTCAGCGCATGCAATGAACGGCGGTGGTCCGACAGCACAAATAATTGAAAGAGATGGATGGAAATGCGATAAAGATTTTGTTGGTCATAGAAAAGCTGTGACTTGTGTAAGATTTCACAATTCGATTCTGAAAAGACAAGCACCGAAAAACAACAAACTTCAACAATATTGTTGTCTTGCAATTGGTTCACGTGATCGATGTTTGTCTGTTTGGATGACTGCACTTCAACGTCCACTTCTTGTAATTCGTGATCTCTTCGATGATTCTATCCTTGATTTGAGTTGGTCTCATGATGGTTACATTCTGCTTGCATGCAGTGGCGATGGAACAGTCGCTTGTCTGCAATTCAGTGAAGATCAATTGGGAAGGCCTCTTTCTGAAGAAGACAAGAATTCGTTATACCAACGACAGTATGGAAAAGACGCAACAATTGACATTTCATCACAAGCTGAGAAGGAAATGATTATTGAGAATTCAGATCTTCTCAGCATTTCTTTGGAGAAGCCTCGCGGACCTCCAGTTTTACTACCGACAGCTCCAGTCAAGGAACCCACACCAATAGCTTTTAAATCACCACAAAAAATCTCTTCATCGTCAGTCGCTCCATCTCCAAACAAGCCAATCTTGAAACAAGTCGAGACAAAAACTGCTGATGGAAAGCGAAGAATTACGCCAATGTTTATACCATTAACAGAAGAAGCACCAGCGACATCATCAGAACTCTCATCAAGTTCACAAGCTCGCTCACAAATCTTCATTGAGAAGAAGACTGAAGCAGTGATGACTGAGAGTTCGCCAACTCAAACACAACAACCACAAATAACGCCAGTGACTGAACCACTTAAATTAGACACAAGACTTGCTTTCCGTGACACTCCATTAAAGCCGACGAGTAGTTTTGGTGATGCCCATTCAAATCTTGCATCACCAGGAATGATTACAACGAAAAATGCAATTCCAATTGTGAAAATGAATGCTGGAAAAGCGACAGCAATTGTCGGTGGACAATGTGTTAAAATTGCGGGCGATTTTCGTGTTCAGGTTTTCAATGATTCAAATAAAACTCAATTTGGGACGATAAGTCGCGTTGTGTGTATGAACATGTCACAACAACAAGTCGCTGATAAGAAAGCTTGGGAAATGGCAGTTGGATCGACAGTAACAGCTTTCAGTCTTTGCAGTAAATATGTGTTGATTGGAGCGTTAGATGGATCAGTTCGTTTGATTCACATCAAGAATGGTCGATTAGTTGTTCCTGTTTTAAATCAAGCGAGTCCGATCGTGTTGAGTGCTTTTGTAAGTGATTAACAAAAAGATATTTTTAAAGAAAATTAATTTAAATTTCTTCTTTATTAGAGTCCGAATTCAATTCTTGGTGGTGTGTTGACAGAAAGCGCTCATTTAAGCGTTTGGAATGTTGACAAGATGAAAGTTCATATGCGGTCGTCATGTACGGACGTTATCAATGGAAATGGTTTCATAAACATGTTTTATGTGACTGACAATGGAATTCCATTCATCAGTTTAAGTACTGGAAATGCTTACAGTTATTGTGCTGATCTTGAAAGTTGGATGGTGGTGAATGCAAGTGATGCTGTCACAAAATGTGGTCTCAATGGTGCCATTACAAATGTGAAGAACATGAAACAATATCCATTAGCGACTGTTCAGTTTATTTCGAATTCATTTCAACAGAAATCCAAAATTGTCATCGATATGTGAGTTCTTGCTTTCATTTTAATTAAACTTTTCTGATTAATTTCTTCTTCTCAACAAAAGGTCTGAAAACATTTACGAAGCACAATCGAAAATTTCCTTCATTGAACATCAAATTCAACTTTGTTTGACTGTAAATTCTCCATTTGAATTGAAGCATTGGTATTCTGTGTTAGGATATCAACTTGCATCACATGGAAAAGAGAAAAAGATTCGACAAGTTCTTGATGATCTTCTTGGACCCGTTTACAGTCTTCAAAATAATCCTGAAGATCGAAAGAATCACAAACTTCTCACAATTCATAAACATGATCTTTTGAAGGAAGTTTTAAATAATTTACAGACGTCAACAAAATGGCAGAGAATCTTTATGGAGTACAAAGATCAGCTGAATGAAATTGAGTCAGTTGTGAAGCAAAATGGAACGAATGAAGATCAACTGATGGTTACAGAATAGATGTTAATTAATTAATATCATCAACTCAATTAACATTTAAAGTTAATAAATATTCATATTTAAAATAAATTGAAGAGTTTTCTTTATTTCAATTTATTTATTTTGCCAGGCTGAAGAATTCTTTCCTAGAATTAATAACGAAATCTCTGTCCATGACAAAACATTTAACGCCCTGCATAAATCAAACAAGAGTTATGTACATAAGCATAAGAAAGACGAAATCAAAACAATCAACAAAGAAGGATGAACAGAAAGCTCAGAAACATTGTCTTCTAGTGAATAAATTAAAATTATTGAATATTTTCTCATCTTTTACATGACTCGGTCGATATATGTTGGGGAAAAAGATTTTAGATTTCGAAGATGCAACTGATCCCACTCTTAATTTAACTCCCCTCCATATTTGATGACAGATTATTCGAAAGTTTATGTATTGGTGGGGATGAAATCATAAAAGTTTATGCTTTGATATCATCAGCGAGTATGCGCAATGTTTGAATTCGAAAAATTTTTTCTTTACCGAAAATATTTTCATTCCTTCTTAGTGATGTGAATGTTGTTGGGAGAAGACAACGTTTCGTTATCTTCATCCAAATAATTTACGTAAATTCATATCTGCTGTTGACTGTGCAAACTTCTCAGTCAGGAACGAGAAGATGCAAAAGAATGCTTGAGAATTATTTAAATGATTTTATAATCGAACAAAACTTCTCAATGACTTTGATTCAAGTTGAAGGGCTCTCAGAGTTGTCACTTTCAAGTAGTCCAACTACTCCCACCCACAACTTCTTCTTTTCTCTCGAATTCATGCATGCAATTCACATAGTTGCTTATTTCATTTCAAGAAAACTTTTTGAGAGTAAAAAGAAGAAATTTTGTAGCCAAGAAAAAGAATCAAATCAAGACACAAAAGACGTAAGCTGTGACTGTGAGAATGATGAGATGAAAACGTATTTGAAATGAAAAGAAAAACTTGTTAAAGTTTGTTTGCTTAGCAGGAGTTCGACTTGACTCGACTAGACTGACCGACTCGCCTTTTTTTTATGCGATTTGTGTCGTTTCGAGAATCAAGTTGCTTTTTTCCAGGACTAGACACGATTTAAAAACATCTACATCAATTTAAATGAATTATGCAACAATTTCTAAGTTTGGATGTCGAACAAATTTAATATTATTTTATTTATTATAATTGAGTTTGTTTTCAATTAAAAAAGATTTTCCTTGAATTGATTTCCGATGTAACTGAACCGCAGTTTAAAAATTCCCTTTCATTTACAAACACACGAAAATTGCCCACATCGACAGACTCTTTGAGAACAAGATTTCCTACACACAACGCAAGGCTTTGAGACGCTGCAACCAGGACGAGAACAACAGCTTTTTGTGCAACACTTTTTGGGACAAAGTGATAGGGAACATCTTGAGGAACATCTCGGCGCGGGTGGAATGTGACACGACTTTAATAAGAGAGATTTTCCCAGGATCTTTCCTCGCTCTAAAATGCCTGTCTTTTCACAACAACAGCCGTCTACACATGAAGGTTTACAACATTTTGGCTTGCAGCACTTCGGTTTGCAGCATTTTTCAGGCTTGCAGCACTTCGGCTTGCAACACTTCGACTTGCAACATTTCGGCTCACAACAGTCTGGTTTGCATTTAGAAGAAATTGAAATTTTCTCTTCAAATGAAGAAATTTGATCATCGCAACAAGCGGAACTGCAACAAGCTTTGTCCTTATCGCAGCAAAATTTAACTTTCGTGGTCGATTTGATCTTCTCACTACGGCCATTGTGATGATCGTGATGATTATCGTGATCATGATGACCATGGTGATCGTGATGACCATGGTGATCGTGATGACCATGGTGATCGTAGTGATGATCGTGATGGACATCATGGTGATGATCGTCATGATGTTCATTGTGACCATGATGGGGATGAAGGCTGTGATAGTCATAATGGCTATGGCAATGTGAAGGACTCTTAAACATTGGCATTTTCAAATGTTTTCAATTGAGTTCCAGAAGAAGATTTTCAAAATTAATTTTGTGTTTTGGATTTTGTTTTACTGATGATTGAAAGTTTTAATTAGTAATCAAGAAAGAGAAAAATGTTCAATCACTTACTTTGTTTGTTTCAAAACTTGAGGATTTAAAGTAAAGTGTTATCAGTTGATGAGTTCGGAAGATTTTATTAAAATATTCACATTCCAAAGCTATTCTAGATCGTAAAACTTACAAGATAGTTTTTTTAATACGACTTTATTTTTATTGTTAAAAATTAATAAGTTAATTTGATCAATTTTTTCTGTTATCAGAAAGCAACTTAACGAGGGATTTCAACATCTACAATTATGTTTTCGACATGATCTTGATTTTCTACACACAATGCATGGCATCTTAGTGGTGCAACCGGGACGTGAGCATGGTTTAACATAGCGGCAAGGAGGCTCGGTTTTAACTTTCTGGCAGCATTTTCTAGTGGCACATTTAGGTTCACAGGACTTGGAGAACAGAGATTTTTCAAACCATCTGCTGCTTTTCTTGAGAATCCCTGGCTTCTTGGCGCCACAACATTTTTCGGGCTTGCAACATTTTTCAGGTTTGCAACATTTCGTTTTACAGTCCTCGCCACAAGGAGAATTTGGTTTATATTTCGAAGATATTATGACTTTCTTCTTATACGAGCCATGTGGATTGCCTGTGCAGGAAGTGCTTGATCCACATCCACAAATGTCGTAACATCTTGTATTCGGTGTGTGACAACAATCATTATGATTGCAGTGATGGTCATGATGACTATGATGATTGTCGTGATGATCATGATGACCATGATGATTGTTGTGATGATCGTGACAATCATCATGATCATGATGATTATGATGATAATTGTGATGATTGTGACAATCATCACAGTCACTTCGACAATGTGAAGAAGCTGTGCACATTGGCATTTTTGAATTGTTTTCAGTTGAGTTCCAAAAATTATTTTGATTTAAGGTTTTCACGATAAATTTATAGTTTTAAGATTTTGCGTTACTGAAAAATTAAAGTAATCAACATGAGCATTTGAAATTTAACCAGAATCACTAATGACTTACTTTAAATTGTTTTAAAACTTTTTAATTTGGTTTTGTTATTAAATGTGTCATTAGTTAAAGACGTTGAAAGTTTTTATGCGAATTTTGGTTTTTGTTTGTCAAAGGCAATTCAGATAAAATCTTTTTCATATTGAGCAAGGGTTTGATTTTACTGGCAGATATTAAAAAAATTCGTTTGAGTCGAACCCCTGGTTTGCTGCCACAAAAGCAAGTAGGAATGGAAAGTTTATTTTTGAGTTGTTATGGAGGTGAAGGGAGGCGATGTTTGATGAGAAAGAAACAATATAAGAACATGAAATGTTTGTTCTATTTCTTTGACAATGAATGAAACAATGAAAGAAGATTCGGCAACTGAGTCATTAAGTCAATGTGGTGGCAATTGGGTAAAATTGTTTGTAACAGATCGTTGAAAGAAGAAAATGGAAAAGGTTGAATTAAGGGGGGTCAGACGATCAATGTGGGAGGATGTGGAAAACATTTTAAAGCTGTCTGGTCAGTTGATACTTTTGTTGAAGTGAAATCAGCTTTAATTATTTAATGAACTTAAAATTCTTAACACTATAATAAAGTGTCAAATGTTCTTTTTGTTTGTCTGTTTATTTGAGAACAAGACGTGACTTTTATGATGTTTTTAAAGCTACAGATGTCTTCAATAATTTTATTGTATCTTTATGATAGCTAAAATTAGATAATCTCTCATGTCATTTCAAGAAGTTTTTCTTCCAATAATTTTATTCGCTTAGATATGAATTTAAACCTTCTTTAAGTTGAGTTGCATCAAACTTTTTCAACTTCCGCAACTTATCCCAAGATGGACAATAAAATTAAAAGTTTCAATGTAAATAATTTGGTTTTTTATAAAAAAGAAAAACCAGAATGAAAGTCGTTAAGCAGTGAGATTGTATTTTTTTTTCTTGAATATTGTTATGATCCATACAAAAGGGAGAAATGTTTTTCCATGTTTTACAATATACAATTATGTTCTACATAAAAATGGTGATTTTAATCTTGCTTTTGTGTGTTTGGATACCACTGCTGGTTAGAATAAAATTTCTCGCTCATACTTACATGGTGACAAATTTAATTGCACAAAGTAATTCGAAAATTGTTTATCTTTGCTTCAAGCGGTTTTATTGCTGCTGCTTCAAATATGTTTTTTAAGTTGACTATCCATGAATTCGAGAATTTTTTTCGCCATATTTAAGTCTTACTGCAATAATGATTGTTGCGAAAATATTTTTCAATATTAATTTCGTTTTCAACGATGTTGATATTCGCTTGGGGCGAAAACCAACGACAACTTAGAGAAATAATGTTGAGATTACCGCAGTAAATATTTTGAATTTCACTGCACAAATGGAAGCGAATCGTTGTCTGTGACCAATGAAGGAAAATTGGTAGAAGTTAGTCTAAAATTTTAATCGTATGTCAATAGAAAATATTAAATACAAGCCAAAATATTTCGAACACGCTACATATAAATTTAATTTCCTTTCCGCCGCAATCAACATTGTAAATATCTCTCAAGTCATGACTTACAAAAATTGACTCGAATAGAATAAAATTGAATAAAAAATTAGGAACAATATCCGATCCATATTGTAATAAAATTTTTGTAGCATTTTCCCAACCACTCCCGTTGAGTTAAAATGTAAATCGGCAGCTTATGCTAAAGCAGTTTATCGATAAATTTTCATGCATAAAATTGCTTGACAACCGCAAGGCTGCGCTCAAACAAATCAGCGAGTAAACAAATAATTCTACAGCGGCTCAAAATAACAATAAAAATAAAAAAAGGAAAATCTTTTGTAAAGTTACGATGGGGGAAATATTTACATATATGCAAGTGCATGCCAGCATAAAATTCATTGTGCTCACAGAAATATCAAAAAAAAGATGAAATGGAAATAAACGAAAACAGCCTCGACAAAAGTATTTATTGAATGCGTAAATTCCCATAAACAGATTTGCATACTGTTGGCCAGGATATCATAAAAATGTTTGAAGAGTTATGCATAAATTCACGAGTAAATATTTCAAGAAAAACCATAATCGTGTTTAAATTATTACAGCTAATCTAAGTTTGAAAGTTTATTAAATGTGAATGTTTATCAACGCCATGACTTTCGCCAGCATAATTTAGTTTACTTAAAGCATATTTGCAGTCGGATATTACTCATGACAGTCATTCAATCATTCAAAATACTATCACTGATATTCATTGAGTAAAAAGTGTACACATTACTTACCTATCACCATCACCACAACTGAGTAGCTCGTTTACTTCCGAATTGATGCTTCTGTTCCCAAAATAAACTTTTTCCGGTGTAAAAATCGATTTTGTCTGTGATGTGTGAGTGCGTTTCAAGAACATAAATCATAATACGGTTATGTTCAGCATTTAAACAGAGCATCAACTTTTCCATGTTGATTTTCGATTGATTTCCTTTCCACATTGAATGAAAACGTTAGAAAATGACTTTGTTCATTTCATGATTTCTGAATCAACATTTTGTAGTGTTGTTGATGGAATTATAGAAAGACTGTGAAGTCAAAGCATGTTTATGAGCGTTATAAACTAATAAAGTTTATTGATTTTTGTTCTTTATGGACATTAAACAATTTTAATATGAAATTTGTTGTGGAAATTCATGCCGCCTTTTATAAGTTTGAGATGCTGCGAGGTCACCCTGCGGTATCAAAGAGAAACTTTATATTTCCAATGAGATTATCGAGACAATAACAATGCTATAGAAATTATACAAACAGTCAAAATATTTAAACCATGGAAGCCATTAAAACGTTATTTGCAATTAATTTCTTTTTCATCCCCCATCACCACTCACCACATAAATAGAACATTCTCGGAAGCTTTACAAAAGATAATAAAAAAAGGGCTGTGAGAAGGTTCTATGGAGGGCAAAAAGCTCATGAAAGTTTAAAATAGTTTTCATTACATAATTACAGCTTAAATCAATTTTAATTGTATTCCATTAGCATACAATTGAATTAAAGTTTACGTTAGTACTAAGAGTGACTAATGGTTTAGAAGCCGAGAAAAGCGAACACTAAAAATTATCGTAAAAAATTATTAATTGCTCAAGAAATGAAAAAAGGGAAAAGATTGAAAGAACATGCCAAGAAAGTAATGAAAAAGATTCAAAAATTTAATAATTGCTCACTCAAAGACACATAAATCAAATTAGAAAAAAATGAAGAAGATTTTTCAAGAATTTCTCCTTTCTCAATAAACTTTTCCGCATTCTTAAAGATTTATCACTTTCTGCCGCTGTTAGCTGTTTGAAAAATATTATTATTAATGTTTGCTTATGTAATAGTTATGTTAATTGTCGTCATTAGGTTACGTTAATTGTTTGTTGCTATATTCCTTTCCCCATGTTACGGTGACAGAAAAGGAAGAAAAATAAGAACTGGGAAACATTCCAAAGTTACATCACAAATCTTTTCCATTGTTTCATAATGAAAGTAAGGAAGTTTTTGGGTTTCTTGACTCTACCAACTGCAAACATAATTACGATCATGTTTTCTAGTCGACGACTTCTTACGAAGTATCTCTACTGATATTTATTGTTCTTTTACAGCCACAGGCGAAAAAAATCATTTCCCAAAAATGTTGTTCAGCAAAAGCTTAAATAAATAGACATAATTACATACTACATGAATGCTCAGGGATGAAGTGGTGAACATAATGAGAAAGTCATATGAGAAGCAATTAATCTCTCCAGTTGTGGGTGGGTGTGGGGGGAAGAAAAAGATGTAAGATGACAAAGTGTGTCATCTTAAGACAAATTCAGAGAAAAAGTCATTAATGCTTGTGAGAAAAGTTTGATGAATGAAAAAAATGACAGTTGAAGAGAGAAATATGTTACACAAGTCATCCATTCGTTGCCTTTTCAATTCATAGTGAAGTCAGGCATTTTCAAAAGACATAAAAGGATTTATGATAAGTATCAAAAATATTCAAAAGAAACATTCGTCTTTGGAATTCGAATGCCATCAGAGGAAATATTTTATTTTTACCTTTTCCGCTTCTTTTTCCTTTCCTTCCCTCAAAAAGGATCCTATTCACCTTAACTGATGGGTCGAAAGCAAAAACAATTTTTCATATTCGAAGGAAGAAAGAGAAAAAATGTTTGATGTATGCCAAATTTTATTCCTTCAATGGAAAATATTTTTAAAGAAAAATTTCTCGAGGAAAATCATATCAATAATTCTTTTCCTCTTATGAAAACGATACAGAAGATCATTTCGAGAATATTTTATTAACATCAACTTGAATGATAAAATGACTGAATTTAATTATAAAAAAAGTTATTTCAGTTCATAAATAATTAAATTAAAATATGTTATGTACGTATGGTTGGTTATTTTTATGAATTGTGTGTCAAAATCCGAAACATATTTATGTTCATCGCAATAATTTATAATGATAGACGAGAAATAGAAGAATTTTCAATGTTGAAGTCCTTCACAAACCATACAATAAAATTTACAACTTTACGTCAATTTAGTTTCGCGTTTTATCTATGAAAACATTCATCGCAGCTTTTTCACAGTTCATTCTTGTATTCTTACGTTAACAAAAATTCCCCAACAATCTCATGAATATTTTCCACATTTTTTAAAGAAGAAAATAAATTATAAGAGTCGTTAAAATTAATATTGGATTAAAATAATGTGAAATGATGTTGAGAAAGCGTAGATGGGTTAGCTGCTCGTTTTTGCAATACATTTCACTTTAGCATACCAATTTCGCACAAAACATTGAACAAGAAGGGAATAAATTATTGAGTATTAAGTTGCGATGTTCACCTCGAATGAATTTTCCCATGAATGAATCAAACTGAAGTTTTTTCTCTTCTGACATTAATAATTTCCCTCTATTATTAACTTTTCCGGAAAAGTTGTTATTAAACTTTTCCGACAGTCTCTTTATTGGACTATAAGAAAAATTACCTTCTCAAATCTTTCAGTTTTATTGAAATCAATTACGTTGGAGAAACGTAGTTTGATTTATGTTAGGGAGCAGAGACATTCATGTAATTTTATTAACTTTCAAAATCAATAAACAAAACGATTTTCCCCATAAACTTTTTATTTATTTCTTTTCTCTTCTTTATTTAGTGAACGAATGACTTAAGTTGTGACAAATTTTTATACAAATTTATTTGAGAAAAAGTTTTAAACAACTCTTAGTCATGGAAGTTCCGGTTCTCATAATAAGAACCGATTTTCATGAATATAAAACAATGATAATCATTTTCCTTGAATTAAGAAAGCTTGTAGAAAGTTTTCTTCTTTTTTGTTAAACAATAAATTGTTATTGGAAATGTTTCCAAACCAAACATGTTAATTTTAGTAGCAATTGTGCAAAAAAATTGGATAGCGTGAGTAGCGTGTTTTGTTTCTCCCTTTCTTTGTTTTTTTTTTAACAAGATTTGATTTGAAAGAAACTTCTTCGTATTGAAAGAAATAAAGAATTTATTAAATATCAAGTCATATTTGTCTAAGTCTTATACTTACATGCCCACATCTCTTACATCTCTCACTTCTTAACTCAAGCAGCCTCGCAATCATTTCGGTATTAAATACATAATAATATGGCGAAGAGGGAAAATTGTTTTTATAAGTGTTAAACAGAAATATGATAACAATATTCTCGTTCACATATAAGGGAAGCGAAGAAAAGTGGAAGTAGCAGAAAAAAATGAATTTCATGGAGTCAAAGATTGTTCTCGTTTACGACGAAGGCGATGATGTGAGGGGTGGAAGATGAAATGGAATAATAACAATTTTTCTTGTCTTCTTTCTGCATGAAAGCGAAAGTGAAAAAGAATAAAATTGAGAAAATCTAATCAAGACATGAGATGGGGGCTGTTATAGATGTAAAGTGTGAGTAAGAAATGACTTAAAAAGTTTTTTCTTCCCTCTCTCTCTCTCTTCCTTTTTCTTCTTCTTTTATTTTTACGCCCCCACAACTCATGACCTCCTTGAGCTTTAAACTAAGCAATGAAATTAAATCTTTAAGGATTATTTAATTGCAAAAGAAAATATTTTCACTTTTAAATGAAATTTCCGCCGACAATGAGTTTGGAAGATTCAGTTTTATGACAATTGTCTTCGACATTTGAAATTTAATTAAATTCTCGTATGTTTTGTTTTCAGTTTTAAGCACCTTTTATTACACTCCCATATGTGTATGTGAATGGTGAATTAATTGTACTCATGTTTTTTGAATGAAGATTCCAATTGTGCTTCAAATCTGAAGGGAGAGAAAAATGTTTCTCGTTTCTTTCACTTCATTTACAGTTGAAAATTAATTCATATTTTAACAATGGTACGAAAGTTCCTTTCGTGAGAACAAATATGAAGTGGACTTAAGTAAATACTTAGAACGAAAAGCGCGCTTCCTGCCATTTCATGGCATTCAACAAGTAATAAAATTTCATATTTTTACATTCATAATTTAAACGCTTTTATAAATGAAATTGGCGGATAATTGAAGTTAAGAACACTTAATTAAGCATTCATTATAATATTTATGTGGGTGGTTTAGTAAGTGGCGTGGCAATAAATGAAAAAAACATTTTTTATTATTCAAATATCTATTCGAAATAATTAGTGACAGGTTTGGTAATAATAATTTTGTGACTTTTGATTGCTTCATCAATATTAGTCAAGAACTCAAAAGCTTTTTAATAAGCAAGAAAAAGTTTTCTTAATGTTCCATCATGCTCGTGTTGAAACAAAGAAGCATGAAACTCTTCAGGTCAAAAGTTTCCTTCATTTGTTAAGGGCTTGCATGTTAAAGGGCTTTAAATCCTGAATGATATAAGTTGATGATAATGGACTCAGAAGCTCCTCTACTCGCACGTAATTGTTCAAAACGTTTCAGTAAGTCAAAAGCACTTTGTTAAACACGAGACATTTGAAAATTCCGATTGTTGATGAATGCTTGTAAGGAAAGCAGGAAGAAGGGGAAATTGAAGTTAGCAAAGTTCTTCATTGATTACAACACACATGCAATTTATGTACATTTAAAGAGAGTGAAGGGAAGATAAATGAGATGGGAAATTGATTAGAAAATTTTTATGCTGCAATATTGCAAAGTTTAATTCAAGACAAGCTGCATTAAATTATTCAACTTCTGACTTATAAATGTCCATAAAAAATTAAATGTCGCGACTGATACTTGAAATCTTTTGAACCTCTTCAAGACAAGATATCAAGCATCGACCTCGACGATAAAAGAAAAACTTTTATTGAGGCAATAAATGAAACTATTTATCATTTTCAAGTCTCAGCAGTTGAGAAAGTTTCGTTTTCCTTAGTTCATGACATTTAAGTTGTAAAATTGTTGAACCGTGTCGTGATGAGTCAAGAAAAGGTTTCGTAAATAGGAAAATCGAAAATCCACTAAAAATAATAATACGCGATATGGATAAACATTCGATTTTCTTTCTTCCCTTAAACTTTTAGGTAAATAAAAGCGTGCGCAACGAAATGGGGGAAAAATTTCTTTTCTCTCTTTTGTGTTCGTTTCTATCAAGGGACCTTTATTGCTGCCGTGCACGCATGATAACCGTAAACAAGGGTAAACAATTGAAATGTTTATTCAACAAATCAGTGATATCACAATTCGAACATTATAAGCTTTGTGAAAGAATGACTGTCAGGTGGCAACACTGGAAGGTAAACTTTTCGATTAACTCTCAAGGATCATGAAATATGAAGAGATATTGGCTGAATGTTTGTCTTTTCTCCCCTGTTAGATTATCGACCAAATACTCGCTTGTCACAGCCATTCAAATCCAATCAAAAACGCATAAACGATTATTTTTAGTTCCCTTGGTAAAGCAGGTAATTGATTAGATAAGAATCTGTAGCGATTCAAAGGCCACCATGAATTTCTGGTAAATATTTGTCAAGGATTTGTAATTGATATCATACATGCTTACACATCACATAAAGATTGCTTTACTCAATGATTGGAAGCTTCCAGGAAAAGATAAGTTGTGGATTTCAGATGAAAATCACTTCGAACTTTCCCTCAACATTGTCACTTCAGAAAAAAGAAAAGAAAAACTGCTTAAACTGATTTGTTTAACTTAAAAGAAAAACTTGACAAGAAGAAAATAAAAAAAGCACTTGAGATAAGTTTGAGTTTTATGGAATTTAAATATTACGAAAGTAGAGATGGAAAAAGTTTTATTTTACTCAAACTTCTTTTTATTTTTATTTCAATTGAAATTTTATCATGAAGATCAAACGCCAACTGCATGGAAACGAAATAATTACAATTTCCTTAAAAGTAGTTGAATGTGAAGGGTCAGCTTTAAAATCCAAACTCATTTTCATTTTACATAACTCACCAAGACGATACCCAAGCCTATCAAAACTTTATTGATTATAAATATCGGATTGAAGTTAAATTTCGTTATTCCCTTGATTCTTGTTTTTCGATTTTTTATTGTAGATTTTACATTCGCACCCAGAAGGATAATAAACTTCTCTGTCAATGATTTCAGTCTTTGCATCGTTTAGAGCTTTGAACGTTTGAATGAAAAATTTCTGCTTACAAACTGAAGTGTAGCCTAATGGGAAGCTTAATTCATACTGACACGATTGTTTTGGTTGTCTAAAAATATTTTAAAAATTTGTATTTGACCTTTTAAGACATTTCTTGATAACCTACAAGCACTCTTCAATTTTGACAGTTTGGAGGATTTCACCATGGTTGATAATGGTTACAAGATCATTGTTCGTCGGGTTTGGAAGTGCTTTTGGGCGAATTCTTCTTTCTCGTGTTAAGCACATTGAATCTTCTTCTTCATCATCATCAAAATCAAAAGTCACTTCTCGACTTGCTTCAGTTGTTCCTCGAAATCCTGTTCTAATACCTGCATCAAAGAAACTCTGACCTCTACTTGGTGGTCTGTAATATGAATTAATAATTGGTCTTTGCATTCTGTGGCCAAATCTGTTGCCAAACCGTGTTGATCCCTTTCTTAAAATTGTATTCTCGTCCATATCTAAATTTGTATCTTCTGATGTTGAATCAGTTTCAATGCTTTCTTCGGTTGTTGTGAAATGTGTCGGTAAATAAGTTGGTCGCAGACTTGTACTTGGAATTGCTGTTGTCGTACTTCTCATGAGAATTTCTTCTTCAAACTCAAATAATTCTTCATCACAAAGAAATTGTTTAGGAGTGTCATTGCGTTTATTTTTGGGAAACAATTGGTTGTGATCTGTTTCATTATATTTAATTTCATTCAAAAGGAAATCTATTATGCTTTCTGGGTAATTGTTCCCGCTATCATCATATCTGAAATCACAATGAATTGCAATCTACAAGAAAAATCCAAAAGTAAATGAATTTGAACGTTGTTCACTTATACAATTTACTTACAACTCCATTTCTAAATATAATTAACACTAAAATAAATATCGAAAACATTTTTCCTCTATTTTTGAATTTAATTGTGTCTCTATTTTGTCTGTTCAGCTTACAACTGAATACAAATTTCATAAAAAGTTATTAATTTGATATTCTTAATAATATTTGGCTGATGTCAAAGGTTATCAGGGAACAGCGATAAGCTTTTTGCTTGTACAATGAAGCTAGTGTAATAATCAAATTTGATAATAAGAATTTTGATTGAGGGCTTCATTGGAAGATGATCAGACATTTCCATTTACTTGGTATGGTTTTATTTGTAATGTACAATCGCACCCAAAAGGATAAGAAAGCGGTCTTTCAACGATTTCAGTCTTTTCATCGTTTAGAGCTATGAACGTTACAGTTAAATATTTCTGCTTGCAAATTGGAGTTGTGGAGCCTAAACGGGAGCATATTTCATACTCACACTTTTGCTTTAGTTCTCTAAAAAAAATTTAAAATTTCTATTTGACCTTTTAAGACATTTTTCTGATAACCTACAAGCACTCTACAATTTGCACAGATTGGGAAATGCTACCATGGTTGATAACAGTTACAAGTTCATCGCTCAATGGGTTAAAAGTGCTCTTGGATGAACTGTTCTTTTGGTTGTTAAGCACAAAGAAACTTCAGAGTAATCTCTTGCTCTAGAACTTTCGTCATCATGTCGCACTCTGACCCCTACAGGAAGCCATAAGGAATACTGACATATTTCTGTTGGTCTGAAATATGAATTAAAAATTGGTCTTTACATTCTAATTCTGTTACCAGTGCTACTTAACCGTGTTGTTTTCTTCCCTAAATTTGTAATATGATTTCAAACCAAGACTTAAACTGCTTTCTTCGGATGTTGTGAAATGTGTCGGTTCCTCACAAAGAAATGGTTTAGGAGTGTCATTGCTTTTATTTTTGGGAAACAATTGATTGTGATCTGTTTCATTATATTTAACTTCACTCAAAAGAAAATCTATTATGCTTTCTGGATAATTGTTCCCGCTATCATCATATCTGAAATCACAATGTATTGCAATCTACAAGAAAAATTAAAACGGCAATGAGTTTGAACGTTGTTCACTTAAACGAAATACTTACAGCTCCATTTCTAAATATAATTAACACTAAAATAAATATCGAAAACATATTTTCTCTATTTTTGAATTTAATTGTGTCTCTATTTTGTCTGTTCAGCTTACAACTGAAAACAAATTTCTTAAAATTGGCATTTTTAATTGATATTCTTAACAATATTTGGCTGATGTCATAGGCTATGAGGGAATAGCGATAAGCTTTTTGCTTGCACAATGAAGCTACCTAATATGATAATCAAACTTGATTTAGTGGAACTTTGATAAGTAGATGCCTCGATAAAATAACAAACCTTGTTAAACAAATATTTTTTGTCCCCCTTGACTCGAATTTCTTTGAAAAATTACCTCTATAAACAAGCAACCTGTTTATCGAAGTTCCACTGTAACAAAAATTTTAATTAAGAGCTTCATTGGAAGATGTTCAGACATTTCCTAGTATTTTAGGCATTTCCAACTTCCAAGTACTTCGGGAATTTCCAAGTACAAATAAAATTTATTTAAATGGCAGATAAGAAGCAAATCGAATTTAATCCGAAATTCAACGACATAAAAAGTGAGCCAAACTTTGTCACTTTTCTCGTAGGAAAAGAAACAATAACTAGAGAAGTTATTTATGATCATCTTTGATTATAGAAAAGTGAGGGTGGATATTGTAACACAACGATTTGTTTGCCAAGGCATGAAATACGTAAATATCAATCGCTTTTATTATCTTTTAAATCGATTTTTTATTGTGACTTCGAAATAACTTGAAATAAGAGGAGAAATAAAATGTCATTTCATCCTCCTACGCTATCAATGCTTCAACATGTAATTGCTGTTTTCGACAATCCAAAAGAATGGAAAAAAAGGAAAAGTTAGTAGCAATATTGGTTGCGACAAAAATGTAAATTGAAGGAAAGATGAACGAGAGAACGCAAATTTATGTTTTAGTTAACAGTCTGAATTGTTTTATGACCGTCTAATAGATAAATGGAAGTTTTTCAATCAATCTTTTATTTAATAGCTCTTAACTTATGTTGTTGTCTATGCAAGACAAGAAAGTATTTTCTTTCGTGACTTTCTGCAGGTCTCATCTTTTTTAATAATTAATAACTCACAATAGAAGTTTTCATAAAAAAGGATGAATTATGATTAAAACGCGAATGGTTTGCTGAGAACATGCACAATAGAAAAAATTGTTACAAGCCAACTCTTTTTATCTTACAACGTAACCAAGAAGACTATCTTCGGTTGATTTACAGTTTAACATTCACGTCGAGCAGAAAACTGCACCATTTTTAATTATAGTACATCGTAGATGTTGAATAACAATTTTTATGATGATATAAAAATTAAATTTTCATAATATTTTCTTTGTTCTCTTCCTTCAACAGCTGGAACTTAATGAGTTGATTTATGTTGCATTGAGGATGCATTAAATTTATGAGTAATCTTTTACCATTCGTTTGATTCAAAAAGTTAAAATTAAATTACAATTTCTTGTAGAAAAATTTAATCATTAAATCTTAGAAAGTTATTTCATTTCGTTAAACTATTTTCAGTTAAATTGTCGAGGTGATATGAACGAGATTATCTTATTTATTTGCCATGCGTCTCAGCAATCGAAGAAGTCACTCAAGATTTTCTCAATTTCTCAAAATTTCTTCAACTCAAATCAAAAGAAAATATATCAGAAAATAGAAGGGCGAGATAGGAAGGAAAACAGTTGAGTACACATTGAGACGTGATGTTTTCGAAAGTAAGCGAATCTTCACACATCGATGAGAAAACACAAATAAAGTTCCCGTGCGATTGAAAATGTTGTGCATGCTTTTCCCTAGTTCGTTGAGCTGTCTCGTGAATGATTTTAATCATTTCTTAGTTTATTAGCTATGAAGGAGAACTCAACAACATATCACAGCACGGCGGAAGGTTGTATCAGCAGAAGTTCGTTTAATTAAAGTTGCGGTGCCACAAGAGACCGATCTATCTTCATGTTTGATTTTCCAACATCAAGATGTGCACAAATTTTAATTAAACTCTCCAAGAATAGTTGACAAAACTTATTTTTCTAACATGACATGAACCCAATCTTGTATTTTTCCACCTAAAAATTATGTAACGCTTATTCCCAAATTCGTTCGCCAATCTCCGGTTTTATATGAACAGAATTTTCATTTACTTATATTTGATATTCCAAAAAGTGGTTTCAACCTAAATACACAACAACAGACATTTATTTATTTAACCCGGATATCAAGTTTAAATATTTTTATCCAGTGTTAAAATGTATCAAAGTTTTTCAACAAGGGTTCAATGAAAAGTTACGGTGAAGTTTTTTCTATTGAAATTCTCTACAAAAATTCCATTTAGTATTTAACTGAACTTTGAAAGAAAAGGCAAAAGTACATATTTTGATATTAAATTAAATGACATAAGAATGGCTTCCACCCGGGAAAAAGTTTTTCCGCGACACAGAGAGAAAAGTGGAAATATTTTTGTTGCTATTTACATCCGCATTGTGGCTTAATATTAACTGTACAATGATAGATTTATTGTTTCCCATGCTCATCCCAATTTTTTTTTTGCCATTTTCTTGCTGCAATAGTTAACACGAAATGAAAACTTTTTTCGCCCACACTTTGTGACTTTAAATTTCAACTCTTTTTTCGAATATTTCAACTTGTGTTGCTGATAAAAATAAAGAGAGAAATGAATTCAAATTCCTATGAACAACCTTAAATTCATTGAGAGAACGGAAATATTTGCAGACAACTTGACAAATAACGCAACTCGCTCATGTTCGGGATTCGAAATTTATTTTTTTTATATTCAAAGATTTATTATTTTAAAATAAAGTTTCTCTTCCACCCTAACCATGATTGTGTGGATTAAATTAGTCTTGTTACCAAATCGTAAATGAAATTAACACTTTTTTGTCTTCTCTTTTTTTCTTGAGTTTTCCTACCATAAGATGAAAGTTCTAATTGAATTTACTTAGATCTGGTAAACTGGATTAATTATACTGCCATTAAAATGTCTCCACAACATGAAACTCTGTTTGATAGTTTTTCTTTGCTTTCTAGAAAATTTTCTTTACCTACTTTTAAAATTGTTTTAAAAAACTGAAAGAAATTTGATAAGATTTCATCACTTCAGTTGTCATTGGAATTTTCATATCATTAATTCACATTTGATATAAATTTCATTAACATCTCTTGACATCATATCTATTGAATATCTAATGGATGCCACACAATATAAAATATTTTAAGCACAGGCTTATCATGAAAGCAAAGGCAATTTTATCAAATTGATCTTTTTTCATCTTTCATTTGCTTTCCTTTCCTTTTATTGCGTGAGAAAAATTGATACAAAAGATGAATATGAAACCGTTTTTGCTTCTCCAGAGGCTTCAAAGTGCAGCAACAACATGAAAAAACGTGCCTGTGGAAATATCATCGTTTGGGAGATGAACGAGGCAGAAAAAAGGCGAAAATATATCACACGACGAGTCGAGAAGAATATAAATGTTTTATGTAAACGCCTTCTCTCTTTTCTTTTGTGAACGCAAGATATAATAAGAAAACATCGAAAGCTTCTTTTTTTATTGCCACAACCGTTTTTTCTCCATCTATGAACGTCTTTACTCGCACCACATCATGAGGGGTTCTTTTTTTCCCTTTCGAAAACGATTCATCAGCGAACTGAAGTGAAACCTTTAAGGGGAAATCATTTCGAAAAGTCATTCGGCTTTGCTTCGGTAGCGAAACTTACCACTCGAAGGGAAAAATGAATGTTTCGAATAAATGAAAATTGCATTGTTAGTTGTTCTTTGATTGAGCTCTTGAACACGCTGTTCGATTAGCGATCGTAAAACAATTAAATTTTGTTCCGTTCTAGTGGTTTTCTAATCAGATAAAATATTTTTTTCTTGCAAAAATAAATGATTTATTGATGCAGATTAAAGATGTAGAGAGGAAAGAAAAATCGCGATTAAAATTCGGGAAAAATTGTTGAACTCAAAGTGTTGGAAAAGTTGAGATCATTTAATGAATATTGTGACATTTGAGAGAAGTTTCTAATTTAGAAATCGGATTAAATTCATTTAGCAACCAAACAAGTGTTGATTGTGCAAAGTGGTAAATTGGAAAATATGAAAATTTAATATTTCCGTGTGAAAATGAGCAAGGAAAATCACAGAGAATGTTGGTTAGGATGAATGTCATTAAATATTTAAATTTTAAGGACCTCTCCACCTCTTCACAACTAACTGGTTTCAATGTTTTTGATGATTTCATACAAAAGCTACAAAAAAAGAAAAGAAAAATAACAAAAACATAAACTTTCTCATACTCTGCATGTTTGCTAAAATCAAAAGCTTCGAGAAAATTAAACGAGCGGAATTTCGAATTAAATTATGCAACAGAGCAACATAAGTTTCAATGCGAATTGTTTTTCTCATCCTGCGGTTTTTTACATCAGACGGGAAATTGTTGTAATTTTATTATTTCTTTTTTATTTTTCTGTTTTGTTATGTTTTTGTTTGGCAACCACGAAAATTTATTGCATTTTTGCACGCTTTCCACAGCGCCTAAATGTGAATGAGAGTGAAATGACCTGTTTATGCAAAGTGCATTGTTCTATATTTATTCTATTTAAATCATCCTCACGTGACTATTCGCACAAAAATTAATCGTTCTTGTTGTTATTTTATCTTTCACACTGTTCACATTCATATTTATTTATCATCTAGCAAAAGCAATGTGAAGATAAAAGTTTGAATTTATTTTCGGATTTATGCTGAATTTTCGAGATTTATTTATAAGCTAACCAGTGATATTTACAATTCCCAAAAGTACAAACATTTAGTTTCGTGTCGGTGATGGCAATTATTAAGTGTTATGAACTGAAAACACTGCCATTGCATTATCATATAAAATCAAGTCATAAAATTTAGTTTTAAGGACAAAGCACTAAATTTAAACTTTTTCCCAAACTTGTCCTCACAACAATTGCCTCAATTGCTTGTATCAATAAAAACTTTGCCATGGATTTAAAAGCTGAACACTGAACAATGAAAGAACTAACAACAAATATCCTTCCGTAAATTTATATATTTTCCGAGAAAATTCTAAACTAGTGATGAATGGTTTTATGTCACAACAGGGATATGTTCCAATCCGACGATTGTTTCTGTTATCTTTTGGTTTATGAACAAATTCACTGCAAATTGGGAGGCAGTTTCGTTCTTTGTTTGTGTACAGCATACATAGTGAACTAAAATTTGTGACAAAATACATAAAATCCAAGTGCTTTAGGTCACAACTGTATAGCGTGATAAGACAAATAGTTGAAAACATTCTTGTCAGATTTGAAGCTATGAATTTTGTGCAGTAAGGGACAATGTATTTGAATATCTATGCTTTATGCTTTACAAACAATAGCGAAAGTTTCAATGTTTGGTCTCGACTTTACCCTAATATTTCAACATAAACAATGAATAACCCGAAGGAAAAACAACTAAAATTAAAGGAACTCGCTTTAAAATAAAACATTTAATCACCATCATTAATGAAAGATTCATTGCGTTGCTAATTACTCAATCAAAAAGCTTTTCATCTAAATTACTTTTCATTCAAATAATCTGCTGAAAGATTTATTGAGTAATCGCTTTTATCAAAGAATCGTGAATTGCAAATGCATTATGAAAATTAAATTCTATAACAAAATGTTTATGGCTTCATAAGTATTTAGTGAGAGAAAAAGCTTTTAGGATTCCGGTGGAAATTCATTAAAAAATTGCTGTTTCATGTGCTGAATTTTTCATTTTTCCTTTTCACACAAAGCAGAAATTTAATAAAAACTTTTTTTGATAATTCTTTGATGCCATTAAACAATTCAACGTTAGCTTAATTCTCTTCCAAATGTTTCTTTATTGTGCTTTTATTAATTGTAATTTTTCAAAAGAATTCTGAGACACTAACAACAAAGTTTGATGTAAAATCGTTGAACAAAAGTTACTTCGTTAACTTGAAACAATCTAATCAAGTGATATCGTCATTTGTTCATCTAACAATGTGAAAGTGCAAAAGTGATTCGATAAAAGATGACAAAGAAAGAAGAAAAGGTGTCGATGATGGGGTTGCAGATGCTCGTTATTGTTATTCTCTTCAACCCAGAACAATCTAAAGTTTCATGGTAAATTTATGAAATGACAATAAGGTTGAAGAAGTTTTTCATGAGTTGCTGTAACTTGTAAAAATCTTGAACGGCTCGCCAGCATGGTGTTTGGTAAAAATTAAAGTTTCATTGTCTGTTGATCTCACACCTAAGCAAGATGAGAGAATATGTCGAGTTTTCACTTTAAGTGTTGAGAAATTCAAGTCCCAAGTGGAAATTTTTGGCACCACAGACGCTTTGCAGGAAGAAAGGTGGAAAATATTCTGCTCAAAAATTCATGACTTCAGCATGAAAATTAATTAAATTCATTACAAAATTTTTCACTTTCACAATTTCTTTTTTATCGTGGAAAATTGAAAAGTTCCCCTCCAGAAGATTCTCTCTACGTTTTTATTTTCAACTTTCCGCAAGGATTCTTTAATTATATGCGGAAGTTATTAAACAATGGAACTTTCGCCATGAGTCATAAATATTGTAAAAGTCTCTGAAAATTCTCCATGCTAGTTTAGTTATAAGTGTAGTGAATCAAAGAATCTTATTCAACTGTTTCAAGTAGATTGCAAGATTGTGAAAGAAAAAACTTTAAGAAAAATTGTTTAGGGAATTTGTGAGTCATTCAAATAATAGCTAAGACATGAATTACTTTGTCGTAGACTTCACAATTCACTTCACTTGAATTATGATGTAAAATGTTTAAAAAATAATTTTCACCATCTAGATGAAGTTTATCATTGTAAATAGTTAGTTTAACACGTCTGGTAAGAACTCATAAAAAATGATTATTCATTGTAGAAACTGAAACTGCATAAAGCATAAAGTAAAAATATTAAGATTACTCTTGATTTCTCTTACATATTTTCTAAAAAAAAAAGGAAAAATTATTTCCACTGCAATTTTTCGTTCATTCAAAGTTCAAACACGAAGGAGGAAAAGTTTTCTCGTTCTTCAACTTCAAAAATCTTTTGGGTATAATAATTTTGACTTAGGGATTTCCATCGCCCCAAACATGCACAGATTCCTTTTTATACTTATCTTCAAAAGAAGCCAAAAAAAGAAGAAGTAACAAAGAAAATCAATGGAAATTTCCCTGAATATTTAATGAACTCTCGAGAAACGAGAAAATCGTTTCCGAGATTGCTAATTTTGGTATTATGCAGTTTTCCAAGACTTTTCTTTCCCTGTTAACGTCTGCAAATGACTTTCCCCTTTCATTGCATGGAATACAATTTGTTTATGTTTTCCTTTCCCGATGTTTGTTTGTTTGGCTGGTTCGTTCGCAAGTAGGAAACGAAACAATTTTTTTCTTACTTGTTCCTTGAAAAAAGAGCATTTCGAGAATTTTCATTTCAAGATTTATTTTCAATTTAAATTATTTTCATGTCAATAAACATGTCACATTAGAATTCATCTTCGGTGTTCTGATATTGTCTCTGATATGATTGAATTTTCATTTTTATTTTCAATATCAACTGCAAAAATTCATTAAAAATTTCATTTAATGAGTCTAATTATTTGCAGAAAAAATTATTAAAATCAATGTGAATCGATTTTGATTAGTCATGAAATTGAAATCAGAAATAATTTTCATTGAACCTGAAAGTGTGGCATGTAATTTCCATTTATGTCAACTCGGTGGATTTGTTCGATTTAAAAATAGTCACAATATCGAAAAATTTGAGCTTTCAAATACAATTTTATCATGTTTACATCAACATATCATGAAAACTTGTTTTTTGCCTCAAATGCATTATTAAAAGTCCGAACCCATGTAGACATTTATGACTGTCCTATCCCTATAATCATAAAATTTATGATTATGAAAGTTTTAATGACAATCGATGAAATGATTCATCCTCACCACCCACATAAAAGCATTTAATAAACTTTTCTCATTGCAATATCAATCATCACTCATATAATAATCGTGATTCATATTTAATCCACTCATTATTTTGTTATTAATGGTAATTGAGTGTATGATTAAATAAGAAATTTTCATTTCCATCCTGCAGCAATTTTCACAATTTCCATAGTGTGAGTAAAGTTAAAAATAATTTTCAATTTATGAAATGAGAAAGTTTGAATAACCGGAAGTTATGACTTTTAGTATCTGAATCGATTGATCCTTTGCCGTCATTCTCTAAATGCGTCAATGTGCTGTCGTGATTGTATATTTTACAATCTACTTCAATTCAGTCATAATCAATGCAGATGAGATTATGTGGGAGAATGAATTTGAAGTGTGTAAATATGTTGAATATTGAAGTGATAGCATGCAACTGTTTGTATAAATATTTATATAAATCTGCACATATGCAGCTCTCAATGATTTCTGACTCAAGCATAAATGTTGAATAGCATTTTATTTATCTCTTAAAATGTTTCAAAAACCCGCTAAACTAAAAATTTGTTTAATCTGTGTCACTATGTTGTGTGGTTAAATTTCAATTCAATATCCAACAAGTTAACAATTTATCAAAAATTAAAAATAAAACTTTGATTAATATTAAAATGAGAAAGTCACGCTACGCTCTGCAACTCAACAATGTACAAAAAATTTGGTGACAAATCAAAAGATCGCAGTAAATGATTCTCAAATAACTCAGAAGTATACACAAAAATTCAATTCACAAGATAAATGTGATAAGATAAAGAATAAAGTTGAAATTTCGAATGTAATAAGAAGAGGGAAGAAAAATGTTGTACAATAAATTTTCTTTCGCACCATGAAACGACGAAAAATCTTGATATAAGATGGTGATGGCATTTAGAATAATGGTGATTAATTAAGAGAACTGCGACGTGAATAATATTAGAAGTGCAGCAAATCTAAATTATAATTGAGGTTTGTAAGTGCTGTGCAAATGCGGAGAGAATATTAATTTACATAATTATGATGTCAATTTTATTCCAACTAATTCATTTGGCCCCAAAAATATCTGCAGGGTGTAAATGAACATTTATTACCATCTTTAAGACATCATTTTCAAACAATGAAGTTAAAGAGAAATTGAGAAAGCCACAGAAATCATGAAATTGTTTAACTCCAGCTGTTACCGCTTGTTGAGATGGAAAATATTCATGAAAAATTCATTGACAAATTTCATAAGCAGATAAAATTTAAACTTTTATCTCTTTGTGATACTTTAAGCGCATTTATATCTGAGAAACATTTTCACACAACATAAGAAGCATAAACGAGTCATAAGATAACATTATGAACAGGAAAAAGTTTCAAGCGCATTTATCAAAGAATTTATGACGTGTTGCTTTCGTTTCTTACTTTTCCTTCCTTTTCTCTCTTACTACCTATTTGGATTAAAATAGTAAAGTGAAAGCAGAACAATTTTCCACAACTGAGGTGAAAATAGTTGAAAATTTATGAAGTTAGACGAGACAACTTATGTTTTACTCCTTATCACCTTCTGCATTTATCTTGATTCTCTGTTTAAAGAACTACAATTCTTGTATGCAAATTGAGGTTCATTTTGAAGATAGTTTGAAAGTTTCGAAGATACAAATTAATTGTTGCTTTCATAGTTGGTTATAGAAATAGAACGAATTAGTTTCTCTCTATTCTGTTAGATTCAATCTTCCAAAAACTATTAAGCGAAAGAAAATGATGTACATCAGAAAGTTCCTTCTTCTTGGTTTTCTTTACTTGAATGTTTAACAACCAAAGTTGGGGGTTGGCAACAGACAACCGGGACGGGGTAAATTATTTGCAATTTCAAAATTCCTGCGAGCTAAACATTCCTCTGTTCAAAGATTAATAGCGTTTCTGTTGGAAAGGCGTTGAAAAATTCATTTCTCTGATGCTTATACAGAAAAAAAGGAAGAAGAAGTATGAGATAGAAGCTCAAAGCATTGTGTGTGTTTGCGTTTTTGTGCTTTAAAATATTCCATGAGATAGTAACAGACAGAAGCGTTATAAATATGCTTTTTGGTGAGAGAGATGGAGAGAAAGCAAACAGTTTTGGGTCGATTTACTTGTGAAGGGCAACGCTAGAAATAAAATAAATGAATTGAAATTTATTTTAAGTGAGTGCTGCTTTCGTCGAGGAAAAAGAAGAATTAAAATATGTGTGTAATCTTCAAATGCTGGTGTTTAGTTCATTTCGAGAATTTGTGAACTAGAAATATGTTTTTTTCATACTTTTATAAGGAAAAAGCATTGAAATGAACAGCAGGAAAATTAATATTCAAAGATGTGGAAATTGCTGTCGGAAAATCTGTAACTTTTAATTAAAGTAAATTTTTCAACAAGAGAAGCGATTTTAGTGGATGAGGAAATTTTTCAAGTCGGTTTCGATCGATAAATTTAATTTCTAAAAATGTGAATTAAAATAAAACGAAACATTATTTTAATTTATTGCTTTGTTGTTTTCAATATTACAAGAACTAATTAAAGAACTTTCAACATTTCCATATCCGCCTACAAATCAGAATTTAAAATGAGTAAAACCATTCCAAATGCAATTGTTAAAATTAACAGCAAAGTTTATTGTAACAAAACTCTTTTTTAGTTTTAGTCACATTTTCATTTACAATTTAAATCATTCCACGCCTTTCATATGTTCTTCTAAAATGCTTCAAATTAGACACAAAAATAATTCCCACCCCCGCAAATGCAATAAATTGCAATTTTGTTCGACTTCATTAGCAAAAATGTGGAGTTTATGAAAACCAAGAGTTCAACACACAACCCTCAAAAACCAAACATTTCATTCATCGTAAATATGCATTCCAATGATTTTACATCCATTTCAACATAATGTTAACGTCGTGATCTTATTTATTGCCTCTGTCAAATGTGATATGAATTTTGTTCTATGTTTGTGTTGACGGAAGTTGGAATTGTGTCTGGAAATGCTTTTTGAGGCCTTCGATGTGGTTTTAATGTGATTGATATTTATTCGATGAGGTTTTAAAGTTTTGAATGCATTTGATGAGATTCGAAGGTAGATTGAAAATCATTTATATTTAAGCAGTAAATCTGTATCAAATTTATTTACGGATAACTTTTGTTTCATTTGATATTTAAAGTGTTTGTGATGCTTGTTTTTGGCATTTATCAGCATCTGAATCTGATTTCATTTACTGTCATTTCCGTTTGCTATTCAACAATGAAGGACAACAGAAAAATGATTCCAAACTGTTGTTTGAATGTTCGACCATTCAAAATTTAATTTAATGCTTTGAAGTGATGAACGTTCAGGTTGATTTTTTTATTCAAAACCAGAAACTTCTTTTAACAGCGTTTATCTCCATTGAAATGACATGAACAATGGGGTTTGGATAATGCACAAAATTAATTAAATTAGAGTAGATGTTTTCACTCTCTCTCTACATAACATCCCACAAGAACATCGAACCACAATGAAAATTGATTAAAAAAGCATTTTTCATATTATTTTTCTCTTCTACTTCTTTCCACTTCTTCATTGGACTTGACGTTTGCTTCAAAACTCTCATATGATGTGGGAAATCGGAAATGTAGAATGATATAGAAAAAGTTTTCTTTACCCCGAAAAAAGAAAGAAAAAGCAGTAGAAACAGCAGCATGTTGCAAAGTGGCTGTGGAGAACGTTTACAGTATTGTCCAACAACAAAAAGAATAATTTTATGTTAGCAAATGTGAACGAAAACATGAGGGAAAAAGATTGTGTTGAAGAAAAAAGAAAAAAAAAACTTTACAAACAATGAAACCAGTTTTTGGTGCAAGCAACGTTCATAATTTAACCATACACGAATCCATATCCATACATTCCCTTCTTCACATTTTCCAGATGACGACCTGATAGAAGAAAGAATCTTTCGATACTTACTACAACACGAAATGGTCGAGAAAACGATCTCGATAAAGAGAAAAACTAATAATCGAATCGATATTGTGAACAAGTGAAAGATTTTTAGCATCTTAAAGCTTAGTGTGAATTCTTATGAGAACATTCAAGAAGTAATTACAAGAATCTTCATCTGATACAACTCCCATCCTAAGACGATTCTCGTTTACAAGCAAAGCTTAATCACTGAATAATTAATTAGGCAACAAATTGTACAACAATCGCTTTTCGAATGTTCCAGAAATGATGATACAGTCGAGGTGTAAATTTAAATTGAAGCGAATAAGAAACGCTTTAAATAGGATTATTTATTCGTGTTTAACTTATTCAACGCTTATCATAGGATTATTTTTAATATCACATAGGAATGGTAAGTAAATGAATACAATTAATCAGTAGATTAATTTTGATTTTGAGGTTTAAAGAGATCACGAAGAATTCATTTACATTGTAAGTGATTTTGTCAAACAAATTGAAAGTTTTCAGAAATTCTTCTTGAAGCATGTAAAGATAAAAAGTTTCCCTCAATTCCAAAAACGAAGAAAATAGAAAGTAAAGCTCATGTTGAATTGCAATTGAAAAATCTCAACGACGTGCGATGAAAGGTTAAATGATAATAGAGTGAGTTGAATGTTGGTTTCGTGCCCGTCATCTCATCTAGTGACCCTCACATTCAACACACATGTTTGCCACCTTCTCACTTAAATTTTCCTTTCGGAATGCGACAAAACGATGTCGAGTGTCGTAAAATGAAATCTATGCTGGCAGGCGCTTAAGGTATCAAGTAACACTCAGGCGATAACATAAAAAAGCTACTTACACATTTAATCCTAAACATGCTTATGATGTTATTTAAACGAGTCAAGAATGGAAAATGCGTGAAAATACTACGAAAATTGTTTCCTTTTCCCTCTTTCGACCTTTTTTTCTTCTCTTTTTCCATTCCAACATGTTAAAATGAGTGAGTGAAAATCGGTTTAATATTGACTTAGGATTGAACGTAAAATCAAGTGACAGAAGATAAGGCAGACATAGAGAGGGTGGAAGTAAAAGGAAAATATGAAATTTTAATATCATTTCCTTCTATTTAAAAATATATGACAGTTTTATTCAATCTTATTCTATGTGATTTACAAATCTCTCCCAAAAACATAAAGAGAAGTTATTTTAAAAAAGAAATGTTAATCAAAGCCTAACAACTTTTTGAGGAGAAATTGCTACACTTCGTTACACTTTATCAAGAATCTCAGTCGACCCAAAGTAATATAAAAACTGCAAGAAAGAAGCTGCGTGGATTTTCATCTAAATTATTCATCGAGAGGCTGCAAGAACGACAGAGAATTCATTAGAGTCTACTAAAAGTTAATTACATTTTCACTCACTTGACATTTATTCCATTAAAATGGAAAAGTTTCTTCTGATCGTTAAAGCTTTGTCGTCATGAATTAATTTTGTAATTTGTCAACTTCTCGACTCTTCATTGCAGCTTTTCTCGTTTTTTTGGTTCACCCTTCAAAAAATGACTTTAAATTTTCATCTTAAAGAAGTTCGTGACGAAATGAGTCAAACGAATTTCCACGTTCACGCGTTTATTTAATTTTCACCTTTGCATTTTTTATGCGTCAAGAAATGTGCCTTTCAAGCAAAAATAGAAACAAAAGCGTCTTAAAAGCATGTATGTGATATCGCAAAAGATATCTCATGTTGTTCGTGAGATGTGATTCGACTATAAACACGGCAGCAATAAACCCATTTAGATTTATTCAGAGTCGTGATTTTATGCTTACAATCTTTTTCTTCCCTTCATTTTTCCGCTTTTCTTTTCTACACATACACACATCAGTATCGGCATTTGAGCCTGATTTCGTTTTTCCTTTGGAAAATGTGACAGTCGCTCAAGGACGCGATGCCGTGTTTACTTGTGTAGTCAATAATCTTGGCGGTTATAGGGTGAGTGGATCTGGAAGTGAGACGGGAACCCCAGCAAGGGTACGTATCAGTTTTGTAGTTGCATGACCCTAAACATTTGCTTTAATGTTACATCAAGATCCATTCGATCTTGAACTAAATTAATTCTTTTATCACCACAAATGTTAAAAGTACGCACCAGAGCACTAATTTTGGTTAACTAAATAAGCACCAAATTGCACCAAGCAATTAAAAATAATTCGCACAAAAGTTTGTTGAATGTAAACAGCAAAAACAGCACCAAATAGTTTCAGTAATCAGCGCACCACCTTGCACCAACTATTGCACTAGATAGTCAATGGATTTTCTGGTTTTTATCTTAAAAGCGATATTAACACTTGAATTGAAAAATAAAATCTTTTATTGGTTCTTTAAACATGTGTCGGGAATTAAAGGAAAAAACTTTGCGCTTTTGAAAAATGAGAAGCTTTTTAAAGTGAAATCATTAAACACTTCTTGCAATGTTTAATTCCAACATCTAACAAATAAATTTTAAAAATTCTCCACCATCAAAAGCGTAAAAGTTTCAAGAAATTTTTAACTTCAATCAAAAAATAAAAAAAAGACAAAAAGCTTATTAAATTGTAAGTTCAATACCAGAAAGTAATATCTAATCCAACATCAAAAGTACTGCTTTCACCTGAAACAACTCTCAAAATCCAACAAACAAGCTACAAACTTTTAATTTAACTTTTTCTGTCGGCATCAGTTTCATCGAAACTGGCAGAACTTTTCAATAAAAACCTCAGTGAAAAATTAATTACATAATTCGAGAGATGATTTTTCCAGCTCAGTCTCCGGTGGTTTATCTTTTTAACTAAATAGGTTTTTTGTTCACTGAAAAGCAATTTAATTTCATTAATTAAAGTTTCATCAATTTTTTCACATCGTCGATTGTTTGACGTTGAAATGAAAAAAAAAATAATCTTTTCTCGTTCAATTCTGTCCATCACTCAAATCAAGACATGATGGAAATAAAAATTGTTGAGTAGCAAAAAGTTGAGAATTTGTTAGTTAAAAGTTTTTGAAAATTTAAAATTTCATTTCTTAACATAAAGTGATGAGGTTTGCTTTCTTGTTCTCCTCAAAGTCTTGAACCAACAGATCAAATATGATGAAAACAGTTCTTTTGACGATGGATTCAAAAATCTACAGTGAAACTTCCATCATTCAAGTTTTATCACTTCACTGAAGAAGTTTCACTGTAAAAGTTATTATAAAGTCAATTATCTCATTGACTACAGACAAATTCTGTTTAGTATTTTTGCACTGCATGTCGTTGTGTTTTTCCGATTGATTAATGACTTTTCCTGATAAAATTGAAAATCTACAATCCCGACAGATGTGTATGAATATTCGAGAATGAATCTCTCGTGACAGTTGAGAATTGAACATGATAAAAAGTGAAGAAATTAGCTAACGAACACATCTCACTGCCGTAATTGGTTTTCAATTTGAAATCGGTGTTATTGTGATGCATGATGAATGTCATTCAAGCACTTAGATTGCCTACTCGCACAAACACATTTCTGCATTTTGAAAACATTTTAATTAACATTTATGTTGATAGAAAATGACAGCTTGAAACAATTACATAATCAAATGGATTTTAATGAAATTTTAATCGAGTGAATAGAAAATAAAGCGCCGTGAGATTTTCCAAACCGCGAACTTATTTTCGGTGATTGTTTCACGTTGCTTCAGAAATATTTGCCTGTTCACAATTCATCAGTGATTGTTTGCCAAATTTCAATGCTTCTGCCACATAACGACCGAGTGACTCGGCCATTGCGGCTAATGTAAGCATGAAATCCCAAAAAAATATTCACGTTCAAAGCTTTGGAAATTAATTGCTTTCATCGCATATCAACAACCCTCGCTGCAGTTTAAAATTTACAATGCTCAATTGTACGGTCAGTTTATGAATAAACAACGAATTCAAACTTTCTTCTATGATTTTATTCGTAAAGAAAAACATTTTCAATTCAGAATAAGCCAAATTCATTGCATTAGGATTATTATAACAAGTCGCTTAATCACTGACTTCAAATTATACGAAAACTACAAATCAATGTTCAGCATGTGTAAGCGATGTTTGTACAATAATTAATCATTAATATGTATCGCTAATTAATTTGAAAAATGTGAACATGCAAGTTTAGACAATCAATTTTGTTTAGTTATGATTAAACTTAGAAAAGTTTTGTAATATTTCGCACATTTATTTGCATGTTAAGTTTTATAATGTCATAAATATTTCTTTTCTAACTTTTGGAATTCAAATTGATTCATTATTTTGTGACATTATAATGCTTTCCACATAATATTCAATTTTCAATAATAAATTTACGTAAAATCTCTAACGACAAGCAGACACTCCTATACAGAGATTTGTTAATAATTTAGGATTAAATTTCATCGAGAATAACGCTTCTCTTTGTGGGTTGTAAATAGGTTGCATGGATAAAAGCAGACGCCAAAGCTATTTTAGCGATTCACGAGCATGTCATCACAAATAATGGACGGTTATCAGTGACACACAATGACTACAATACGTGGACGTTGAACATTAGAAATGTAAAGATGGAAGATCGAGGACAGTACATGTGTCAGGTGAACACAGATCCAATGAAAATGCAGACTGCGTTTCTTGAAGTGGTCATTCCGCCTGACATCATTTACGAAGAGACTTCCGGCGACATGATGGTGCCAGAAGGCGGATCAGCTAAATTAGTTTGTAAGTCTAGGGGCTTTCCAAAGCCAAAAATAACGTGGAAACGTGAAGATGGCCGTGAAATTATCGCTCGCAACGGTCCACATGGTAAAACCAAATGTTAGTCAACTTCAAAGCTTTTTAGTTTAATTTTTAATTTCAATTAATTCTGTAATTTATTTCAGCACTGAATGTAGAAGGTGAAGTGCTTTCTTTAACGAAAATAACGAGATCAGAGATGGGAGCTTATCTTTGTATTGCTTCCAACGGAGTACCACCAAGTGTAAGCAAGCGAATGAAGCTGCAAGTGCATTGTAAGTTTAAAAAGCAGATTTTCTAAATTAAAAAATTATAACAAAAAACAAAGTTTCGGTATCTTACATGTTGGCAACAATAGAATGAAGTTTAAGGCAAACGATAAACTTTTATTTTTTTCCTTCACCTTTGTTATACGTAACGACGACAATCTTTTATAATTTTATTATTCTTTAATTTTAAATATCATGGGAAGCGACCAGAATCATATTTAGAAGTCTGATGCGATGCAAAACTTTCCTTTTACATTCTCATTCAACGGAAGTCTTTAAAATTCATATCATTGATGTTAATTATTATGTTATTGTTATGCTCATAAACATTACAGGGACAACAATTTAATTCATAAACAATGCAGCTGAATATTCACTTCATTTTGTAGTCTCTTAATCCACCCTCATTTTAATTTAATTCGTTTTCAGAGTTTGTCCTTTGTTCGTAATCTCTCCTTCCTCTGAAAAGTTTCGCAACATGTTTTTGTGCTATGATATGCTATTTAATTATGACTAATTCATGTTATTTTGCAAAATGCTTTTCGGCAAAGTGTGGTTAATATGGGAAAAGTTTAAGTCGTTATGGAAAGTTTATAGAAAATTATTCAGAAGAGAAGGAACTTCCCGTGGGGTTGGAAGATTTAACTTTTCATTTATGTTGTCGTTCATAATTAGAATAATTAATTGTTGAATGTTGATGCCTAAAGGGTTCATTTTGGGGCTACATAATTTGAGTTTGAGACTTTTGTCAACTTAAATTATTCTTTCAATGATTACAGCAAATGAAAATTTGCAACATCAGTAGCAGAGGTCGAAAAAAAAAAATTTATTAAGAGTAATCGATTACAACTTAATTTTTAAGCTGTCGATTGCAATTATTTAATATTTAAAATTCATTATGCAATTGATATTTAATTGTGTGCCGGATGTGTTTGCGTTGAACGACATTGATTTATTCATTTCATTGTTGATTGGCAAATCATACCATCAATGGCATTGATGTGATACTTTCACAGCTTTTAATTCTGTTATTCTTTTTTCTTGTTTACTTTCACAGTTCATCCACTGATTCAGGTAGGACATTGAATTTGTCGCGCTTGTTTTCATATTTTATGATATTTCTCATTCCAAAAGGTGCCTAACCAGCTCGTCGGCGCTCCGCTTTTAACGGATGTCACATTAATTTGCAATGTGGAAGCATCACCGAAAGCTATCAATTATTGGCAGCGCGAGAATGGTAAAATAATAAATTTGAAGATATTCAATTTTCGATTTTCATTTTTTAATGCGTTTTTTATTCCATTCTTCAATTTTATCTCAATTTGTTTTGGTTTATAAATAAATATTGTTCATTCGAATGATTGTAAAAATCTTGATTTATTCATCGACTTTTATAGGCGAAATGATTATTACAAACGATCGATATTTAATGACAGAAACAGAGAACTCTATGTATGCTGTGCAGATGACTTTAGTTGTTCGAAAGCTCCAGAAATCTGATATGGGTGGATATAAATGCATTTCAAAAAACAGTATTGGCGATGCTGAAGGCACAATACGACTTTATGGTGAGTGGAAATCAATAACTACAATTATGTAAATTAATTTATCTGTTAATTGCAAAATGTTTCTTGGGTAATTTCTAAAGACAAACTTAACGTGAAATTTTCAAAGCAAGTGTTGAAACGTCTTTGAAATATTTAACCACAAAGTATTCATAAAATATGCTTCAATGTTAGTCACATTGCCTTATGTTGTTTTCACACACATAATGTTGCATCATTCTCGTCGAAAAATGAGATTTATTGAAAGCGACATTGGAATTTGCAAGGGAATGGAAACATTCAGCCTTATTCAGCATAAAAATCTATACTTTAACCCATTTTGGAATTATATTCCCTTAGTGCTTTGACCCTTTGAAAAAAAATGCTTTTTCAATTTTCATTCTGGGACGCATATTGAATACAATTCGCTTTTAAAAAGGGGTTAAATTCATTTTCCGCTTTAGCAAGGCTTCTGCTTTCAGATGAAAAACCTTGATAGGACTTTTAATATTTCTACTGCCGCAATTTACATGCAAGAGCAAATATTTTACAGTAAAAGTTTTCAATTACGTTAAGAGAGTAGTTGAAATTCTGACGGATTTATTCAAGGTTTATGAGCAAAGTTTTTGTTCGTTAGAAAAGTGATGGATCAAAGCTTTAAGCAACAACTTTACTTGAAATTCAGATTAGAGTGATTAAAAATTGAAAGCGCTGTAAAGTCAAACTATGCAACTAATTTTGCAATGAATTCCAATTCATGATCTTTGAAAGCATATCTACATACCTAAATGTGTACGATATTTAATCTGTTAGTTGTGAAGCAGAATTTATCGAAAGTTGAACTTCTATTTACACGAACACAAATTTTAAACAGAAAAAGTTTCACGGTAAAAATAAAAATAAATCGAAAAAATTCAGCAGGAAAAACACTTTGCGCTTAAATTGATACTGAAACAACAAGCGATGAATGTAAGCACTAGAAAGGAAGGAAAACTTTCTCAAAGTTATTCTCCACTTAAAATTGAACCAAGAAAATTCACTTTCGTGCTATTTAGTATGAGAGAAAGTTTGTTGATTAAGTCACATGATTTATTTATTTTCAACAAGACAAAGTTAAACTTTTCAATCAGTGTAAGTTTGATTGAATTTCTTTTTCCAGTTTTTAAAGAAATTGGAAAATTTGAAGTAAACATTTCTTGACGTTACTTTTGTACATGCCCATCGAGGTATCTATTTTATTCATGTTTGGAAAGTAAATGTCGGAGATGCGGATGGGATTTCGAACGACAAGCAGGAACAGTGCTAAAAATTTTACATCACAAAGTTGATTCAGTCAAAGTTTCATGGAAAATTCCTTATTTCACTTTAATATGACGAAAGCTTTACAAATAAATGAAAGCTACTCAAAGTATCTGATTTTATCTATAAAGTTGCAAAAAAGGAAGAAGGAAAAAACGGAACGAAAAAGCTTTTTTATTAAGCACATTAATGTGCAGTGGGGAAAATCATTCTGAGCAGCAAACTCGTTATTTATGTTATCGTTGATCTGTTTATAGGCTCATGTTTTATGCAAGTAGTCGGCACCAACATAAAATAGTTCAGTAGTCTGGTCTGAGTGAAATTAAATTCAAATCTTTTTCTCTTTCCCAGAAATGGAATTATCGAAGAAGAAGACAAATCGCTACAATAATTATGACGACATTAGTGGAGCTAATGATGAGGTAATTGAACAATGTTCTTGAAGAATTTCCTACTGAAGAAATAATTTTTCATCTCTTAAAAAGGATAACGAAGCTATCCGAAGTGAAGATCAAAACGATGACAGTCTCTTTGGTACCAATGGACGTTTGTACAAGGGTTTGCAAGGTGGTGATACTAATCTCATTAACAAAGCGTCAACATGTCACGTAGTTATCTTAATATCCATTTCATCTACTTCATTTAGTTTTATTATATCAAAAATACTGTCGAATGTGTTATAGTGATATTAATTTAAAAGTTTATTAATTTAAAGAAACCTCTTTGTAATGATAATTAATAAAATTCTGATTATTTGTTTCCCTGTGAAAATTAATCATGAGAAAAATTATGAATGCAGACAAGCTTCACTCTTTTCTTCAAAGATCAGTATCTTTAAGTAATTAATTGAGGAAAGTATTTTCAAGTCGCTAATTAAAACTTCAAGTCTGGGTTTTCACTTTATTGTGAACAAAAGCACAAAAAAAGTGGAAACATAAGAAAAAAAGGTCACAAACATCGAATTAATTTTTAATGTCCGCTTTCGGGATCGCATAACAATTTTAAGGGGATTGATTTATGTTGAACAATTTCAAAGAGAATAAAAATCTTGTTTCAGTTCTCCTTTTATTGCTCCCTTAGTAGCTTTTTGGTTCTTGTGTAAATATTTGAAATTCTAATCAAAGTTAAGAGCATTTAAATTTTTCAAAATAATGGATAATGCTCTGGCCACGACATTTTTGATACGACTTTAAATTCATTGATATAACTTATACATAAATACGTATTCTTAAACTAAAAATGTAAAGCGTTAAGTCGTTAAATTTTGTAAATATCAAGTAACAGTTGCATTTGATGCAAAACTCTACAGACTGCAATGAGTCGAATGTGTAAATAGTTAAACAATGAAATATAAGATTATGAAGCTTTTAATGTGAGCAAAGTAAGAGCAAGGAAAAGGAATGGAATACGTAGTAGGAAACGTTTTTCATTATTAGAAAAGGAGAAGTTATGCTTGCATGATGCAGCATAAAATTCATTACATTGTAATTTACCCAAATATATGCGCTTACTTATTTCAAACAATAATGGCAAAGCTTTTAATTTATCTAGGGGATACATATCAAGAAACAAAATGATTTTTGTTATGAAAGGAACAAGCAAGAAATTTCGGAACATTCTTCAGACATCTTTTTGATATTTTGCAGCATTAAAACTTGAGAAACAATAATCGAAAGTGCCAAAGATAACAAGCTATCCATGATTGCATTTTATCAAAAGATTTTTTTGTTTGTTTATGGAATTAACTTAGAATTAAAAGGCGCTCTTCTCTGTTTAACAAACTTTCGTTACAAATCGTTAAATAATTTAAATGAAACTCTGTAAATTTATGGATCTTTTGATATGAATAAACAAATGAAAATCTATTTTAGTTTCCGTAACCTCGACAACATTCTTAGTTAGTGGCTACACAATAAAATAGACAAAGAAATTAATTACAATTTCATGCAAAAAGTTTTTAATGAGAAATCAAAAGTTATATAATCTAAATAATAGCAAAATGTTTCCATTTAATCAAATTAAAAAGAATATCACAATAAAGGTATTTAGATATCTAATTTTTTGTTGCTGTACATAATAGTTGTGGTAAATAAAATCAATGTAAATAAAGGAAAAAAATATTTATCATTAAAATTATTGATCTTGTGAATTTATTTAAATTGATTTTTCATGTTTCAGTAAATGTGAATGTCGAATGAAAATTTGTTTTTGAAGCATTCATGAAGTAAAATAAATGAAATGATGTAACATCAAAGAGATTTTTTTCAACATTCAGGTGTAGATGATTCTTTATTTGTACAATTTCTATAATATTTTGATCAGCTAATGGATTTTCCTCCACGGCAACTTAAAATGCTAAAAATTCATTCACTAGATTTTGAAAATTAAAGCCGAACAAGGAAGGAAAAAAATAAATTGCTTTTAATCTCTCATGAGACTTTCAACCACAGTCGGTCCTTAAAATCATCAGTTTACATCTTCAATCTCAGTCATTGGATGCGTAAGGATGTTTTTTGTATTAAGAGAAAGTAAATAACTTTTATGAGTCTCTTGGTGGTGGGTTGTGGATGTGTCTATGAATAAAATATCAATCAAGAGATGCCTTCGACTTTAAGTCATGAATGTGCAGAAGATAGACGTCTCTGTAGATGTGGGTGAGTAAAAGTTTACTTTATTATTCCTTCTGATTGGTGGTTGCGTTGTTAACACAAAACATTTTTCGATCATTGCCTAAAAACGTGTTCACGAGTATGAAAGACGATAAAAAGAAGAAAAATGTTGATGATAGCAGAAAATTTTCTTGTTTACTTCGTTGTAAGCATCTGCCCTTCAATTGATTTTTAGTAAATATTTGATCGTCCTCTTCGTAATTCGTTTTATTTTCATTAAATTTCCAACTTTCCTTCACAGTCTTTTTTCGCTCACAACCACAATTCTTAATTGGAAACAATCAATTTTAAACTGGCTGGAGTGAAAAAGATCCTTTTCCATTTTTGTTCTATCGTCATCAATTGAAGTGAAAATCAATAGCTGAACAAATAGAAATGAAGTGTTATGTTTCGGGGAATTGTATAATCAGAAGTTGTATTGGAATGAAGGGAGTCAAACGAGAAACTATAAAAAGAAGAAAGCAAGTCTTCCCATGAGAGAGCTTTAAAAACATTTTTGTGGTGTTCCTTGCTAAAATTCAAAGCAATATCGATGAGTTCTCAACTCACAGACATTTCGATTCAGAGAAATGTTTTTGATCGCATAGAAATGGAAACTTTTCGCCTTCACCCGACACATCCTTCCCGAACTTCATTTCAACATCGGTAGAGTTCCTCTCTGGGATCTCAAACACTCATTGACATTTCCATTCGTAATGTGCAATTTCTTGTTGACAATTTTAAAGTTTTCAAATTAGCTTTCCGCATTTCACTCAAGTAAATCTTTCAAAACATGAGAAGTTTCTCAAAAGACAAAGTCAAATCACTGATTTTGATCTGATTCAAAATATTGTCAATGCATTGACTTGAATTTGATTTAATGTTTGTGACACATTAAATTGAATGAGTTAAAGTTATCTTAGGACGTCGATGATTCTTGAATAACAAAATAAATAGAGGGAAAGGCGAAAGATTTTATGTGACATAACTCAAGTTGTCGTCATCACAAAAACAGCATTCAATGATCTCTGAAACTTATTTAATTTTATGATATTTAATTTCCTGTTTTATCATTTTCCGCTTTCAATATTGACAATTCCTCTTGCCTTTTGTAAATAAAAAAAATCAATATTGATAGTTTATTTCCCCAAAGTTGTCTTAAATTCGACAAAACTTTAATACGAAATTATGCTAGGAAATCAAATCATTCGATAAATGCAAATATGAAAAGCATCATCATTTATCAAGACATTTCTCGGTTGCTTACATCTGTGTATAAAACAAACAGAAAATCACTTAAGGAACTTGGGAGCAATTTGATGTCACATTTTTTTATTCTCAACCCTACTTTACACATCAACTTTTTATGTCTGCAACGTGACGTTTCTTTCCTCTCAAAGATATTTTGTCGAAAATGTTTGGTGTGATTCTTAATTTTATTGAAAAAATAAAGAAAGGAAGTCAAGTTTTCTTATTTCATGTGATGGAAAAAAATTATTTGATGATAATTTTTATGCATCTTCAAGCTGCAAACTTTTGACATTTAAAATCTAAATCAACTTCAAAAGGAAATCAATGCAAAGAGAGAATAAATGAGACTCAATTAATTATTAATTATAATTTATCTATTGAACAGCGAGAATAATTCAAATGATCTGCTTTAAAGAATATTTTCCAGTCAGTTACAAAGTCATGCCTTGGGGGAAAATTTCCTTGCATCCGCATTATCCACTGCATTCGCAAACATAATAGATAAACCATCAGAAACTGAATTCTTCATACACAAGCATCTCTTCTAATCTACAAATGTGACTTTAACGAAGAGGGAAGGAATGAAATCACGTATCCAATATTGTAAATGTTTAATAAGATTTTGTCTGATGGAGGAAGATGCAGAAAACAGATTCTAGAATCATTCATGCATCGTAAAACAAAGCTCATGATTCGCTTCCCCAACTCTCTCGGTCATCACGATCCATCTTGAAGTTTCTACTCAATAAATTTTATGAACAATATTTCAGTTCTCCACTTTTGGGACTTTTATATCTCGTGCAAGATTAAAACTGTCATAGCTTGTTATTCAATTTTTATGGAAACATAATATTTATCATTTGAAAGTAGAAAGTTTATTACATTGTTGAGCCCTAATATTTCATAATCTTTATAAGCAGAGATTGTTGGGATGATCATAGGGAAAATTTTATGAATTTCTGTCCATCATTGAAAAGCTTTTAGAGTTTGGAATTTTTATTGCACATCGATTAGGTATTTGTGTTGAAAGATAAAAAGGTCAATCTCGTTGTTGAGGATTTGATTTAAAATAAATCACATTTAATTGTTACCCTCTTTAGAAATATTTCACGATTTCTCTTGAAACATGCTTTGTCCAGTCAATGTGACGGAGATAATATGGCTGCACCTGATTTATTGATCAGGATTTAGACGAAAATAAATTTTCATGAGCTCAGCTGTAGAAAGAATTTCATCCCAAAGTTCTTTGGATCTTTTCGCTATAAAATTGAGTAAAAACAAATATTTTATTGGGAAAAAATCGAGTGAAGTCTTTAACAAGTTGGGGACTTTTATTTCTCCCTTAACAATAAGTTGAGTTGCCGTGACTCGCCTCTTCTCTTCCAGCGAGAAACTTTTTTAATTTATTACTTTTGAATATTAATTGGAAAATTGTTGTGCAACTTTTCTTATTGCCAATGATTTGCTTCTCTTCCATCTCTAAAGAAAAGTCGTCTGTTTAACTTTAAAATGAGATTCCGAGGAAGTTTTGCGGGGAATAGAATTAATGGAGATTATTTTATGCAAAGTGAATTATCGTATTAATTTTAATTTGATTTACTTTGGTGTTTACTCTGATGGTTCTTCAAACGATGCCATGGATCTTGATATAGAAATGAAAGAAAAAAATCTTTTCATCTGAATAAATTTCCAGCAAACATTTTTCATCAATCTTTATTGAGATTCCAACTCTAGTTGGAAGTTTTGTTGGTTTGAGGTTTGTTTGAAAGTTTTGTAACAAGATATTTGAGTGATTGAAAATTTCTCAGCCTCTTCCTTATTGTTGCTCTGATAAACTCGACAACGCAACAAGAATTTCTCATCTCATAAACGATATGCATTAAAAATAATTGCAATAATTTTTCTTCTCCCATAATCTTTGCAAAACTTCCATCCATGTGGAAAGCTTTTCTTTTTTCTCTTACAGTTTAACATCCATTGTCTGTGAATATTTATATAACGTAAAAAAGAAACAATTGTGCGGTTTAAATTACGATAAAAGTAAGTAAATTTCTATTGTTTTATTTCTCTTCTTCATTCTCTGTTTTTATAAATGAAAAGCCACACAGGAACGAGAAAAATAATTTTTCCGCTATTGCGATCATCAACAATTAATGAACTTTTATCTAAATAATGTCTCGATTTGAAAGCATTCAAGTGACTCTTTTAGTCTGTTTGGCAGATGAAACTTTTTCTATGTTCAACATTCTAGCATATTTCATAAAATATGTTGAGAAATATTTCAACCCCCTTGACATAAATTATCCCTAAAGTTCATGAACTTTAAACTCCATAATTTCCAGGTGTAAAGTCGATGAATCGACAGTAATGTAAAATTAGCTCAAATCACTTTAAAAGTGAATATTCCTCGAAAACCACTCAATCATAATTTTATTCATATTGTTGCGTGTAAACAATTTCTTCCTAAACGTATTAAACAATTTGTACCGCCTTCTAGTTTCCCTTTCACTGTCTGCTGAGGGTTGAGGTTTTTGAGGGAAAAGAGTTATGAGAGGTGAAGCATTAAAAATAACTCTTTATAAATCATAAGAACAACTTCTGACATAAGTGGAAACACTAAGCTCACGTGATGTTCTGTATTAATCCATTAACGGCGTTTGCTTTTATGCATATGTGCAAGTTATTCATTGAACCGCATGTTAAAGGGAAGGAAGCAATAGTAATCTTTATTGTTTTCATTTTTTTGCCATCGCCGCTTCAGTCATGCATGCCTTTGATGCATGCAACTACTAAAATGAAAAAACTTTCTTCTCTTTCTTCTGAAGCGCTATTCAACTCGTTTCTGTGTTTAAATTGAATGTAAGTTTTCATTCGAAAACATTTCGATCATGAAGTAGGATATGAAACGTGATGGTAATATCGATAGTCTTAAATTGGCTTCAATATTTCGCTTTTTGATGTTATTCCTGTAAAATCAACATTAATCTATCGATAAATGTTTATTTAAATCCTTTCACACTTCTTCATCATCATACAAATGCCGATGTCTTCAATTAAGAAAACAATAAAACTCACAACACGATAATTGAAACTAAACGACTTAACCGTTTTATCCTCGAAAGCAGAAAACGAGCTTTAATGAGTGCTTAAGTTTTGTAAATGTTTTGTCTTGCATACTAATCAGACGAACAAAAACGTCGAGTACACTGACGATGCTACAAATAACAAACAAGCGTACTAAATGTGCCAACTAATTATTTCTATTAAAAGAAGCTAAAGACGAAATTGAAATAAGAAAAATTATTTCTTTCCCTAGATTTCTAATTCCAGTCACGTCGCTTTTGATGATGTTCATTAAAATTATCCATAATTCTTTGTTTGCCTGCTTGTTTCCCTTCTTGAAAGTGAATGAGAGACAGAGAGAGAAAGATTGCTGTTAGAGACGTGTTCCATTCATCTTGAATCATTTTAAAATTGAAAATTCACTTCCTATACGATCCTTAATGGAATCTTCCCATTTCTTAATTTATTCGGTCGAAATTTGTTGATGAAAGCAAAAAGAAAATTCCTTTTCATCTCAGATTTCTTTTAAAAAAAGGGAAAAATTGATTCGTGATTGATTTTTATGATTTTATGAGCGAATTTTTTTAGCTTTGGTGTTTTTGTTCTCTGATTGTTCCTTTTGATATTTTTTTTTTGGCATTTATGATATGTTAGAGTGAGGGTGACTAGATTATCAACTTCCAGATAAATCAATCTTTGGATGTTGATGTTTGTTCAATTATGAAAATAAATTAAAAACGTTATCAACATGAAACATATAAAAGAATCACTCAAGAAATTATTCACCCTTAATAAATAAAATGTTTCCATTTCAATTGTTAAATCATGTTTTCTTGCGTTTTGGATTGAGAAGAAGTAGATTAAGCATATCATTGTTTACCGTCAAGCATGCTTCTTCGATCTTTCGAAGAATGGAAATCTCTTTCTCTCTCTTAAACATAAGAAAACAATCCTTGAGACGAAGGAAGTTGAAACGTGATATGAATTTTTCAATAAATTTTCCAGAATATCACACATTGTTTATGATAGCTGAGAAGCTCATATTTTGAGGAAGTGAGAGCATTGGTATTTATGAAATCACGTATATATGTGATACAATGGCTGATGGCGATATGATATAAAGTTGGTGGTAAATGTTTAATAGAATTTTATGATTATTTGAGAGGAGAAAAGAAATATTTTCCTTTTCCTATTTTAAGTATGAAAATTTATGAAGATATCAGCTCACTTTTATGGCCCTTAAGAAAAATTGTGAAGAAAAGGGCGCTCATAAAGGTTGATAATTACAAATTTATCACTTTTCTTCGAGAAAGGAAAGGGTTTTCTTCTCAAACTTTTCTTCTAATTAAAATCCTCACGTTTACCTCATGAATTACGTCGTATGTCGCTCATATCATTCACTCTCCTTCGTGTGATATTGCGAATGAATTTAAATGAAAATTCATATCACATTCGCTTTTATTTCGTCGTTAAATTCTATCACTCTTCTAAGGGTACGACGTTGTTCGCCTTTAGAGCTTTACTAGCTGCTTCTGAGGGTATTAAAGTGATAATCTTGGAAATATCACGAGCTTATATGAGGAAAGAGAGAAATTAATTTTAATGATGAAGAAAAAAATCATCTGATAATGAAAAGAGTGAGCGGGATGGAGACAGAAACTTGAGATATGGTTTCGTCATTAACTTGCATATATAAAGTAAAGATATTTTGATCCTCAAGTTTGTAAGCTTGTAAGGTGTTAAATATCATTGAATGGAATGTGATGATAAGAAACTGAAAACTATCTAATCAAAAACTTTCATCTTGTTTCATTAGTTGATGAGAAAATTGAGGATTTAAAGCTTCACAAAGCAAAGATAATTTCTATCTTCTGATTATGTTGTAAATGTTCAGTCTTCTTTCGACTTACCATACGAAGAAAGGGAGCAGCAGTGAATTCTTTCAAAATTATTACGTTTCAGAATTTTCCATGATTAAATTTTAATTTAGAAAAGTTTCATCTTCTTCACTTCTTTCAACCTAATTCTTCAACTTAGTTCATACTTCATATTCCTTTCAACCTCCCTTCGTTTTATTTATGTAGCATTTATTCATGCTTGCTTCATTTTCTTTCTCCCCTTCCCTTTCCATTCTAACTTTTCAAATTCCCTTGTAAATTCCTTCTCATCAAAAACCTTACTGTTTGTTACTGTGTTCACTCGTTGATAAGAGTGGGTTTGCGTTAAGAACTTCATGTCGAGCACACTTGACATAAGAGGAAAGAAAACTTGACGTTAAGTAAGAGAGTTTAACGCTTCTCTTGACACAGAATCAATTCGATATCACAAAACAGTGGAATTCAATTGACTTGAGCTTGTTTGTATCTCGATTTGTCTTTCAACATGTCGAGATAAGACAAAAGATTTCTTTTTACTTTTTAAATAAAAGAACATTCAAAATGTTTTAGAAGATTTCAATTCAAATTCACGTACATGTATGGATGATGAAGAAACTAAATAATTTAACTTTATTGTTGCAATCTTTCTCTCAGCTTTTCTTCTTTAACTGAGAAATTTTAATGTACTACTTATGTATAAAATTTTATTGCTACTTCCTGTTGTTATTACTTGCCATAAAGACTCAAAGCGGGCTCACAGAAAATTACTTCTTCTTCCGGACGATAAAAGAAACAAAAGAGATGAAAAACATTTCGGATTGTTGAATAACATAGAAATGAATTATATGAAGGAGGGTGCATTTCTAATACGATATATGAGGTCGTGTAATCATGTTCTCGATTCTGTAGATTCAGAAAAGTGTATAGAAAGCAATAATAGAATACATTAAATATTTTTTATTGCTGAAATATGATAAATAAGTTTCTCGCAATTGTTATCTTTATGAACTTTGAAATGATCTGAATTTAGATGTGTAAAAATGAAATCCCCAGGTAGCAGCTACAGTTGGAAATAATTCGATTGGCTTTCTCATTTAATAATATTATAATAATTTGAGACTTCAAAGGGACTAAAATTTTTGAGTCAATTTAATTAACGTTTACATGAGAGCACAACATAAATTTGTTTTCAGCGGGTTTATCGCCGCATGATTTATTTTCATGATGCAACTTTTATGTTTTTGTTTTTTCCAGTCTATGGTGAAAGCTAACAGCATGATGTGAAAAGATTTTTTTAGTGAAAAATGTTTGCATTAAATGAAACACCATCAATGACGATCCGCACATTTGTTGTGCCATCCTCGACAGTGGCTTCCGGCCTGTAAATTAAATGAACTTCCCTAGACAGAAAATAAAAAACCGCACAGTGTATGGCGAATTTTATTGTTTCTCTTTTCCTTTATCCTGTTGTTAAATGAACAGTTTACACAATTTATACCAATTTTGTGTCAGCTCATGATTATTTATTATCATTAATTAAACAATCGGTTAGAGTGAATTAATTTACTTTTTTAATTGATTCAAAGAAGCTCGTCAAAAGTGAGATTGAAATTCTAGCAAAGTTCATTAATTTTGTTTAAATGTTAATAAAATTTTTAATCATATTTATGTTTAATGGAATATTAAAATCAAAAATTTTAATCTCGTTGCATGAAATGTCACTAAAATCGTCCCTCGTGGAGAGCGGAAAATTTTCATTGTCAATTGATTTTCCATAACTTTCGGATTGTCCGCTGTACAATTTTCATCTCACATTGAACGATTCAAGTTGATTATCAATGCTGAAATACCTTAGTGTGTACATAAGCATCAACATAACAATGCACAGATAACAAATTCAAATAAAAATTTGCCTTTCCACCTTTCGTCGCTTAGGTTAAAAGTCGTCGACATGTTTGCGAGATATCATGTTGCAGAATCTCCCCAATTAAGTAAAATCTCCCCGACTATAATGCAAACACGAGGGAATCAAGTCCAGACGGATCAAGTTTCAGGAAACATAATCTCACACACAGCACCTCGACTATTAAAGTTTAATCACGTTTTCGTTACACAAATAAACCTTTTTCCATTTTGCTCTTTCGATGCTTTTCCTTTGCAGTTGGCATCAAAATGCAAACAGAACAGCAGCATTTTCAACTTCCTAGCCAATGGTTTTTATTTGCTTTAATAAGTTGCCTCTGCGTTTGTCGTTCATCGTCTGAAGTGGCATTGAAAACGAAAGCTGAATATTAAAAAGCAGTTAATTTTAATTTTTTTATTTTATTCCAAAGCTGATGCTTCCGTTGCTCCAATGGTTAATTGCTAACACCAGTATATGTATGGTTGCGAAAGAAAACACAAGGGAACATTGTGTAACGATATAATAGGTCATGGATTCGAAGCAAAAGGAAAACGTAATACCGACCAGATTTCATTTATTTATGATTATTCTTCGGCATGACTTTCACACTCAGTGTAGAAAGGAAACCAAGCGAACGCAAATAACAATAAATTTCCGGTTAATATTTTAATACGATTCCCAACTATGGAAAGGATCCAAAAGGATTGTTTGTCTGCATCCCGACTTCCCACTTCCCCATTCTATATTTATATTGTTTCAAGACAAAAGGCACAGTATCAAACATATATTCATACAAAGATTCATTAAATTAAATGTCTAATGGTTTTTATATTTCACTTCAGGGTCGAGCAGACTCTCAGTTAGTGTAAACTGAGGTGTGTGAGTTTACAAAGTAACACTCAGTCATTTAATACCTTTTTTAATTAAATTCTCCCATTTTCAATTATAAAATTCACATTCAGTCAGGAATGCTGTTGTTCGATGCTATTTGTTAATGTTTTCCTATTTAGCTATGATGGTCACAACTTTCATCAAAGAAATTATTTCTTTTCTTTTAAAAGTCAGAGAATTTACTGCAGCTATAAATTGACGATCAAATGAAGGAAGGAATGTTAAAGCGAGCAAACACTAACGATTGACCGAATGATAACAATTGAGAATTTACTCAACGATTTGTGGCAGAACGAAATTGAACAAGGGAAGAGAATAATTGGATAAATTCAAAAACATGCTATAAACGGATTATCACTTTCGTAACAACATTAACACATTTTCCTATTTTCCCTTCACGCCCTCCGCACTTCTTATCTGTTTTCTGTGCTCTTCGTTTCGATTACTGTAGAATTTTATGCTTTGTAAAGCAATGAGACATGACCGAACGACTTTCGGTTATTGTCGAATGGCATAATTCTCTCGACAAAGTGTGCTTACTGTCATTGAATCTTGAGCAAAGCGTTTGAGCATGAAAAGGGACACCAACAACACAACAACCTAAATAAATGTAAAGTAAAATTTAATGACACTGACAAAGTTTTGTGTCATTCACTTTTGCTTAAGGTGAGAGTTGAGCTTTATATTTATACAAAGCCAAAGAAACCTTTACGTGTCACTTTCATTTAAATCTTTGAAAGTTTTTCTACTAGAAGGGGATTTTACTTTAAATATTTTAGAAGAGATTTCCACATTTTTTTAAAGGACTTTAATTCGAGGGTCACGTAGTTCAATTGATTTTCTTTTCCTTCTTCAGATTCTCTTTGTCAGTCTTTGGTTCACTGCAGATTTCATTAGCCCTTTTTCTTCCCTCTAAATCAACGTCTTTAAAACTTTATCTTTCTTTCAAAATAATGAAGAGGAAGTCGCAAGATTTATGCATGAGCCCAATCAGTTTGAAGACTCAATTTTGTAGAAACACAATTCTCAAAACTTTTTGTCTCTTCTTCAAATTAACTTTAAATTTACTTTGATTGCTGGGGCGGAGGTGAGAGTTTCATAATAAAAATTGCCTTCTCATTTTATTTTTTACTTCTTTTCATTGTCACGGTATCGCGGATGCTATTAATTTTCTAAATTGTGATGCGCGAAACATAAATTAATTTCCTCGAAAATTTTCCATCGAAGGAAGATTTTTCGTCTATTAAAATATACCTAATTGAATTTATTTTAAATTTCATTTGATGATGAAAATAATGGAGAAATTTTTCAAAAAATAAAATAAAATCATTTTCACTTTTTTGATAAGACACTGATGTTAACTAAGAGAATTTTATTATTGGCATTATCTATTTTGAGTAGAAAAACTCGAATCTCAGATCTTCCTTGTTCATTCGTGCTTTACATTCTCAACACGACATTTTCGAAAAAAAATTCTCCTCGTCATGGAGGGGAATTCGAGTTCGAAAATCGATGGGCGGGGCTTGGAAAAGCTTTTTAAAGCCGATGAATTTTAGAGATGAAAATTGTTTTGAATTGATCGACTTAACTTTTGCTGCATATTTGAATCTAGGTTAAGGTGAGTGCTACTTTCACTTTCTATCAATATAAGGTGAAGACCACAAATTGGGATTTGACATCATATCAGTGCAATTTCATTATTTTCCTGTTGTTATTTTATTGCATAAAAGTGCAATAATTGAATGTATAAAATGAACATTTTTCATTCCATAATCATTTCAATAATTACTTTTACCTTTCTGCTTTAAAGACATTTAAAGGATAAGAAAAATCGTGCATCCACAAAGCTAATTGAAAATTTATTCAATTACATTGAAGTTGGTTTTATGTTTTGCTTTTCTTTAACTCGAGTAAGTTTTGTTTTGATTTAGAAAGGAGTTGAAATTATATAAAGAAAGGAAGTTGATGAAGGGTAGAGTCTTATACATGCTCCATTATTCACAATTATATGGTAAAACGAACTTGACTTCACTGCTTTTGTTAAACCACAAATTCTTCCCATACAAAAATGAAAATGTTTGCTGTTAAAGGTGACCAAGCATTCATTTCAAATCCTTTTGATAGTCGACATAACTGACATTCAACTATAGAGTGTGCATGAAATGACTAATCCAAACATTTATTATGGGATTTTCTGAATAGTTTCCTTTTCATTCCAATCTAAAGTGCCATGGCATTAAATGGGATACTTGTGTAAATAAAAGAAGCAAGCGCAACAGGAAATAGATTGAAGATTTATGTCTTATGTTGGATCAATGAACATAGATTCTATTTGCTTCGTTTTCCTCAATTGTTTTCACTTCTTATCATGCTTTTTTACTGTTTGTCAAACAGGTTTTTTCCTAGATGATTTTTTGTTCAAACGATGAAAGTTAATTCAACTTTTCTTTTCATTCACCTACATAAGTAGGAAAGTTGTTGAAAAGATCATTCATGGACATCAACAGAGATTTGTTGGCACTTTATTCTGTTGATATTTACCGGGTGGAAAAGAAATATTCTTTGAGTACATTTGTGAGGATTTACAATTTTTTATTTCTAAAGAAAGATTTGATGGAAGAAATTCGTTTTTATTTAAGATCGTGTTTGCACAACATTGTTTCATTCAAATAATAGAAGAGCAGATAAGGTCAAAAGATTTAGAAAATACTTAGAAATACTGTAAAGCCCTTGAAACAACTTATGTCGATACAGCACGATTTTTGGGAATGTAAACAAAAATTTCTCACTTGTTACATCTCGTCTGAAATTTATTAAAAGTTGATGAGAATAGCTTTTACCGAGAATCAACAGGAAAATTATGAAAAGTCTTTTAAAGTTCAACAAAAGTTGTCCCAAATTTTCATTTACTTTAAGACCCAAAAGGCAAATCATTTTACTTTATGATACTTCAACCCCCCGAAGCAAAAGGAAGGGAAAAATAATTTCCAAAGATAAACAAAAACAAATTTCATTAACATTTTCTTTTAACTTATCTTTAACCGCATAATGTGTAAGATGTTGGTGTGAACGAATATATATTTGACATGAAAATCGATAATATTTCCCTTTTATAATATTTATGTACGTGCTGTGTGGATAGAAAGAAACTTTAAACAGTAAAAGATGATTTTTTTGCTTTTTTCTTTCACGCATTGTTGCCTCTTACGTCAGATTATGAGCAGCAAGGGAAACTCTCAAGTTGAGAGAATGGAAAAAGTTTTTCCGTTTTCCTTTTCTTTTACCCATCATATTTTGCCCTCGTTCACAGATATTTAAATAAAATAACTAATTTTTCATGGAAGTAAAGGAAGAAGAACATCCCAAAAATATTTTAAGCTCTTTTTCCCGCATTAAACACAACAACGAGTGAGTAAGTAGATACGAAAAAGAAGGAAAAAAGAAAATATGAAGAAACGAAATTCCTTTCGAGAGCATCGGCAGTAGAATTTAAAGAAAAAAAGAAACTGGAAGAGCTTCTTCAACAACCAACCATTCATTATTAAATTTCCAACTCTCTGAACGAGCAGCTTTGCTTGCTCTTCGGGACGTTCATGAGGTCTCATCTCGTCTTTCATTATATTGCATTCCATTCGCCTGAGAAGCTGCTGTTGTTTTTCTGTTATTTAGAGCGAAAAAATGGTTTTTGTGGCAGTTGGGAGGGAGAAGGGATTATAAATTCATAGTTTTCTTTCCGTCATTGAACGAACAAAATATTTTGACGACAAAAAAAATTTAGCTGAGACAGTTAAAAAAAATATGTTCGCTATAAAAAGCACATTAAAAGGAAGCTGGAAAGAGAGTGAAAAACTGCAGATTAATTTCATAGAGTTTGACAATTTATTATGCTGTTCTAAGTATGAGCGGAAATGAAAAACTTTTTCTCACGACGTTGTAAACTTTTGTTACAAAAACTAGTCGAAATGAAGTTTACACAAATTTACAAATTAAATTGTTAAAGTTTTTATCTGAAGCAATAATAAAGTTGTTTCATTTTGATGATGTCTTATTTGTGATAGGAAGTAGAAATTTTACAATCCCTGTGAAGATTGCTCTTATTTATGACGTCATTTGCAATCAATCCCTAAAACTGTTTTTTAAAGCTCTCAAACACATAAAAGTAGTCACTTTTACCTTTCATATCACAGAATATTCCATCGTGAAGCAAGAAGAAAAACATAAGTAAACTTTTCTCAAGTGAAAATAATGGAAAAACTTTTCTTTTCAACATTCTTTTGTTTGAGCAAAGCGTCGAGAGGATGAAAGAAGAATGAAAAACATTTTTTTTTCTCTTCAAATAATGCGAAATAGATCCTTATTATGCTTGGAATATTTTTTTTAAAGTTCACGGAACTAAGTTATATCAACGTGAATAACATTTTTCCTTTGCTTTCCTTTATCCCTTTTGAGAAAGAAATTGTTTGACAACTCATATCAGGCTCAAAACAAGGAAAGTTCAGTTTCAAGTATGCAAAGTAGAAGAAAAAGAAAGTTTTCCTTTTGATACTTATATGTATGTGCGATGTATACAAAGAAAGAGTTCATTCGAGGGAGAGAAAGACTGAAAAGGAAACTTTTTCGTTTTGTTTAATTTGATTTTGATTTCGTTTGATGTTGCAATTTCTTGAGCTTACTTTAAGCCATGAGAAATGTTGAAGATTTGTGAATGAGCTTTAAATTAGCATCATTTTGGGTATTTCTGAAATAATTTTAAATCTAATCAAACAAAGAATCTTTAAATGTTTTCTGACTTTATTCAAAAATATGTTTTCGCTTACTTAAAAAATAACAACAATAAACTTGATTTGCACATAAATATTTATGAATGTTTCGATTTCCTTTATACCTAGATTAACACCATTAATAAAAATATTTTCTCAATCATAAAAACTTTTCTTTAAAAATATTTAACATTCGATTAAAAAGCTCTACATTGTCATTGCAACTATTGGCATTTCTTAAATATTTTCGTATTCGTCCTACAAGTTCAATTCAAAACTTATGAGATAAGCAACAGAAAATGATAAAATTACATTAAAAAATAAGTTTCAATTGTCAATTGTAAATATTTAAAGTTAAATAAATAAGAAAAATTTATTTACATTTGAAAAATTGTTAGTTTTAAAGGTCATCGCGACTCATCAAAATATTTACAAAATATTTTTAGATTTAAATTTAAACAAGAAAAATTAAAATGCATTTTCGATAAATATTTAATTAAGATTTTTAGAAAAAGTGAATCAGTTCAGTTTATTTGTTTATTGCATGAAGACTTAATTAAGTGTGTGATGAAATATGACTCGATTTATGTCTCTTCCTTCTCTTCCATGACTCTTATAATGAATCAAAACCTGATATGTCACTTCCCTGCAAAAGAATTTAAATTTCAATTTAATTAATTTCATAAATTTCTTTTCTCAATTTTTATATTTATTTATGAATGTCAGTATACTCTGTCTGTTGATGGCTTGTAGAGATGTGTATGTGGCAGCAAAACTGTTGATCCCAAGTCTCTTTCTGCCATCGTGTTCATCTCCTGAAACATTTCAATCATCAAAATTAAATCAAGCTTAATAATTTTAATCAATTTTACTTCATTGTTTGTATGCGATGTCTGTTTGAAGTAAAGATTTCTGATGGCTTTGGTTGGTGGTTGAATCGTTGTCTCATCATAAGAACGTGCTTCAGACATAGCTCTAAAATGAAAAGTTATTTATTTAATTCCATTTTCTAAATTATCTTAAGCTGCTGATTAAGTTTACAACTCTGTGTTGTTTCCATTTTCCAACCAATCGTCCATTGAGTCTATTAAGTTTCCATGACTGTCAAAAACAAGAAGAATTGTTGGAAGAAATCTTCAGTTTAATTAATGATTGTCGTCTCACCTATAGCTTTTCCTTACAACACTAATTTGTGACTTCTCGTCATGTTGCAACTTTATCGGTTGCTCGGACATTGTACTTATTTTATGGACGGCATAATATTTACTGCCAACTTCTGTGACATTTAAATGACTCGATGCTTTACTTATTCGATTCTTATTCGCATTGTTCTTATTGCTATCATTGCTTGAAGAAGCTCCACCATTACCAGCACCACCACCTCCAGCTGCTGATACTTTGAAACCAGCTGATACTAATGCTCCAGGATTCTTAGGTTGTTGATAATTTGATTTCTCACATGGCACATTCTAAAAAAATTATTTTATAATGATTCCATAATTAAAACTTTACTTCTTGCATACATTTTTAGACTTTGATGTCGACGGACTAGCATCGAGATAGTTGATTAATTTCGTTTGATTTATACTCGCTTGTGATGAACTTTTTGATTTATATCCTTCAACATCAATGAGATTACCGGATTTTGTTTGTTGTGGATGATATTTAGCTCTTGGTATCATCACTGTTAAAGATCTGTCACGCTGATCCATTGTTGAAGCTTTGCTGAATGATCCCAAAGGATTGTTTATCGTCGATTTCTTTTTCTTCGGTCCAACAGCTTCAATTGAAAGCTTTCGAATGCTTTCTTCGTTTGATTTCTAAAACAAAGATTTGAAGTTAAGCAATTTCATTATAAAGATTGTCAACTGACCTTTCTGAAATAAGGAACTGGCTCGGATTCTAAACTAACTTCACTACTCGTATCTTGAATCATTGCTTTTCTATCAGCTTGCGAACTGACACTTTGATGTATTGATCCACTGATTCGTCTTTGAATGATGTTCATTGTTGGTGCAATTGAATTTTGATTAATTCGCTTCTTCTTCACACATGTTATAATCAGACAAATCATCAGCAACATGAACAATGTTGTTCCAATGACAATCAAAGCGAAAAGAAGCACTAAAATAAAAACAAAAATTGTCAAAAGAATTTCTTTAAATTATTTAAAAATGTTTCATACATTTCAAGTTAACTTGACAGCTTTTTCCGGTGTACCATTGGAAGCATTCACAATTAATTTGATCGTTTGCTTTGGTGATGCAAGTTCCATGATAATGACATTTCTCACATCCAGTTTGTTCTGGAACACAAACACGACCAGGATAAATTGGATTCTCTGACTCATCAGTGAAGCCTTCTTTGCAACTGCAAGTATAAGTTCCTAATAGATTGAAGCAATGTGAGAAGTCGGAACAGTCATGACTCTTATCATCGCCTGAACATTCATCGAAATCGTAAGTATCAAGATCAGCGGTTAATGGATTCGCATACAGATCAGTTCCGCCAAGATTAAAGTTCGAATGTCTTAAATATTTCTTCACAGTTTCTTTCAACTTCTTCTCGTTTGTATTCTCAGATAATTGCACGAACATTTTTCCAACAACACCGTCATCAAGACGTGAAGAGTTGAAGTCAATTATTTCAATGCTGTGGTAAATGTCACGAAGATCAGATTGCATTAACATGCGATCGACGCCTTCATGGGTGATCTTTTGCAATGTTGTGTAGTTGTCAGAGTTTTTATCAACAAGTGATTCATCAAATCTCAAACGATCTTTACCGTTTCTTGTGAGACCAATCTGCATGATGTACGTGTAGATAGCTGAAAATAAAATTCAGATTGACTTAAAAAAATAAGAAATAAAATTTTTAAATGCAACTCACGTTTACAAGGACGGTCAGGGAACATTCTTGCAAATCCTGGTCGACAAACGCATCTCATTTGATTAACAACACGATGACAATATTCATTTCGATTACTGTTGCATTCAGGGAAGCATTGATCACTGATTGCAGCTCCTTGTTGGCTTTTATCTAATTGTGGTGGTGATGCAATTAAAATTCCACCAAGAAGAATGTGATCAGCGCCGTCATTTGTTTCTTCTTCATCAATGCTCACATCGTCATTGTCATGAGATGAAATATTGCGATGTGGTGGTGGTGATGGCGGCGGATTTATAATTGAAGTGTCAATGTTGAATATTCCACCTTTCTTCTTATCAGTCATCACAACAAAAATACTTTCATTTTCATCGCTTGAAATCTTCGGAATTTCGTTGCTATTCGTTCGATGAATTGTTGTGTCGTTTCGATCATCATCATAATTAATGATGAACTCGTCAACGTCTTCCGAACTTATAAAACCTTCCACAATCTCTTCAGTTGTTGTTGATGGAATTGGATATGCCGTTGGCGCTGTCGTTTCATGGATGATCGGTTGAATATGAGTTGCGCTTGGATGAATGGATGTGATGATTGTTGGCTTAAGAAGAGTTTCCGTCTCTGTGACAGTCTCAAAGACGGTTTCTGTTTGAACTCTTGTGGTCGTGATTGGAATGCCATGACTTCTGTTAATCACTTCCGTCTTTGTTTTAGCCAAAGTGATCGTCTTTGTGTTTGTGACGTATTTTGTTGAAACTTTAATCTGATCATGGAAAGATTTCGTTCTATTTTGTGGAACTTTCTTGTCAATGTTTGTCGATGAAATTGGAACTCGTGATCGTGAGAAGCTTGGTTGTTGTTTCCGACGAACTGATGAAACTGATGACGATATTGAAACTGATGAACTGATAATTAAAGGTGTCGTTGATATTTCATTTACAGTTTCAACAACATTCAAAACTGGCGTTGCATTAATGGAATTCTTTTCAGTCTCTAAGTGGTCGACTGTCTCCACTGATCCAACAATCACTTCATCTCTCTTGTTATCAGAAATTTTCTTTTTATCTCCAACTCCTTGTTTAAATTGAACAACAACATCAAACACATCTTGTTCTTTAACTGGTTTCGGTGTCGTGTATCTGCTGAATGTTGGTCTGAAACTTACAAACTTGGGTGTTGAATGATTTGGAGCTTCAGATGTTGTTGGAGGTGTAAATCTACTTAAACTGATTGCTGGTCTTTGAACATTCTTATAAGGTGGTTTTAAAGGAACTTCGTTGTTATTTGGCGGTGATGGCGGTGATGGCGTAGGTGGCTTCATATCTACAATCTCTTCAAACGGAGATGAAGTTGAATGTTTAACTCCAGGTGCTGGCGGTTTCATATTCTCCAATTCACTTGGTGAGATTTCAAGTCGAATGCCAGTTGATTTGAAAGTTGTCACTTCAGGATGTCTTACAATCGTATGATAAGGTTTTCTAATTGATGGTGGAATCAAGTCAATATCGTCTTTCTCATGATGTTGTTTAATGAATCCGTGATTCAATGGATTGATGCTTTCTTTGCTGTCGAAGATATCCGACACCTCATCAGTGACAGTTTTGTTTCTATCATTAGCTTCAACTTCACCAATATTCAAATCATTCTTCGTTGTTGTTGTTGGTACAGCAATCAAGAACTTCTTCTCCGTTGTCGGTATCGTTGTTGTTGTTCTTTCAGTCGTTGATTGCGTAATTTTAACACTCGATGATTGTGTTGTTAGCGATGGTTTTGTTGAATAATCTTCAGTATACTTAGGATTGAAAGGTTCTTCGGTTTGCAAATTGCTAGAAACTCTTGAATCATCTGGCATTGGATCGATTGGCATTGAAATCTTGAACGTTGACTTATGGAACGGATGAGTTGGTCGACGTGAGAATTTTGGTGGTGACGGTGGTCGCATTGACTGTGAAAGCGTGTTTGCTGTTGGTATCTTGAAGTTGGGCTTGAATTGAACGCCAACTGTTGGGACACGTTGATATTTATTGTGGTTATTGTTTGTTGCAAGAAGTTCATTCACCGATTTTGGGAGGTTGTCGAACTGAAGATTTGGATAAGGCTTTGGTTTCTTATAAATCGGCGCGTTTCTCTCAGTTGATGAAGCGAATCTTTCAGTCGAATATGAATTGTAAGAAGATCTTCGTGTTGTTGTGGTTGACGAAGTTTTTTGAGTTGTTGATGTCGTTGGTGAATCCGTGCTTGAAGTTGACAAAGCTGTAATTTTATGATAAACAAAATTATCGAAATCTTCAATCACTTTCACGTCGTCGTCTTCAAGAGATTCGTGATTTTCTCCGCTCGGAAGTTTGGGATAGTTGATTGACTCTTGCACAACTTGACCATCAGTTTCGTTCTCGTTTTCCGATACTTCATGACGATTACTTTGACCTTGAATTGAAGTTGGCTTTGTTGGGAGGGAAACAACATTCTGATGGAATTGATTGTTGTTGTTGATATGCTGTCCATAGTTGCTTGATAAAACAATGAAACCTGACTCTTGATTACCAGAAGACTGATGATAAACTGGAACATTTTGAGAAGAGTCACTTGGTCGAACATTCTGAGTTTGATGGTGTTGTTGATTGTGTAACTGGAATTGTTGCTGTTTAATTTTCATGTCTTGAATGAATTTTTGTTGCTGTTCAAATTGTTGTCGTTTATTTAAATCATTTTGAATCTTCTGTTGATGTTCGTATTGTTGTTTCATTTTCTGATCATGAATTCGCTTCTGATGCTCGATTTCTTGTCTTCGCTTCTGATTTTCTATTTCTTGCTGTCGTTTATGATACTCAATTTCTTGTTGTCGCTTCTGTTGTTCGATCTGCTTCTGTCTTTGCTCATATTCCACTTGCTTTTGACGTTCATATTGACGCTTTCTATCGAGTTCAATTTGCTTCAAATGATTTTGTTCTTCAATTTCTTTTCTCTTTTGATCTTCAACCACTTTCTGATGATGTAAAAACTCTTGTCGTTTCTGATTCTCAATTTGTTTTTGCTTCAATTGTTGATCAATTTGTATTTGTTGAAGTTTCTGCTGATTAATCAATTGTTGTGTTGTATGTCGATTATAATTTTCATTTGAATCTTGATGGAATCTTATGACATTATTTGGAACAACATTCACAGAATGATGAAGGAAATCGTGAGGTGGTCGACTGATTGTCGGTCTTATGTTGGTGCCAACGAAGCCACCGGTGTCACTCGGTGAAAGATGAGGTGCGAATGGTTCTGACGACACAATAATATTATCTTTGACATCATAATGAACTTTCTGCCCATAATTATTTTCAATGTTTTGAGAGTATCCTTGATATTTGCTACCTTCAATGTCAGCTAATAAATTGACACTTTTTATTCCGACCTCTGAGTTTGCATGCGGTGGTGACTCATTGAAATATTGACCAACTTTATGAGCTTTATGAACACCACCAAACACAAGAATCGAACTACTTCCATGAGGTATGACTACGTTGGCAACTTGCGATGGTTGAATGTCAACTAAAAGCGGCTGACCTCTCGTTGGTTTATCAAGAATTTCTGGAAGCTCATGAGTTATGATTGGAGTTCCACTATGGGAGTTGAATTGATGCTGATTATTCACTGTAATTATCGGAAGGTCTGTGCTGTACACTTCAGGAATTTTCTGAATTTCAATGACATTCGTGTGTTGATTATTTGGTCGACTGTTGATTTGTGCATTGTGAATCTGATGTTGATGCTTGAAATTTTCATTACTTTGTAGTGGGTGGTGATGATGATGATTGTGATGACCATGATGATGCAGATGATTATGATTGTCACGATGTTGTTGATTTCTGAATGGCGGAATGTTTTGATCAACTTTCAATGGATCTTGATCTCTGAAATGATTCAATTGACCTCTGATTGGAAGATTGTTTTGCTGATTAATTTGTACAAAATGATTATTGACTTGAGTGTCTTGTGTTGGTGGCGGAAGCTTTTGAATCAAATTGATTTGTGGTCTGTGAAGTGATCCATGATTTTCATGATGTTGTGGTCGCATCATTGGAGTAATGTTGGGTTTGCCTTTCTGAAGATTTTGATGTTGTGGATGACGAATGAAGGAATTCAATGGAATCGGTTTATGTTGAGCTTGTGCTGGAATGTGAATTTCCTTTGGCGGGACAGGTCCAAGATAATCATCGCCTTTCTTAATTGTCACATGATTAATGTTGCCATTAGATTTTATGTCTTTTACAAATGATGATGGCCTTTGTGGAGTTTTCAGAGGTACAAATGGCGGTGGCGCTCCCATTCCAATAATTTCAACAGGCTTGTTAGTATTTGGCGGCAGTTGAGGTCCAATAACTGCAGGCTTTCCAACAATTACATCAGAGTTTGTTGTTATCACTTCACCTGGCGATATTGCTATTCCCGAACCCATCATTGAAGCATGATTGTGATGATGATGGTGATTCAATACACCTTGTTGATTACCACGTACAGGAATATAAAGTGGATGCGTGTTCTTTGCATCTGTTTGACTAAGAATGAAATCTTGACTTTCCTGACTGAATAACGGCAAAGGCTGCGGCAATTTTTCATTTTCTATTATTTCAGGTCGATGTCTTTTTGGTGGCGTCAATAAAGGTTGAACAACATGTTGTGGAGTTTGAACTTTCGTAAGAGTTGATCCACCGAAGTTGTTTTGCAGAAGCCCTGCCATTGCATTAATTACTGGCCCTAAAGCTGAGAAGCTTGGCAAGCTCGGCAAGCTTGGCATGTTGATGCTGTTTAAAAGTGACGGAATTTTTAGAGAACCACCACCAATGTTTGATGAAACTGGTTTGGGTTTCGCGATTGGTGATGGAACTCTAATCGGCTGCTGCTGTTGCACTTGTGGTTGATGATTATGAACCACAACGTTGTTCTCTTCACTTGCTGTTGAATCCGAAACCAAATTCTCAATTCCTTCCGATGAGAACAGCAATGAAGCTGGTGACAAATCATTACCTGCTGCTTCTAAATCATTTGACTCAACACTCACAGCTTTTGTTGCTGTTGCATAATCGATCGGCTTTAAAATATTTGCAGCAGTAATTTCCAACTTTTGTCCATTGTTAAGAACGATTCTCGTTTTTAAGTCATTCTTCTCACCATCGAAAAGATGTTTACTGATACTTGAAAGAATGTTTACAGGAATCATTGATGACGCAATGGATTCGGTGATCACATTCTCAATTACTCGTGTATGTGAATCTACAGTAGTCGAAATTTCGCCTTGGTTGTCGACTGCATTTTGCAGCAAGGTTGTAAAATAGGTGAAAGTTGTTAAATAGGTTTTCGTTGCATAGAGATGTAATGGCACTGCAGTGCCACTTGCAGGTTTCTGATCAATTTGCGATGGATTTAAATCAATTGCATTAGTTTTCTTAATATAGTTGTGTGCTTCCGGTTCGGAATCGTCGTAATCATTGTTAGATGGAGAAAGGCCATCATTTTCCGATTGATCGAGTATTTCGTGACTATTCACGAATGTTGGACGACCATGGGGCAACGATTCTGTTACAATTACTTGCGTAATAACATCTTGAGTATTAATAACTTTAGTGATATCATCGTCATTGATGGTCTTTGAAAACTCAACTGTGCTGTAATAAGTGTTTGTTTCGTAAACGGGACTCGCTGATGGCGATGGTTGTATCATCCGCAAATAATCATCGGCAGCTGTAATTGTGTTGACAACTATATGCTTTGAAGTGGCAACGATTGGAATGTCGTCATCCATTATCGTGTTATAATATGTGTAAGTTGTACTGAAATGCTCAACCTTTAAGTTTGGCGTCTGGAAAAATTATGTAAAAAATGTTTCATACATCGATGTACAGAAATAAAAATGTTGTGTTTGTAATTTTAATAAGAAAAATTTCAGTTTTTCATTAAGTAATTCCATCATTAAAATAGAAAATTTTCTGCTGTTCAATGCTGAAACTGAATTTTCTTACCAAACAAAACAAAAGAAGTTAAATAAAAATCTGAAAATCTGTAAACAAAAAAGAAACAACATAACAACCTTGAAGAATGTCATATCAGATGCAATTAAAGGTGTCAAATTTTGGGTATTTCGTTCCTCCGTTGCAATATTTGAAATCACTTTCTCACGACTCTCGATGGTCGTCGATCCATTGTAAGTGTAAGTTGTCAAATAAGTGTATGTTGTGAGACATGTTTTCGTTACGAAACGATTCAATATCGCATTCTCGGGAATATTATCAATCTGTAAGGAAGAGAATTCGATGTTTATGGTTCACAAGCCAACAAGAAAACATGAAAAAAATTATGTAAAAATAAGTCTTTAAGCTTTCGACATCGTTCAAGACCGAAAATGAAAGTGAAATCAGCATTTTTTGTTTTGATTTTTAATAATTCAACAGACGAGAAACGGTCATTTAAATAAATACGTATGTAATCTACTGAAATGTTTGGAGAAATTTTTGACTTTTACCTTCGGATTTTTTCCCAGTGTCATGAGCATCATGACATTGTTGAGTGTGCTTGGTGCCAAGGTTAATGGACGATTATACTTTTTGCTATTTGTTAATATTCGAAAGAAATTTGGTTCGCCAGGTAGCGTCGACTTTCCATCAGCAACAATCACTTCAACACCATTTGACATCACACGTGTCGCAAGATTGTAACGAGCTTCATCTTCACCTCCTCCCCCGCCTTCATTGACATGATGCTGGGTGAATTTCGTAAACTTTCTTCCATTCTGGTGTAAAATTCCTTCTGGTTTTGTGGTGATATTTCTTCTTGCTGTAAATGTGCGATTATGAAAAACAACCAGGGAGAGAGAAAGAGAGAGAGATGAAGAGACGAGAAAAACATTAAAAACTCTTCAATGATTCTGTGGTTTGCCAAATGTTAGGAAAATGTAATAAACGGAAAAGCATTCTCAAAAGTCCCTTTAGTGGCTTCACAAAACTTATCTTTATTGAGAGGAGAATTTGTGAAAAGGGTTAATTAATTTCCCTTGAAACAGGAGACAGAAGAAATATTTATAAAACATTAAAATTGTATCTCAAATAAAATGGAAAAGAAAAATATTTATAAAAGTCAAAATATATTGAAATGAAAAAGAAAGTTTTTTATTTCTAAGCGGAATATTTGGGAAGAAATTATGATACAAAAAAGTCATTAAATGTCTTTAAACTCACCTTATCATCATAATCACATGTAATATGTAGAAATGAATATTTATTTACATCGGTATTTTCACATCAAAGCATACAAGGGGAGAAAGTGTTTTATTTTATTTTAATTTATTTTGGAGGACGGTGAGTTTGCTTGTTGATGCTTTACAACAGGTTTTTTTTGTACAAAATCTTTTTTACAATCGTCATGGCTGATTGGGTTCATCATTATCGTCAGTTGATCTTCATGCATCTTTTAAAGTGTTGGGAGTTGTTGAAGCAAGGGGGAAAGTGATAATTATGGATGGGGAAAGTTTTCGTCTTCATCTTGAAGCTTTTATCAGTCAGTCTCAAAGATTATTAAACATTTCAATTTAATTTTCCGAATTTTATTCTTTTTTTCTTTTTTTATCAACGGATATCTTATTAAACACTTTTTACATTTCGTTTTATAATATTTAATGGTTTTAAGATTGTCAATTAGATATTCATTATCGTTAGGAAAAGAAGGAGAAAGAATTCTTTTCAATAATTGTGTCCACTATCTTGAGTATTAAACAGAACTAGTTGCGAATATTTCGCTATTATTTAACATACAAAACAAAAAAGTTTCCTTATCGAAATAATAAATTAAACGAATTGAGTGAAGTTTTGCGGCGATTTATCTTTTTGTACAGAATCGCTCACGTATTAATGCCAAAATAAAAAAAATTATAATTCGTAGAAAACTATTGTCAGACAATTTTCATTTTATATAAATTGCTTCTTATCAAGTCCAACCCACTAAATAGTTTCATTACGTTTTTTTAATCAATATTTTCTTTTCATTTCGTTTTTCAACTCTCTTTTGACTTTGGCATTTTTGGCTTCTTGTTACGGTCTAATCAATGCTGTGAAAAATTATTTACAACACCGAAGATGTGAATTTGTTGTAATCGCCTAGCACGAAATCTAAACTTTCAGTTTCTTGGCTGTTTCCACGCGGCTCGGGGCTGATGTCGTTGCTTGAACCGGCAAGAACATATTCAAAGTAATTGTCACTAGCTTCCGCTTCTAGCACGTCCAGATTAGGCAAATCTGATGGCTTAACATTCACGTATGGCGCAGATCTCTTGTAGACTGGACTCTCATTAAGAACAGTTGATAACACGGTGCTAAACTCACCCGGACGACGACCCGACACATAAAGTGTGATGACACTTGTATCGAATTTCTTTTCCGGTTGCGGTGCAGGCGTTGGAGCCTTGAAAAGTTTCGGCTTCTTCGGCACCTTCACTTCAACTTTCTCATCTTCATAATCTTCTTCTTTTGAGTTTTGTTGAATTTCATCTTTTGTTACGCTCTGAATTTGTTTATCATCACCAAGTGAAAGACTTTCAAGGGCTTCACGATTTAAAATGTCAAAAGAATTTGGAAGTGTGTTGATGTTCTGAAGTGGATTTGGAGCTTGTTGCTGTTGTTGTTGTTGTTGTTGTTGTTGGAGTAACAATGGCAAAAGTAAACTGTTTAATTGTGGCTGATGGTGATGAAGTTGCGTTGGGGTAATGACGACAGTATCTGTGATAAATTCTGTTGCAGTAATTACCATTGATGAATCATCAAAGATTGTTGTGTAGATTTTACTTCCACGGAATGTAATTGGCAACACTGTTGATCTACCTTCATGAAGTGTAGTAACATAAGTAGTAGTTCTCGTTTTAAATTCAGTCACAGGCGTTGTTGCAATTTGATGTTGTGCTTGAAGATACTGCGGCTGTTGGAGGCCTAAGAGTGGATTGTAGGCTGCTTGAGGTTGATTAAATCCAATGTTGCCCAAAAGCAGTTGAGACAAAAGAATATTCGCCAAAGGCGCATTGTTTGCTAAACCTTGAGGTTGAACTGTCGACACAACTGGATGTGCATCGTAGACGGTACTTGGAATCACATGCGAGAACGAAGTCTTGCGACCACGAATTGTTGTTGGCGTAAATATTATGCTCGTTGTTGGCGTCTCACTTAAAAGGTATTGAGTGATTTCCGTCAACCCATTCTGATTCACAGCTGTTTTCTCTTCGAGAATGACTAACGTTGTCAGACCATTATTTCCAGTGCTTGTTGAATATTGTTTTGGTCCCAAGACTTCTGTGCTAATCTTCGCTGTTATGACATTTTTGTATTCAGTATTTTTACCAACAACAACTGGAATTGTGACTTCAGTTGGAATGTGATGAGTGGCAGTGATGGTGCCATCAAACTTTGGAAGATAAACTGGATCGGCTTCTATTCTTGACCTGCCAGTACCGCGAGTTGTTGCACGATTTCTGTGCGTTGTTCGTCGGCTATTGCTGTTGGTTCCAGTTCTTGAAGATGCGAATGAGTCTTGTCCATAATTACGAAACCTTGAATTACTTGGTTTCGTCGTCCCTGACGTTCTTCGATTGCTGTTGTAACTTTTAACTGATGGACGACGAAAATTTGATGTTCGTGGTGTCACTGATGGATTTGTGTCTTTATCACGAAGTGTGAACAATAATCTGTTGTTTTGTGATGTACTTGATGTTGGTTTGATTCTTGTATTTGAATTATCACTTGATAAATCTTTAGAACGTGACCGGGGATTATATCGGCTTGCTGCACGTGGTTTTGGTGTTTCAGTGACAATAAGTTCTTCAGAATCATAAGTGTAGTAATCAGCACGACCACTTCTTGTTGTTGTCGGACGTTTGAATCTTGGATTGTATCCTGGAGATCGAGTTCCATAATCAGTTTGTCGTTTTGATCGTCTTCTTGGTGCTACAGCTTTCACTTCTTTAATTTTCGTGTCTTCATATTCAACGTCAACTTCTGATGAATTATTCTCATCTTCTCCAATTTCTTCATCGATCTCTTGTGGAGTTTGTGTCGTTGTCTTCTGTAGTAAGCCTCTTGGAGGGAATAAACTGCCAGACGTTCGTTGACGATTTTGATTAATGACAACTGGTGGAAGTGACGGTCTCAATAAACTTCTATTTCTTGTCGTTCTTGGAGTGGTCGTTGTCGCTGCTGTTGTCGTTGTAACACGAGACGTTCTTGCAAGTGGATTACGACGAGTTGCAATTGTCACTGTCCTTTGAGTTGGAGGTGGAACGTTCGCACGTCCACCTGTAAATGGAGGGCGACGTCTTAAAAGTGGATTATTACTTCGCCTTGAATTTTCAGTTGTAGTTGTGACAGGTTCTTGACTTTCATTTTCAACATCATCAGAAGGTTCATCGGTGATTAAAGTTGTCTCGAATTCATCAGGTTCTGGAGTTGTTGCTGTCGCTTGTGTGCCAATTTTGTCAAGACTTGCCGAAGGTCGAATTCGACTACGATTGATTGAAGGAAGAATTGAACTTGAAGCGATTCTGTTACTGATTCCTAATGAACTTCTTAGCTGTGGTCGACGTGCACCACCAAATGAAGTTGGTTGAATTCGAGGTGCGAGAGAAGTTCGCGATGGTCGAATACTTGCTGTTGGTTGAATGCTTGCACGTCCACTTGTTGGTCTAACAAATGATCTACGAGAGCTGCTACTTCCACCACCACCTATGGAAGAACTTGGGAGGGAAGACACGACACCACTCGAACGACGAGGTCCACTGAACGATCTTCGACTTGATGATTCTCCTTTAACTGCAGTAGCTTTAATCGTTGGAATGATTTCAGTTGGCGTAATAATTGCTGGTCCATTAATCGAACTCTTTCGTTTAGGGTTAAATGACGGTCTCGACCTTGAACTTCCAAATGGACGTATGACTGGTGTGAATCCTTTTTTCTTCGATGGGAATTTGGATTTAGAATCATCTTCATCATCGTCGTCTTTAACAGTGTCACTAATCGAACCTTCAAGTACAGCTGGTGTGGGGTTAATTAACTGAGATGACGGTGTGACACCAACTTGAACAGCTGCCGTTGGTTCAATGTTAACACGATTATCAACAGCTGAAGCTTCGATTAATTTTGCTTGAATGATACTTGAAGTGCTTTCAATGACCTGAGCGTATCGACCATCAATAAATGTTCCAATCACTTTCGATTCGTAAAGCGTTGTTGCATTCTTATTCACAATTGTACCATCAACCAATCGAACCAATCCAGTTTTATGTAACTTTGGTGTAGCGTCCAATTCAGTTGGTTGAATCGACTTTCTAATCTCATCAACCTCAATCGATGAACTTGTCTCTATAACCTCAGCATATAAGTTATCAATGTACGTTCCAATCGCTTGCGTTGTAAAATGTGTTGTGCTAATTCCATCAGCATCAATAATCTTTCCATGATTAATTGAAACGATTCCAGTTGGATTTAATGGCTTCACGCTTGGTGCTGGCGTTGCTTCAATTGTTGCAACTTTTTCTTTCTTTTCTTTATCACCATCAAGTTTATTTTTATCATTACCTGAATCTAAAGCATTATCCTTGCTTCCGACATCAATTGCTTTAGCTTGTTTCGTTTCCAATGTCAAGGTCGGAGTCACAATATTTGTTTCAGTTTCAAACCGGCTGTCGATGACAGTCTCATCACCGACGTAGTTTGTCGTGTAATACGTGTAAGTTGTATAATAAGTTGATGGCTGAAGGATTTGCTGACTTGCTGGTGTTGCTTCAATACTAGCAACAACAACCGATGAACTTGAAGCTGCTGGTGGAGTTTCACTTGAAGCTACTGCTGGTGGTGCTTCACTAGATGCTGGCGGTGTTTCACTTGAATCAATTGAAGACTTTTCTTCTTCAACTTTGACCGATGGCAATGGAGCAACGAGAAGAACATCAGAAGGTTCTGAAGAAGCACCAACGACAGAAGTTGGCAAAGCAGTTTCTAATGAAACTGAAACTTTTGCTGATGGTGTAACAACATTTGAAACAGTTTCTTCTCGACTTGTTGTCTTTGTCGTTCCATCTTTATAGAATGTCGTCCAATAAGTAAAAGTAGTGAAATATGTCACTGGAACTGTTGCATCGTCAAGCTTTTGTACTTGAGTTGGTGAAAGTGTTTCAGTGACAACATTTGTCAACGTCTCAAGACGACTCAGAATGTTACTTGACGAGTCAGCACCGAAAACTGTTGTGTAGTAAGTGAAGGTTGTGTAGCGTGTTTGTAAAAGAAGTGTTGGCGATGGAATTCTTTCTTCTGTGTTGCTTTCAGAACTGACTTGATCATCAATTTCATAATTCCAGTTACGTCTGTCAATGTTTTCAACATAAGATCGTTCACCATCGGAAGTGCTGCTCTTAACATCATCCCAATCACTTTCTTCAACACCTGATGATTGCAAATCTAATCCGCCACGGATCATCGTGCTGTAAGCTTTCTCTTCATTTGTTTTGATGTCATTTCCACTTACTAAGCCTTCAAGCTTTAATTTCTTTGCTTCCTTTTTATCGCTGCCATCATCGGCTGTTAGTTTGTTATTGTCTTTCTCAGCATCGTAAATGAATTTTGTTTCAAGCAAATCTTTTTGCAAAACATTGCTGAGGGATGACGATGGATTGATGAGATTTGTGTAAACTTCTGTTCGGCTTTGCACTTCCGACTTACCTTCATTAAACAATGTCGTAAAGTATGTGTAAGTCGTGTAAAGTGTTTTAATTTCACTATTCAAAACATCATTGTCGTTTAATGCTGGCGTGTAATCAACTTTCTCATTGTCAAGCAACAAGTTAACTCCAATAAAATCATTTTCAGCCAGAACGAATTTCTCGGTCGGCCGACCAATTCCAACATCCAACACTTCAGTTGGTTTAATTTCTTCAACTTTCTTCGAAGGTTCCAATTTATTAAGTAAACTTGCGAAATCATTGGCATTGATTGTCGAAGTAATGACATTGGTGACAACGTCTTTTCGGCTTGATACGCTTGATGTTGACTCTTGGAAGAAAGTTGTTAGATATGTGTAAGTCGTGTAGAGTGTCTTGTAAATAACTTCAATCTCTTCTTCTTCTGAATTTTCAACCGTTGTCTCTTCATCAATGTTGCTTGATTCTGTTACAACTTCCATGGTCGTGGTTTCAGGGGTGTAAACTGGAGAAATTTGTTCAGATTTCTCAATCGATTTCGTGGTTGTATCATTCTCATTATCAACGCTTTGAGTTGTGTCATTAATATCGTCTGATGTTGATTTAATCTTTTCTGTCGTTGTCAATTTCTCACTTTCATCTTCATCATCATCATCATCATCTTCTTGTGAATCGTCTTCAGTCGTAGTGATAATTGATGAAGCAGGAGATTCAGTGACAGCTGTTGGTTTAATTGCACAATCAACAGGAACGACTGATGATGTTACAACTTTATTAGATTTAACAGATGTTGTTGTGATAACATCATCAACAGGAATGTAGAATGTTGTACGATAAGAGAGAGTTTTATATGCAGTAGAAGAACAACCAATTTCCTTCTTTTCTGTTTCAGTTTCTGGTTTAGGTGTCAAAGGCTTTACAAGTAAATTTTCATTAACAATTTCTTTATTTTCTTCTGTTGTTGTCGATGTTGTTGGTTCAACAGTTGTCACATCATCATCATCATCGTCTTCATCGCTTTCTGTTGTTTCAGGAACAGCAGAAGTTGAAGGAGCTTTTGGTGTTGTTATGTCATCAAAGAAAATAATACTTGAACCAGTCAAAACTTTTGTTTCGGGTTCTTGAGATTTAATAACAACGGGACTTGTAACAATTTCACTCGATTTTGAAACTTGATTTAAGGATTCAAGAATTCTTTTAATTTCTTCATCAGATGGTTTTGAGAATGTTGGTTCAGTGACTGATGATGAGGTTTGTGATGATTCAATCGATTCAGGTGTTGTCACTCCAATTACTTGAATTATTTTCGGTTCTTGCGGGGGTGGAAGCACAGTTGTCGTTTCATCTTCTTCATCATCATCATCTTCGTCTTCATCTTCTTGACTTTCAATTGTTGTAATATTCTCTTCAGTAGTTGTTGTCGGAACATTTTCAGTCGTTGATTTACGAACCAATTCTGTATATTTTGGTGTCGATGGTAAAGTCGGTAAAGCAGTTTCAACGATTTTCGACGTGAATCGCGGTTCTTCTTTGACCGGCTTTACTGACTCAAGATTAATATGTTGGCTAGTGGTTGTGGCTTTAATATTTAATGTCGGTTCACCCTTAATTGATGTAACATGATCTTTTACGTCGTTTTGTGGCTTAGCGGTTGATGGTGAGAAAATAATGACCGTTTCACCGACAGTTGTTGTGAAATCAGCAAAGCCAAAGTAAGTGACTGAAGGAAGAATTTTATTCTCACTTTCAGCCCTTACTTCTTGCTCATACGTTATCACTTTTCCAACACGTGGACCAGTGACTTGTGGAACTGCAGCAGCTCGAAATATTGGTCCATCATGTGAAACAGTGTAAGTGGGTAAGTTAGCTTCGGGAACAACTTTATTTGGTTGTGGAATTGCGACGCGTGGGGCTTCAACAAGCTTTTCCGCTTTCAATAAAGTTATTTCAGATTCTTCGTTTTCATTATCGTTGATATTAACATGACTGCTAATAACTTCATTGTTATTTCGATTATTTCGGATGGGAAAGACGAGGTAAGGATTGCTGGGCACAATGTAATCAATGTTCTGCAGGAACGGTGACGATGGAGGGGAATTGATATAAGTTACGTCATCGTTTGAGTCAAGTAAGTTTTGATTTACAGTCTTCGTCTGTAGATTGTCAGGAGGATTGTAAAGTACGCGCGATGTTGTTGTCAACAATTGCACATACTGTCCATTGTCAATGGTCGTTCCAATAACTTTTGTTACATATTCGGTCTTTATGCCATCTTGAATGAACGTTCGAGCCGTTGATTTCAAGAGCCCAATTTCTGGTTTTATGTTGAGGAATCGTCCATGGGCAGCTCGATTGTTAATATCCGCCACTAGGACAGTTGCTACATCTGTACAATATACACACAACAGGTTTTAAAAGTTGTAAGTTTTTATATTTAAAACAGAGAAAGAAGTGATGAGAAAGAGTTAAAACCATGCCAGGCGTTTTTTTTTGTTTGTTCATGAGTAGGTGAAGAAGAATTAAAGCATAAAAAAGAAAGAAAGAAAAAGAGAGAGAGAGAGAAGAATTATCATTAGATTTTCATTTACAAAAGATTTTCATATCAGGTTTGTACAGAAGCTTTGTCGCTTTATCTTTGAGATATTTTTGTATCTACTCGAATTTTCTTTTTCTTCTTTCGACTTATCATCAAGAAGCAAATAAAGTTAAGCTTCTTAGAATAAAGTCTTTATGAATATTAAAGAGTCAACTTAATCTGTGACTAACGAATAATTTCTAAACGATATTAATGATTCTTTTAATTCATAAAACTCCATTCGATGGGAAAATATTGTCTTTGTTTCGTTTAATGAAAATATCATTAATGTCAATGGAAATTTCTTTGACATAATCTTCTACTGATCTAAAGTTTAATTATGTAATTTAAGATCGCTTAAGCATATAAAAATCATTCATCTTCAAACATAAAGCGACATAAATTATGTACAATTCATAAAGAGAATAAAAATAAAAATAATAAATATTCACAGTAATTTACTAAATAAGCCAAAAGCTGAGTGAATGTCGGTTGTGCCTTGTGCGTCATTACTTCTTGTGAATTTAATATCGCCCTGAATCAAACATGAATACCCTCAGCTGTAATATTGTAATATCGATGCACGTAATAACGACTTTTCAAAATAAGTCTCATTTTTTTTAATCACATTTTGTGCAATCACACGTAACTTTCTTTTTAAATAAGCAACAACAATTTTCAACATGCTCTGTGTCTGTATGCAATGAAATATTTCATTTCTCACTTAAAAAATATTTATGAGTTTGCTTTATATCACCCCGCCACCAATTACGGTCACAACGATTATATTTCCACAAATTTCGCAGCTTTTGTATGTCATACATGAACTCAATTTGCCCTGTCGACTAACATGTGTGTACTTTCTTTATGTAACATCACGCAGGGATTGTGTCGATACACGAACAAACCAAAGCTAAAATTGTTCTATTTTCCATTATTATATTTCTCTCTTCTTCTTCTTTAACTCTACTCTTGTGTGTCGGTGCGATAGCAATCTCTTTAATTTCGCTCGAATGCTTGAATTAAGTTTTATGAAAGAAGAATGAATAAAAAAAAATACAACAAAAGTGTTGTTTTTTGTATTCAAATTCGACTTCATCTCGCCATAGGTCCCGGAAAAAAAGCAGAACAATAAAAAGAAGGTGGTAAAAGCGAAAAGACCAACTGACACACATTTCAAGACATGATGAAGAGTTGGAAGAAAAAGTTAGAAAGAGATCATGAAATTGTTAAACTATTTCTTTAAAAAAATTAATTCCACGTCGGATAATTTCCTATACAACTTTTTTGCTTTGTTTCTTAAATATTAAATAAGTGAAATTGTGAATGAAGATGATTGAATAACTTAATGGGATATCATGTTAAATAATCTGTCGGGGAAACATTCAATTCTGATGACTTTGGAGACGATATCTCATTAACACACGATTTTGGAGAAATCACGATCATTTGCTTGAACATTCCCAAAAATTTCATTATCAGCCTTTCATTAAATATTCATCGGAATCGTTTATCAGCTAACATTTTTATCCGGAATCATCGTTCGTGCAAATTGGCTTCGTCTTCACCGAGTTTTAAGCCTGGGAAATTAACTTCCGGGTCAATTACATCATTAGTTTCACATTGTCGTCCGTTTCCAAATTGATTTTACTCTGTTAACTGTTTGCTTGTGCGCGAGTTAACATTATAAGGCAAAGGCGATTATTTACATGCAAATTGATGGTTTCTGTTACTAATTTTCTATTTATTTACAGTCAATATCTGAAACGAGCGGAGACGGAGAAAGAAAAGTGCTTTCTGTGGAATTTCATTTAATCAATTTAAATGCTTGAAATAGTTTTAAGTATGAGTCGAAGCTATTCAAGTTAATAATTCATAAAATCTTGGAATTTAAAGCCCTCTAAAACTTTTGCTTCGATGTTAAGCGGTGAGTTGTAAATATTTTCCTCATTTGCTTTGTTCTCAAAGATCTTTTCAAATGATTTGATACTTGTAAGAAATATAAAAAGGAATACAAAGATATTTAAAGTATCTGTCACTTTCACTTGCGATACCGTGTCGATGTCGTTACTTAAGGGAGTCAGTCGTTTACATATATTTAAGCAAGAGAAAAATAAAAGCTCTCAACCTCCACGAAGTCGTGAATTTTAAATGTTTCCAATGTTTTCAATGTTATTATTAAAAGTCTCTAGTTGGTTTTGTGATCAAAATGAATGGAGATTGAAATAAGTGAAAGTGAAATATTTACACAAAACTTACTGAATAGAAAAGGAGAGAAATGTAATATGATTAAAATTTTATGATGACGGCATTGGAACACAAATGAGACAATGAATAATTATTAAGCACTCTCATAGTTCGATCTGGTAATTGATGAATTTCGCTTCCTTTTTATCGTTTCAAGTTTTGAAGTTTAAATGAAAAACATGAATCGAATGTTAAGTAATTAAAATTTCTTTTAATTTCTGCAAACTCTCACGAGTCTTTTTGTGCTTGACAAAAATTATTTTGAGAGTTTCTTTCTTTATTTTCCAAATATAAAAATATTCGCGAATCTAGGCTTACGTAAATCTTGAACTTTGCCGAATCACCTCGTCATCAACAGTTGTAGAAATGCTAACTGTTTAAACACGTTTTTATGTCAAACCACATTTGTTAAACGTGCGCCACTCGATCTTTATTCAATTTTTGATTCAGTGGCTTTTTAAATATCAGAATTCATTGGCCTCATCTCTCTTTCTAATTTATTTCTAATTCAAATCTTTGTGGCCAAGGATAAACGACAAGCTCACGATCATAATTAATTATTTCACGACGAGACAAAAGAAGAAGAAGAGAACAAGTTTGTAGGAAACACAAACAAATATAAAACTTTAAAGATGTCAATTGTCGAGTTAACAGAGAAGTCTCATTAAGATTGCTAATTGTGGAAAAAGAGTTCACTTGGATGTCGTGTCAATGACTTGTTTTGTTGGTGTTCAATAAGTTCATTGTTGACGCGGATGTAAGAAACAATAAGATTTTAACTGTACAATTGAAACTACAAAGTGCATCAATAACAAAACTTTCAACGATCCCTGAAGTATAATAATTATTATAAAATATCATTAAACGTGTAATATTCACAAGAAAGTCGAGATAAAAACAGTGACGGATGAATATCTCGATTAAAATGTCATAACTAACGAGTTCATAAATCGTTGCAATCAGCATCATAAAAAGCTTTTTAATGCTTTGTTTCTGCACATTTATCAAGTTTCTCAAAGCTGTTTGATCTTAAGACTCTTGGTCATGTATATTGCTGTGAATATTTATATCAATAGCAGAGAATCGTTGAAGATTTTTGTGGAATTCAAACAATTTATTTAGTTCTTCATGAATTAGTTTTTAATTTACAATTTGCTTAACCATTTAACTATTTGTCTTCTTAAATCTTCGACAATTCTCTGCTTCAAAGCTTAAATTAAACAACTACAGTTTATTGCACTCTATTTATTAATATACGACATGATGTCAATAAAAATCACTCGATAATTAACTTAACTTAATATGTACGTGTTAGTATTTAATAAGCAAAACAATGTTGTGAAGGCATTTTAAGCTCGAATATGATTTTTTTTTGGTGAGGAAGAACAGTTTAAGGAAAAATATTTCAACAATTTCATTGCTTACCTTGATGATTGTTTCTCAATACTGGTGTGGGCTTCACCTCGCCAAATTCGTTATTTTCTGGAAGCGGAAAGGAAGTTGGTGATGTTATTTAATTTAACATTTATTAACAACATTAATAACGAAAACAAAAAGAAAAAAATTGAAGCCATCAAAAATTCTCTTTCATTATTGCGTTTTCCTCAAATTAGTCGCTTTTTTATGCTTAGCAAACAATGCACAAAAAGTTCACACGAAAATTTATCGGAGGTCTATTGAGGCCATAAATAAGGTTGTCGACTTTTTGTATCTTTTCAGCTACAGCAGATGCGATCTACCTTAAATTACGACACCAAAACGCTTTTCAGCTATCATTGAATGCTGTTTTTCTGGGCGTCTTTAAGATGTGAACACTGCTGCAGCTTGTACGTAACGTTGAGAAGCGGAATTCAAGGTAATTACATCACGATAATGATTTTTGAGGAAACTTTAAATTTAATCTTTAAAGACTTTAACAATAAAAATAAAACAAATGAACATCTTCACAGATTTCCATAAATGCATCACATTATTGATTATTCAATGCTTTATTGCTGCTGCAATGAAATTGAACAAAATAAACTATAAAAAAGTCTTTTTGAATTATCACTTAACAGTTTGCGTAATAATGAATTGTGATTCGACAATTCATAAATTTGTGATGTGAAAAATTTCATTTTTGGTTTTTATTTTCTCGTTTTTGTTGACATGAAAGTGTTTTGTGATGCAATATGCTTAAAGTCACTCAGATTTGGATGGGAATTAAATTCTCATTTGGTGTGAAAGTTGAGTTCTTCAAGTTTTAATTAAAATGAGAAATCAATGCTTTCAATATATTACTTAAATAATTTCTTTTCTAATTTATCCCAAAATTATTTACTAATTTATCCAAATTATATCATGACGAAGCAAATAACAAAGCAGAAGCAATATGAATTGTTGATTTGATGCCACAACAATTTATTTAGAAAATTAACCAACTCATCACTTTTTCTCTCAGTATTTGATGTAAATTGTTATTACTTTCATTTGAGATGCTTTCGCAATGGGAAAGAAATTGTAATTTGATAAGATTGAAAGTAAATATTTAACCTTACAAACAAATAATGTTTTCAGTTTCGACCGAGTTTGTTTTAAGTGGTTCTCAACTTATAATCACTCATAATCAGCTTTCTGTGTCGAGTCGATTCAAGTTGAGTTGATTGCTTTCAGTCTCGATTTTTAGTGGGACTCAAAAACAGTTTTTAACTCATTATATCATCATTTCTCTCTTGTAATGAAGCCCTTTTGAAAGGTAAATGAATCAACGATACTTATACGAAGTAGTTGAGCAAAGTAAAATGTGGAAAGAAAGACGCTGAGATGAACATTGTTAACATGTTACTTGATTTGGACAGAAAATCAACGATTGAAGATTGAACCAAATTAAATGATTTCATGATTTTTCAATTAACTTAATTTACATGTTGTTTCTTTCTTTTGTTTCAATTCGTGTTCTAGTTTCGGCTTCTTTTACCATTCTTGTCATAACTGAACATGTGAGAGGTCACAATGAACAAATTTCGAGGTTTCAAATTCACTTCCACATAAATACATGAAGGGGAACTGAAATAAACTTTGACAATTTCAAATATATTTAGTTCTAGATATTCGCACAATTGAAACAACATAACAATACTGCATGGAGATGATGTAAAATAAAAGAATGAATAGAAACATAACTTTTATTCACATCAACTGTTTGATGTTTCACGAATGTCATAAAAAAAGAAGAGAAAATCTGCATACCGGTAAAACACGAAACTCATTAATAATTTGCACGACATTTCGTTTACGACATTGACTTACTATTTTTGTTTTTTGATATCAAAACAAAACAGAAGCTTATTGAATGACAACTTTGTTATGAAATCGCGACCGCCTTAATTTGTCAGCTTCTTTTCAACACCGCCTGTGATTCGATCGTTTCTCTTTGATTGTTTGAAATGTTTGAATAAAGAAATCGTAATAATGAGAAATTTGTGAATTAAATATATTCGAGAAATCCTAAGAACCTTCAAAGTTATTCTTCATCAAGATGTTTGAAGATCAAAGATCTAAAAAATATCTTGAAATGTCTTTTTTTTATGTCATTAATTTTCTATCAGGATGTTCGTTGGTATTTTTATATCACCCATTAAGACTCATCATTATTAAGCATCTCGATGTCTATTGCAAAAAAAGTTTGTCTTTGGAATCGTTAAATTCTTTATTTTATTAAAATAATCATCGTAAATAGTATTTAAAGCACTGCGATGCCTAATGAACTTTAATATATTATGACATCACCCATCAAATACGAACAACCATGTTGCGCATGAAATTGTTAATATCATAAATTTGACAACACCTTAAACACATGCAATATAACGCGTTAATCAGCCGTGATAATAATACTTAGACGAAAAGTAAATTCACCGAAACCATTTTCGATTACAACATGAGTAGAAAGAAATGACATGAGTGCATGATGTCGTGTGTAAATAAGCATTTGAGTCGTGTGGTGTGCTTAAGGAATGTGAACAAAAAAGCTTTTAAATCGTAATATTTTATTGTCGCCTCGATTTCAACTGTTGAATTGCGATTATGTATTAAATGTGGACTTTTCCGCAAGCTGCGTGTTTGGGTTGTTTGAAAACGAAAATCAGCATTAAAATCGACAAATGAATTAGAAGTGAACAACAACTGGTCGGTTTGGCATTTCGATTGAGTTGATTCACTGCAGCTAAGTATGTAGCTGTGAACATTTTGTTTTTATCGTCAAACACTTGATTCAATCAATGGCTGTAAATATTTGGAATTATTCTCGAATGTCACTTTAGAATGTTGTTGAACACTTGTGAACAAGCTCATTATAGCGTCTAGGAACTATTAGTTAAGATTAAATGCCAGCACTTTGAATTCTTCTATGAAACTTTACTCAATCAATCAAGCTTTAAAACTACAATAAAAAAAACTTTGTCATTCAGAAATGTTTGACCCCATAAATCAGACGCGTGTTCGTTTGAACGATGACACAAACTCTGACTTTGAAGATGTTGTTTCTCTTCGCTGTTATTTGCATATGAGATCAGTTTTAAAATTAAATTCTCCTCGAGTCATTTCCAGACAAGTTTCTCGATCTTATGCGTACTCATTCCAATTTGCATGAACTCATCCTGCTTTCGAGTACATTGAAAACTGGACTAAGCATGTAATTTATGACTTTGTACTGTTTTTTTACATGTAACGAAAATAAAATATAAAGAAATAGAAAGGACTTGAAGACAAACTTATATAAAAGCCATTTGTAATTACTTTTTGCTGCCAGCCTTATTTGTTAATGTTTTATGAACAAACTCAAACGATGTTAAACAAAATTCGAATAATTTACATACAAGACACAACGATGGATCGATTCAAGTCCGTAATACATTAAAGATTGCATCAGATTTGGCCTTGGAGGCTAATCTTTCAAGAGAAAAACGATATGAATCTTCTATGACGTTTTTCTTGTTTGAAATTAAGCCGAAAGTTAGTGAAACATCGATCAGCCAAGCCCAGCTTGCATCACAAATTCATTCACATCGAACTGTAAATTGAATCTTTATTTGTTGTGAGCCTACCGAAAAAAGATTTCAAGTATCACTAACTGTTGAGATGGAGAGATCAGTGAAGTTAAATTGGGAAATTACTTTGTTTGATGTATGATTCAGAGCCGCGAACAATTCTCTCATTTTACGAGCCAACCCATCAATAATGAGTGTAATTAGGACGCCACAAATTGCAGCGAAATCACATTTGCAAACAAAGTTTATGTGTTGTCACTACGTAACTTTCATTAACAAATCGCATCCGTTAATCAAGCATTGCAAATCAAGTCATGCGTTTTAATTCGTTTGTGTCATCAGAGTTTGTGTCACTTCCAGTAATTACACCAAATTGCCATTATTCCACTTCATAATTAAGTGACACTTGTTCTCCTTTCTCACTTCTTTCTTTCTCATGTTCAATCAATGATTTTTGAGATCAAAAATTAATTTCAAGTTTCAAAGAGTTGTTCATGTTCACCAACATCATGCATGAAAGAAGAAATTTTGTTTTCTGTGGCCTTTCGCAATCTTTCTCTTATTGTTTGTTATCAGATTTGGATTTCACCAAAATATTTCTTCTTTCATTTGTTGAAACACCGTTGTTGAGTCGAGAGAGATCGCAAATTCAATGAAAAGCCGGATTGGACAAGTCAATATCATTTGAATAATGAGCGAAAATTTTGAAACGCAAAAAATAATTCGATAGATTAGCAGTTGGTTGTGCCATCGTCAACGTGAGAAAAAAAAAGTCTAGAAATTGACGTTTAAAGGTAATGAAAATTGTTTAGGTTGTTACGATGTCTAATCGCAATATGACTGCTGTGAATTCTCATTTAAATGATCCCTCCCGAAGAAGAGTTAATTGCAAAGAAATATTGAAAGCAATAAATCATCATTAGCTGGAATATTTTTATTGGCATAGATTTTAAAAAGCTCGCGCGCGAACATCGATCGTGAAATGATTGATTGTTATTTTTCGCCTTGTAATCCAATGGGATCAAGAAAGCGATTATAATCGGAGAAATGGATCAATTAATGCAATTGAAATTCATTCTTGAAGTGAAACGAAATTCAAAAAATGTGCCAGACTTGTATTTTAAATATTTGAACAAGCAAAGGTCGGGAACAATGCTGAAGTTTAATCGCTAACCAATCGAAGTTGTTCTCTTTACCTATTTTTAAAATTCCATATGAGTATTTATTGAAATGAAATGACTTGTTTTCCTTTAACATTTATTTGAAAGCCCAAACATGGTTCAAATAATCAGCCACAGCAGAACTTTAAATTCATTAAAATATTCTTAGGCAGCAGTGGTGATGAAAACCCACCAGACAACCATAATTAACTCCACTTCACGTAGACGTTCGAATGAGTATCGTATGTGATCTAAATGGAATGTTCGACATGTTTGTATCAAAGACTTTAGAAGAAAGAAAAATTCAAAAGCATTTAGCGTGTTTGGAGTGCGGAAAAATCTCGAAGTTGATTCTTATAGCTGGATAAGTGATACGAGGAAAGAGAAGAAAATGCACTTTCTAATCAAATATTATAAATAGCATCAAGTCAAGCCTTCCTACTATGAAGATTATAATCATTTTTCATTAGAAAAGAGATTTTTTTCGCAAAGTGTTGATGGGCGTTTTATACCTTTTCGTGTTTGTTCTAAATTTCATCGTTCGTTCGTGTCTGGTGCATCAAATCGTTTCACTTTTCTATCCAAATAAAAGCGAAGAGTTTTCCCTGCGGTTGTCGTGTGTTACAATTTTTTATTATTTATAATTTCCACAGTTGCGATTGAAATATTCACGTCAAAAAATAAAAGTAAGAAGAGCTTTGAATGATGATGAGATTTTCTTGTTTTCATACGGAAGTACTTTGCTGAACGTCATTGCGAACGCGGGTTAAAGAGAATTTAACTTACGATGGGAAATGTTAGAAAGATGAATTAGATTTAGATGATGTAGTTTAACCAGGTCGATTTGTGAGTCGTGCCGAGTATTTCCTTAATCATTTGGTGATCTTAATTAAGTCTTCAAAACTCTTCTTCCCTCTGGAAGCATAATAACATGGTTTAAGATTCATTTTCCATGGGAAACATTAAAGCGACACGGCTTCAATTTCAAAAGTAGAAGATAATTCTATTAAATTAAGTTTCTTCTTGAATACGCGAGTGGATTATTAAATAAGTCAATTTTAAACCTTTTTTTATTCAACCTCATAAAGAAGATTCTAATAATAAATCAATAAATATTTTTTCCCATAGCTTAATAGTTCACTTTTAAATCGTTTTTCATGATTCTGAATGAGATATTCTCATTTGCATCGTAATTTCTCACTCAAAAGCAACAAATAGCAATAAAACATACTTTAATGCATGCCATTTCACTTTATTCCCATAAATAATTTATGTTCTTCTCTTCATTCCTTCCGCTTCTTCTCAAGTAAGTAGTAACAAGAAAGAATGTTACAGAATCTGTTGGATGAAAAATAAAATCGAAAACAAAATACGCGATAGGAAAGTGAATGAAATGATGGCCTTCTTCGTCGTTAAAAGGCTTTTACAATTGTTGACAATAAAAAATTGTCCATAATTGATGATTGTCAAGTGGAAATTGAAGATTCCATAAAGTGAAAATCAATCGAGTATGGAATTAATCCTACAGACCTATTTTCGTTGGCTTTATTTATTCCGCATTCTCTTTCATACAAGATATTTGTCTAGTGTGTGTCGAGAACAAGTTATTTGTTTTTATTTTGTGTGTTTCAATGAACATCATGAAGAAACATTTTTCTGATACACTTTTAATTCAGTTTCACTTGAGAAACTGGCGTTTGTGGAATATTTCCGATAAATCTGTATAAGGAAGGTTGTTGCTTGTCCTCCCTGGTCAACCATAAATGCGAGAAAGGAGAAAGTTCTAAGAGTTGTACGCAATCATGTTGTGTCGTGCAGCAAGTGAATATATCATCGACCACTTCACTTGTATTTAATAAAAGTAAATTAATTTCTTCCTCGTTCCGTTTACAACTTGCTTGCTTGCCCTTCATAATTTGTAGTTTTTCGAGTTTCACTTCGCAAAATTGACTTTAAACAAAAGCAAGGCTTGTTCTCACCAAAAAAAAACCTGTTGACTTTCCATCCATCTCTCTTTCTTTCATGATACGCACTAAACCCATTGAACCGGTAACTGAAACGATGGCAAGACAGAGTGAAACATCGCTTTTCACCTTTCATTTTATTGCGAATCATTTTTCAGCTTTGCTGTTGTTATCAACGCGTGAAACCGGAAAGAGAATTTAACATAAAATATGCGAATAGTTGAATCGAACCCTGACTGCTGTGGAGTTGTTATTAAATTGCTTAATGGTGTTGCTTTAAAAGTATTTTTATTTTTTATTATTTATCGATTCGCCAATAGATTTGAAACAGTTTATTTTAAATGGGAGCAAGTAAAATTGTTTCTTTATTCGGTAGTTAAATATAAAAACAAGAAATGAAAGAAAATTACGAACAATACTTCGATTATGATCAAAAATATATTGCAAGGTACTCTCAATGATTAAAGCGGAATATTTAAATTGCGGTTCTTCCTAAATGTTTGTCTCTCTTCGATTTCCATTTGTTCATTTAAATACTTCAATTATTTACGACCATGAAACGGAGATGGTTACAAACCAATTGATTAAGCTTTATTTAATTCAATTGTGGTGAAAAATCGTACATGTGAACTTCAATTTTGAGGACAAATAATTTGGTAATTCAATTAACAATTCTTTGGTAGATTTTGTGTAAAAGTTATCTCTTATTTCAAACATGTTTACCTTCCGCTTTCATCAGAAGATGGGAAGAGTTAAAATTACAGTTTTTAGCAGGGTTTTTAGTTCACGTAATTGAAGATTGGTTAATTGATATTTACACTAGAAGATGAATGATAAAGAAATCTTTTATAAAAGCGCAAGTTACTATTAGCTTAAATAACAGACAACACTTTGAATACCCAACAAGTGGCACTCCGCATGTGCGCTTAGAAAACCTCCAACGGGACTTCTAGTAAGAAATTTTTAATTCATCTTTTTCACACTCTTCTTTCTTATGTTTATTTACCGATTTTCGTCTATTTTACCAAAGCTTCTTAAAGAATGAAATCCCACACAGAAGAAAGGCCCCCAAAAACATGAAATGATCGCCTCTCAATAGTGAATGGAGAAAGAAAGAAATTAATATTCGCGGGAAGAGAAAAGAAGAACCGTCCGAAAAATAAAGAAAGAAACGATCAATGTTGGTTATAAAGTGTGTATACAGCAATTTAATTGAAGAAGTTGTTGTGGAAGAAGAACGGGGCCCCGTCGAGAGAGTTAAAAAAGAATAAAATGAAAACTATGTAGGTCAGTCAACAAAACAAAAAACTTTATAACATATTTTTTCTGCCTTCTTCTCGTGTTTTCAACGAGAGTTTTATGCGATGTTTTTCTTTCATTTCATTTTCTTCACTTGATTCTCGAATTCTTCGTGTTATTTTTTTTTTTATTTCAATGACGATTTTTTTTCTGCTTTAAACAATCCAAGAGATGAAGTTAGTTACTTGTTCCATCTGCATCCGATTGAAATTCATCGCAAACTGCCATGATCAACATCTACTGAGCTTTTAAACTATAATCGTGATTGTTGTCGATATTTTTATTATTTTAAACCATCGAACTTGATTTTTATTATTGTGTTCACAGCTTGATTATTGTGCTTTGTAATTTTTTTAAGATGATTCTCTCAGCTCATTTTAATAGCAATTTTTTCCATGTTGATCTTTACTCAGCCTTTTTATTAACTTTCTTGTAATGTCAAAAGTCTCAGCTTTACTATTATTTTTTATGTCTAAGTTATTTGAATATGTTTTGCAGCCAGCCTTTCAGCAATTCAAATCTATTTTTAGTCTTGTGGTTTTATATTTTATAGAAGAAGGAAAAAAAAACAAGAATTCAATTGATTTTTTTAAATACTTTTGTACTTCAAAGTAAGAAGTCACCTCAGGCTATTTTCCGGATTTTTTTAATCGTCGTAAATAAATATAAAATAAAGTCAAGTAGGTACTTTCGATTTGCATTCATTGTTTTAAATTATGAAGCTTAAAACAAGTTTCAAGGCTTTTAGTGGTTGTTAACTTGCTGGAAGCTCATAATTACTATAAATTCCTTCCGAAAATTACGATAATAAAAAAATCTTTCCACAGCTTTAAAAGTTTTCGTGAGAAAGTGAAGAACATCTGTTCATGAATCAGCAATCACTTGAACTCTAATCACCCCACCATAACAATCATCCGAGTTCAATCTCAACAATAATAAAAAGCTTAATAAAAGAATTTCTTTCCATCAAGCGAAATCGAAACTAAGAAAAATCTTTCAACAACTTTTCCTTTCTCATTCCAAAGTGTCCGATGGAAATGGGACAAGCACAAGATGTTTCTTAGTTTTCTTGTTTGTTGTAGCATTGGAATCGTCTTTAAAGAACGGTTTGAACTGGTTAAGAAAGAAAGGAAAAAGCACAAGTGCTTTATGAGTTTGATGCAATGATCTTTAAGCATCAATTACCAGTTATGAGTTCAGAAGTTAATTGAAAAAGTATTCTGAGAATAAAATGAAGTTTCCCAAGAGACTTGTCATCACAGAGAGCTTTAGAAATTGAACATTAAAGGTGAATGTCGGACAATGCAAGGCCGCAGTTTGTGGAAATCATGAAAAGATTTCTGCAAAAGAGAAATCAAGATTAAAACATTCCCAATAAGTCAAGTGCCACGAAGGAGAAGAAACATTCGCGAATGTTGTGGAATGTATAATTAAGTTTGCAATTTATTTATGCTTCATGGAAATCTTCCAACTGTCCAAACAATAAAATTTCTTCGATTAACTCTTTCCAATTGACTGCCACACTTGATCGTATGAAAACATTTTTTATCGTTCGTCGATTGAAGTTTTCTCCCAAAATTTTCAAGTTTTTTGACTTCAAATTCATGATAACCATGAGTAACTTCAGCAAGAAAAAAAGCTTCATCGCGGATGATTGTCCGAAAAATGTGAAAGTTCCTCAATGAAAGAAGAAAAAAAAATCAAAATCCAAGGCAAAAGGAGAGAAGGAAACAAAAAAATGCCGATTTTCGCTCGTGCTTTGCCACGCACATGATTATTAATGTAAATTGATGAATTGGAGAAAAGTTTTTTGTAAAAAAAATTCCATCGATAAATATTGAAATATCAACAACGAGAGTTTCACCGAAGTTTGTTAAACAACCAAAGAAAAATTTACATACGTTCAGTTCGACGAAAATCGTCGTAAATTTTCGAGTAGAAATTTAATTTCTATTGTTTTATCTTTACTTCAGGATTTTTTTCTGTTGTTAACTTTAAGAGTCATTAGCGAAAACGTTGTAAACGAAATAGAAATTCAATCAGCAATGCAAAAGTTGCGTCACAATTTAATTTTATTTGTTTTGCATTGAATGAAAACCTGTTGAATGTTGAATGAATGTGCTAGTTGCTGGATTGAAGAAAATATTTAAAGAGAAAAAATGTCGAATCAAGTGGATTTGCCAATTGGCCCCAATCTACCTCAAAGCACATAAATCCTCGCCAAAAACTTTGCATACAACTTCAACTTGAAAACGAGAAAATATTTCGCGTCATACGAGAGACTTTGACTTAAGTTTGCGAAGGCTGAACTAGAAAAGACTGAAAACCAGAATATTTTGATAATGGAAAGGTAAAGTAAATACAATCAACTCGTACTTAACATTGCGATCGACCTTCGAGCACGCGGTCAGATAGAAGAATAATAAAAATTGTGCATTTATAGATTGTAGAATAGCCGCTCGCTTTTGTCTAGTCGTAAATATTTATGTTCAATTGCAGCAACATGAAATTATTGGATCTTATAAAACTATTTGATTGTTTGAATCAAACGCGAACCACAGGCGTTGAAATAAAAATTTATCGTTCAACCATGATAGTAATTAAATCATTAAGTGAGATTTCCTCGATTAAATTATCAATTAATGTTTTCATTAGTGTGGCAGGTTATTGCATAACATTTTGACTTTTGATGGACATGAATTAGAATGAAATGAAAGAGAGATTGGAAATTCACTTTACTTCCATCAATAATAAGCTGTCACTCAATTAATTGAGTGAAATGATGAACGATTGAGATTGATGGAAGAAAGTGATGTTTAGAAAGGAGCTTAAACTTAGCTTCTCTTTTCTCCTTGTCAGCTTAGAATTCTCTTAATTAGCTTTAAGTCCATTGTTAATCCAAGTGAGAAGTTTAAAGACCTTTCAACTAAAGCCAAAAGCTTTTCTTCCCAATATTTAAATCGTTCTGAAAAAAGTCCCAAATCAAGTCATTATATCAACAGTTATGTCCGTTAAAGAAAGAAGTTTATTCTGTGATTCTTGCTAAATTTTAAATCACCGCAAACCTCATCGAGTCATCAAACATTCATTCAAACACAATCCGAAGAATAATGAGTGAAAAAATCATTTAATATAATAACTCAACTCTTCCAGATTACTCTTGACGCTTGAAGAAATAATGGAAAATTAAACATTGTTAGTAATCGTCTCATAAATTCGTTGAAGTTTTGTTTCTCAACAATGAAGTTTGAGAATACGCAATTTCCATGAGATCGTCTCGGTTAAAAGAAAAATATTCAAATTAATAATCTTTTTTCTTTCTTCGTTTTCGTAATTTGGGTTTTTGTGCTTTCGCAATGTCGAGAAGAAGTTGAATGGCAAGAAAGAACGCACTAAGGCTTAGTTGAAGAGACAAGTTGGCAGTATCATAAGGTTGGAGAAGAAGAAATAAGAAATTGCTGTTTAAGACGACGAAGCACAAGCACAAGAAATGTATGTCACATCGAGCATCGAATTTATCAATAAAAAGATTTTCTCTTTTTATACTCGAAGCGATGTTTTTCGATGTTGTATAGACAAACGAACGACAGAGCTGGTTTGCTTTGAAACATCTCACATCTCGCCAAGTGCCTGTTCAATTCAATGAAATTCATTTTCATTTACTAATCGATGGTTTCCGTGGATATATTTTCTCCTCAACCGCATGTCAGACAACACACATGATGCGCTGCTGTTGCTTTTTTTACATTTTTATTTCGCCGACATTGATGATTGATGGGTTAGGTGGTGGAGTGGAATGAGGGGAATGACGTGAAAACATGCAAAGACAACATACACGATAAGTTTCTAAACAAACTGGTCAGTTGGTGAACAAAATCAAGAGAAAGAAAAAAGAGTGACGAGCATCGTCGTCCCGTTGAGAGCTCACAAAACAATTGACGAAATCGAAAATTCATCAATCTCACGCATAACAAAGTTTGTAAAGTCATTCAACTGAGACGCGAGATGATTTAGAAAACGAAAAGCGTCTTTTTGCGAGACGAATCCATTACGAAACTTCTTCTCATTTTTTTGTAATAATATCTGGGTAAAAAGTACTTTGATACATATCAAGATATTTATTTAAAGGTATGAAAATATTTTCCCACAATTGAATGAAACTGTTTAGTGCTTCATGTTGTCTTGTAAGTGATTTTAAATTCCATTCCAGTGACAGAAGAAAAATATCGCTCGTTTAGATAGTTTCATGTGTGCTTGAATGATTGGAGATTGTTCAAGCCCAGAAAGTAAAGCGGAAGCATTGAATGTAATCAAGTTACAAGAAGTGAGAGCTGGAAAGGATTTTCAACGGCACAAGAGTAAATTTATGAGGCTTTTTCGCTTATGATGTCACTTGTCGTGGATCAAAACTTTCTCTCACAAATATTTGACGACGAAATCACCAACTGGGCGATGTCGTAAAAAACACGACTTGATTTTCATCATCAAACGCTTAATTTATTCATCATGAGATTATTAAATGGAAACTCAATCTTTTACACACATGTGCGTCAATTTATTGCTGAACCTCAATCGAACTGGTACTAACTGCCAATCCTTTCCATTTCACATTCTCAACTTATACGCGGATGATTAATGTGAATAAAGACGAGAGAGAGTTTCACTTGCTGCCGAGAGGAGTTTTTTATTTTATGTTTTTGATGTTTTCTTTCTTAAAAAAAATAAATTCGAAAGAGATTCTCAAATTAAGTGTTTAATCAACTACAATATTGCCTCAGGGATTTCCTTTTAACCTGCTTTATAATTTACTGAATTTTTCCCTCGAACTCACCAAAAAAAACAAAACGAGAACTGAAGAAACTTAAATCAGCGAATAGAAAGAAAACTTTTTTTAGTGTTGCTGATTTTATTTCATAAATTACTTTTGGATAAAAACATCTACCCGAAGGTATGTAATGGTTGAAAAAATATTTCAAGATCTTAATTTTCAAAGCCAATAATGATTTTCAAAAATTGTACGAAACTAGAAAATGAGATGTTTCGGTTAATTTTGTGGAAAAAGTAACAGCAAGCTCTTAATTATGATTTTTCGCGAATTGAGTTTATAAAAAAGACTTCCGATAAATCGAAAGTCGCTTAACTTCACTATCAGTTTAAAGTGTTTGGGTGGCATAAGATAATAAGCGAGATTTTGTCGGTTGTTGTTGATTACTTTATGCGGAGTCGGTGATTAGCTGATTTATAGTTTTCCTATTAATTCCATCTGATCGAAGGAATTTGTGGTTTTCGTTCACTGACGATGTAACAACATTTCAGCTATTGCAACATTGCACTGTGCTTATTCAATCACTTATTTTTTTCCTACTATGTTTAGTTTAGTTGAATGCACTTTTGCGCGATCACGAGCAACTCAAACGCTGCGAAAAGTTTCGTTTTCAAACATCGAGAAATTTGCTTGCTGTTTTTTCTGTGTCACTTCACGGCATTCCTTCGTTTACAGATAAATTAATTATCAATGATCATAAAACGGACCCAAAAAGAATACAAATTACTCCAGTTTTAAACAGAAAATATTCAACAACAAATAATGGCGAATAATTTTTTGTGTCTTTGAATGGAGTAAGCCGAAAATCACGCTAATCAACAAAACGAAGACTATGGTCAGTTTCTGAAATTTTCTCGGGCGAAAATCGCTTTTAAATAAATCGAATTGAACACAGTGAAGCAATGAAACGCCATTCTATTGTTCTATGATATTAATTTAGACTTTAAAAGAAATAAATCAGTGATAGCGTTAAGCGGGTTTGGTAATAGAATGCGACTTTGGCCCAATAGGCTGCCGTTAATTTTCTCATTAACTTCACTTCAGATGAAATCTTTCTCTTTTAAGCTTCTTCATCTTCGACACCAACTGGCAACAACAATAAAGCGAACAAAGTTATGATCATCAGATCAATAGTAATTAATAAACAATTTAGTTCATTTCTCTTTATTTTAAGCATTCTTTATATAAATCGTCTTCATTGTGCGTCGATTCAAGACAGAAATATTTAAATGGAATGATGTTCGACAAGTAGATACACGTTATGAAACATTTCTCGCCTTTTGACTTCAACAAAATGATGGTTGGTAATAAAAACGTGAAATGGAAATGTTGGATGTGTTACGATGTAATAGACACTTTAAACAGTCATTTAATGAAGAAATTACTTTTTACTTATCCTATCTGGACAACAAATCTTAATTGAAGTAACTCGAAGTAATATTGACAAATCACTCATGAAATCTCTCACTTCAAATTATCATCAACAAATAAGCTCCGTTAGTCACAACTAAAATTATCTGCCATAATTTAAATCAATTTTCCTAAAAACCTGGATCCAATATCGAAAACGCTTCTCTCAATTTGAATTTTTTTGTTTCTGCTTTTTGAAACTTGATTCGATCATGAAAAATATGTTTCCACATGACCAGTTTCATTCGAGATCATTGCAGTGATTATAAGCGAATTTCGAAACACTACTGAAGACAATAACTCATGACGATCAACACAATTTATAATAATTTACTCTTCAAAACTTCAAAGGTATTCTGCAGCATCATAAAGTGATCTCAAAAATTCCTTTTGTTTCGTTATTCATAATTGCCATTCATGTTTAATGATCACACTTGGTTTGATGTTTGAACTCAACCAAAAAGGTTTTTCTTTCTTTCAGAAACAAAACAACAATAAGTTTCAAGATTTTTGCATTTGTTTCAGACGAAGTCAAAACGAAATGAAAAAAGAAAAAAAAATTGTGAAATCGAAATAAAAGTCGAAAATATTTTGTTTTTTATTATTTTTGAATTCAAGTCCAATTAAAACTGTATCGAGTCTATAATTAAAGGTCGATTTGAAGTGAAGAGAATCAAGTAAAGTAGCGAAAAAACTGGATCAGTTGGAAAATATAAAATAAAAAGAACTGCATTGAGTGTAAGACCTTGATCTACTAGACGTATGATACACAGAGAGTCTGCAAAGCCATTGCATGCAGCAGTAAAAATATCCATGCCGTGTGTGTTTGGAACCAAACGATTATCGCAAATTATTATCTCGTCACTTGCTTTCCTTCTTCAGCAATATCATGCGTCAGATTAAATTGGTTCCGATGAGTAAACATTCAACTTCAAGCCTTCTTTCATATCTTATAATACGCATGACAGAACAGAAAATTTAACAACCCATCTCAATCAAGATGAGAACAGAATCTCTGCATGGGTTGGTAGAATGAATTCTTATTTCGTTTTGTTTGTTCACATAAATAAAGCTTTTACATGCCGTTTACAAATATTACAGTAAAGTGAGACTCAAATGTGGGTGACAACAAGCAGAACAAGCTTCTAGACTTCAACAAGGTTACCCCGTGACGAAGAATTAAATAGGAATAGTAATTAAGTACCACTCGAAGCAGTTCCAAAAACGGTTTTCTCTGCATTTATGACGAGACACGAATATTGTTATTGCGAATCTTTACATACTTTTTACATTTTGAAAGATATCTGATCGTGGGCCTATGGAAATTTATTTTTTAGGTGCGTTTTTATTTTTTAAGGTTTTTACTGATGACATCAAATTTAACCGCCAACTTATGAACTTCAATAAAACTTCCGATTTTTATCTTAATCTTTTGCACCATCATTTGTCATCAATATTGCATTGTGAAGCTTTATTATTTCTTAATTTCACGATCGAATCATTATAGAGCTTCTCGATGATGATTCACGAAGCAACAATGATCAGATGAAAAGGTTTGAAGCTTGTTTCGTATTACAAAATAAAAATATTTTAAAAATTTAACATTTAACATTTGCCATTTATATCTTGATAATTACTACCCACAAGAAGCTTCGTTTGTGTATCTAAAATAAAATATTCTCAACATTTTCGATGTGAATCAATTCTTTGGTAACTTTCTGAATATTTTTGATTATATTTTGCATATTTAAAGAAATTTAGATGGCTTCTTAATTAAGAATTATTCAACACTCACCTAATTGCGATAATGTAGGATTAACATAGATCAGCAATGTGACACTTAACACTAGCAAAATGCGATTTAAATCGCTTACCGCAACCTTCAATTTTGGTTGCAGCATTTTCGTAATTGGCCAACAAAAAGTCTTTCGGGGCACGAAGAAATTTTCTTTTAATCCTTTTCGTCGGTTTATGGAAAACTTTCCTTAAGCACTTCACATAAAATCCCAACGATTTTCTGCCTTTTTTAATTATTCACTGCAATAAATCCAGGTATTTAATCCAACTGAACGTATGTTGCACAACGAGATAATAGCTTGCAAAATTGAGTTGTAAGTTTCCTCGTCTGCTTGATTCTTCCTATGGCACCAGCAACTAAAACTTTACAACGAAGAAAAAATAATTCCAATTGATTCTTCACTTTTTTTCAACAATTTTTTAATCTTCTCCGAAAAACTTTTTTTTATTATTATCCTGATTTTTCCTTTTCGTTTTGTGCTTTTTATTATGATTATCCGCTTTTCAAATTTTTTGTTTTCTTATTTTTCAAAGCATTAAATAAATCAATTTTTTTTTGTTTTTCACTTGCACTTCAAAAGCATTTTGCTTTGTGTCATTTGTGGACTTGCCATCGGACACTTTTAGACCGATAAATTTTTAATCGCTTTTCCCATCCGACATCTGCTTTAACAGAAATTTCGAATTATACTGAATATCGTTTTGATTGTAAATGAATTTGAATGTTGTGTTTCTTTTTCTTTTCCCGCAGCACCGATTCCACTAACGTCCAATCGCTTTATTGCAGTTGTGTTGGTTTTCTCCAGTTTCTTCAGACTTGAAGAAATTTCTACCTCACAACAAAAGACACTTGAAGCAAACGAGCGGCAGATAGTCAGAGATGGAAGAGAAGAAAAAGAATCAGTTATGTGTACAATGAATGAATGGGAAAACGAATGAAAAATACTACACAAACGTGCAAAAGTCCCACTTTTACTTGCTGCTTTGCTCCCCTTCCACCTTGCCTTCTTCTACTTTAACACTCGCTTTGCTCTTTCGCTCTTGCAAGCTTTACTTCAACACCAAAATATTCAAAAAGAGTTTGCTGTAAACCGACCAAAAAATGTAAAACACAAACTACAGCTAAACATACATTTGCGAACATAAAAATCAAAAGTCGTCTCGATTCTCCTACTCGAGCTATGAAACGTTGTGGAATTTTTTTGTTTCGTTATTTATTTCTTTCCGTAAAAAGTGTCTTGAAGCAACACGAAGAGAAGAAAAAAAAATTGTTTGTAGAAAATATTCGAAAGTTTTAAATTTTTATGCAAAAAAGCTCTCTCAAGAGCTTCCAGTGACTATTTTAATGTAAATTATGCTCGACACATGACGCTAGACACAAACAAAGAATTATTATGATATTGAAGAATGAATGAGCACACAAACTCGCCGAGTTGCAGTCAGTGTTTAGCTAAAGAGAACCATGCTGTGAGAACCATTCCGCATTGAAGAGAAGAAAATGAAAATAATGAAATTATAATTTAATATCCGTTTGTTAATATCTACCATGTGAATCTTTTTATTCTTCTTTTTCAACGTCTTCTCCAAACATCCGAAAATAAGAAGTAAACAGCATTTAAATTGAATTCCAATGTGGAGAGAAATGCTTTAACTATGCATTTAATGATTTAATAAAGTGCAGAGTTGTTGATTTAATTTCAAATATTTGCTACCAACACAAGTGATCGAATATATGTAGAGTAGCTGAGTAAAAAATGCAGTCAATAATTTTCTAACTCTCATAAGTTATGTAAAAGTTTGTAATCTGCTTATTGATGACTTGCATTAAGCTTTTGACTTGGAATTGTGTGATTATTCAGTTGTCCCTTCTTAGCGTAAGCTGAAGTCATTTAAATTGAGTTTTAATATGAAATGTGAGACGTGAGTCATCATCATTTATGAAATTTTATTATTTAAATTCACTTTCTTATCAATGAAAAGCAATCACATAACCATGTAGACAATTTTTAAAATTCAATTTATCAACAACAACAAACTTCGTATTGCATAAATAAATTTGTTAGAAAGTTTTTCCTTATTTGAGTTCCTAATAAATTTCCTTGATTTATCTCGCGTTTTAATTTCAAACAAGTCGACAACATTGCATTGTGTTGATTACTTGCGAATTTATGTGGCAAAAAAAGGTTTAGAGATCTCCTATCGAGATGCACGAACTAAAATCACGTGATGAATTCTCAACATGAATAGTAAAGTAAAAAGAATATTTGCATTTAAAAAAATTTATGATTAACACTGACGTGAAGAAGAAAAAAATGTAGAGACATGAGAAGAATTGAAAAGAATTGCAAAGAGTGATGATTGTGTCTTCAAAATATCTTTTTCCATTTACATTTCTAGTGGTTGCACTTTTTAAATTGCGATGCTTACAGTGATCTCACAAAAAAGAGAAAAATCCCAACTGTTTCTTGGATAAGTTACTGTTAATAGATTTCTTCTATTTCGAGTACAAAAGGCCTTCGTTTCGATGACTCAAGCGCTACTCTTAAGCAATAACAAAGAGAGAAAAAGTTTATTAATGGTTAAGACCATATTGGATTATCCAAATTATTTTGTGGCTTTATGGCGAGACCAACCATCGCGTCATGTTTCGGAATTCTTTATGCTTTTCTTCTCTATTTGCTTGACACAAAAAATAGAAGAAGTGAAGAAATGAAAAAAGTTTAGTGTCAATAATCGGGAGAGGAGCGTCGATAATGTGACCCACTCACAAAAGCGTCCCAATTCTCTCTACTCGACAGTTAAAAAATCAACAAATTGTCAACCTACAAAATGCAACACAAAGCAGTTGCGTTGCACGAAGCCCATTAATTTCTAAATCATACACATGACCATTCAGAGACAAAAGAGTGCTTTAAGAGGCTTCTTTGCATTTCCTATTGCACGATGTCATGGTAAGAACAAATATGTGGAGAAGAGAAATCGTGATTTTTATTCTTTCACCAATGCAGTGCATTATTACTTACACGTTACAAAGTTGAATGCAACGTCTGAGAAGTTGTTAACTTTGATAATGATAGCACAAGTTTCTTACATTCTAAAGCTTATCTCGTTACTTTCCTATTTCCCTACAATTTGATTTCTGCTATTGATTGTTATCGATGTTATTATTTCAACCTTTCGTTTCACAACAGCTCATTAAAGCTTTCAATCATCGAAAATTCTAATTATTAATTAACTATTCAAATGAAAACATGTCAAAGTAGCAGCGAGCGCTGAGAAATGAAAGAGATTTGATTATAAAATTGTTTTACTTCTTTCTTCATCAAATTGAATTCGATCTCGTATCGCTGCAGTTTACGTTGATCGTTGATCTAATTTTTATTCAAAGTAGGCATACATTGAAAACATTGTGTTTATAACGCCAACGTTAACATGGATGGGAAAAGTTGAATTGACAAGAACATCGTTAGGGCCTTCAATTTCAATCAAGCTGTTTCAAAAATTAGATTTAGTTCATAATCGTAAATTAACATCACAAATATTATGGATACGAAATAACAAAGTTGGTTCTCTAGAAATTCATATCTTGATTTCCAAGTCAGTAGTAAAAGTCATTCTGCCACTCAAAATAAGTAAAACTTCTTAAGAAAGAAATCGAGTTCTCCATGGCAACTGCACAATATGCGTCGTTTAAGCACATTTTCCTTCTTTCGATCAGTTTTACAATAAAACGTTTTGAAATTCTTGTTGAACAGGAAAAGCAACGAGACGTGTCTCTTAGAAAGAGAGTTTTATTTCTGCAGAATTAAGATTTTCTTATGAATGCTAAGCATAGAAAGCGAGTGACACACTCATTTAAAATTCCCTTAATGAAAACGACTTTGATCTATCATAATTTTATGCCATAGCGCTTTTGCTTTTCTTGTTTCTTTCCATAATTTACTCGATTGCAATATTGCAACACATTATGATGATGAGTTCTATTTATGGGCGTCATGATACCTTCCCGCTTCTCTATAAAGTTGAAAGCATTTCTCTTTTCACGCTCCGCTAAATTAGCTTTTAAGGTGCTTCTGTTGAAATTAAAACTAGCGCGGAAGTCTCGCAGAAGCAACTGAATATATTTGTCGTCAGGTAGAATATCATAAAAAAGTAAACAAATTTTTCTATTTTACAATCTTCAAAGTTCCATCATAAAATGTTAAAATATTTTTCACATGTCACAGAATTTAAAGTCATCGTCACTGCCTTTTAAAATCGAAGATTCTTACATAACTGAATTTTATGAATAATAAAATAAAATTTCTGTTAAAATCATTTCATGGTCACTGGACATGATTCAAAACAGCAAATCCAGTTTTCTTTTTAAGCCGAAATCTCATGGCGATTAAGAGACTTAAAAAACAAATTTAAACTTGTGGCTGACTCGAGCTCGAGTTCTTATTGAGTCATAGCCACTGAATCAGACAATCACCGGTTTACAAGAATGTTTCGTCGTATATTTCACGCACATTTAATTAATTTATTTATAAGGTCGTTCACGATATTAAAAGAATTACAAAGTAAGATTAGCATAGATATGTTCTGCGTCAGGTTTGAAATTTGTTAAATTTTAATAATCTCAGATATCACGAGTCAACTAACTTCACAATATCATTGACACCCCCGCTCAATTCCATTATAAAAATTCCAAATTAAAATTAATGATCCACTGCTAAGATACCAAAAGAGAAAAATAAAATTATATAATTTTCCATGCGGTTTTTATCTTTTGGAGCGTGCGTTTATAGCTTTTAATTAAATGTATGGAATGAATATTAATTGACTTGAAAATTGCTCTTAAACAGTCTCGACATACGATTTATTTTATTTTATGTTAAAAATATTTTATTTTGAGGGGAAAAAGAGTTGAAAACTTGAAAATATTTCAATGATGACGACTTCACAGCGTTTAAAATTGATAAAGAAAATTCGAGTTAAGAAGAGGGTTGGGAATTAATTTAATTTTCCGCTAACAAAACCAAAATTTTTCAAATTACAATCACCAATATTGAGAGCATACATATGAACACTTGAGACTTGAATCGTGTCGCTAATTAATTTTCTTGACTTAAACATGAGGTTAATTTAAGAAGTAGTTTTTCTCGATCTAAATGAGCTACCGTCAATCTTTAAATATTAAATAATTGAATCGATAAATTCGAAAACTTCAACATTAAATCTTAAATTTTATCTTCTTTACAGGCTGTGAAGAAAGCATCCAAAAAAATGTCAGATAATTTGTTGTCATTTCTCTTTAAATTTTTCATTCCGCCCCCGAAATGGAATACAAGAAATTTATTCTCTTCTGCATGTTATTGACACTTCGAAAATGTTCCCACCAGAAAATGCTTAAAGAAAAACGATGAAAAGAAGAGGAGAAAAATTAATCAACTTCACACCCTCGAGAAAGTTTGTCTTTCGTTTCACGAAGTTTTTTCTTGACATTGATACCCTCGGTGGAAAAAAATATGTTAAGCAAACATATCGATTAAATATTAAATTTATAAAAATTTTCTCTATTGATAACACATTATGTTGTGTTTAAGGGAAATTCCTTGTAGGCTTTTTCTCCCTCTGCATAGGCAAACAAAAATATTTTCCAATCAAACATAGAACCGGAATTCTCATAAAAAATCGACTTTGTATCAACATATTTTTGCTTCTCTCAATTTCATGTTTAATGGGAGATTGTGTGTGATGAGTTCCCTCAGGGGGATCCGACATTCGACATCCTCCCTGAAATTATTTGAGAATTCTTGCGCCTTTCTCAATTCCATAACTTCTATTGGGATTATATTTTTATTGGAAAAATTTTCGGTTGTCGTCTCGCTGATGCTTGTGCATCGTTATTTGCCTTCAATAAAACTTTTCTTCACTTTTTATCCCTTCAAATTTAAGGATGACTAGAAATTAAAAATAAGAAGAGAAAAGCCATAGAAATTTGCTGCGATTTCAGCCAAGTTTTGGTCAACACGTTTCATCTCCAAGCGCTTTTCTTTATTTAACATTAAATATTATTATGTGTTCTTTATACAATTTCTCACTTTTTTTCTCACATTCAATGGTTTATCCTTGGGTTTATCTTCTCATCCCATCAAGTCAATTTTCTTGTTGGAGTTCTGTTACGAAGATTCTTTCAAGTGAACGCTGAGAGGATGACGGTGAGGGGAGTATAATGAAATTATGATTTTTCTTTTCCTTCCTTCCTTTTCAAGTCTTTTTTAATTCGATAAAAGCACTTGTTATTTAAGTGGATGAGAACAGCTTTTAAAATTAAGTGGCGAGAAGCTTATAGCGGGTGAAATGAAATTACGGAAACAGATGTTTATCCAACTTTCATGACATTTTTCAGCTCATTTGAGGTTACTTTGTGTAGAGATTTTTTTCTACTTAAACTTCAGTATTCAAATCTACGATTCATGTCTCGTTTATGTGTCAAGTTCATTAAGAGAAGTTCGCAGTCATAAAAATGATTTCGTTTGTTGCGGATTAGTTTATTGACCTACAAATGGTTAGTTATGAGGTTTAACATTTCTTTTTTATTTAACAAACCTTTCAATAAAACTGAACTTGGTGCCTTTAAAATATTGAATTGGATCATGACGAACTATATGAGTTTTGATTAATTGATTTTTAAAACCAGCAACGGTCTTTGTCTATAATTGGTGAGTCATTAAGTGTTACAATAAATTTATTTCTGCATAGAAGTTAAAGACATTGTTATGAATCATTTGGAGTATACCATAAATTCTTTCTTTTATCATTTGAAGTTAAATGAATCAGAAATCTCAAGTACATTAAGGCACTTGAGTTAAAGATTGGTTTTTAATCATTTATAGTTGATAAGCCTTGATAAGCATTTTATTGTTCAATTATATTTTGAGAGTAACTTGTATTTAAAGCGTGTGAAATATTGAACAAGATCAGAAGAAGTTTAACTCACAATCAATTAAGAAGTCAACTCAACTTGAACAAGAAAATGAAGATTGTTGCAGTCACATTTATTTTAATCGTCGCATCTGTTTTTGCTGATCCTATTTCAATCTCAGACAACAATGTTGGGGATATTGTGAACGTTGGAGTGAATGCAAACGCTAAAATCGACAGCAAAGTCCATCAAAATATTATTGAAGCAATTTTGAGTCTTTTAAACCAACAAGTTATTGGCGTGAACAGTGGAAAGGATGCAACCGAACTCAATGAAATTCCAGAATCCTCAGATGTTAACTTCAGCCATGAAATGAATGAAAATGTTGAAAACTTGTAAAATAAAATATTAAATAAATTGCAAAAAGCTATTGAAATCAAAATAAGTTTGTTTTGTAACTATTAAGAATAAATTTTCAGTTATTATAGCTAAAAACTTTTAATTTCAGAAATCTTTACCAAAGTTCAAAAAAATATGAAAAACAAACAGAATTAATAATGTGAAATTTCAACATCACATTTTATAATTTTATTTTCAAAAGATTGTGAATTTCTGTGGTTTATCATCAAAAGTAACTTTTACCAAAGACATTGAAAACGATTTTTCAATTGATTGAAAATTTTGAAACGTAAATTAAAATTGGTTGAGTTGCATAAAATTCACATGAAAATTTGTTGTAGTTTTCTATAGCTGTCTCTAATGAGATATTTTCTTTGAGTCATTTAATTAATTATTTATTTTAGTTTTCCTTTATAAATAAAAAACTTTTGTTTCATTTCAAATTTTTCAAATAGTCGAACATCGCCCGACTCTGCTTTACCGACGCATGTCAAGGCATCTTAATGACTCATAAAGTGATAATTTATTGTGACTAACTACTCATGAGCCAATAGAAATCAATTTATTACAGCTTTAATGATTTATAATCTTTTAGCACAATGACTTAGATGATAAGAAAGTTAATTTGGTGATTGTAGTGCCACTTGAAGGTATCCAAGCGCCAATTATTCATCGTTCTTTGATAACAAAATGATATAAAACAAGCCGAAAATTTTAAGAAGTTATCAAAAACAGTCAACAATTCAAACAGTTCAGAACTAAACAATTGGAAACTAAATAAATCAATTGAAAATGAAATTTGTTGCAATCACACTTTTGGCATTCATCGCAGCTGCTTGTGCTGGTCCCATTTCTGTATCCAATAACAATGTTGGTGACATTGTTACAGTTGGAGTCAACGCAAACGCTCAAATCGACAGTGTCGTAGATCAGAACATCATTGAAGCAATTTTGGGACTCATGAATCAACAGGCAATCGGTGTAAGCACAACCGACGAAGCTTCCAAAGCTGCTGAACTCCCAAAGTTCTCAGAGATCCACTTCAGCCCAGAAATGATTGAAAAAGTTAAAAGTTTATTGAACTGAGCAAACTAAAATTGCAGTAAAATATCAATAAAAGCTAATTGTCAATTAAATTTCAAATTTGTTTTTATTAAAACTTTCTAAATAATCATCAGTTTGTAATTGTGAAGCCAAAAATCTAATAAAAACTTTCATACTTGAATGTCAATGATTTCAAATTAACTTCAGCCTTTTTATATTTTTTCTTAACTTTACTTAATATCGAGCATAACTAATAATATAAATCTTTATGATGCAAAGCATTACTTCACCATTTACACGCTCCATCAAAATCATTACTTTTTCCACCCTTTTAATCAGAACAACTTAAAAAAAAAGCATCGAATCGAACAACAGTTCTTCTATCATTCTTCCACTTCCGATTAGGGTGCAATAAATTCTTTTCTTATTTCATAGAAAGCAATGAAAAAAATGAAAACAGAATAAGTTTTTCACCCAGAAAGAATTTTTTTCCTTGAAACTTAAATAAATTGAACAGAAACAACTTTAAACCTGCAATAATAGTAAACAATAATTTTATAGCATGAAATATTCAATGAACATTTATTTACTTTTCAACTGGGGAAAAAGCATGATTCTCACTTTAAGTGATGAAACGATACATTTCAGTTCTGCTCTCTTTTCACGCTTTTGAAGCATGTGGGGGAGTTGTTAAAGGCACTCATGGGAAAATCCACTCCCGTGATTTTACAGTTTTCAAAGTTGAAGTGAAATATAGATTTTCCTTCAAAAAATAAATCATCGGGAAAATCTTTTCGAACAAAAAGGAAAAGTTTCAAAGACGTTAATCAGTTGACAAATTTTTTTGAAGATGTTTATTCTTTTTCCAACATTTTTGCTTATTCGACTTCAATTTTGTAGAATCAACTGATTTTGAACAGATCAGCAGAAAATTAGAGCTCATCAATTTCTTCTTGCATTAACTTTGTCAATGGGCGTTGTTCGTTTATTTTGTGTCTTGAAATTGATTAATTGAGCCGCATAAATCAATATGAAATTTTTTTATTTATGGTTTTTTGCATGCTTTAATGTTAGCCAAGAACTTCATTTCAAAAACTACAATGGTGAAGAAGATTTTGTGTAAAATGTGAATTATTTATGGACTCACTGGTCTTTCAAGCTGCTTACAATTTAGTTTCTTTATTTATTTTGTCTGCTCCGAAACAACTGAAAAACTTTACATATTGAGCATTCAAAACATTTTATTTTAATTCTTACAACTAAATATATTTGACGACTTAGATAGGAAGTTTGACTCAATTAAGATTAAAAATCTTTTTTAATAATTTTGCAACGTTTGCAAGTATTTTAAGATTAAATTCTTATCACGACGATTAAATAATTTCACAAACTTGAAGCTTCCTTGTCTGTCGATATCACAAGAAAAAAATTATCCACTCATCTTATAAATATTTTTTAATTAAACTCTAATAAAATGTTAGCCATTCATCAAACAACATCACAAAGTTAAATTCTTTTGATTCGGTTAAAGAGGCTCATCGAATTTTTAGATTACAGATATTAATATTTATGTTGCTCTTCCTTCATTTTTTAATATTAAAAATATAATTTAATCAAGCAGAAAAATATCTCGAAAGCATTACTGAGAAGAAGCTCTTTCGGATTTTTAATGGCATCCAAAAGACGAGTGAATGAAAAAAAAGGTCAAAGTTATTTTCGACATGAAAACATCACAACATTCTTCCAACCCAAGAAGAGAGTACGAAGAAAAATTGATCGGAGAATATAAATTGCCTTTGCCTTTTCCCTTTCGCTTTTCTTTCGTTAGTTCTTTTATTTTTTGGTTTCCAGGCATGAAACATGATTTTGCAGTTCTCATATGATGACTGAACGTTCTTTCGGTCTTTTATCTTGTAATTTTCCCTTTTCTTCTCTTCCGAAATCGAAATTTGAATAATTTGGCATAAATGAGAACAGTGTAAGAATAAGAAATTTTATTATCGCGATTCGATTTTCGTGCCAATGCTATTAAACATTTATAAGAAGTGTATGAATTTTTATTTCTTTAACTTCTGAATTCATTTCAATGTTGTACAAATTCAAAAACTTTCTAATTCCTAAATTTATAAGAATAAAACTAAATTGCCTTTAATTTACTAAATTGAATTTTAACTTAATAAGCTCCTTTGTTTCAAACTGATCACACTAAACAAACTCGCGTTTCGTTGAACTTAATTCACATTAAGAATTCAGAATTCATAACATGACGCTTTGTGCGCTGCATTAAAATTGCATCGTCGACAGCAAAATTGATTTTATCCTTAATATACTTAGATACTTCTCAAATTACTTTAAAAGACGATGAACGTGATGGGAATAAAACCTTGACGAGATCAAAAACTTTTGCTTCAATTTAATTTATTCTGGAATGCAGAAAACAACTTTATGGCTTTAAAAAATTCAAATCAATATTTTTGTCATCCATAAAGGTGACATTGTGAAATTTTTCATTTCNTGAAAAAGACACTGAACAAGCATAAATATAAGTGTTCTCCAGGCTACCCTTATTTATCAGGGTGTGTAGCTAGATGAACACTGGTTTTATCCACTTAATTTTGTGTTAAGATCATTAAACTTAAATAAATACTTATTTAATCGAACCAACCTGACGGACAGTCCGACAAAAACCTTTATTTAACTTTCTTCAATCAATTCGATTTTAATTTTTCAGAAACAACCCTTCACCATTCAAGCGCTCTCTCTCTCTTTTGAGAAAACAACTTTATGGCTTTAAAAAATTCAAATCAATATTTTTGTCATCCATAAAGGTGACATTGTGAAATTTTTTATTTCGTCACAAACATTTGCTGATTCATTTGAACATATTTTAAAGTTTTAAATCAAAATCGGACCATTTGCTAATCTTATCACGAAGCTCTACTTTGAAAAAAAACAATAAAAATTGAGTCAACGGGTTTATCATTTCTTAAAGCTGTTAATTCTATGATATGAGTAATGAAAGAAGTGATATCGATAATTAAAAGATTTTTTCTTGAGACGAGGATTATGAATTAAGACATAAAATAAAATTTATCACAATGAGTCGCACAAAAACCAATCTTTGCAAATGTAATGACGAACTTGATGACATAATGAAAGATAATTGACAAGTTGAGTAGTTTCTTCATTTTTTCAATCGTATTAAATTAATAACCAATGATTTTATTGTAAAATAATTCATCAAAATAAGCACACAATAATGTTCGACATCAAAGATTTTATTTTCGTAATTTAAGCGTTTATTTTATTAGTTTCTTGACAAATGGATTTGAGCTTTTATCATTAAATTGAATAGTTGTGATTGATGTGTTCTTAACATGTTGGATATTGTTTATGGTGTCACCAACAAGCTTCTGAGTTGGTTAATCATTTCTGGAGAGAAGCCTGATCGTCTAGGTAAACTTGGTCCCCCTCCAAGTCGAATTTCTTGATCGTTCAACAAAGCGACAATGATGTTAACGATGTCTTGGTTGATTTCACTCTTCACTTTTGCTTCCACGTTCACTCCAACAGTTACAATATCACCAACATTATTATCAGCAACCTTAGCTGGGCCAGCGCTAGCAACAGCGATAAGAGCCAAAAGTGAAATCAAGAAAAGTTTCATTTCAATAGCGAGATGGACAACCTTCTTCAGACTGAACAGAAATGATTGTTTTCATACATTTACCTTACATTTATAGCATAAGAATTTTCTTTATCAACTCTTCATTATTATCAGTTTCAAATTTACTGCTTGAAAAGATTAAAAAAATTTCAATTTATCGAATGTTCTTATGAAAACACCTTGAAATATAATTTTGTGAAAGACGATTTTAAGCTTTTCAATGTTTTCGAAGTGAATACAAAAAAAAAATAGGAAAAAAGTAATAAAATTGGGGCCACATCAATAGTACATAAATTGCTTTAAATGGGCATAAATGAGAAAATCTTAAATTAATGTTTAGGAATTATAATGACTCAAGTTGATTTTGTTTCATCGTTTGAAAACAATAAAAAGTTTATGTGCTTAAATGTTGAGATTGCACACGTGGTTTCAACCAGCAACAGTCACAATAAATATTCAGAAATTAACACCAACGATGATTTTATCTGCCCAAATAGACCCTTAGGTGGTATTTTTTTATCTTTACTTTGACTTGACATCTCATACACCTCAATCATTCAATTGTCATAAACATTTACTCAAACTTATTACGAAAAGTATTAAAAGTGATTAATTATATTTCGAAATATTCAGTTTAAAGCTTTTATTTATTTTATGTTTCTTAAATAAACATAAATTGCATAAATTACAAAATATTTCTTATTGAGCCATCAATCCCTTGAATTTTTCGATCATCTCTGGGGTAATTTTGAAATTGGAAGTTGGGGTTGGAAGGTTAATGTCTGGGAGGTCAGCAGTGATTCTTTGATAATTTTTCAATCCCAAGATGACGCTGAAGATGTCTTGATCAATTTTGCTGTCGATGTCAAGTTTTGCGTTGATTCCTACGGTGACGATGTCCCCAACATTGTTGTCTGAAACTTGTGTTGGAGCTGCATGGATGGCAGCAACAAAAGCAAGGAGAACGATGACTGCGAATTTCATTTTTGATTATTGTTTTCAGTGGATCCTGGCAAGCGATTCAAATTCAACTAACTGCTGCTTGCGTTTTCCTACATATTTATAATGTCTTCAAATCAGATCTTTATTTCGTTATCTCAATCTTTTGGTAATGAAACGATAACGTCGATTGAGAAATGAATTCAGCACCGGCTGAATCAAAGATTTTATCAAGAGAATAAATGAATCATTAAATCTACATGTGAATCATTGTGATCAAGTGAAGCAGGTGTTATGTTGCCACCCGACCCCCATAAATTGAAATTGTAAATCATTTGGAATAAGAAAATCTTCATTGTCATGACAACAAAAGAAATTTATTAAACAAATGTTAATGATAAGAAATCAAGTTTTAATTTTATAATTCTTTTTAAAAAAATATTTTTATTATTCCAAATGTTTATTTTGATACATTTAATGATTCAGAAAAAGTTCATAAAATATCTTGAATTCTTTCCATCATTTCAGGAGTGATTTCGATACCTCTAGGAAGGTCGGGAAGGTTGGGGATATTAGGAGCTCTAATGTTGCCAATACTGGTGCGTTCATAGTTTTTCAATGCAGCGATAACGCTGAAGATGTCTTGATTGACTTCGCTCTTGATATTTGCGTTTGCATTGACGCCAACGCTTACGATGTCTCCAACATTATTGTCAGTTATCTGAACTGGTGCACAGTTGACAGCAACGATAAACGTCAAAGCGATGATAGCGAATAATTTCATTGTTTTATTTTGATTTTACCTTCCGCCAACTTCTCCTTCTCAAACACGTCTGATTGATATGAACTTTGTTGTTATATTTTATAAAGTAGAATTTTATCTTGGAAAATTACATCATGTGTGATATCATTTTCAATGAAGCTCAAATCCCAAGGATTAAGTCCTTGTGAAACTGGGTGAAATTTGCAACTAATTTTAGACATCCGATTGACAAATTTTACTTCAAATTTGTTCAAAAGTCCAGCTCATAAAGGTGACATAATTTCTGAACCAAATGATTAAATCTTATCAATAAAAATTGTCATTAACTGATTTTTATCAGCAAATTTGAAGTGTTTGAAAAAAATCCTTTTAATGTGACTTGAAAAAGCTCTTCAATAAATCAATTTGATGTCAAAGTTATATCACAACTCTTATCGAACAATTGTCTTTCGGTAAATTTATGCTATGATTTAACTGAAAAGCTGTGTGATTATATATTTATCACATTTTACTGTTCTATTTATTTGAAGTTCTTAAAAAGTGGTCAAGGAAAAAATAAAATAAAAATTCAAAATTTCAAGAGTTGCAAAATTTCAATTTTATTTGTTCTTCAATAAAATGTTTAATATTGAATTAAATTAAGCCATCAACCTTCTAAATTGTTCGATCATCTCTGGTGTGATTTGACTTTGATCAAATGGCAATCCACCGCCTCCAACTCGGATTCTTTGATCATTCATGATCTTGACAATAATGCTTACAATATCTTGATTAATTGTGCTGTCAATGTCCAATTTTGCGTTGATTCCAACTGTGATGATGTCTCCAACGTTGTTATCGGAAACTTGAGTTGGTGCAGAGTAAACAGCTGCGATGAGAGCGAAAAGTGTGATTGCGATTAATTTCATCTTGTCTCTTGCCTGAACGATTCTAAAGTCAAACTTAAACTGAAAATTTTCTGACCGAATTTTATATTTTTCATTGCTTTCTTATCAATCGAAAATTCAGCGTCTTAAAATCATGTTGAAGCTAATTATCCAACTTCTGATTTTAATTTAAAACCTTCATATGAAGCTGATAAGTTATCGACATTGAATCACAAAAACAATCTCGGCTATCGTTATGATTCTCTTTAACAAAATGAAATATTTGTGAGATTAAATTTATGACTCATTTATTAATTTAAAGTTGCCAAACAAAGCCTTGTTGTGATCATTACTAAGTCTGAGTCACTCCTGTTTACAAAAAACATCAATTACAATTAATAAAATTAAAAGTCCTTGAATGAATGTTTCATAACAGATGCTCTTGAATTTTAAGCTTTTTGATATGAGCGATCAATATCAATAAAAAATTTATTTTCATGATCCATTAACGCATTCATTCCGTTTCAAATACGATATCAAAGAAATATTTTCTTATGTCGTTTCATACATCGGAAAATTGGATCGAAAAGCTTCTTTTTTCTTTTTCTTTTATCGTCTGTTTTAGCAGTGGAAAAGTTTCATAAACTCATTCATGTTGAAAAGGCAATCGAAAGTGAAGCTTTTTTTATTTCGTACGGGTAAAAGTAGAATCAAGAAATTATGCGAGAGTTTCATGAAACATTCAATATAAAGACGAGATACCAACCGAATTGGAAATCATTGCCAGAGGGTTATTTGATATCTCATGGGTGTGCGTATGAGAAAGAGAGAACATGTTTGAATAATCGAAGCAATATCAGGAAGAAAAGAGAAAATAAATCGATTTGAAGTTTCAGTTTTGTCTTTAAGCAATCAAAGATCAATGACAAAGCATTTCTTTCCACATGCCGCTGTCCTAATGACACCAAAATGATTTACACTCAACTCAATCGAAATATTTTCATCATCGGCAAAAAAATTAAACATATGAAGCAAATTTTACTTATAAATTGGACCCTCTGGAAAGATTTTTATCAAGTTTTGTGTGAATATCGAGTATCCCGACCACATCAATTTTTTATATGTTTAAGTACTGAAAAAATCAAGTTTTAGAAAAGAAATCGATTCAACAAATCAAGGAAAGGATTTTTATTAACAAAAGATAAATTTCATGACATTTATTTTTATTCTTATTGTTGTAAAAGCTTAGCGAAATGATGAAATTAGAGCATCATTCATCAGCTTTCAATTCATCCTATGCGAGTCGATTGATCGTTAAGTAATGCAACGATGACGTTGATAATGTCCTGGTCGATTTTACTCTTGATTTTCAAATCAGCATTGACTCCAACAGTGACAATATCCCCAACGTTGTTCGAGTCGACTTTTGTTGGACCGGCGACAGTCACAGCAACGAAAAATGCCAAAAGTAAGAAAATTGCAACCTTCATTGTTTTGCTTCGTCTTTGAAAAATTTGAACACACTGAAAAATATCGAATAGATCACGTAGCTTTTAAATGTTACTATCAAAAGCTAAAAGTCTTATCAGTTCATAAAATTTATGTCAGTTCTTATGTAAGCTTTCCTTCAAAATAAATGATTTAATGATTAAGTTTCATAACATCTGCAGATTGCTTTGAAGTTTTGAAAAATAGATTTTCTTTAATCATAGGCTTAATTATTAACATTGCTGTTCAGATTTTAAATAGTTATTCCATTTAAAATTAAAATTATTCAAATTATTATTCAATTAAATCTCACAAATCCTAAAGATATCTTTCAATGAGCTTCATAATCAGCTCAGACATTATTGACGTCGATAATGGTTTTCATGGCTTAGTCATCAAAGCTCAAGATTTTGTCAAACATCTGATATCTTATTTGTACTTTTAAGGAACTTTTTGTGATTGAAAGATTGAAAATTTGATAAGATTTTTGATATAAAAAACCATTGCGCTGATATAATTGTTATCCAGTCTGTTTGAAACTTTATTAAACTTACTTCAATCGGGACACTTCTCTCTCAGCCATCATAATGAAATTCGTTGCAATCACACTTTTCGCTCTTATCGCGGCCGTTTATTCAGCACCAGTTCAAGTTTCCGACAATAATGTTGGAGATATCGTCACTGTTGGAATCAACGCAAATGCAAAAATTAAGAGCGACATCAATCAAGACATCTTCAGTGTTATCGCTGCTTTCAAAAATTATCAATCAATAAGACTTGGAGGTAGTGGAATTCTCTCTGCACCTGCTGCTGGTGCACAAGGACAACCCGATTTTGAAATCACACCAGAAATGATCGAACAATTTAAAAGTCTCTTATCAAAACAATAATTTTATTTATTGAAAAAAATTGTTATGTAAGAATTGAAATAAAATTTATCTTTGCCATCTGATAATCTTCCATGTTTTTATCAAAAAAAATAAAAATTTACATACATTTAAAAGGGTTGACTAATCATTTTGTAATTTTAACGGTCAAAAGAAATTTGAAATCTTTCATCTCGCTCTTTTCTCGATTCAACCTTTCACAAAAATCTTCTCAGAAATTTCTTTTAAACAAAAAAGAAAAAAGAAAAAACTTTAAATTAGGTAAAATTTATATTAAAAAGCTTTGATATTCTTCAAGATGGCAGAAGAGGTTGCAGAAACATCTTTAGAAGTGACATCACTTGAAAATGAAGAGCAAGAACGTGCTGAACTTCAAAGATACGTCGATGAATTAAACGAGAAAATCAAACAAAAAAGTGAAATGCGCGAAAAGAACTTGAATCGTCAATTGCCACCAGAATCTTATTTTACTAAACTTGATTCAAGTTTAAAGAAGAACACTGCGTTTGTTAAAAAGCTCAAGCAATTCACAGCCGCTCAATTAGATTCTCTACTCAAAGATATGACAACGCTGAATCTTTCAAAATACATCAGCGAAGTTTCGCAAGCGGTGAGTTTTGTTTTGAATTGATTGTAAACAATTGTTTAGTTTAATTAATTCTAGATTGTTGAAGCAAAGTTAAAAATGACAGATATTCCAGCGGTTTTAACTTTATGTTCTAAACTTCATACGGTTTATGGAGAATTTTCACAACATTTCTTCGAAAATTGGCAAAAAATGCTGACGATTAAACACGGAGAAAAAGTTCAGAATGCAAGTAAGCTTCGTGTTGATTTAAGATTATATTGTGAGCTGCTCAGTATTGGAATATTTCCAAACAAAGTAAGTTAATTATCTGAATTAGTTTTGACTGATTTTTTTAAGATTTTTTCTTTTATTTTGTAGCTTGGACTTCCACTTCTCGGTTCGATTCTCACAAATTTGATTGCGCAAGATAAAGAAGAGCACAGTAATCTGTCGATTATTCTTTCATTTTGTAAGCATGTTGGTGAAGAATATGCTGGACTTACATCACGTCGAATTCTTCTTCTTGCAAAGAAATTTGAAGTTCAACTTCCAGCCTCGACACTTCTTACAGCTGAAAAGCAACACAATGTCAGGAATTTATTACGTGATTATCATCAGACTGTTTGTAAACATTTGAAACATGAACATAAAGAACTTCAATCAGCTGAACAATCGAAACGACGTGCAATGGAATCTCATGGTGAAATTTCCAACAGGAAACGAGAACAACTCGAAATGATGACATCAAATTATGACAAACTTCTGCAATCAACAATAACACTCAGTGATATACTTAACGAAAATATGCCGGAATTACCAAAGGAAGAAACAACAACGAGTGAGGGAAATGTCATTGAAGGTTTTGAAGATTCTTCAGATGTTCAACTCGATCCTTGGGGTGATGAAGACACGAAATCATTTTATGTTGACTTACCAGACCTTCGTCAGTTCCTTCCAAATTATCATGGCCGTAAAGAACCTTCTGAGCCATTACCAGAAGTTGAACAAGTGACTGAAGAAGCGCTTGATGATGAAACTGTCGCTGAACCCGAATTGAATGTTGAAGAACAAGAAATCATGAAAGAAATTGAAGAAGAAGAATCAAAGCCCGATGAAAAAAGTTTAATTGACAAGGGAACTGATGAAGGTGAAGAAGATGAAACATCGGCCGAAATCGGTGACAGTGACAAGCCATCAATGCCTGAAAAAACTCAAATTCTCGGCTTACAACAACTCAGAACTTTCCTTGCAAATCTTTTGCATTGCGTTAATCGTGAACAGATAGATTCAGCTGCCATTGAGTTCTTACTCAATTTCAATAACAAACCAAATCGAAAGAGACTTGTCAAAGCTCTTTTTGGTGTTCATCGAACACGATTAGATTTACTGCCATTTTTTGCACGATTCTGTGCAATTGTAAATCTCGTCTCACCTGATGTTGCTTTGGAATTATCAAAATTACTTAAAGTCGACTTCAAATTTCATGTTAAGAAGCGAGATCAATTAAATATTGAATCAAAAATTAAAGTCGTTCGTTATATTGGCGAAATGGTGAAGTTTACACTGTACTCAAGACTCGAAGGTTTGATGTGTCTTAAATATCTGTTAAGCAACTTTCAACATCATCACATTGAGATGACTTGTGCATTCTTGGAAGTTTGTGGAATGTATTTGTATAATTGCAAAGATTCGCGATTAAGAACGAGTGTTTACCTTGAACAGATGATGAGACTTAAGAAAGCCATGACATTGGACACGAGACATTCAACACAAATCGAAAATTGTTATTACCTTGTAAAGCCACCAGAAGGTGGAATGCAAGTAAGAAGAAAAATTCGAACACCGATGCAAATGTACATTCGCTATTTAATTTTTCAAGAGCTTCATAAAGGGCATGTTGAGAAGATTGTTAAATATGTTCGTCGACTTGATTGGGATGATCCAGAAATATCTGAATACGTCATAAAATGTTTAACGAAAGCTTACAAATTTCGATGGCATTTAATTCGTCCACTTGCTGACTTTGTTAGTGCTTTAAGTTCATATCAAGAACGTGCAGTGATGAGAGTCATTGATGGTGTGTTTGAGGATATCAGAGCGGGATTAGAAATTCATTCGCCAAAACTTGCACAACGACGCATTGCAATGACGAAATATCTCGGCGAACTTTATCTTTATCGTTTAATTGACTCGAAATTCCTCTTCAACACTTTATACAGCATAATTTGTTATGGTGTCTCATGGAATCATGAAATTTCATCACCAGTTGATCCACCCGAATCAATGTTTCGACTTAAACTTGCTTGCACATTACTCGACACTTGTGGATCGTATTTTCAAGGTTCAACCAGCAAGAAAAGGTTTGATTTGTTATCTTATCAAATGAACTTTAATTAACTTCATTCTCTCCCCCAACAGACTTAATTATTATCTGGTTTTCCTTCAAGGATATTATTGGTTTAAGAAAAGTCATCCAGTTTTTGTATCCACTGCTGAATCTGGCAATTTATTTCCACATCTTATCGAACACATGTACAAGGAATGTCTTCATAATCTTCGACCAAAAATGAAACTCTTTAAATCTTACGAAGAAGCGCAAGAAGAAGTTGAGAAGTTGAGACTGGAACATTTCCCAAATGCTGGTGGAGAGCAAGGCGATGGCGATGGAAGATCACTTGGCACAATTAATGAGAATGAAAGTGATTACACGTCAGAAGCTCTTGTCGAGTCAGATGATGACATACAAATAGGAAAATCTGAGATTGATGACGATGATGACAATGATGGTGATGATAATGAGAATGATGACGATGACGATGAAGAATTCAATGAAGATGAAGATGAAGATGATGACGAGGTTGAAGATGAAAAGGTGAGAAAGTTTTACAATTCATTTATGTCTTTTACTTAAATTTATTTTCATTAATAATTCCAAAGTCACAAGAACAGAAAGAACCAGAAAAAAGTGAAGAAGATTTGCAATTCGAAGCAATGTTTGAGAAGATGGCAGCAGATTCTTATCATGAAAGAATAAAAGAGACAAGCAAAGTTAATACACGTGACATTCCCGTACCGATGACAACACGAGTTGGAAAGAAGACTTACGATCAACTTCAAGATGATTCAAAGCCAACTGATGCTGGTGTTGTTCCCTTTGTGTTGATGGTGAGAAATACAAAAAGTGGAAAGCAACAATTCAAGAATTTTGTTGCGCCGTCTGACAGTGAACTTGCCGTTAATCTTAAAATGCAGGAATTAAAAATTAAGGAAGAGAATGAAAGAGTCAAAAGATTGACTTTAAACATCACTGAACGATTGGAAGAAGAAGATTATCAAGAGTCACTTCAAAAATCACCAGCATTTAACAAAAGACCAAAGTTTAAGCCTTACAAGCATCAGTTTGGTGTTCCCGATACTGACAATATTTTCCATTGAATTTAAAGCTATAAACAATTTATTTCTTAATTAAGTTTTACGCTGTGGCCAACGCAATTTTCTCTTCACAGCAATTTAGAAAATTTATGATCAGAACTTATTTGTTTGTTTATTGATTGATGAAGAAAATTAATTGCATAATTTTTATTGTTCAAAACTCGGTCAACGTCATTTCACAACAGAATAAAGAGTTTTGATAAAACATAACAAAAACTTTTCTTAAACCATCACTCCAAATAAAAAATAACGGAAAAATGAAATTTGAAAATTTGTTTTCACAATTTTTCCGCAAAAATGTGATAGTGTGAGTGTGTACAACCTTTCGTCAAAGTTTTTCGATTCAAATTCTTTTTACAATCATAAAAAATTCAGTTTTATCCTCAAGTTGCTCATGCTAAAAACGATAAGATATAAAAATTAATGAAAGAGCATCTTCTTTCAAAAAAGCAATACAATTAAATATCAGTTTAAGCCTAATTTGTGCACAGTTTTGTTTTCTAAATTTCTGAAAGAAGAAAAAAAATAAAAAAATGATCCAAAAATAAAAAAGATGAAAACTCATTGTCTGCAACTGCGTAACTTTGCTTTTTCGCAATCTGCTAATTAAATAAACAAATCAAAGCAAAAATATGGGCGACCAAAAGGATAAAAATGATATACGAGAGGATTATACGAAATCTGGTGAGTGAAGCGCTAAAAGTCTCGTGTGGAAAGATCCCAGACGTCTGGATCATGTTAAAGAAAATTGCGAAAGAACTCATTTGCAATCTCATTGTTTTATTTATTTTATTCTTTGTACTCATAGTCTCACCAATATCACGACTGGATAATCTCGAACACGCAATTATAAACACAAATGCCACTAAACATAAAGATCTACAAACATCGTCATCAACTTCATTATTTTTATCAAACGAAACTTCCAGTAAGATTCTCAGTGTCGAGTCATTACTCGATTGTCTGATTGTGCTTTATGATGAGTGCCAAAATTCATCATTACGACGTGAAAAAACTGTTTCAGATTTTCTCGAATTGTGTAAGTTCATTCCAAAGAAATTCCAGAGAATTAAAATAATTAACAGAAATTTCTTTCATCCTCAGTAAAACCATCAGTATACAATATCAAGCAACTTCGACTTACACGCGATGATTTTGAGATTCTCAAAGTGATTGGACGTGGTGCATTTGGAATTGTTTGCGTCGTTCGAATGGTGATCACAAATAAAGTTTATGCCATGAAAATTCTTAACAAATGGGAGATGTTAAAGGTGAATTAAGGAGTGTTTGTGTAAAAAAATTTATTTATTAATATGATTTACATTGTAGCGAGCCGAAACTGCTTGCTTCCGTGAAGAACGCGATGTTTTGGTGTTTGGTAATCGTCAATTCATCACCAATCTTCATTTCGCATTCCAAGATGATTCCAATCTGTATCTGGTGATGGATTATTATTGTGGTGGTGACTTATTGACCTTGCTTAGCAAATTTGAATGTCGTCTTCCTGAAGAAATGACAAAATTTTACATCGCTGAAATGATCATTGCGATTTCTTCAGTTCACAATCTCAATTACATCCATCGTGACATAAAACCTGACAATATTGTGCTCGATGCAAATGGTCACATTCGTCTTGCTGATTTCGGTTCCTGCTTGAAGCTCGGACCGAATGGAAAAGTTCAATCAAATGTCGCTGTTGGAACGCCTGATTACATCTCACCGGAAATTCTTCGTGCCATGGAAGACGGTAAAGGAAAATACGGAACGGAATGCGATTGGTGGTCACTTGGTGTGTGTATGTATGAAATGTTATTCGGTGAAACGCCTTTTTATGCTGAAAGTTTAGTCGAGACTTATGGGAAGATTATGAATCATAAGAATTCGTTCGATTTTCCACCTGCCGATCCCGAATATCCTGTCAGTGACAATGCAAAAGACTTAATCAAGAAACTTATCTGTTCGCCAGAAGAAAGAATTGGCAAGAATGGTCTCGACGACTTCCGCAATCATCCTTGGTTTGAAGGCATTGAATGGGAAACGTTGAGAGACGGTCAAGCGCCTTACGTGCCCGATGTTAAAAGTCCAACTGACACATCAAATTTCGATGTCGATGACACTGATGTGAAGCTTTTATCAGATGCTGTTCCACCAACATCCAATCCCGCATTTTCCGGTCATCATTTACCATTTGTTGGCTTCACATTCACACAACATAGCAATTTATCAGATCTGGGATCGGTTGTTGCAGCATCTGTGGTGACATCGAAATGTAATGGCGAACGGGTGAATCCAGAAAGCACAAGAAAACTTCAAGATGAGATAAACATGTTGACGAAGAGAAATGGCGAACTTGAAAGTCAATTGAAATCAATGAACGGCAATGGCGCTTCAGATTCAGTTCCGAAAATCTTAGAATTGGAATCAATTTTGTCACAACTTCGTAAAGAGCATGAAGAGAATATGAAAGAAAAGATGAAACTTCTTGATAACTTGAAAGCTCTTGAATCTGATTTAAAGACGAGCACTCAACAGAATAAACAACGTTTGCGTGAGTTTATGGATTTGAGTGATGAAGCGAAGGAATTGAGAACTCAAAAGATGATTTTAAGTCGTCAACTTCGTGACAAGGAAGAAGAATATGAGAAATCGAGTGAGAAAATTGATGGCTTGCGTAATGAGTTGAGACAAGTTGAAAAGATTCGTCGCGAGATTGAATCAAAACTTCAAGAATCAATTGCTGATGTGAATCGTGAACGACAGGCGCGTGAACGAAGTGAAGAATTTAGTCGACAATTGCAAGCTAAAGGCTCGAATTTGAATGTCCATGAAGCAACATTGAAGAGGGAAATTGAACGATTGGAGATCGAGAAGAAAGAACTTCTTGCCGAACAGCAAACGAGAATGAATCATGAATTCGGCATCATGAGAGATCAAATGAACGAACTGGAAACGAAGAGAAATTTGATGCAAAGTGAAGTTCATCAAATGCGTGACAAACTTGATGTGAGTCGGCAAGAAGTTGGAAGATTAGAAGAGCAAGTCAGTGCCATGAAGAAAGACAAACAAAATTTGATTGAAGACAATTCACGATTAGTTGGTGAGATGGAAATTTTAAACGACACGAATCGACGTTTGCAGACGGAACAATCACAATTGGCGATTGCGAATTGGGAACAGCAAATCAATGAAATTATTCAATGGGTGAGCGATGAGAAAGATGCACGAACATATCTTCAAGCGTTGGCATCAAAGATGACTGAAGAGCTGGACGTGCTGAAAGGTTCAGGCGCGTTGCAGCAGAATCAAGACAAGAATTGGCGTAATCGTCGATCACAAAAACTTGAAAAGATGGAATTACTTAATCTTCAAAGCTCATTACAAAGTGAGATTCAAGCGAAAGCAATAATTTCTGATGAATTGAGTCGAACACGAGCGGATTTGGTCGCAGCACAAAAGTGAGAAATTTTCTTCATTCATTTCCATTATTTTTTTGATTCATTTTCTTCTCATTTAGGGATCTAAACGATTTTCGTCAACACAACGACTCGATTCTCAACGAAATGATGCGAAAAGACAAGTTGATTAAAGAACTACAATTCAAATTGGAGCACAATGAAGGATGTAAGTACCAACAACCATCATCTTCCTTATTTTCCCATTTCATTCGTTACTTAAACTTTCGACGATAACCGCGAAAAAAGAGATAAAAAAAATTCATTTTTCATGATTAAACAAAACATTAAAAAATGACACAAAATCAAAAGATAAAAGATGAAAAACAAAAACCAAATGTATTCGTTATGTTTAGTGATTGTGATGAGAACAACAGCTGATGATAAAGATGGTGGTTCGTCATCGTCCACGTCCACGTCCAGTATCGTTGATAGTAAAGTTATAGAAAAGATTGAAGCGAAATCTTCATCGGTGGGGGTGAATAATTGTGTGAATATTATTTCTAATTCTTATGATGTGACGACAACCAACGATGATAACGACTTTTTAATTTCTGAATCTGAACGTAATATGCCGATCTATGAATGCATAGCCGCTGAGTTAGATGACGATGAGTTTGATGATGATGATGATGACTTAAATTCGACAAACCAGAGACGACATCATGAGTATGAGAATGTTCAAGACGTGGTGGCGGCGGGACTAAGAAAATTAGAAGAAGATATTTTAAGAAATAATTTATTTAGAGATGATGATGATGATGCATTAACATCAAGTAAATATTCAGATGTAACTACTAGTCGTTGTGAAATGTTGCATCCATCAGCATCAAGCACTTCATCAATACAAGCGACTGATCGTGTTGTCACATCCCATTACGCATCGACACGTGACAATAATCGAAATCACCAAAAAGCGGTGCGAAAGAATTTTTCCCTTTGGATTGGCGTCACGAGTTGTGTGTGGGGATTGCTTTTGTTGCTTATGAAGAATTATGTTGACTAACATTAATTTTATGTTTTCTTTCTCTCCTCTTCTTGCTTAGTCATTGCTCGGCTTTTTTAAATATATTCAAATGTTATGTGTGTGTTTGTTGACTACGTGTGTGTGTGTGTGGACTTTGATTTTTTTTCGTTCTTGTCACTCACTCTTCAAAGTCACACAATTTCCTTTCAACTAATTTTCCACACATCTGTTTTCTTCCTCATGTGCGTGGGCGTTTTGAATTAAATTTTCTTTTTTTTGGTTTTCAAATTTTTATTTTTGTTGGATTTTCTTTTTTTTCTCCCCTTTTTCTTTTCTTTGCAGATAATAAAATAAATGCGAATGATAAAATTTCACGCACAAATTCCCGAACACTAATTAGTGATAATTTAACGACTCATTCTCACATTGTAAATCTAACTCAAAGCACATCATCATCAAATGTTAATTTCATAGCATCGAATGAAATAATCGCTAAGAAAATTAAACATTGTCGTTCAAAATATGCAAAATCTAGTCGTAAGAAGCGAAGTAAGCGAAGAAAGAAATGATCGCTTGCATTGTTTCCGCTTTGTGTGATTTAAACTTTTTTTTCATTATTATTTGTTGTTGTTGATATTTGAGATAAGAAAAGAAAATTAATCAAGTCATAAATGCAGTTAATTTTTGTTGACATTGGCATTGAAACACTAACGACGATTGTTTACAACTTTCACACGTGATTAATTTTTTTTTACTTTAGAAGAGAGAAAAGAAAACAAAAACTAGTTTGTAAAAAAAAGAAACAAATGGAAAACAAATTAGGTCTGATTTCATTTAATTAATAATATTGTCAATTAATTTGATTGAAAAATCGTTTGTTTTTTATTTAAAATTCTTCAATCTTTCATTGTTAAGTTTTCGATTAGTTTAAAAGAAAGTTAAGAAAAGAAATGTTGAAAGAAAATTTTGATTTCACTGTGAAGCTACTTAATAAAAATAAAAAAATTATCCTTGTTGATCTTAACAAACTTTTCTTGATATTTTGAGACTGCCGAAAAGTTTTTTCTTTCGCGTTTTTAAGTTTAAAGTTTTTCTTATTTAGTTCAATGAAATGACTGCGATGAAAAACTGCAATTTTGTAGACGTTTAAGGTGGGACATTGCTTTGTGATAATTTGTTAGACATTCGAATGTTTCATTTGAGATTTCTGTATGATTGAAATTAATAAATTAATTTTAAAGTGAATATTTCGAATGTCTGAATTTTCGTGATAACTCAGAAAGATTTTCAAAGTTTGTTTGTATCATTAATTGCGTTTCATAATCATCTTAAAAGGGAAATTGTTGCTAATCATAAGAATAACTTTTTTTTGCCATCTAACTGCGTTCAATTCATAAGCTTTGACGTCACTGACAATCGAAATGATTTTTTTTGTTTGATATTAACTGCTGTCTTCTCATTCACAATTTATTAAACAACGAGTTACATTTAATCGATTTGCTTTGTGGGATTTTATTGATACATTAAAACAGCTATTTGACGAGAGTTTGTTTATTTAAATTAAAAGTCATTAAATCAATAAAATCAAAAACATTCGCATAGCCTTTGTTAATAACTAATGAAGAAAATTTTCTTTCTTTTATTTTCCAATCTTTTCTTATTATTTTTTCTTTCTCGTCATTTTTAAATGTCACAAAATAAAAATTCAAACTTGCCTTAAATCCAATTAAAAAACATATCAATTGTCGTTGGAAAAACGATTCATCGATTAACAACCGAGTGTTTATAAACATTTTAATGTTTTCTTTAAAAACAAACAAATTGAAAAAAAAAATGTTTTGTGTCGCGTGATTTTTTGTTTCTTTTTATTTTCTTCCCCCCATAAATTTTTTCTTATCAAAATTGAAAATTTCGTTTTTAATCAAAAACTAAAATCAAAAAAATAAATTTTTAAATTAAATCAACAATAAATTATGAAGTTTTGGATCGGCCTTCATCCCAAATGTCATATCTGGAGCATTTCCTCAAGGATACATCAAACAACATCTACAATAATTTACCGCCGGTAAGAACACCTAAAATGGGTGTTTCGATGACTCTCATGAGTGATTCTCATTCTTCTAATCATTCGGAACAGCAGCTGCCAACAACAAGTCCAACATCGACAGTGTCGAGGCCAATCATCCATTCGAGTCCATCAACTCAACATAATCAACAACAACCGATTTACCATAACCAACCGACAATCAGCTCTCCAAGATCAAATTACTCTTTGGAAGATCGTGATGGTGTCAATCGTAACTTAAGCTTCACAAGCTCTAAAAGTAATCTCAGTGATGCATCTTATGATCATTCAAGAGCTAAATTGCATCAATTTGTTGTGAGAAGCTTTACATCACCAACAAAGTGCATGCATTGCACATCATTGATGGTAAGTTTGAATTATTGTTCGGACTAAACAACAAAAAAACAACTCAAAATTTTCATCAATTTTCATAAACATTTTCTTGAATAACATGAATTAATTATACTTCACAGATCGGATTAACACGTCAAGGTGTCGTTTGTGACTTGTGTAACTTTGCTAGTCACACTGCTTGTTTTTCAAAAGTTCCTCCACAATGTCCCGTGCCAGAGAATCAAACAAAACGTCCAATGGGAATTGATCCAACGCGTGGCATTGGCACGGCATATGAAGGATATGTGAAAGTTCCTAAACAAGGCGTAATAAAACGCGGTTGGATTCGACAATTTGTCGTTGTATGCGATTTTAAATTGTTTCTTTATGATATATCAGCGGAACGTGGTGCACAGCCAAGCATTCAAGTCGCACAAGTTTTAGATATGCGTGATCCTGAATTTTCTGTTGCAACGGTTCGTGAGAACGACGTGATTCATGCAAATAAACGTGATGTGCCTTGCATTTTTCGAATCACAACATCACTTCTTGACGGTGGAAATAAATTAATAACATTAATGTTAACTGACACCGAGACAGATAAGTCGAAATGGGTGACAGCATTAAGTGAATTACATCGGATTTTGAAGAAGAATAGTTTACCAAACACGGCTGTGTTTAAAGTGAAAGAAGTTCTTGACAGTTCCTTGAACATTCTCAGGAATTGTATAAGTGCAGCGATAATCGATAAAGATCGTTTATTGATGGGGTGTGATGATGGATTGTACTGTGTTGAGCTTGATTGTTTCGAATATATTCGAATTGGTGAATCAAAGAAAATCCATCAAATTTGGTATGTGAAAAGTGAACAATTATTGGTGGTTTTATGTGGAAAGCAACGACACATTCGTTTGTTACCAATTCGAGCTTTGGAAGTTCCTGACGTCGAATGGATTAAAGTGTCGGATACAAAGAATTGTGTTTGTGCTTGTACGGGAATTATTCGTTATGGTGGACAACAAAACATTTATGGCTTGGCGATAGCTTTGAAGAAACAAAATGGAACGTTAATTGTTGTTTATGAGATTGACAGAAACAAGCAACGACATCACAAACTCTTCGAATTTACTGTAAATGTTTCAGTTCAAAATATGCAAATTCTCTCTGATGGACGTTTAGCTGTTGGTCATCCTGGTGGATTTACAGCTTATCATCTTCAAGCTGATGCTGCTAAAATGCCACTCGTTCATCCTGATAATAATCTCAGTCACTTTCTTATGTATTCGAGTACCGATACATGGCGTGTCATTGAAGTTAATCAACAATCTAGTCAAACTGATAGCGACGATGGCTTAGCTGCTTGTGATGCAAGCGAGTATCTTCTTGTCTTTCAAACGCTCGCTGTTTACGTTGATCAACAAGGAAGGAAGACGAGAGATCGTGAAATTATGTATCCGGCAGTGCCGACATTCATCAGTAAGTTTTGCGACATTTTTATTATTTTTTATTTCTAAAAAATTTCCTTTCGCAGCTTATTGTGATGACAATTATTTGTTGGTTTATTCTGATACACATCTCGATGTATTTGACATCAAAACAGCAGATTGGATTCAATCGATTGGCCTTAAAAAGCCGCGTCCTTTGAGTAACGATGGAAATTTAAGCTTAATGATGATGAATGAATCGCCATATGTCGTTTACCTTTCAAATATGAATGTGAAAGGATTAATTGACACTGAAAGTATTGAACGTTCGATGCCACGACGAAGATTCTCATTGCGTGAGTCAAGTCGCATTCGAACAGCGGCAACTGATCGACGATCGAAAATGATTTCAGCGCCAACAAACTTTAATCATGTTTCACGTGAGTTTTCTTGATTTTCCAGCAAGTCTTTTTTATTAAATTTTTGTGCTTTCTGACAGACATGGGACCTGGAATACAACAAAAGTTTGTTGATTTACCGACAACCATTGAAACTGCTGACGATATTGTCACACAAAGAGCGAATTTACGTCCGGCACCACCACGTCCAACGACGATGCCACCACAAAGCAGTCTTAGGAAAAGTATTTCGAACGTTCGGCCAAAAGAAACGCCACCAAGTTTGCCACATTCGCCATCACCTCTCGGCTCGATGAGTTCACTTGCTGAGAGTATTTTAAAGGTTGCAGATAGACAAACTGAATCGCTATCTTCACGACGCCATAGCTCGAGCTCTTCATTCTCGGGTGCTGAATCTTAAAACCAGTTTTATTAATAAACTTCCAAGAAATTTCTTTTCTTCCTATTTTTATCGTTCGTTCTGATAATGAATTTCGTGACAAACTTACCATTTACTCTCACTTATTACTCCACCAATTAATTCTACAAATATTTGTATAACTTAATGAAGACGAATTTTATCTTCGCTTTCTTTCTCTCTCTATCTACACACAAATTAAATGCGGAAAAAAACAGCAAAACAAAAAGGCGAAAAAGCAAAATTCACATTTTTCATGTCTAGGAATTTATTCGAAATTAAAGCAAGCGATATCATTAAATTATTTATTGGCCTCATGATCATTAGTTGTAGGAACTAAACAAAAATGAAATTAATTAATTTTGAGGGTGAAAAGATTTTTTTTATGAGTGGAAATGAAATTGAAGAATTTTTTTATCGTCAACAAAACTTCAATGAGAACAAAATAATTTTCCACCCACGCACCCTCATGACTAAACTAACACAAAATGTGGACTAAAATTTATTAGATGAAACAAAAAATGAAAATCAAAAGCTAAGAAGAAAATTTTCTCATTTTTTTAATTTTATTTATTTCGCCTTTTTTATCAACAACTCCAATAGATCATTTTTTCGATCAAAATTTCTCTTGTAATTACCTAATTAAATTTATTTAGTTTAATTGACATTGGATTATCTAACACATTTTCGCTGGAAGACAAATCAGATTTTTTATTTAATTTAATTTCTTTTTTAAATTTATTTGTCGACACAAAATGAAAAATGAATAAAATAAAATTAATCAATTTGTAACTGAAAATGAAAGTTTTTCTCTTTATAGAAGTTGTGGTAGTAAGAAAAACGAGTAATAATTAATTTTATTAATTTATTTATTTATTCGTAAGTTCATGAACTGTCAAGTGAAATTTATGTTACAATTTTCATGTAAATATATTGTGATCATCCCCGCATGACTAATTTCTCACACTCATTCTTCGCTTTTGTTGATGATTTTTCTGTACTTTAATGAAATGTTCTTTGAGCTTATTAAAGTCGATTCCACTTTGACTTTCAATGGATCTGTGAAAGAAGAAAATGAGAATTTAATTAAATCAAACAACAAATTTTTATAATTTTCTTCTCACTTGAATTCCAAGCCAGCAGAAGAAGATGAAACTGGAATGCATTGAAGTCGATTTTTAAGCAAGTGGAATGTTTCAGTTTGAGGTAACAACATCAAAATTCCGTAAAGAGCGTTTGAAAGATTCTCCGAATCTTTTGTTTTCGATATCAAAGTCAGACGTAAAGCTAGAAGATAAAATTGATTTAAATAAAAAAAAATTCTTTGTTAAAATTTTCTCGACTTACCAGCAAAAATCGGTGATTCAATCAACTGAATGAGTTTGTCAATTTCAACGAGATAATCAACAGTAATTTCTAAGTTTCCACTAAATTGAAAGAAAATTCATGAAAAATTCTTCATTTTTAATTGAGATTGACTTACAAGTGGATGACAAGTGTTGAGACGTGTTCAAAGCAATTGGCAAGTAAACAAAGTGAGATTGTTGACACTGGACAATTAGCCCAACATAAGTAAAGACATTCAAACAATCTCGCTGATTTTGGATTTTTAATATCACGCAATGTCGATCTCAATTCGAAAAGCTCCGATGAAGTAAATAAAATTGTGTTTAGCTTCCGAACCATGATAGATGTGAACTTTAAGTTTTCATTGTCTTTTGACATGATTTCAGCAAATGTTCGATAAATGTATTCAGCATTAAGAAGCGCGCAAAGCTGCTTAATGATGAGAGCTCCACGATTTTCCAAAAAATCTTTATCTTCTTTAAACAACTTCAAAAGACTTTCAAGAAATTCTCGGTATTTCGTTTTGTTGAAATCCGAGTCATTATCTTTTGCCGACTTCACAATATCTGCTATCACAATCAAACCTTCAAGCACAACTTCATCTGAAGTATCGTTGAGAATGTTGAGAAGAACAGGAAATAAATTGTTGGCATGTTGTGACATCTCGTCAGGTACTTCCGAGAATAAATGATGAATCCATCGAAGTGCATTGACTTTAGTAGCTGAGCTTTGCACGAGATACATCTTAAGCACCTCCATGACTGATTCAAGATCAAGGCTTGAAAGAGCGCTTCGATTCTCATTAGATGAGACTAAATCAAGCATAATATTGTTCACAATCATCGCATTTTCTTTGATATCTGAGAAAGAAATTTGAAGTTCAATGTTAAACTTGATCAATTCATTGTTACTTACTCTTTTTTGAATCAGTTTCATATGCTAGACAAGGAAGAAAAGCTGAAAAGATCCCACTTGAATATGATAACATTCCAGCACCGGAAATATTCAGAAACTCTCTCAACCATGTTAATGCTGTCAATTGAATCAACTCATTGTTGGCATTTTGAGCGTGCAAAATGAGAATGTTTGTCATCTTTGGAAGGTTGAGAGCTGATGGATCATGTTTGATGTTCTTAAGGAATTGAAGCAAAAGTGTTTCACACATTCTTTGAATTTCGAATGCTTGATCTTCAAGCATCTGAAATATTCCGTCGAGAATCTCTGGGAGATAGTGAAGCATGTTAATTTCAGGAACTGCATTTAGAATGGAAATCCATGAGATGAGAAATTGACGAGCGAAAGAATTCTTTGTTAAGACACGTTCACGAAGCAAAGGCACAAATGATGGTAAATCAAAGATTTGTGAATTTTCGGTGATGATGTCTTTCATTAATCGATCGAGAAGTTCAGACGCATTTTTCACAGCCGCGTCAGTGTCTGCAACTAATCGAGAAAGTGCGGAAAAAATTTCCGGGAACATTGGGATGATAGCTTGGCGAGAGATCTTCACGATATTGTAGAGACTTTCACTAGCAAAGTAGCGGACTTTAGTGTCAGGGTCCATTAAACAATTAAGAACAGGAGTAAGAAGTTCATTATTATATCCACCCGCATCTGGTCCTAAAGCAATCGCACAGCTTGCCAATGCAATTAAACCGCCCTTTCTCTTATTTGGATCTTTACTAATACAATACTGAATAGCAAATGTTTCAATCAACTTTTTTATCTGTGTAGTGTTCTTGCTTCTGTTGAATTCAACAATCATTCTGATAAAAGAAAGAAAGATAAAATTTTATAAAAGAACTTTAAATATTTTCGTTTTTTACTTTTCCACTTCCTGCGCTGCAAGTTTTCTTTTTTCATAGGTTTTATCTGAGAGTGCCTTAGCACAACTTTCACTTAAGGACATTTTTCTAATCTTAATTTATGTCTATTATAAATAATTAATGAAAATTAAAAAAAATTCTTTCAACTTGAAAAGATGTAAACATGGAATATGTTCAACAATTAAATGTTAAGTAGGAATTGCAAAGCTGACACTTCTCAAACGCTTTATGACTACGTCTAGTAATGTTGATATTTTTTGTTTTCCTGCACATGAAATTATAAAACATTTCAAAATTCTTTTTTAAAAATGTTACTAACAAGAAGAGGTGAATAATTTATTGTGCTCCAAATGTTTAAGACTTTAACTTACACGATTCAATATTATAGGACAAAGTATTTCCAGGCTTATTGTATTTAATTCACAAAAAAGATGTTTTTCTTCTGCACCATCTCCCGAACCGGTACCATCACCAAAAGAACCTTCACTATCTACGAATGAACCAGTGAAAATCGGAGTTATTAATCCACTTGATCATCCCGATTACTTCAATGTTAAGAGCTTATTTACAGTTCGAGATCTCTTTGAGGCTCGTGTACATTTGGGACATAAAGAAGGTTCATTGAATGACAAAATGCGACCATACATCTTTGGATCTCGATTGGGTCATTTAATATTTGACCTCGAACAGACAGCAGAACATTTACGACGCGCACTTAATTTAACTGCTCACATTGCATTACAAGGAGGAATAATTTTGTTCTTCTGTCGAAACGCCTTCAATTCTTTTCATGTTGAGAAAACAGCTAAAGAATGTGGAGAATTCTCCCACACAAGATATTGGCGAGGAGGTATCTTCACAAATGCAAACATTCAATTTGGAGCTGTTACTCGTATGTTTCTATTTTTCTATAAATTTCAAATTTCTCATTTAACCCTTTGATATTTAAAGGTTTGCCGGATCTGTGCATATTTTTAAACACTCTTAATACGATAATGACACAACATACAGCTGTGAGGGATTCAGCTAAAATGAATATCCCAACTATTGGAATTGTTGATTCAAACTGCAGTCCGGATCTAATAACTTATGTTGTGCCTGGAAATGATGATTCGCAAGCTTCCAATGAATTGTATTGTAGACTTTTTAAAGAAGCAATTTTAAAAGGAAAGCAAAAACGAGAACAATTTTTGGCTCAGATGGAAGTAAAGGAAGAGCAAGAATGATAATTTTGAATAAAATTAATTAAATAGTCATCTCGATGTTACTTGCTTTTGTTTTGATCTGCTCAGAAGTGCAATATTTTGGGTGCGTTCAGAAGTTGGAGGAATTTCATCTTTCACAAGCCGCAGTTCATTCAAACATTTTCCTTTATAAGACGCACAACAAATGTTTTTAGTGAAATAATTCTGCAATTTTTGACAAATTTAGATAAATTAATCATATCACAAAACTACTTATAATAGTTACTCGATAAAAGCAATTTATTAACAATGAGAAATTGCTTTGTACCGGGTTGTGATGCTTATTGCAAGAAGAATCAAATAACTCAGAGAAAAATGTTTTTAGCGCCAGCAAAGTTGTTAAGTAAATGGAAAGAAATTTTACCAAAGAAACGTGAATTTAAACAACATGACAGAGTTTGCGAACGACATTTTGAAGATACTGACATCATTCAATTCTGGGAGTCAAAAATAAACGGGCAAATTCATTTTACTCCTAGAGATAAGCCAAAATTACGCAGTGATGCGATTCCCTGTAAGAATTTTCCTATTAATGAAGAATTAATAAGTGAAATCGTGGAAATTCCAACAAAACAGAAGAAACAAAAAGTTACAATTCACTCACAAGTTGTAAAATCTAAAAGAAAAGTCAAAGATTCGTCTGAAGACATTCAAATAACAAAGAAAATTAAAAATGAAACTGAGGAGAAATTTCAGGAAGTTGAAGATATATCTGTGTTGACTGACTGTGTCATCGATGACGAAAATAAAGCTTTAGAGGATTCCGTCGTTATTAAAGTTACAATTGACCCCAAGAAGTGGAAAGCCATGGTCGAAGCTTTTGAGAATCTTTACGATGAAGCATTCGACGTAACACTTCCGAGTCTCCTTTGGGGAATTCACCGAGATCCAGAACGAAGTTTCATAGCATTTAGTGAGTTCAATCCAAGTTTAATGCAAAGCTCAAAAACTCTCTACATCGACAACAACTTCAATTGTTCAACTTATATTTCTAACAAAAAAACTTCAGAGAAAGCTTTAGATTTAGAGCATTTGACATCCGATCATATAACGACGATGCTAGATGAAATAGATAAACAGACACTCATCTCATGAGAATCCCAAATAAATTATTAAAAAGTTCAATAAAAGCCTTTTTATCAATCTCAATGTCGATATTATTCATTACTTACGTTGCTGAAGGGTTCAAAGTTTGACTTTTCCAATCCTTTTGTCTACAGGAAAATCCTTCAAAGATTACTTCGGATTTTCCCACAGATAACAATTTTACAATTTCTGAACATTCTACTTACGAAGTAGAATACAATCGCCTTGAAGCAATAAAAAAATGTCGTTTATCATGATTCTCTTTATAATAAAAATTCTTCAATTCCTTTCATTTGTAAATTTTTTTATTCATTCGCTTTCGAAGCATAAAAACTTTATGTTTGTCCTTTGTATTCAAACGAATCATAAAAAGAATATTTTCGCCTCGTATGGTAATTTTGATAATGCGTTGAATAACAAGAAAAGCTTTTTATGTATCTATCAACTTAAATTATTTAAGGAAAAATATTATTTTGTGTGAAAATGAAGCTTAAAAGAAGATTAAATATCAGAAGAAGAAAACAGAATTTTTTTCTTTAATTCCTAAACAATCCAATGCTTGACGATGAAACTTTTTCAAATATTTTCCTTCGAAACAATAAGCTACTTAAGTATCTTCCATCACAGACCACCAGATTTATCGCATATACAAACACACTCTGATAAATCGCTTCGAAGGGAACAAAGAGCAAGCGGCCACTTTATCAGAGATTCTCATTTGTGTAAATTGATCCTTAGTAAGTAAATTGGGAAAATTTCATACCCATGTGGCTTCTAAAAATACCATTCGATTAATTAAGAAAAACTTGATCGATTTTATCTCCATTTTCATGTGGCCATACATCAAGACAATGAAGATTTCTTTTAAGAATCTTAATTATCATCAACATTTGATGTCATATTGGTTGAACTTTAATTATCACTTGAAGACTATGTTGAGCACTTAAAAGGGTTGTTAAGAAACTTTTCATAAAACTTTCAATCTCTTATTTAACCATTAAAAACATATCAAAAGTCGATGATGTCACCAAACGAAAGCCTTCATGCTTTAAGCTTTTAACTTCCGATAAAAACGACCAACATGCTTATTACATTAGCAACCACGGATGTCAGCGAGAAAGGAACATCCTTTAATTATTAAATTGATATTTTAACAGAAGACGTCGTAATTTTTTAATTAAAAATTTTTTGTGAGAGCTTAAAACATTTCAACATGGAATGGAAGCTGAGTAGATATCAACATAAGATAGAAAAGCTCAAATATTTTCTCTTTAAACAACTTTTATAATTGCGTTATGAAAGGAAAGGAAGTTAATTTCAATTCGAGTGAATCGTATCTCGCTAAGCCTTCATCAGAATTTCAGATGAATGTGAAAATTTTTAGTTTATCATCAAACTGTTGGTATCTTGTTTAAAGCGGCATTCTTCTCAATTTATTTATTCATTACGTCCCTGAGGGCTTTCATCGATTTTTATTTGACAACGACCGGGGATTCGCATTGAACTTGTGCTAATTTTTTTATGTGGTGTCGTAAAATTTTGCTCGCCTTGCGTATGACAGGAAATTCCATTCACACTTCTAATGCTGCCGTAAATTTTCATTCACCCTATCATAATGTAATAAGAGCTTTTAAATCACATTACGATGGGATCAAAAGCTTCAATCCCACTGTAAGCGGATAACGCATCAGAGAGTGCCATGATTTAAATTTGGAAGATGAAAAGGAAACGTTTTTTGAAGAGGATCGTTGCAAGATTAAGCTTACTTAGTTTCAAAGTTGAAGCAGCCAAGATTAAAATTTTCAACACTTGCAGACACCTTCGCAAATTTATTTTGTCTTTCTACTTTTGTTAAGTGCATTTGCTGAGAACTCAGAAGATTAATTGCAGTTATAATTTCACACAATCTCGATAAACTCAACAAAATTCTTCTCAATCGTAATTGAACGAGATAAGATTAAATATTTAATAATGTCCGAAAGAAATCAACAGAATGATAATCGGAAATCGGTGATTAATCGAATTCTCCATCACTGTCTTGGGATGCTGGAAAATGTTGAAAAGGCATTAGGGCCACGAAGAACTGATGAAAATGTCACTGAAATGGAAGAAGGCGACGAAGTTGTGACAGTAAATGATGAAAATTTTGAAATGGAAAATCAAGAACTCTCAAAAGATTCAGGTAACCAACCAAGAAATATTTCATTAACGCCTTTGATGTGAAACTAATTTATGAATTTCATGTAACTTGAAGAAGTAGAAGTCAACGAAGCGTTTGACAGAAAACAATTAGATGACTCGGATGAATGTAAATTTAATTTTATTTAAAACGTTTTTTGTTCTCACAACAATTTTTATGACTTTAAGATATGGAAAGTCGGGAAAATATTTCAATGACTGACAAAGAAGCTTCTGAAGATGAAGGAACATTTGATGCTATCAATTCCAGAGATAATAACGTCGCAACGACGTCTTCAAATTGTTTACGTGAATTTCATTCGTCACCAAGGACTTCAACAAGACCTTGCATCATTCAAATATTCCCGAATCGTGATGAAGTCTTTGACATTGCAAACCTTTCGGAAAGAAACATAAATTCCAAATCTGAGTTTGTCCATCAGGATTCACTTTCTATGATCAACAAAACTTCGACTTCTACACGTCAATCAGCGCCCATATCGGAAGCCAAAGTAAAACAAAAAGTAAAGTTTCATGAAAAAAAAACAGAAGAAGCAAAAGGAAAAAGTAATTTGAAGAAAACTGCTAAAAAAGTGAAAAGAAAATTAACAGGAAAACCTAAAAGGAAATCAAGCGCTTGGTCACGTGGAGTTATTAAACAGAAGCCGAGAAAAAAGCCATCACAACGTGAATAAATTAATGAATTTGTGTTTCTGTTTTCATTCGACTTTGAAATAAAATTGTTAACATGAATGTTTATGGGGAAAGTTTTTCTGGGAATTCTTCTGAATTTACGTTGATGTTTTATCATTGACTTTGTTCTCTCAGCGATTTATCTTCCCACTCCCATATCATTTAACAAGCAGCATGTTTCCAGAATGTCTTCCGAGATGAAAATATCTTTAAGCAATTAGAGAACTTTTCTTCTCACTTCCATTTAAGTGCTTTGGCTTATCATCTGACTTGAAAGCCAACAATTTATATTCGGCTTTTATTAATTTTTCATCATGATGAATTAATGTTTAAGAAAATCTCAAATCTAAACTGATGAACCATCAATTGAAATGAAATCTCTTGACATCAAAAATTAATTTTTGGAAAATCAAAATGAAAACTTCTTCTCATTTTTCTTTCAAATAAATAAATGGTAGCAATAACGCCTTAACACAAAAATGATTTATGGTATTTGCTCAATATTTTTTCATCATTTTCCAACTTTATGTTGTAAGGAGAACGAGGATTTATTTACATTCAAAGTAAATTTGCTTTTACAATATTTATAAAAATATTTGCTTGTGGCTTCTTCAATGATTCAAATAATTAAAGTTAAATAGGAGAAATTGTTTTGCTTTGTAAAACTTTCCCAAAAGCTTTCGTTTCGCTTTCCGCTGAGTATTAAAAAAGTTTCTTGTCTGCTGGTTCTAAATGTTTTTTCATGACTGTTATTCAGATATTAAATAATGAAGTCGTAAATATACGATGGAAAACAATTAGACATGAAAGGAGGAGAGGAAAACACGATTTTCCTTTTTTTCCTTCTTCTGGAGCTTCGCCAGATTATTTTGCCTTTCTCACTCTATTATAAAAAATCATTCCGAGTCTTAAAGCTCATGCATTCATGTTTAAATAAAATTATTCAATGCTGATATCTTTGAAAACTGTCAGACCATGATTTGTGATGAAACGTTCTGAAACTTCCACAATAATTTTTATTCCTTTTCCTAGATTATTGCTGAAAATTTAAATAAGTTGAATTGTTAAATGTTAAAAAAGATTGAAATGTAAATTTAATTTTGATTCAATTCAACGAAAGATGCAATAAAAGTCTTCAATTCGATTTTGTTTTATTTTCTTCGGTTTCCGTTGAAAGTCGTGAAAGAAAATAAATAGAAGAACTGAAATTCTCACTAAAACCGTGATGAGGGTAAAAGTTGTTGAAAGAAATTGATATTCAAACCAAGAAGAATTTTTAAACTGCTTCTAACAACTTCATTTAAATTATGCTGTGATTGAGTCAAACCAAAGCAGCTTACTTATAAATGTTCCTGTTTAATTTCCGTTCATGATTTACCAAACTACGCAATTTATCATTCCAGTGTGGAAATTAAAACGGCAATAGGAAGTGAAACAACATCAAAGTAGTTAAAAGAATGTTAAACAGCGATGTAGTCATAAAAATTGCATAAGTGTGAAGAAACATTTAATACCCGTTGGAAAAACTTTTCACAACATCTTCAACAGGAGAAAAACGAAACTTTTCCTTCTTCCAACGATGCTTGAATGTATAAACATTCGAGCTTGAAAGGTTTAATGTTTGTTTACGACATTTTCCGTTCGAATAGCTTTCTTGACGTTTATTTGTCTGATGGCCTGAAAAATTCTTTAAGATCTTTAATGTCTTTTTTTGACATATTGGCGAGATGAAAGAATGTTTTCATTAAAATTGGAAAGTGACAAAATCAAAGTAATTAAGTGATAGACAAAAAGGAAGACCTGTCGACCCTTTTTTTGTCGATAGAAAGCTGTTAATGAAGTCGTCTAAGATTACAAAATCTTGTGAAAAACCTTTGGAAATTTATTGCGATTTTGTTGAAAGATATTGGCAAATATTTACAACTTCCCAATATGCGCATAAATAAGAAAAACAAAAACAAAATTAATTCACTTGGGATGTGGAATTTTCTTTTAGCAAAAAAGACGAATGAAGTGCGTCATAGAGTTGAGTTTGCTGTCATGATGTTTATAATAAAATTTCTAAATATTTTCCATTCTGTTTTTTGTTTTGTTGTGTTTAATATGTTTTTCATCGAGAGAATTAAATTTAAAGGAACAAAAGACATACATATAAAGATAGGATTACCTACATTAAGGCATTCTTATTCTACTCGACGAAGTCTAAAGGGCACTAAAGGAAGTGAACAAGAAACTTTTCTTTTTATCTCAAGAGAAAGCGATAATTATTTTCATTCTCCGTAAAAATCTTCCGAAATACTTGAATGTGACACTCTTTGTGTGTTCATTTCAAATTATTTATTTCTGTTACCAAAAATGATATGGAAGAAAACTTTTAAATTTGTTGAGATAATTTTTGATTCATTCGTTCGTAAGCGATGAAATTTCTTTTGGAAACTTTTCAAACATGGGAATGTCTTGAAATGTAGATTGATAATTTATGTAATCCTTCGTGAGTAATAAATACAAGCAAAAGGAGTTTGTTAAAAACATTTTAAAGGCAGAACATCTGAAACATTTTTCATATTTATAGCTGTTCACTCTTCAGACTTCAGATCAACCTAAATCGTTTATTGAGAACCAAAAATGTCTACAAATTATATTTACAATATGCCGTATCATGAAAATGAATCTTTTTTTAATATTTTGTGCAAATAAAACGAGAACGTGACAAAAATTCTTCTAGGAAACATCAGCACAATGTCACTTTCCTGGGCTTTGATTCTTTTTCTTCTTTTCTTCACTTGAAGCAACAGGAAATTATTGGTGATTGTTGAATGACAAGAGCTGGGGATTGAGTAGCAGATTTCATTACAATTACGTGGGATTTTTCAACGTCGTAAAAATTTGCTATTTTTGACATTCTTTATGTTCCTTTGACGAATAAAAGTAAACGAGAAAAAGGTTCGCTCATATATTTGGGTATAATCTCAAGCTGTTCCTTTCATTTTTATTCTTAGATGAAATATAATTTAAAACGACGAGAATTTAATTTATTTTTGTATTGAGGATTTTCAACTTTTCATAAACGAACATAACATTAACATATATCAAGCATATATTTATGTTTATGCTTCGAAAACATAACAAAACTTCTGAGTCTAACGAAATAAAGAAAACAAAAGAAATTCATAAACAATAAATTATATTAATTAATTAATCACTTCTTTTCTATTAGATGAGTGTTCAGACAAGAAGATGCATCAAAGTTATTAATGCTTTCCTAGAAATCACCATGACTTTTGTTTTTGTCATCTCACTTCTTATCGGAAATGTTTTCCGTTCAACATTCATGACAAATGACGAAAAGTTGAAAATGTGAACTTGAAAGCTTTTATTTTCCAAGAAATTTCCATTCGAACTTCCATCTCTAAAAAATCTGATTTCTCTTCAGTTCAAATTCAGCCTTTGCATTGAAGTGTTTCTCGTCATCTTTGGCTATTAACAAAAGTGAAGTTCACAGTAAATTGAAGTTTTCAAATATTCAAAAAGGAATAAGAATTAAAAAATATTGAAAAGCAACGTCAAAACTTCAATATTTAAGTTCAAATCGTTAAACAAAATTTCAAAGCTTAATAAATTTCAATAATCAAAGTTATCGAAAACGAGAAATTCAATTATGATTTACTTCGTTGCATTCTAAGCCATTAATTTTCATTTTCTTCACCATTAAAATTAATCCCAAGTGTCGAAATGCCTGTGGGTATGTTTAAAAACCTTTTAAACTTCAACAACATCCGACACTTTCAATGAGAATTTTGATTTATTCAATTGTAGGTGGTCGTGTTGCTAAGAGTGGATACTCTAATGGATTCAGTGGAGTTGGTGAATATCATCATAATTCTTTATTGAAAAACAATTATAAATTGTCGCTAGTTAGAAGTAATTAAAGAAAATTTCATTTCCTCCCGTATTTAGGACGCTCTTACGGAGATATAAATGAAGAGCTGTGGATAACATCAATTGCAATGGCCATTCTAATCCTTATCCTAATTGCGATCGCTCTCTTGTACATTCTCTATGAAAAATGTAACAAGAAGCGAGAATATTTCATCAACGCTTGAAATTGAAAAGAGTGTGAGATGAAATTGGGATTCGGTGTTGTAAGCAGACTTCACGACGACCAAAATACAAAAGCCAGAATGATGGAACGGAATCCGGAAAAAAGAAATAATCGTTGTTTAACCTCCCACCTCCGCTCTCAGCATTCTGCAAATATTTATATTAATATGTATTGAAATGGGAGTTCATATTGCTAAGCAGCAGGGGATAAGAAGATAATGACGAAATATCCCTTGAAGACTTCCCAACTTTAACTGAAGTAACTTTTTCATGTCTAATTGCACTCAAAAAGCTAATCGTAGTCGTGTTGAAGTTCAACAAAGTTTCAAACTTTTAACATTTTATGGATAATTTAATTTTCACGCAATAGAAAAGTTTTACGTCGTTATCTTCTTCTCACGACTTACAATGATGACGACGCTCAATAAATCTTCTCGTTAATACGAAGAGTTGGGAAATTTCCTACTGCCATTTGTAAAATTGACAAGCGATAACTTAATTATAAATTGTGTATTGTTACTTCAAGTTTCAACAAACTTTAACAATTTCATGCTAATGGAAAAGTGCCATGAATATTAAATTTAAATAAGAGTGACGATTGAAAAAGCGACAAAGAAAATTTTGTCAAGTACAAACTTTGATTGTGTTCAAGTACAAGATAAAAGAAAAAAATAATTTTCTTAAGCCATAGCTTTGAGTTTTTAAGTGAATTAACAGACGAAATTTTACTTGAGATTGATTCAAGGAGAAAATTGTTTTCCTCAAAGCGAGTTAAGAAAAATTCTTAATCTGAAAATGTTTATTTATGTGACAATCCTAATCGCTTGTGTAGAGAAATATTTATGTAGTAAACTATAATCTTTAAGTAGATATTATTAACAAGGATGTTTAAAAACAAATAATTGTCAAGAGATTAAGTTGAAAGTTGTGTCTTAAATGTTGATCGTGATAATGAATAATTAAGTGAATTACTGATTGTAATAAAATGTTTTACGCTTCCAAACAATTAATAAATGATGCCGATGGAGTAAATCGATGAAATAAATTACTTGACTCACCTTTTATATTATTTCGTCCATAAAATATTTATTGCAAATTGGCCAATTGTTCATTGAACCACACGTCAATGGAGAACTTTTTCCGGTTGTTGTTATCTCGATTTTCATCTCTTGAAAAGAACGATTCAAGTGCTTCCAAGTGTAAAATATGCTCGTCGCTTTATCTCCAACTCTTCTTCTTCTACATTATCTTAAGGTGAACTTTACTAAGTATTTTCTCGTTCAGCAGATTTTGAATAAGCAGAGCGAAGAGTGAATAAAAGTGTTCATTGTCATAGAGAATGAAGTTTACCTCCCGAGACTTTCACTATCGCTAAGAGCTTTTGGGATGTGACATAAATTCATAAGCTTTGATTGCATTGTTTAGGAGCATTTCCCTTAAGCCATGAGTTTTATCATCAGTTCATGAACGTGAAAATTCAACTAATAAACCTTAATTTTTCATGATTGCATCGGTTGAAAATGTCTCATAACAATTCCATCCTTACAAACCTCATTTCACTTACTACCTTCGCTTTATAACAATTTTCATCTAATTTTCCAACACAAATCTCAATTTATCCAATGAAGAAAGGAAAATCTAAACTTCAAGTCTTAACATCACTTCAGCTCACAGGGTTCGAATAACTCAGGTAAATATTTACAAAAGGAAAAGCACAAGAGCGGAAGAAAAACAATTTTTTCTAAAGGTTTCGACTTCTCTTTGAGTGTTGATGTGATGTAGAAACAAAAACTCTTTAGTGCAGTGTTTGAAGATATTTTTTCATGTGAAGGTTTCTTGAAGCAAATGTTTCAACAGATAATAACTTCACAAAAACTTATGCTTTGCCTTCATCTCTTCAAGGCATATTCCTAATTGTGTTTGAACTTAGCTGGAAGCAATCAAACTTATGTATTCTAAAGATAAACTTCTTGTACGATAAAATATTTGGAGTCGGCGACATAAACTTGACTTATGTTTAATACAAATAAAATGTCTGAACTTTCCAACTTGGTTTGTATTTTTTTTGTAGCTTCACTAATTTCATTACTTTGGTGACATTTTAAATAAAAACTTTGTGATTTATGACTTTGCAAGTCTCTTCACTTCTGGATGTTCTTTCATTCTTGTCCTTAATCATCCAGCTTAATAAATATAAAACTTGACGATAGCATTTTTGCGAATGCAAAACTTTCCAAACCCGCCCGCAAAAATATGGCTGTGATGTGTCAACATAAATTCATTTGGCACCAATGTGAATGTCATGCGTCTGAATTCGAGTTTAAGCAGAAAGAGTGATGCGAAGTATTTGATTGGATTGTTGTTTATCGTAATTGTCATCATTGTTCGTGCTTTGGATGAATGAACGGAAAATAAATTGGGATGATTAAGAAGCGAGAAAGTTCAATTTAATTTGATGAATTCGCCATGATTGTTAATTTGTGTTGACAAATACAAATATTCATATCTACGAAGTCATAAAAAGTTCATAAAACTTTCACTAAAAGAAAGTTCACTGAACACCAAATCAGCGTTGTTAGTTTGTAAATAATCTTACAAATAACTTTTCTTCTTTATTTAATCTTTATTGAGTTTTCATGTATAGAGTGGAAATAAGGATAATGTTAAGAACAGTCCATAAAGTTTTTTTCTTCTTCCAAATAGAAATAAAATCTACAATTTCTGGTCCACATTGAAATATTTTGTGATCTTGAAAACTACGTGAAAAGTATATAAAAATAATTTTATAGCGCATTGATATTAAATATCTTCACATGAAACACCAACAACATATTTCCGAGATTACTTTAAATAAATATCTCGAATTGAATCTAAGTATTTCAATATTATTATTATAGTAAGTGTCACGACTAGCACAGCAAGTATATGATGAAATATTCGAGTCAACTCCACCTGTCAAAAGAACTGAGTTACAAATAAGCTCATACAGTTAATGAATTTCTTTCTTTTCTTACTTTGTTGCTCAAGAAAATTAAACATTAATGAAGTATTCTCGTTTTTTGTGATATTTTTCGTATGCAATGTAACACAGAGCCATACAGATTAGGATCGCTATCAGACTTGCCATGAAGATGCTTAAGTAGTAAATCTCTTCGTTGATGTCATTGTACGAGCGTCCTGTTTGTAGTTGAATTCGGTGAATAAATAAATTTATTTCTCAATTTATGTTCTCTCAGGTGATATAAAAAAGGCAGGAATTATAATCTAATTAATGAATTACCTTGCCCGGAATATCCCGAGGAATATCCGGTTTTTCCAGCAAGTCTACCTCCAACTGGCATTTTGGTTTGTTTCGCTAATTTATTATTGTTTTGAATTAAGAACTTTTATAATTGGGTTGACATTAAAACATTTCGTTATCGTAAGTAAAGCCGCTCCTTTGTTCGCTTTGTATACAGAAATAAATATTCAAAACAGCCTCTGAAACTTAAATCATACAAAAGATAAACTGAACATCCTTTTAACCAGAATTGAACAAATAAATATATTTAAAGCTTTTACACTCAGTTTGCGTGGAGTAATCTAGCAACATTGAAGTTTTCAATCACTATTAAAGAGAAACTTTAAAGTTTTAATCAAGAATTGTATCTATTTAATTAACAATTTTTTGGATGAGTCTCATCAGTAATTGAATTTATTTCGTATGAGAAATTTTCAAACCATGTTTGATTTGATTAAATTGAAACTTTGTTACAAAAAATTCTTCTTTACTTTCAAAGATTTTAATCAATTGAATTTTACAAATTCTTGTATGTTCTTTTTTTATTATTCGATTTATGATTTAATTATGTTTCGGGTTTCATTTAAAATGAGGGAAAAATCATAAAAAATTTACACAACCATCTGTCAAATTCTTTTATAAATTGCACATTCAACTGTTGCCAATAATTTCAACTAATCTGAAATCTATCATTTCCACTTCAATGATTTAATTTTCCATAACAAAATAAATAAGAAAGATTAAATATGTTTAATGATTGACACAAACACAACTTTCTCATTTATAATTTTAATGACGGATTAATTCAATAACACTGCTTTTAATGTAAAACTGTTACCTTTGGATGCTAAAGATATACTAAAACGTTTGATGCATTAATTTTTTGATAACAGATTTCCCAAGAAGAAGTTCTTGCATTTCCAAGTGGGAAATTTCCATTCCGAAAGCTTTTGAAGATTGCAGAGAGAGTGAAACGCTATGGAAAATGAAACTTTTGAATTTAAAGAAGTGTGTTGGGAAATGAACTAGAAAAGTTTTAAAATATGTGGTACATTTAAAGTTTGAGTTTGGACAATCTTGGAAAAGTCAATTATCTCGGAACTACCTGGTTTTTTGTATGGGAACATCCGACGTCAATAAAAATCAAGATTTTTTCTTCTTTATTTCTTCATATTTCTCGATGTTCACAATAATATAAATTTGTTTTATATTATTCATGAAGTATGAACTAATCACAACACATTGTTACTTATGTTAAAATAAGGAAGAAACTGACATGTAACCTCAAGAAACTTTTTTAAATTGAAGTTTTCTAAAAGTTTTGTATTCGTGGTGAAAATCTAGCAAGGAAACCCGCAAGCTTGCCCGCAAGGAAAAACTTCTATTATGATAATGTGAATTCTTCCTTTTTTCCGATATCTTGGGCCAAATTAACTTTTCTAAATTTTGTCAGAATTAATACAAATATTAATTAAACAGAATATTAATCTTAATTTAAATTTTAATCAAAAATTATTTTTTTCTTCTAAAAAGAAACGAGTTATAAAGCAGATAAATTTCTAATTCTCTTAAGAAACTGAATGTAGCTCTCGATACTTTTGCCATTTCTCATAACCAATGTAGCAAAGCGCCAAAACAATTAGAAAAGTTATTATTGAAGCCATCGCAATACAAAGCCATGTAATTTCCTTGTTGATGTCTTGATATGATTTTCCTAATTCATTTATAGGATTTGATGCGGGATGAACGATTTTATTACCTCGGGGCATGGTTATATGTAAAGTTACAATATCAAATGTATTCTAATGATGTTCATTGAAAGCTTCACAACTTGATAAGCTTTTATTCAATCACAACTGAAAATAAGTAAACGAAATAAATGAATTTAGTAAACACTTTAATTTACATGTTCATAGAACATAAAGAGAAGAGAAAGAAAGGATTACAAGAGATTGTCAATATCAAGTTGACGACGTGTCTCGATTACAAAACAATGAAAGCATTTTATGTTTATGTTGCTGTTGCGTAAGAAACGCCGATGTGAGATTTTCTTAAAGTTGTCATTTCTTTTCTACTTTAAATAGATGAGATTAACTTTTGCGGTTTGTGAACAATTAACTAGCACTTTTGATATCTTTTATTAATTTTTACCATCGATTTTCCGATAACGATAAAGATAACTTATCGCAATTGAAAGTGATAAAAAAAATTGAAAACTGCTGAGAATGTGAAAAAATATTTCAAAGCGTTTAGTCGATATCTAGAAAATTGAAAGTATGGACGAGAGAGAATACTTAATAACTTCAGGTGAAACCCTACATCAACATTGTCATCTTCATGAAGATAGACGACGTAAACGACATTGCTTTGTTGGACTTTTATTTCTATTTCTGGTACTCGTTTCTTTTCTTGTGATTCTGGTATGTGCAAAAAGATTTAAACCCAAACTGGAGCTATAAAAGTTTGCTTCAATGATGACTCATTTAAGGGTGCATCGCTTAGTTATGATCGGACAAAGCCAGCATGGTCACACTTGTATTCGAATTACATCGCTGACCGTTCAATTGCCATTAACATTGATGTTGAAGAAATATATTTTAAAGAAGATTCAAGTGATTCAGAATTTGATTCCTTTAACAAACCTAATCTGATTAAGAATAATTTTTTGATGGAACAAGGAATACCAAATGGAATAAAAGTTGATCCAGGTTACAATAGAAGACTACCAGATGAGGTGACGACACCTGATGGTGACGCAAACATTGAACCGATACAGAAACTCGATCGTTACATCCCATCATGGTTTAAACATAATCATTCTGCATTACTTGTAGAAGAAAATTGAAAAGCTTCCTTTAACTGTAATTTTAAATCTCAATTTTGGCAATTTCTTTTTTTTTTGAAATAAATTAAATTTCTCTATAACGGGAGACATTTTTAATTCGAATGTATTTGTTTTGTTTTGTTATTAAGCGCAAGTTGAGTCGCAATTTTCTTCATATCATTTATGAATCATGATAACGTATCGCTATTTATGGCGAGAACTTATCATTAAAAATAATATAGATAATTGATATGGGAAGTAGAGTGTTGAGTAATTTTTGTTTCAGTTTTAAATCGAAATTGTTTTGAAGCAGAAGTGAAACTATGGACGATAAAAATATTTTAATCAACACTGGTGAAATCAAAGGTGATCCAGAATGTCATCCAGGTCCCCACGCCCATCCACATCATCATAGATGTCATCCAGACAACCATGGTTGGCACCCACATCATCATGGAAGACATCACAGACGTCATATGATGGCTTGTGGTATGGTCATGTTCTTAATTATCCTTTCTGTTGGATTCTTCGTAAGTGGGATTTTCTTTTAATATTTTAACTTTAATCATTGACTTAAACTTTCAGGGATCTTTGGGTTTTCATCAGAAGAACGCTTTAATGCACCATAACGCAATCGTTAACAGTTCTATAATGATTAACATCATTGTGAACGGAAAGAACAAAACCAATGAATTTGATTCAATTTGGGATTATATTCCATTGATAACGGTTGATAACGATGGTCAAGATACACAACAGCGTGTTTGGAATGTAGATCCACAGTTCAGTAGAAACAAATACAATTGGGATACTACTACTGATGCACCTACTGAAGCACCTACAATTACTGAAGTATAAGAAGTATCTTTTTATAAGAAGCAGTTCTACGCTTAAGAAGAACCTTATTTCCGTAAAGTTATCTTCATTATTATATTCCCGGGCTCTTTATTATGTGATTTTTATCAATAAATAAAAAATTTGCTTGTCAAACTTTTAAGAGGTTGTTGAATAAAAACGCAATTTGTAAAAGTTTTTGTATAAACTTCTCCTCAGATTTTATTTCGTTCAAAATTTACTTGAATTTATTCGTTTAATGGATTTACATTGAATCGTTGAAAGTGTGACAAATGTAGTGATGCAATTGAAAGAAACCTCAATAAAAGCGTTGAAAATATTTTCATGACAAGTTGTCAAGGATAAAATTTTCGTCGTTTTCTCCTTCAGTTTAGCACGTAAAATTTGTCGATCCACCCACAAAGTTACACCTTGAACGGTTCAAAAAGGAAGATTTTCTCTTCATAAGAATTGTGGATTAAGCTTGGATCTATGAAAGGTTGTTAACATTAGGTAATGAAAAATTTATTTTATCAAAATCTTTCTTCCCATTTCGTTCCCATGTTTAAGTTGGTTGAGCTGTGGCCATAATATTTGAATAAACAATAAAATGCAAACAAGAATGAGAACTTTTCTCAAGTATTCGTGAGTTGAAATCCATCAAATATTTGAGAAGAGTTTCGAGTGGGTGATGAAGAAATATTTCGGCAATATAAAATAATTGCGAAATATTAAACCAATTTCAATGCCAAAAGCATCTCAGAATTTTCTTTTATCTCATGCACAAAAGAATTTCTTATGATCATATAATGAGAAATTTCTTTTTCTCTACTTATTATTTCTATGATTCATAAACTCAAAGTAATAAAAATTTTCTTCAAGTAAGAAATAAATCTGACGATCAGTCCCAATGGAATTTTCTTAAATATTTTTTATAAAAATTAATTTCGTGGAAAAAGTGACAACTTAAAACAATTAAAAATAATTTCTCACAGGAATGAACTTTCGACTTTAATTTCTTCAACAATTTTATATGATTTCAACAGCTCACTTATTTTATTTTTCAAAATTGTATTTAATTGGTAACTCGGAAAGTTTAATGATGCTTTTGATTCAAAGACTCGACATCAACTGATAACAGATGTAAACAGATGATTGTTTTATAAAACTTTTCTCTTCAGATTTTCTTCTCTCTCAAAGGAAAATTTCTCTCAAATTTTCATCTGTTGAATATTTTCAATTTTGCCTGCTATAATTAAATTAAAATGTAGAATATTTTAGGGGTTCATTTCAACGAAATATTTGTATTATTTTAGGATTGGAAACTTTATTACAAAAATCAATATTGTGCATCTATAAAATAAACCAAATGAAGTTTATTGTGCTCAGAAGCTATCATTAACATTAATTAAATTTCAACCTGCTAAGAGAACATTTAAGTTCACCTTTCACTGACAAATTAAAAGGATTTTGCAAGCGATTTTGGGTAAATAACAAATTCTCCAAGCAGATTTAAAATAAACAAAAGTATGAATGCAAATGATGTTGTGGGCGAATGATTTCAATGATTCAAATTCATGATGAAATCAGTTTCATGTTTATTATCTGCCTTCTTAATTTTTTTCTGCACATAAATTTTATTGTTCAAGATGAATTTCTTCATGAATTGATAAAAACAAATAAATAATGAGTTTAAGAAAATAAAATGATTAGGTAATTGGAATTTTTGCTGCTTGAATCAAACGCTTGACAAAATCAAGAATTTATTTAACTTCTAAAATTTCTTTTGAGAAGACGAATTATTTATCTAATTGAAAGGTTACATTCTGCATGTATTGAATGAGTTTTAAAAACGTTCAATTTATTAAAATACATTTTAAAGGTCATGTTTCAGCATAAATTATTTAATCATCCTAATAGAGGGAAATTATTAAGAATAAAGCAATATGATATGCCACCCACAACAAACATCTGATGCCTCGCAAAACAACTTGTGATGAATTGAATCTCAGGATTTTGACATTTTAAATCCCTTTAAGTCACAATGTAGACAGAGAAAAGCGAATTAAAGCGCCTACATGCAGGGAAAATAATCAATTTCACATCTCCTTTAAAAAAATGTCTTTGTTGGTTACTCCTACTTCGTTACGTTTGAAGTTCGTTTAATTCTCACTTCTTTTTATCGGTGAAAATGAAAAGGAATGAAGGAAAGAAACAGCGCATACATAAAATATACTCACATGAATCTACATATTGCTTTCCACCGTTTTCCTTTACTCAGTTGCACTTCAGCGTTCTGACGGTTAACAACTTTCAAAAGAATTTCTACACGATAAACACGAAACACTCATGACAGTTCAAACGAAGTGAAAGAAAGAAAAAAAGTTTCTTGAAAATTAATCAAAAATTGATGTGTTTCAAGTATGTGCTCAAAGAAGGCAAAAAGCATTAAAATATTCAGTATTTAACATTTAATTAAGCTTGAAGCTTTGTGAAAAGAATTGTTGCGAGTTTTCATTAATGATTTCGTGTGTTGTGATGCCCCAGTTTTATTTTATTGAAACCTATCATTGTTCAACCCAATTGTGAGACGATTTTCTAATAACGATTAGGAAAAATTGTTCATATAATTGAGGTGTAATGACTAAACTGCATTTTACCTTTGTCTCCAGATCATCAAACAATGATAATCGATTAGAGACGAAATAGAAACGTGGGGAAAATTGATTAATAATATTTACAAAGCTCATTGTGGTGTTTATACTTTAATAGCTTTAATTCATATCCAATTTGTCAATTAAACTAACTGCGATGTTCCCAATAGATGATTTTTGAAGCATAAGAATCCTTAATAAATAAATTACCCTCGATTTTAAAAGACTTCAATAAGCTATCGGGAAAAGCTTCCATTCATGTTCGATATTCGTTCTGTCTTCGGCAAAGCTTTCCATTCGCTTCGCCTTAAAAAAAAAATTAATGGAAAAACAATTTACGAGTCTCTTTCATTAAATGGACACGAAAGCAGAGAAATCGACATTTTAAACTTAAAGCTTTCGTGAAAGTTCGCAGGAAGAGACAGTACATGGGATTATCACGATCATAACGTGGACAGACTTCAGGCGAACCAGACATAAAGTGGAAAATATGAAATAAAAATTAAAAGTTAAATCAAGTGCCAGGAATTTATTTTGTGAAGTTTATATTTACAACATATCAAGTTATATGTTCAACGAACTCTGTGCAACAAAAGTTGAATATTCTTCTGCATATATCATATAACAACGTGGTGTGAATAAACTCTAAAATATTTATACGCTAAATATCGGTCAAAAGTAGAACATAAACGGAAGCGATGTCTAGAAATGGCCACTTGCTCGAACGTTTCCCTTAAATACAACAAACGGTCATGCGAAACAATTTTCCGGGGTGATATTTTATGTTTTATGTTATAATAAAAGCAGGAGAATCATTAATGGAGAAAATATGTTTATAAACTCTTCTCGTCATTCTGTTCTGTTTGAAATCAAACAAGTGATTAAAAGTTAAAGACGTAAATAAATTTGAATTAAAACAATCAAGTTTGTTAGTTTAGAAATAAATCAATAAGACATGAGTCGAAGAAGGAAACCTTTAGGACTGTCAAACGGACATGGACTTTACTTCCATTCATCCCCTCCGAAAGGTAAATAATATCATAATCCCGATATAATTGAAAGTTTACGATAACAAATTCTTCGTCTTCATTTAATTGAAGTTATCTAATTAAATTGTTGACATTAATTGACGGAAAAGGAAATTCGTGCTAAGATATTATTTCATCAATTCTGTTGACCTATTTCATTGATAGATTCCAAGAATATCTTTTTACTGATGACCTTGCCAACCATGCTTATGTTTTAATGTCACTCACTGTAGGTTGAATTGCTATCAATTGACGGTTGATTGTGCGTGCATTCTTAAAAAACAAACATTATGTGCATATATGTATGAAGTAATCGAAGCTACGTTCATACAGCAAAAACTAAAAAGGAATTTCAAAAGTGACGTCTCATCAAACATTGAAAGTTTTATTTTTATTTCATTGCAAATTGAATCGGTTATTAAGTGGAAAAAAGCTATTAAAATTTATCCTTGCTTTGAATATTATTTGGAAATGAGAATAAATAAGAACTTGAACACCATTGCAATGACTTCGATTTTCTTTTTTGTTGTTACCAACCGTGACTACAATTTGCAACGCTTTATATGGAAGTGATACGAGTCATTTATTGACAATTTACTATCGTCTCTCACCTGCTTTGTAAGTTTCGATTCAATTCAATTTTATTATTGGTTGGGGGTGCTTGATATTGCGTGTTTTGTCGGTTTTATTATTAGCAATTTTTCTCACCATTTATTTACTAGACTTAGGTGAAATGAATTTCAAGGCTAAATGAGTTGTAATGACGAGAGATTTTCTTTACATCATTTCATGTATGAAATATTCGAAATGTTTTTCAATGAAAGTCTCGTAAAGAGCAGCCACTTCGAAATGCTTTAACATAAACTATAACAAAGTAACGTAGCTTCTCTCTGAACTTAAAAGATTATCATTACATAAAGTTTAGTCAACACTCACTGTACTGGATATATAATCATTAGGAAAGTTTTACATCGTCAATCAATATGTGAATAATTTATTATCATGTTCTTTTCATCAAACGTCACTCAGTTGATTCGTTTTATTCATTGAATATCAGGAAAAGCATGGAAAAAGCCATTCAGTCGTTAGCTTAACATCAAATGAAAGAGTTGAGTGGAAAAGTTTTTCTTTCAAGTTCTTAGAGAAGGGAAATTATCACGAGCTTTTCAATAATCTGTAAATTATGAGTTCAGATGTCGATTCAGGTGAATAAATTTTCTCACGAATGAAATTGTCTGGAAATTTAGAAAGTAAAGTTTATTGCTGTCGATAAAGGATATTTTATAGCCTTTAATTGAAACTGGAAATCGTGATAGCGTGTTTGATTGGAGTTTTCGCACTGAAAACAATTTTAATTCAAAACAACCACTTGCAGCGTTTAAACTTTAGCAAATAAATCGAGGTCATGAGAATTCAAGCATCTGTCGATAAATTCATTTCAATTAATTAAACATCCTTTGTAACCTTTTTTAATATTTGATATCAAAGTGTTATATCGATTAATTCCGGTCTATTCGTTCCACTCTCATTAAATAATTCTCAAATGCGAATAAAAAAATATTTTCCTATGCTGTGAAAAGAAAGTGAAAGAAATTCTTTCGATATTGTTGAATTAATTATTTCAATCGTTACTCATTAATATCTTTATAAAACTTTTGAGAAAGTTAATTAAATCGACCCGAAATTAATGTCAACAAAGAAGAGAAAATTGATAAACTTTTATTCTTGAGCTTTCAATTATTTATTGCGTTTTGACCTTTAAATGGTTTCTTATTATTAATTAATTAAATGAATCCCTCAGTTTTCAACAACACAGATGAGTTTGGTAAAATACAATACGAGTTTATCCGAAACATCGCCAATAAGACGAACGGTAATAAATTTTCCAGAAATTTTCATGACAATTTTTCTGACTCATTATTGACCATAAATGTCCTTATAATCGATAAATATTATTTGATAATTCATTCATCACAGCGTTAGTCATTAAACCATCAAATATTCGAATATGGATACACGACAAAGACATCGACAAGCTTATGCGAGTGGTTCTTGAGGGTCACGGACATAAACTTCGCAATGAAGTTGCAAATCAACCAAAAGTCAAACGATTTCTCGAATATGTTCCGCACTTTCTCGGGCTTATTAAAGGCATCCATCAAGCAGTTGTAGATAATAACATAGAAATCCTACGTGCAAAAACATCACCTCCCGTTCCACCTCAGATGCTTTCATGTAAAGATGTCAATGGTCTTACGCCACTTCATAAAGCTGCTGGACTTGGACATGGAAAGATCGTTGAATATTTATTGAATACGTGGCCAAACACGGCAACTGAAATCGATAATTCAGGAAAGACTCCGCTTCATTATGCTGCGAGTTTGAAGAATAATGAAAGAATCTTCAATATTCTTATTCAAGCGGGTGCTGATGAAATGGGAATTGATGGTGTAAGTTTCTTTCATCATGACTTTCATCATTAATCCATTAAAATTACATTTATGTAGAACGGACACACACCCGCGTATTATAAGAAAAGTAAAAACAGCGAGGACATTGATCGAGCACTTCTGGTTGCAATTCCGGATGCACCACGCGTTGCTGAACAAGGTTTCCCACCAAGTTTTGATTGGAATATTCTTCCTGCTAAATTTTTCTCAGAAAATTCCATCAGATCATCACAATCCGAGTTTAACTTAAGTCATGTTAAAGAGAATACAATGAAAGCTTCAAGTTCTGCTTTTGAGATTCTTAGTCGAAGTAATAGTCATCAAATGGAAGATGAAAGTGATCCGAAACATGAACAAGAATCTGAACGGGAACCGGTCACGAAAAAAAGTTCAAAAAAGGTTCAGAGGCCAAAAACATTTAAGTAATCACATGAATATATTATTAAAATTTCATTTTTCATAACCATTTGAAATGATTTTCACGCACAGTAAAAACGATGTCAACAACAATTCAACGAAGGGGAAGGAAATGAATGACGACGACGATGTTGAGACTGGGAAAGCTGTTGGTTCAGAGACGTTGCTACCAGAAGAACGTCTCCAAAAGCAAACAACGTCAGTCAAAAGTCATCAATCAAATCCAGAACCCGACCATAATAATGACAATGATGTGAGTTAAATTAAAAATTTGATGACATTGACATCAATCAAATCTTTTTATTGAACATCTTTCCTTACTCTTTATAACACTATTGAATGTTGTGCTCGTGTCTATCATGAATATCTATTTAGACAAACTATTCATAGCTTAAATACGATCTCAGAAATGTCAGACGATGTTTGAGTGCTTCGAGAAAACGAAAATGAAACTGACACGAACACTCAAAAAATATCTCATCACGAGATCATTGTGCAAATAATTCCATTCAGACATTTCGGAACATTTCTTTTTATGTAAATAGATGACAAAATTTGTATTATCACATGTTATCACAAAAGAATGCACAAATCAATAATTCAATTCATTAATCATGCACAAGTCTTAAAGGACAATAACTGACCATGTCATAAAACTACGTTTCGTTCCATTAAATTGTGTTTGTCGTGCTCCCACACTCCGCCATAATCTTCTCCCCTTTTCTTCAATGTTTTCCTTTCTCTGCATCGTGTCGCTTCCTCTGTTTGAAAAACTGAGCTTAAAAAATTTTTATTTCAGAACGTTAATTTAATTGATAATGATAATGATCAAATGACTGACAGTAAAACATTAAATCGAATTGATAGTGAAAGTCAATTAATGGAAAACAAGGAAATTAAAGATGAGAATGTTGTTGATGTTGGTGAAACTAGTAATGAAGAGAAATTAAATGAAATTTCTGAAGATAATTTTGATGAAAAAGGTCAAAATAAAGATGATGAAAAGTTTCAAGAGACTTCTCAAAAAGAAATTGAGGAAAATTTTCAAGATGATAATAAAGAGAAGGCGAATGAGAAAAGTCATGAAATAAATGATGAAAAATCATTAGAAAGTTCTCAGCAAAACGACGATGAACTGAATAAAAATGTTGACATTCTCATCTTGGAAGATTCTTCACAAGACAATGAAAAGTCGAAGGATGTAAATGATGGAGACAATGATAAAGAAGAAGAAGAAGAAGATAAGTTAAGTAGTCGGCAGCAGTCAGCTGCATCAATCAATGACCATGTTGATAATGAAATCGGAGAAAGTTCCGAAATTAAAGAAAAAGAAAATTCAGAAATTAAAGAATCAAAAACAGAAGAAGAAGAAAGAAAAGTTGAAACACTTGACATCAATTTCGAACATCCCCCAACACCAGCTCCAAAAAATAGTGAAAACAATGTGATTGATGTTGCTGAAAATTCCAAAGAAGCGGGTGAAAGCACAACAAAAGACATTGATTCGAATGGTAATTCGGATGAGGTACATGATTTGCATTCAAATTATTTTATTTTTCATTTTATCACATGATTGTAATGTACCCATCCACCCACACATGCTTGATAATATGATAACTATCTCGGGATTATTCTTAGAAAAATCCTTTCGTTAGTTGCAAAATATTTTTTTATTATTCTTTACAATCGATTGCTGAAATTTTGGATTTAGGAACAGATGGATGTTGATAATGACCATGAAATTGGGTCGCCAAGTCCACCCATCGAAGGATTCATTACAGAAGAAGCTGAAAAGCAGTTGGAGTCTCAAGGCGGTGATTTTGATACGAGTGGATTTAATGGAGACATTAATGACGTAAATATTCATTGAAATTTATTTATGAACTTGAAACTTGATTACTGATTAAAGATTCAAATGTTACGTCACTCTAATCATCTTTAATCAAGCAACATGCACACACAATGAATTGCGTTAACTTTCACTGTGACGTTACATGAGAATGTTTTGAATCTAAACAAGATCTAAAAATGTCTTACAACTAATTCAAACATGATTTCTAAATTATAACTAATTAATGTTCTTTGCTTTGTTTTAAGGATGATCCATTACAAAAATTGATAAATGCTGGTGACATGGAACAATTAGCTTTACTAGTTCTAAATGGAAATGGAAAGCAGTTGATTGGAAGAACGTCAAATCAACCTGATATTCAAGCATTTCTAGACAATGTTCAAACTTATGTTGTGAGTATTTAAACGCTTTACCCTTGATGAATGTTTTAACAAGCAATTTAACGTTCGAATCTCTTTAATTATTCAGAATAAGATACGAAAAGTCCACGTGGCTGCACGAGAAGGAAGTCTTCGAGATCTTCAAGCTGCCTTGGATCGTCGAAAGTTCTCAACAGCAAAAGACGAAGTGTCACCGAATGGTAACAAATTATTCTCAATTATTGAGTTAGAAATCATGCGACAAATCTTTTTTTAATCAGGCACGACACCACTTCATGTTGCTGTCATTTTTGGACATACTGGTAAGGAAACTAAAGACGTTCAATTACTTCAATGATAAGTTTTCATTGCGTGTTTCAAGTTCTTTCCCCTTTTCGCATAATTCCTTAATTCTATCCTTTTAAACAAATCAACAATCACCACATGGACATTTTCTCAAAGAGCTTGAAACAGTTGAGAAGGTCGATGTGTGTCGGTTGTTGGGAATTTACATATTTTAAGACTTCAAGTGGAAATTTCAAATCAAGGTTGTGGGAAAAGTGACGACTTTTATCGATTTTTCTATTTTGAATAAATCGTATCAAATTCCATTCCTTTGTTCAGTTGAGATTTGGTCTTTAAACTATTTAGAAGTGCTTAGAAAAATGTCACTTGACGATTATGAAGAAAAGGAAAATGAAAGTGAATAATTATTAAAAACCTTAATTTGTGATTAGTTGAATAATAAATTTGATTTCTTCATTATAATTTCAGCGATAATTCGTTATTTGGGATCGAGATTCCAGGAAACATTATCAGCAACTGATGAAGATAATCGAACAGCTTTACATTATGCTGCAACTATTAAGGACAATGGTCACTTTTATAATTTATTGGTGCATCTAGGAGCCAATCCTAAATCGACGGATAATGTAAGAAGTCAATTCAATTCTTCCTTTCATTTATTGATTAACAAACTCAATTAAATTTTCATAGCTGGGAAGAACTGCTGAATCGTATCTGAATCACGACGAAACAGACAAAATTCTTTCACATAAAGATTTATTGAAAGCTTTCGGTGCTGAAGAAGGATTAGCTGATGAAATGTTGAACGATCAAGGTGAAAACTTTTGTCTTCACAACTTTCTTGCACTTTCATAACATTCAATGAAAATTTGTTATATGAGCTTTAATTATCGCATGCATTGGTTTTTGGCTTCTTGTTGTATGATTTATTGTTTCAAGTTATTCGAATTAAGCTAAAAGTTTCATTGACTAAATTATTTAGTTCCTGATGATTATCATAGCGCGAGAAGGAAACTTGACGATCCCGACGTGCTTACGACATTAGAACGTTGCTTCAAATTGATTAACGATAAACGTCCAACGATACTCGATCAGTCAATACACATTCGGAATGGATCATTTCCAGGCAGTGCTTCATCTTTAAGAGTCTCAGTGACATCTTATCTAGCAAAATACTTAAAGCGGCCAATCTTTGAGAAAATCAAACACAGACAAACAAGACTCGATCACAATCTCTTCGATATCATTTGGCCAGCGATGAAGAAAGCTTCCAAAGAACGAAGAATCGATGAAGATTTAAATGCCGGTGTTGTCGCTCCAGATTTTGACGTGTTTGTCGTATTCCAAGAATTTTTTGTGCCACTTATCAAAGATCTTCACAGTCTCAGACCAAAAGAAAACTTCAAAGAACATCCCAAGATAGAATTCTTTCCACCTTACATTGTCGATTCTCAAGTGCCACCAGGTGAACAAACGCCTGTAAAGATTAACCACCCACAAGATATTCATTGGACGATGGACATTTACAACAAATGGATTGTTGGTGGTTTCGTTGAATGTTGTAGAAATCTAGACGACTTTGAATTGCCCTTAAATTTAACAATAGGAAAACTTGAGCAATCGGAAAGAATTATCACTGGAAAGCTTTTAAGCAAAGAGTTTACTGCAGCTATTAGTGAAAGTGAAATGGGACAATATTATACAATGAATGAAGTTCTTGAAAATTCTTCTAATATTCGAACTGTTTTGGCGACAAATAGTTTGTTGATTCCTTTACTTGATTATCACGATCCACAACAATTGCCAGAATCGTATGCCATCAACGGTCATTATTATCCTTATGGCAGGGGAGTTTATGTCAGTCATAGTAAAGAATTTGTGGTTTGGATTAATGTTCAAGAACATTTGAGAGTTCTCTGTTGTACTCCACTTAAAGCGGTGTCTGATATTGGAATGGCATATAGCAAAGTGGGACGAGCGATGATATTTTTAGAGTCACAACTGACATTTCGACATAGCTTTTTACTTGGTTACCTTTCATCACGACCTTCCTTCTTAGGAAGTTCACTACGATTAACATTAAATCTTGAATTGCCGTATTTGGTGAAGGATCAAGAAAATTTACGACAACTTTGTATCATTCGAGGTCTTCATATGAAAACACGACCCAATTTTGAAACAATTCGCGTGTCAAACACACGGTGCATGAGTATGACTGAATGGAACTTATTCCAAGAATTCTGCATGGCAATTTCAAACATACTTCAACTAGAGAAAGATTTGTCATTGTCCAATTCGATGCACATCGCTGATATGCTTTTGAAAATATTCCGCAAAAAGAAAAACAGTTTAGCAAGCATCAGTGATTAGAATAAAAATCAATTAATGTCAATCAGAATTGTTAAATTGTTTACAAATCAAACTTTAAAATTTTATTACATGCTCAAATAGTCACCTAGAAGTTTAAGATTAAAAAATGTTGGAAAGATTTTTAGACTGAAAGCTTTTAGAATGGAGACAAAGACTTTGTTATCGGGTTAGTAAACGAATGAATGAAAAAAAATATTTTAGAATCTTTGGAAGATTCTCAAACTTTTTTGTCTCTCTTACGACGACATCGTGGAGTGGCCGACAAAACTTTCATCTCTAAGGCTTAAGAAGGAACAATTTAAAGTACAATTTCTTAAGCTTGTAAAGTTTTGAGAATTTTCCAAAAGCTTTTGCACACTTTTTGAATTCTTCTTTTTGTGTTTAACTTTTTCTTTGATAAAATTTTTCTTAAGCAACTTTTTTCGAAATGTTGAAACGAAATAAAGAACAGAATCTTTCCAACAAGAAGAAAGTTTGTCGCACAGATCTTGGCTTTTATACGAAAAGCTTTTTTCCTGCACGATCCAAAACATTTTTTTTTATTTTTGATATCCAAATTTGTTCATTTTTGCACAAGTGTTAAATTGAGAAAATCATTTAAATTAATTGTGATGAGACAACACATACTCTCGGCCCTTAATCGTTTGTGAAAAAGAAAAGCCAAACTGTGCATCAAAGTTTTCATATAACAAACTCATTGGAAAGGGTCGTTTAAGAAAATCTTATCACATGCTGTAGACAATTTACTTGCAATGAATAACATGACTTGATGATATTTACAGAATATAAAAACAATCAACCAGTAGAAATTCCATTGTTTCGTACTGAAGAAGGTCGTTATTTAGCAACATGTAAGCATTACTCGATATAGTTCCATGACAACTTAATTAATCTCTTCACACTTTACAGCCCTCGGAGATCCATTAATCAAAGGATTGACTGAAGTTGCCAATCAACGTCCTTCTGATCCGATCGCTTTTCTCGCGAATTATCTCCAAAACTTTTCCACTGATAAACCAAAAACTTCGTCCAATAAAAAATCTGAAATAACAAAACCGGAACCAAAAACCGAAGCGAATGAAACAAAACCAAAGTCGGGAAAAACTTTAATTCCAGTGAAGCAGAAGAGTGTCGAGAACTTTATTGATGATGACAACACTGACTCGACACCAGGAAGTGAAGAACGAGATGAACATGGCCAATCAATGCTTCACTTTGCAGCTGCACGTCAGCATGGGAAAAATGCTTTGTTTCAATTAATTGAGGAGTCGAAAGTCAATGTGACTTATCGTGATGAGATTTATCGAACAGCTCGAGATGTTTCCTTGCAAGCTTCACAGCCTGACAATTGTAAAGAAATTGATCGATACATTTTGAGTCTCGCAGCTCGAGGTGATTATGAATCGTTCGTTGGGATGCTTCTTGATGGCTATGATCATATTATTGACATTGTCGACACTGATGGATCAACAATCAATAAAATTGCTCGATCGAGAGGTCATTTTGAACTTGCTGGTTTTCTTGATCGACTTCAGGAATTTGAAGTAAGAAATTATTTTCAAAATTATTAAAAGTTTATGATCTGATCATTGAAATTATTTAAGGAAAATCGAGAAAGACTTTTACATGCTGTAAGGCATTCGGATATTAACACAGTCAAGGAAGTTCTCTCGCTACCTGACGCAGCAAAACTTGCGCGTGCGAAGAATTATTACGGTAATAAATAAATTAATGTCAACTTGACATATAAATTCTTCACTACTGAATAATTTTTTCACACTTTAGGAAGATGCAGTATTCACATTGCGGTATTGCTTGAAAATGAAGAAATTGTCGATTATTTGGCGACAAACTTCAGGCAAACTTTGAGGACTGGAGATAACGTGAGTTAAGAACTTCAAGATTAAATGAATGAAATTAACAAAAAATTATTTAGTTGGAACGAACTGCACTTCACTACTCGATGGGAATCAACAATGTTGAAGCGATAAGCAGAATTCTTATTAAAAACGGTGCAAAACGTGTGTTAAAGGATCTTAAAGGACGAACTCCAAGTTTTTATTACATCAACAAATCTGACATTTTACGACTTCAAGAAGAAGAACGCGAATAGAAATTTTAAATTGTTTACAACACGACAGCACTCAACACCACCATTGATCGAGGTCATTTATCATATTTTATATCAATTAAATTGATTGTTGCAATTGGAAATCGATTTGCAACTTAATGATCACTTTCGCTATCCTAAAGATGCAATAAAGTCACTTCAGTATTTTATTTATTTCTTAGAACTCATTTGTGTATTTATTGATGATAAATAAAACTTAGAAATCAATTAACAAGAACCAATTGAAGAGAATCTTCAATTTTGATGGCGATTGTGACATTATCGATGCTAATTAATCAGCAAATAATTGCCACAAATTCTTCACTGACTGATGAGTTTAATGGAATTTTCACACTTTTTCGGTGAATTAGTTTTAATAAAAGCATCAACTTGAAGTCAAAATAAGAAATCTGCGAAGTGTTGTTAAATATTTTTGAGAAGTTGTTTTTATTTTGATCTTCAACAGCATTTTACGTTAAGATTTTTTCAAGTTCATGTTCATGGCTGTCATCGAATTCGCGTTGCAAACACGAGTTTATGACGAGCTTTCATCGCTAAAGTTTCGATTCATAATCAAATAAACAACGAGACTCATTCAATAAATCGTGACTCAAATAATAATGTCAAAAAGCATTACTTTAATTAATTTCTTACACGTTATAAAAATAATAAAAGAGTTTAGTTGTCATCAGAATTTTAATTATCGATCGATGAATGACCACAAATTGTCATATTTGGAGTGTTTGGGTAATTGAAAGCAGCTTCAATCACTTGTAGTCGTAGCTTACTAATTAAATTTTAATCATAGGAAAAACCACACACATCTCATCAAAATAATCTCAAACATTCTGTCAGAGAATTTTCAACCTTGTGATTTCATTTTGTTTTCTCGAATGACGATCATTTAAAAAGCGAATTAATTAATTTAACGAATTTTTGATATGATTGAAAATGAACGGTTTATGATGACAGTTGCGATCAATCTTAATAATGATCCAAATAGTTTAATTATGAAAGTAAACAAAATGTGGTTTAATTCATCTCAATCTTGATTGAAGTTATAAATGAAATTTAAGTAACTTCCTCATATTTAGTCATCTCTGATATCTTTCATCAACAATTTTCTAAGGTCATTCAATGTGATTATCAACATTCTGCAACTCATCTTGGGAAAATTAGTAAACGGCAATTAATAATTTAAGCACAGAAATATTTCTTACGCTTCAATTGATTTTAAATAGAATTGATGACAAATAAATCACTTAATTTCAGTTCAAACTTTGCCAGATGATCTCAGAACTTCCATTGAGATATGATATGAAAATATTGGATTAGATATTATCACCGTCTTATCGATTAATGAAATATTTAATTTAGAAATTACCTTCGAAAGAAAATATTGTCGCCTCTAATGCCACCATAAACGATGCAAGACACTCAAGTGGCGTTATCTATTTAAATAAAGTAAATATTGAGAATATTCAAGCGTATTAAGTCACAAATTGATCGAAACGTTACGACAACGATTTGTGGGATTTTTGGTTTTGCTTCGTTTTGTTCGTCTCTGAGAATTTTCTTGAAATGGAAAAGTGAAAATTGGGACACAAATTTCGCTACAAAATTTCTCCGCTCATTGATTTCTCATTTCATACAAAATTCATTTCTCTACTTACATCTTGTAATGATGAAAATTTGTCCCAATCATTGTCATCATCCCCAACGTCACTTTTTCGTTCTCTTCGAAGTAAAAAACTTTATAAAAGCAAACGCTCAGTCATTTTTAATTGTTAGTTTTTGTTTGAAAATTGCAGTGAAATGTTGTGAGAGCGATTAAATTTTTTTCCAATTTAAAGTGAACTATTTGTGAATGTTGTTAATTTATTGTGATTTATAATTGATTTAGAACTAAAATAAATAAATGAAATCAGTAAATTGTTTGTCAAATTCTTGCAAAAAAATGAGAACAAAGAATTGAACACAATTAAAAAACTTAATAAGAATTCAAAGTTGTCTATTAAATCATAATTCTCCATTCAATATTGAAATTCATATGCAGATAAGAAAACTTTAATTAGTTTAACAATATGAAAACAAGTGAAGTTCAAGACAATGAAAGATCCAAAAAAATTGAAGGTGACACGTGCGAAAAGCCGAGTAAGTCTGATAAAAGTTTTCAAAACAAAAGTGACTTACTTCATTTCTTCACGATTTAAAGCGTTGGAAGTTATTTAATGAAATTAGATCTTGAAATAATTTAAAAGTGTGAAACAAATTAATTAAAATTCTCAACTCAGTTTCAATCGCTTACATTACACAGAAAAAAAAAACAAAAAAGATAGAAACAAGCTTGGAGATTCATTTTGATATCCGATTGATCTTGAAAATGAATGCAAACTTCCGTCGATTAATTGTTTTGTGAAGTTTTCATTAGCTACAAAAAAAAACTGATAAAATTGCAATGATTACAAATCAGAATTTATTTTTCATCATTCTCAGCAATTATAATAACTTTTAAGCGAAAAGTCAAGAAGTTTAAAGATTCCAATGACCCAAAACTTTATTAAATTTGTCAACAATGGAATTATTACCGTTCAACCATTCAATTATTTACTGTTAAAGCAAAAACTTTGGCTAATCACTTGAACTAACATTAATTGTTTATCTTTTTTCGGAGTTGTCGCTTTTTAATTTCACGTAGTAATTTTCTAAGAATTCTTAGTAGGTAAACAATGGAAAAGTTTTCCACATTTATTTGCAATAGGAAATAATCTAAGTAGTGATGATTATTATAAAATCAAACATCGCGGAAAGTTCAAAGAATTCCCTTTCGAGTGTGTGAATAATTTGCATTAATTGGGTTAATCTACAAAGCGAGTTCATTGTATGCAAACAAACTGAGCATCTTCTCGAACAATTTACGTTTTCATAAAGATACAAAGCCGGCAACTTTGAAGAATGTTCACTGTACTCATCTGTGATAATCACGTGTGAATACAAACTTTGAAGAAAAACGACGATCGATACACTACTACTAACAGAGAATCGTCTTGAAACATTCACACTTCCAAACAATTCTACGCATGTAAACGGTAGTTTGCAAGTAGTTTTATTGCACAATATGTGAATGTATAATAAAGACTTCAATGCCTGATTGCCGAATGAGAAAGAAACAAAATCATATTTCCCTCTTTGTTTCCTTTGTTTATTCATATTGCCAACATTGAAAAAATATTTCTTATTCAAAATTGATATTTCTGTGATTTGTGATAGGTTTAATAAAATTCCAGTAATATAGTTTAAGCTTATTATGGACTATGGCACGATGGAATATCATCGAATAAGAAATAGAAGATTTGAAGCTTCAGGTTTGAACTTTTAATTTGATTTATTTACACAGAAAAAGAGGAAAATAAATCAAATTGTGTGCAAACAATTATGATTAGAGTTGTTAAACTGATAAGCGAATATCGAATTTAAATACTAAACAAAACAAGATTTTGATAACTTCTGACAAATGCCAACACTGCAAAATATAAATATTTACAATGTAAATTAATTAAAGATTATTTTCAGAGGGATTTGGTTTCAGACATGTACAAGTGATTCTAATATTTTTATGCGTCACGATTGCATATGCAGAACGAGTAAATATGTCAGTCGCGATTGTCGCAATGACTGATCGAAATAGCACAAATCCTGATTTTCCCGACTATGATTGGAATGAGAAGGAGAAGTCATTGGTACTGTCGTCATTTTTCTGGGGCTATGTCATCACACAAATCCCTGGAGGTCAATTGGCAAAGAGAGTTGGTGGAAAAGTCATGCTTCTAGTGTCAATAACTCTTTGTTCACTTCTCAATCTCTTAACACCAACATTTGCATTGTACGGTGATTGGCCAGCTATTGTTTGTCTTCGTGTTGTTCAAGGATTATGTCAAGGTGTAATCTTTCCATCAACTCACACTCTTCTTGCAAAATGGGTGAGTTTTCTACTTTCTTCATGTTTACTAAGAATTTTAAAAGAATTTTTATTTTTCAAGGCACCACCAAGTGAACGAGGGACGATAAGCACTTATTGCTATGCAGGTGCACAGTTTGGAACTGTCGTAATGTTGGCAATTTCTGGTGTTCTTGCATCTTCAGCGATGGGTTGGCCAAGCATTTTCTATTCCAGTGGTGTAGCTGGTCTTGTTTGGTCAGTTTTATATTTCTTTTATGGTTCAAGTTCACCTTCAGATTGTGCTCAAAGAATCTCACCTGAAGAGAAACATTTCATTGAATCGTCTCTGAATGTTACTGGCGATCATGGTGGAAGGGTAAGAATTTAAACTTTCATTAAAACTTTAATTAATCCATAAATTATTTCAACAGCCAATTGCAACTCCATGGAAAGCTCTTCTAACATCACCAGCAGTTATTGCTTTGATCGTCGTTCACTCGGCACACAATTGGGGCTTCTGGACGATGCTAACTGAAATTCCGTCTTATATGAAGAACGTTCTGCATTTTAACATAAAACAAAATGCGCTTCTCTCTGCCTTGCCATATTTTGCAATGATGGTAATGAGCTTGATTTTGAGTCCATTGGCTGATTGGATGAACAACAAGCAGATTTTGAGAGTTGAAGTTTCGAGGAAGGTTTTCAATACAATTGGACTTTGGGGTCCAATGTGTGCACTTATAGCTCTCGCTTATGTGACCTCTAAGGAGCATAGTGCATTAGCTGTAACACTTGTAACAATTGCTGTCGGAATTAATGCAGCAACATATTTAGGATTTCAAATTAATCATTTGGATCTTGCACCAAATCATAGTGGAACATTGATGGGAATTACAAATTGTAGTGCCAACATAATGTCAATCATTGCACCGTTACTTGTTGGTGCCATTGTTACCGATGCGGTAATTATAATTCATTCGAAACTCTTATTTAAATTTCCTCACATAAGACATAAAACTTTTTGCAGTCGGATCCATTTCTATGGAGAATAATTTTCTTCATTGCTGCTGGAATTTACTTCTTTGGAAATTTACAATTTATAATATTTGGAAAAGCAAATATTCAACCATGGAATGATCCAGAAGCTGAGAGGAAGAGAAGTAAGAAGATCTTTTATAATTTCATGATTAAAAATTTTAAAATTTTGTTTTTTCTTTTAAGATGACGGAGTTGAGAATCCAGCCATGGAATATTAACAATTCCCTTGACAGAAGATGAGACGTGTAGGATATAAAAAGACTGTACAATATTTAATGTCAATCTAGGCTCATTTCTAAATCGAATCTATTTATGACAGTATTTTTGTTATTAAATTTTTTAACTAAATTTGTTTGAATGAAAAACAACAGAATCAGTCTTTTCTTCTATTTTTCTCATAATTTCAGTGATTTTGAAGGCAAAGCTGTCAGTTGATTTTAACGGTTATTTTGAATTTGAATTTGATGTTTGGAATACAAGGCAGTAGAACTTAAATATTTTAGTAGATCTTAATTGAACACGTTTGTTTACATTTCGTCAAATTTTTGTGCAAAACTAAAATATTGATATAATAGTTAATAATGAGTGGTAAACCTTTTGAGGATTGTGATGTGTGGGAGGAATCAAAATCAAATGACAATTTAAAGCAGTCAAGCTTCTCATTTAAGAAAAATCTTAAAAACAAAACTAAAACTAAGAAGGCGAAAAAACGCAATCATAGTTCAATGGAAGAAGATGTTGAAGCTGGAAAATATGTGAGAGCTCCAAATTATGAACCTTTAGATTCACTTATTCAAGATACACCACCAAATCAAAAGAAGGATAAGAAAAAGAGAAAATATGAAGCAGTTGATAAAAGCAACCAATCTTCCGACGGTGTCACACCTGAAAAGAAGAAAAAGATCATAGAAAAACATTTGGAAAGTCAAAAGACTTCAAATAACAAAGCAAATGGAGAAAATGTGAAAACATTTCAAAATAAATTAAGAGAAAATTTGAAGGGTTCGCGTTTTCGATTTCTTAATGAACAAATGTACAAGCAAACAGGAAGTGAATCAATGAAGACCTTCCAAGAAGACTCAACAGCTTTTGAAGCTTATCATGAAGGCTTTCGACATCAAATTTCTCAATGGCCGATGAATCCACTTGATAGAATCATTAAAAATATTAAAAAATTGTGAGTGTCATGAAATGATTTTAAAAATGCATTAAATTGAATTTAAATTTTAAAAATTTCAGACCGAAAAATCATGTAATTGTTGACATGGGCTGTGGTGATGCAAGACTGTCACAATCAGTCCTGCAAAAAGTTTATTCAATCGATCTGGTATCAAATATTGAAGGAGTCATTGAAAGTGACATGGCGAAGACTCCACTGGAAAGCAACAGCACTCATGTCGTCGTTTATTGTTTATCATTAATGGGAACCAATTTAAAAGACTTCTTCATCGAAGCTAATCGAATTCTGAAACTAAATGGCATCATAAAAATAGCAGAAGTTTCATCGCGTTTTGATAACATCGACACATTCATTCAATTCGTTCAAAAGTGCGGCTTCGAACTTGTGAGCAAAGATCTCACTCATAATCTTTTTTATTTCCTCAATTTCAAAAAAACACATGATGTTAACAATTTCAACAAGAAAATTCCTGATTATCAATTGAAGCCATGTTTGTACAAGAAAAGATAAAAGTTGATAATAAAAAATTGAAGGAAACTCTTAATAACTTCTTCCAAATAAAGTGTAGAATTTCGGTTTGTTGTTGCATGCTGGATAAATGCATTTATCAGATGCTTGGATGTCAGCTGGTTGTTCGAATGGTATGCACAAGGATTTCGCTCCCATTGCAGGTCCTTGAACGTCACCTTCAGTGTCATCACGAGCACTGTCAGCTTTAATCTTCTCTTCACATGGAATATCGCCACAAAATGGAGCCATGATAATGTTCTTTGCATCCAAGAATGTTGTCAATTCCTTCCATTGCTTCGTAACTTTCAAATGACCATTCAAATCTTTTGTTGCCTTTTCCAACATATTTTCATGAATCTTCTCCAATAATTTAGGAATTTCAGTGACAGCAGTCGATCGATCGATTGTCAACTTCTCAGCAGTGTCACGACGAACAGCAACAAATTGCTTCGATTTCATATCTTTCGGTCCCAACTCGATTCTTATTGGAACTCCTTTCAACTCCCAATGATTGTATTTCCATCCTGGCGAATAATTATCGCGATAATCGCCTTCAACTCTTATCCCACCTTTCCTTAAGTCATTCTCCAATTCCTTACAACAATCAATCAGAATTTTTCTATCGCTTTCCGATGTTGTTGCGGTTATTCCACAAGGAACAATGACGACTTGATAACATGCAACACGTGGTGGTAAAACTAAGCCTTGATTGTCAGCATGAATCATGACCATCACTCCAATCGTTCTTGTGGTGAGTCCCCATGAATTCTGGAAGGCGTATTGCTTTTGTTGTGTTTCAGGATCTTCGAAAACAATTTCAAACATCTTTGCAAAGTTCTGTCCAAGGAAGTGACTTGTTGCGCCTTGAATTCCTCGACCACTCGCTGATACAAAAGCTTCCACTGTCGTCGTAAAATCTCCACCAGCAAACTTCTCTTTTTCAGTCTTCCGACCTTTAATTACTGGAATTGCCAACAAGTCAGTGTAGATTTGCTTGTAAAGTTCCAAAATTTCAAGAACTTCGTCTTGTGCTTCTTTCGCTGTTGCGAATGCTGTGTGACCTTCTTGCCATAGAAATTCGCGAGTTCTTAAGAATGGTTGTGGATGTTTGAATTCCCAACGCTTGAAAGAAATGAAAATGAAAATTTATGAAACAATTTCAATTGAAGTTTACTTACCACAACATTATTCCATTGATTTAAACGAATTGGCAAGTCGCGATATGATTGAACCCATTTAGCGTATGCTGGATACATGACTGTCTCAGATGTTGGACGTACAGCGATTGGTTCAGCAAGATCAGACTCACCTGACTTTGTCACCCAAGCAACTTCAGGTGCAAAGTCAGCGATGTGATCTTTTTCCTTCTCCAAAGCAGCTTTCGATACAAACATTGGGAAGTAACATTCCTTAACACCCATTGCAGTGATTTTCGCATCAAACCAACTTTTGATTTCCTTCCAAATGGCAAACGACCATGGACGAAGGATGTAACATCCAGACACGTCGTAATATTCAATCATCTCACCTTTGGTGATGACTTGCGAGTACCAATCGGGAAGATTTTCTTCTTTCTTTGCTTCCAAACCCAGACGAGTTTGTTTCTTCAAAGCTCCTGAAGCTTCTTCAGCTGACACATTTTTACTCTTTTCTTTCGTTGGTGCTGATGCTTTAACTTTCGTTTCTTTTGGTGCTGCTGGTTGACGACCTGCAACTGGGAAATCTTCTCCAACTTCTTGCTTATATTCAGCTTTTAATGACAATAAAGTTGCGACAGCTGCATCAACGTCAGCTTTTGGTGATGCTTTATTGGACTTTAATTGACGTACAACATTTCCTTGTTCGTTGATTTTACTCGTCAATTCTTCTTTCAATGATTTTGGTTTTAAATTTTCCTTGTTTTGTGTTTTCACTGGAGCTGGTGTTGTTGCTGCTGCTGCTGTTGGTGGCTTCCATTCCTGACCACCCGACATTTTCTTATATTCACCTTTTAATTCAAGAAGTAATTTAACAGCAGAATCAACGTCAAGTTTATCAGCTTTTTGGCTCTTTAAATTTCTAACGACGTCACCTTGCTTGATGATTTTCTCGTTTAAATCACTCACTTGTGGAGCTGATGTTGGCTTTTCTTGAACTGCTGGAACTGAATCTGGCTTCCAATCTTTTCCAGTTGCTTTTTTAAATTCTCCTTTTAATTCTAATAAGATTTTTACGGAAGCGTCGATGTCAGCTTTGGCAGCTTTTTGTGCTTTTAAGCTTCTTACACTTTCACCTTGTCGAATGATTTTCTCGTTTAAGTCACTGACTTGACCAAGTGATGGAGTTTGTGGTGCGTTTGCTGGTACCGTCACACCAGGTTTCCAATCTTGACCTGTTGCTGTCTTATATTCAGCTTTTAGTTCAAGAAGAATCTTCACAGCAGCGTCGATGTCAGCTTTGGCAGCTTTTTGTGTCTTCAGATTTCTTTCACTTTCACCTTGTCGAATGATTTTCTCGTTTAAGTCACTGACTTGACCAAGTGATGGAGTTTGTGGTGCGTTTGCTGGTACCGTCACACCAGGTTTCCAATCTTGACCTGTTGCTGTCTTATATTCAGCTTTTAGTTCAAGAAGAATCTTCACAGCAGCGTCGATGTCAGCTTTGGCAGCTTTTTGTGTCTTCAGATTTCTTACGACTTCACCTTGTCGAATGATTTTCTCGTTTAAGTCACTGACTTGTCCAACAGAAGATTTCGCTGATGATTTAACTTGTGAATCTGTTGCAATAGTTTGACTACCAGGCTTCCAATCACTTCCACTTGATGCTTTGAATTCTTCTTTCAAACTTAAAAGAATTTTCACAGCAGCGTCCACGTCTCGCTTATCAGCTTTTTGTGATTTTAAATTTCTTACAACTTCGCCTTGTTGGATGATTTTCTCGTTTAAATCACTCAATTGTCCTGCCGATCTTTTCGGTTTTTCCTTGTTCTGCAAGTCAATAAAGAATATTTTCCAACTTTAATTCAACTTATTTTAGTTTTTCTTTAAGAAGACAACATAAATTGTCAGAAATGAAAGCTCCAATGTGGCAAAATTGATCGCACACGAAAATATTTATTAAACGCACACATTCAAATAAAAAGTCTTGTAAAGTTGCGTGGTTCATGTGGAATGTGTAAAGATAGAAGAAAAAGAAAGAAAATAATTTAACATTGCACAACATAAGTGAATGGATAGGGTCAGTGATTGATTATATGACAGTTGAGTTACATTTTCTTGTTATAATCAAAAACATTTCTAAATAAACTCACCTCAGTTGCCTGAACTTTCTTAGACAGTCCCGATGTTGGCATTTCCTTCGTGTGACCATCAGGAATGAAGAATAAAACAATTGGACGTTCAACACCTGAAAATTGACTTGCTGGTGCCCAAGCTTGATCAACTTTGAAGAATCCTCGTCGTTGAAGTTGAATGATGTCGCCTTTCTTACATTTCTTTAATTCAGGATCTCCCAGCATTGCAATTTCGGATCTTGTTTCGTGTCCAATGTATTGCTTGAAGTCTTCATCTCTACCCAACACAGCTTTGCTTATGATATGCTCAAAGAACACACAAAACGTTGGCGGATATTCTTTCGGATCTTGCTGACACAACCAAGTCAACTTAATCGTTTTCTTATAATCTTTATTATCCAAATTCAAATCAGCATCAATTGATGAAATTTTTCCATTCGTTTTGTTGATCTTTTTGATGAGTAAATTTCCCCAATTGATAAATGTCGCATTTTCACCTTCTTTTAAACATTCAGCATCAGCTAAATCGATCAAGACTTTTGGTCCCATCCAAACAGTTTTCATTCCAACGTCGTTGTTCTTTGGATGTAAAGGAACTTGAACGGATTCTAGCTTTGCATTGGCAACGTTAACAACAACACGATTTTCATTCTCTAATGCAGTGTAACGTGGAGCGATTGGATCGATGACTTTCTTGTTAAAAGCCCAAATCTTGTCCCATTCCATGAACACGACAGATTTACTCGATCCTTGAGCAATGATGAATTGTTTTAAACCTTCAACGGTCATTCCTCGACGAAGAACACCACGAACAGTTGGAAAGCGTGGATCATCCCAACCATCAACGAGTCCTTGCTCAACGAACCACGTCAGCTTTCGTTTTGATAAAACTGTGTTGGTCATGTTGAGACGAGCATATTCCCAGATGTAAGGTTTGCGTAGTTTCAGAGCATCAATAAACCAATAGAATTGGTCATCACGATCGTGATATTCCATTGTGCGTAATGTATGAGTGACATTCTCGATAGCGTCAACGATTGGACAAGCAAAGTCATAAGTTGGATAAACTTTGTATTGAGTTCCAGTACGTGGATGTGGTTCATTTTTACAACGATAAATTGTTGGATCACGCAGACATCCATTTGGCGATGACATGTCAATCTTTGCTCTTACACAACATTTTTGTCCGCGTTCACTTCCAGCGACCATTTCACGCCACATTTCGAAATTCTTCTCGACTGAATTCTTTCGATTCTTTGATTCAGTTCGTTGTTCACGTTCTTGTTTCATAACTTCTGGTTCAGTGTCATCAACATACGCTTTACCTTCTTTCATGAGTTGTTCGCAATATTCCAACATGAGATCGAAATATTGCGACGTGTGAGTGAAGAGATCGGGTTTGATTTCAAGCATCTTTAAATCTTCCAAAATGACTTGTTCGAAGTGAACATTTTCCTTAGCTGGATTTGTGTCATCGAAACGCATGATGAGTGTGCCATTGAATGCTTGTTGATAGTACTGGTTGAGAAGAGCTGCTTTAGCATGACCAATGTGGAGATATCCAGACGCTTCCGGAGGGAATCTAACGATAACTTTTCCCATTTCTGCACCTGGCAAATCAACAAACTTTCCTTCTTGCTTTCGATCGCCTACATTTGCGTTTGAACTTGGAGTTGATTCACGAACTCGATCGTTGATAGTTTTAAATTCAACTTCCTTAGGCAAAGATTTGATTGCTGATTGAACAGCAGGAATTGCGCTTATTAAATCATACCAGCGTTTAACATTATTTGGCAGTGCAATTTTCTTGAGATTCTCGTATTTTGGAAAAATTTCACCGAAAACTGCTAAATCGGCAATTGTGAGATTATTAGACACGAGATATGTCAAGGAACTCAAAGAATTGTCGAGATATTGAAGACTTTCATTGATATTTCCACCAAAAGAGTATGTCAACCAATGGTCGATTTGAGTTTTCTCAATTGGAGTTTTTCCATAAAGATGATACGAAGGAGCCTCACGAGCAAGAACACGCAACAAACTGTTGTTGTTTACATACGGAATTGTATTGTTGGCAATTTTAATCAACGTTTCCTTATTATTCCACTCGATTGTTGAAGGATGCGATGGTTTTATTATCTCGGCGACAACAAGAGCTCCTAAAATGGTAAATGTTTTCTTATTATTAATAAATTCTACAGATTTCGAAATCATTTTATTTTCGCCGAATTTCACAATTTTAATGAAATCTTTTGTAATTGAAATTCTCACTCACCGATTGGCGGATTTCGTAAATCGAAAAGCAAATTTATTGCCATCTTGATTGTATCAACTTAATTTTAGTTAGATTTGATTTAAAATGAATAAATATTTTTAAATCACGTTTTACTAAGGAAAGGTTGCAAAAAGCTCTACAAGTAGATCTCAATATCTACCAAGAAGTGGTGAAAAGTTGAATTCGCTCAAACAATTCACCGGCAATAAAAGCTCCGATAATAAATTTAACTGTTTTGATTCCAAGAGATCTTATTTGCATAAAAAAGATAAAACAGTTATTCAGACAATTATTTTTTTATAAATATTTCTCTTTCTTTTTTCTAAATAATTATCAATAATCAACTCGAGCTTCGAGTAAACAATCAAGAAGAACTCGCTTGTGAGAAGGTTCCAAAGAATAAATTAAAAACCTGATAAAGGTAGAGAGAAGTTCTTCTATCAACCGACGCCTGTGCAAAGTTCATC